TATCATAAAACTACTTACATGCAGATAGTATAAATTTTTAAATTGTTTTAAAATATTAAAAATAGTATTAATTTTATAATTAATAGATATAAATTAATTTTAATTATTTTAATTATATATATATAATTAATTATTTTATATTTATATTAAATAATTAAAATTTAATTTAATTTATATTTAATAATTGAAAACAATTTTTTAAATTTTTTTTAAGTTTTAAAAATATTTTTAAATTATATAAAATGTATTTTTATATTAATTTAATAATTGTATTGATTTTATTTAAAATAATTAAATATAGTTTTTTATATAAAGTTTTATATTTAATTTAAAATTTTTAAAAACTTTATAATAATATTAAATCTTATTAAATGTTATAAAATATTTCTAAAATAATTTAAAATTTAAAATTTTTTGAAAATAGTTTTTAATTAATTTAAAATAGTATAAAACTATTTTAAAAATAAAAAAATAAAAATAAAAAGATATGTAAAAAAATAAAAATAATATTTTTAAAAAATATATCATTTGAAAAACTATTTCCTAATTAGGAAATATATAAATATTATAAGTATCTAAGTACCTGAGTTCAATCCCCAGCTGAAAAATCTTTTTTTTTATTTTTTTTATTTTTTTCTATTATATATATTTTATATCTTAAACTATTTTTAGAAAAAAAGTGCTTTTAGCTCAATGGTATAATATTGAGCTCTAAAGTTAGACTAGTTTATAAAGTAAGCTAGTCCCAAATAGGAAATAAATTATTATAATTATTTTTTTATTTTTTTTATTTTTCATTATATTTAAATTATTTATATTTAATAATTTTAAATATATTTTAATTATTTATATTTAATTTAAAAATTTTGAAAAATTTATAATAATATTAAATTTTATTAAATATTATAAAATATTTTTTAAATAAAAAATAATTTTAAATGAATTAAAAATTTATACTATCTGCATGTAAGTACTTGAATCAATAAAAAAAAATATTTGTTTTAGCTAAAATCACTTTATATAAAGCCTGTACTATATCTATTAGTAATACAAGGACTTTAAACAAAACTAGTTATAACTATCATTTAATTCAAGATAGGATATAGTTACTTTAAATCCTACTTGTATAGATTATTTATATATAAGTTCAAAAAATGTAGTTCTATCTACAACTTTACTTAGAGTCCAGCTCATTTATTATTATATTACTCTTAAATAAAAATAGTCAAAAATATTTTATTACAAAAAGTAAAGAAAAAGTTTTTACTTTAAAAGTACTATATACTGGAAAAAACTTGAACTACTTACTAGAATATCTAAATACTATTAAAGTAGCATCAAGAATGTAATTACTATATTAAAAAAAACATCATTAACAAGAAATACTATAAGACTAGGATAGACTTTAAGGAAAAAATATTCCTTAATATCTTTAAAATCAAAAAACCAAACTTTAACTCTCTTTTATTATTGTTATTGCTTTCATTCTATTTATTTTTATTATTTTCTTTATATTGTACTATTTTCTTTCTTTTTTTTTCTTTTATTTTATTTTAATAGATGATATCTAATATTAACTTAATTAATTCTAGAGTAACTTTTAAAAACTTAATATATATTTTATGTATTTAAACCATAGACTCTGCCATAGCTTTAAAACTATATATAGAATGAATAAACAAACAAATAATAATAATTTTTAATAATTTTAAATTTTTTTAAAATATATTTAAATTAATTTAAATCATTTAAATATAATAAAAAATAAAAAATAAAAATAATAAAAAAATAATTATAATAATTTATTTCCTATTTGAAACTAGCTTACTTTATAAACCAGTCTAACTTTAAAGCTCAATATTATACCATTGAGCTAGAAGAGTTTTTTTCTAAAAATAGTTTAAGATAAAAATATATATAATAGAAAAAAATAAAAAAAATAAAAAAAAAATTTTTCAGCTAAAGATTGAACTCAGGTACTTAGGTACTTATAATATTTATATATTTTTAATTAGAAAATAGCTTCTCAAATAGTATATTTTTTTAAAATATATTTTGTATAATTAAAATAATTTAAAAATTTATACTATTTGCATGTAAGTAATTTTACTACTTTAAATACTTAAAATATTTATATACTTTGACTTGAGTAATTTAGTTTTTTTTAATAATTAGAATGAAATTTAGAATTTTAACTGCTAGCAATCATCTGGTAAAAACTTTTTTTGCTAGTTAATATAAATTTATAATTTTCTAGTAAAGACTTCTTTTAGTTTTTTAATCTAGATATAAATTACTCTGGAAAAAATTTTTATTATTAATTAATATAAATTTAAAACTCTTTGAAAAAGACTTTCTTTGGCTTTTAAATCTAAATATAGGCTTTTTTAGCAAAGACTTTTTTTATTTATAGATGAATTTTAAATTGAAATTAAATTAATATTAGATTTTCTAATGATTTTTAAAATATTTTTAATTTTTAAATTAATTTTTTAATATTTAAATATTACAACTAACTTAAACTTATAATTAAATGCTAAATTTAATATTTAATTATTCTATAAACAGTTTAAATATTATTTATAAATAAATAAAATAGTTTTAAATATATTAGTTTTAAAACTAATAAATAATTTATTATAATATTAAAAAAACCTATAATTATTTTTAATAATTTTAAATAATTTAAAGTGGTTTATTAATTATAAAATTTTAAATAATAATTTTAAATAGTTTTTATATAATTAAAATTTTATTTAAAATTATTTATTAAATTATATAAAAGATACTTAAGTATTGATTCCATTACCTATACTTGATACAATACATGAGTAACAAATATCTTGAGCAGAATAAATGACTTAAAAAACAATAACTTTTTAATATTTAAAAACTTCTATATAATTTTAAAATTCAATATAATATTAATAAATAAATATAACTATATAGTTATATTTTTTTTGCTTTTTACTTTTATTATATATTATCAAGATTAATAATTTTTTCTATTTGCTAGCAATTATTATGCTTTTTTACTTTATAATTAAATATTAATAATATATATATCTAGTATATACAGTATACTGGCTGGCTAAATTTTAAAAAAAAAATATAGATAAAATATATAAATTATATTGATAGATTATATTAAAAATCAAGCTTTTTTATCTCTTTATATTTGTATTATTGCTGGCATAGCAGGTTTATTTAGCTAAATAAAAAAAATAGATTCTGGTTTTATATATAATTAGATTTTTTATAGAAGTAACTAGTATTTAATTATAATCTTATTTGTAAATAAAATCTATAATATAATAAAAGTATAATATAAAAATAAATGGATCCTATTAAAAATTATACAATATTTATAATTTTTTTACTATAGTTAGTTATAACTATAGTTATATTAAAAATTTAATTAAATAAGCTATTGAAAAAAGATATATAAATATAAAAATTAAGTATCTTTAAATAAACTTTAATTAAATAATTTAAAAACTAGCTCAAAACTTAAAATAAAATAAAATTTTATTAATTTGTAATACTTTGTAATTATTGGTAATTAATATTAGTAATCAAAATTGATTTATAATCATAATTAATAGTCAATTTAAATCAATTTAAAAAAAATTTACAAATTATTAATATTAAGTTTAATTTTTAAAAATATTATTTAACAATTGATTAATTTATTATTGTTTGGTTTTTTTATATAAATTATTTATTAAATATTTTTTAAATAAGATCAATACTTGTTTTTTATTAAATACTTTTATTATATTTAAATATTATTAATTAAGTTTGTATTAAATAAATATTAATAGCATAATTAAATATAACTTAATAAAAATTTAAATTAAATTTTTAATTATAAAAACTATTTCAAATTGGTTTTTGAAATATTATAATTAAATAATCATTTTCAATTATTTTGAATTATTCTAATTTATTAAAAATAATAATAAGTTTTTTTTAATTATATTTTAGTTTTAAATAATATACATAATTAATTTTACAAAAGCTTTTTATGTTATTAATTTTATTTGATTTTTATTTGGTTTTTTTGATTTAATTTAATTTCAATAATAATTATTTCTTAATTCAAAAAAATAAAAATAAAAAACTTATAAAAAAATTAAAAAATTAAAATCCAAAAAAAATATATCATTTAAAAAACTACTTTTTAATTAAAAAAATATATAAATATTGAAAGTATTTAAATATTTAATTTTAATCCCTAATTAACAACTTATTTTTAATACTTTTAGTATCTATATAGTTTAAATTAAAAATATTTTTAAAATATTTTTTAACTATTATATTTTTTAATTTGAAATTTCTTAATTATTATTATTTTTTATTTAAAAAAATTAATTCAATTTAAAATTAAATGTAATTGAAAATAAAAAAAAATAAAACAAAGCTAAATATATATAATACAAAAACTTTTTAAAAAAATTATTATAATTCTTATATTTATATATAATAATAAATTATATATAAATTAAAGACTTTACTATTAAAATAAATTTAATAATTAGAAAAAAATTTTATACTTAACCTTAATTTAAAATTATTTATTAAATTATATAATAAATTTTTAAATATTATAAGACTTTAAATTTTATGTTTTCTTGCTTACTATATTATAATTATAGTAATAATGAAGAAATATATAACTAACTTTAATAGATTTATAATAATTATATACCCTAATATAAAATTATTATTATATACTTTTTAATAAATTAAATTTCATTATATTTATAAAACCTATACATACTATCACATCATGATAATAAACATTTTTTTTATATTGTTCTGTCGTTTTATATCTACTTTTGAGTAAATCAAAAAAATATTTAATTGTATTAAAATAGTATAGAGAGGGATGGTGGGTTGCTAACTAGTTAATCTAAGACGTTATCGATAGACCATAGTCTCGCTAGTGGGCAGCTATTGCTTCAGGGACCCATTTCTCCGGGTGCCCGGTGTGGTCTCACATTAGGTGGTAGGTTCCACGGTGAATTACGACATGAATCCTGCGTCGGGCGCTCCAAAGCAAGGATCCAGATGGGGAAATTTATTCCAGCAAGCCGTTGCAGGCGTAGAATCCCGACTGGACACCATTCTTGCACCCGATGACGAGCGAGGGGAGCATTCTGCGTGTCAGCCTGGGGCGCTGGACAACGCCGAGCAGAGTCCCAGGGATGACGGACCGCCGTTTTTCACTACTTATGAAAACAAAGCAACTAGAGGTGGGTTATCTCCTTGATGGAAAGTATCTAGCTGCTCGAGAAGATCTAATTGGAATGTTCAGGAAATTTTAATGTATCACTGGGAGATCAACGGAACGATCGTCTCCAAGCCCGACTAGCTCGCGCAGTGGCAGCAAAAAACAGCCGTGCCTTTGGACCAGAAAGCTCACCGTCACTTTCAAGTGTAACATCCCGTGCCGCAAGTCCCAGTATACCGCGCGAAAACCTCATAAATGACACCGAAGAAACACATCGTAATGAACCTCAACCGTGGCTGAGCGAGACGGTTACGTTTGGGAACAAAGACAGCCAACCATCCCCAGATGACGTGGAAAATTCATTACACCATGTAGGCGATTCATCAATCCAGGTACCAATTCCCAAGACAAGTATACAGCTTCCTGCAAGTTCGGCCTTGTCGCGCCAAGTTCCAGGGATGGGCGCCTCCAACATCCCCCAAAAGCCCGAAAATATGGAACAGGAATCGGACTTGCCAGGAGCTTCGCCGTCTGTACACGCAGTGATGTCATCATTTTCCAGTACCAGCAATCAGACTGAGCATTTATACAACTTGCCTGAGGATTACGACGCCATTATTGCGCGGATGCGCGGAGATTACGAATCGTTGAAGCTAGAACAACAAGAAGAATCGGTCCGTTACCAAGAGCGTATCGATGCACTCCAGTCGAAGCTGCAGTATCTAGCCAAAGAGAGCGCGCAGTCTGCGAGACTGACCGCAGATTCTGCCCCACCCGGTTCTCTGAATCGAAAGCTGGCAGAAAGCGAAGAGCGAATCGCATTGCTCCTTGAGGAAGGACAGAAGCTCTCCATAGCAGAATTTCGCTATCTATCAACGATCAAGAAGCTTCGCGCGAAAATTGCGGAGCGCGAAAAACATATTTCTGAAGAACACTTGAAGCTAGATCAGGCGGAGCGGAGGGCACGGGATGCAGCTGAAGCAGCCAGACGGGCAGAAAACGCCGAGAGAAGAGCACTCGAAAGACTCAAACGAAACCCCACCACAGAAAAAGCCATTGATGAACTCAAAATCGAGCGAGATGGTGCCCTATCTACTCTTGCAGACGTCAAAGCTCAACTTACGGATGCCATGGCTCAGTTGAAACACACAGAATCTAGAGAGGAGAATTCAGAGCAACTGAAAGCGGAAAGAGAATTAATCTCCCAGCTCAGGGAGGATGTAGAGAGACTGAGGGCAGAGAAAGAAAAGAATGACCGGAAATTGACGACTGAAATTGATGAGCTGAAGGCAAGACTACAAGAACAAAAGACCATGGCCAGTAGCAAAGAATTCGAGCTGCGCCATGAGCAAACGGTATGTAACCGCTGAAGTTTAAAAGGAGGGCAACTAAGTGACTTACAGATCCTCGAATCAAAATTGGAAGCCAGTCGTGCCAGAGCAGAAGAAGTCTCCTCCAATGCCAATGGCGAAGGTCAAGCGAGTCTTTACCGCCAAATCGAAACACTCCAGACTCAATACGCCGTTGCTGGTGAAAATTGGCACCGAATCGAGGGGTCATTGCTTTCCAGAATAAGAGGTCTGGAAGAGGAAAAGGACGATTTTTCGAAACGAGAAATGGAGCTGAGACGGAAAGCCCGAGACGCGGTAGAGCTAATTCCATACATCCACTGAGTGGGAGGTGTACTGACATTATTTAGACCCTGAAGGCAAAACAGAATGACGAAAGACTGGAGCAGGCCATTGAACGATCACAAAAGTTTGAGCAGGACATCATTGAGCTGAAGGAACAAATAGAAAAGACTCAAAAGCGCGCGGCAGACTTCGAGACCCTGGCTATAGACCTACAAGAGAAGCTCAAAGAGGAACGACACATCCGAGAGCTGGAGAAATCCCAAATCGTCGGACAGGTAAAACTCGAGCTCGAAAGAGAGCTACAGCGAAGTGATGAAACCCGCTCACCGATAGCCCAACCCGAATTACAGCCTGACCAACGCAAGGCTTCCGTGTACGATATCTTTCCCATCTCTCGTAACTCTCTCAGTCGAGTGGCTTCAGGTGAATCAGTCTTTGGCCTTCGTGAACGCTCTCCCAGTCATCGAAATCTTGGACTTTTCGCAACTCCGTCAGTGCATGACGGGATGCGCAACTCGAAAGGCCGTCAGCCGTCATCATCTTCTCAACCAGCATTGTCCCCAAAGTACGAAGATATATCATCTGCGCTTCCCATGGAACATGAGGGAATTCCTGAGAGTGTTACTACCCAGTCTTCCCAGCAAGGAGGGTTGGATGATATTATCTCTGCCTCAACTCTCGGGGCTGGGCCATCTATCCAGCTCATGGAGCGCATGAGTGCCACAGTCCGAAGACTAGAAAGCGAAAAGGCGGCACAGGAGGAGGCTATGTTAAGAGTATCCTCACAAAGAGACACCGCACGGGAGGAAGTTGTCTCACTCATGCGTGAAGTCGAGCAAAGGCGGCCTGCAGAGGCCAAAATTGCCAGTTTGGAGTCGGAACTTACTCAGATCAACGAGAGATACCAAACTACATTGGAGATGCTCGGAGAAAAGAGTGAACAAGTTGACGAGCTCCAGGCCGACGTTGCCGATTTGAAGAAAATTTACAGAGAGCTAATAGACAGCACCATGCGGTGACTCAACTGGCATACAGTATAGTTAACACAAGGCTTGGTATGCCAAGAGGCTTTCACCTTTTTGTCTTCGAAAGCATTCAAGCGCTCTTCAATTTACTCTCGAGCCACATCTATACCCTCTCGACCGGCGCTTTGACAGATGAAATCTCGTATCTTATCTCGTCATTAGAAGACACCTTTGGTACAGAGTGAGGAGAAAATGACTTACCTTGTTATCTGGTGCAAGGTCGATAGGAAGTTTCCCATCCGTATCCCGTTTATCAGTTTCTGCTCCTGCCTTCATGAGGAGCAGTGCTGCATCTCCGTGACCTTCTGAAATTGCTAGACCGATTCATGAGCCGAAGGATAGAAATGAGACCGAAGAATGTAGCTTACCATGATGCAGAGCCGTTGAACCGGCAATGTCAGCCGCATTTACGGGACTGTTAGCCCCAATGAGCAGCTTGAGCATAGGCACTGAGCCGACCGCAGCAGCTCTATGAATTGGCAGTTGTCCCCGCTTGTCCCGAATCCTGGCAGAAGCCTTCTGCGCAAGTAAAATCCGTGCTATGTCCAAGTTGTTCTTGGAAGCACAGAAGTGCAATGCTGTCTTAAGACTAGTCAGAGACGAGGGAAACATCAATGACGGGACAGTTTTCATGCGAGCATTGCTATATCGAATTGTAAATCCATACCTGCCCGTTAAAATCTGTTCGCGTGATAAGCCCAAGCAGATCATGGATTTATGAGGCACGGATAGCTTACTTTTCATGTTCACATCCGCTCCTTTCTGAAGCAGAAGTTCAACTAAGTCCTCACTATCCCTCAGACTCGAGGCAATCATGAGAGGCGTCCAACCTGAGCCATCCTGATAGGTCATTAGTAAGTATGAGAAATTCGATAATAATAGTATGAGTATTTGTTCTACCTGGACATCCGGATCAAAACTCTTCCTTTGCGCGAGCAGCTCAACAATGGGCATACGACTAAAAGAGACTGCCCAATGAATCGGTAGACGATCGTCGTCATCTCGCTGATTGGCAAGGCGAGGATTCGCCTGGCGTAAGATTAGATAAAGTGCCAAAACAGAGTATCAGAAACACTAGACAACTAGTAAAGGATTATTGACATTTAGAATTGATTCAAATGTGTTTGCTGAATAATGTCAATTAGTATAATGTCGACGAAATTGATGATAGAGGGTAGCCTACTCCTTCCTTCACGTGCAGCTTCATGAATATGAAATTTAATTTCCAATCCAGCATTTTCCGCCATCGTTAGATTGCCTTATTCTGGTATCATGGATATACAATATTCACCCTAAGAATGGCGGAAATTCACAGCAACAAGTGAATAGAGGCTCGAACTTTTCAGTCCTTACACTGTAGTAGAGACGATGTGAAAGCTCGGTCCTCACCAAAGCGCAGACAAGGTTGGAAGCTTTCGAGAGAAGGGTTCGGGGCGGTACTCTGTAGAGCCGAAGGCCAAGGCTTGATGGGGCAAGGGGAGTTACCGAGCCAAGGGACGAGGCAGGAGCGAGGAGGTACGAAGATAGAGTACTTGGCAGGTTGGCGAATCTAAAGTTTCCTATCGGTTAACCTTATGAGTATGCAAAGGATACAGATACTTCGACGCCAGCTTTAGTCCAACAGGTAATTATGGGCGTCGAAGCTGAAACAAATAGATCGGTAAGATTTCTGCCGTGATTTATCATTTACATCCTCTAACCAAAGGCCAGTATAATCTCCTCCGCGGTTCAGCAAAGCGGACCCGAGAGCTCTTTGCCGCCGATTTTGGCCTTGCCACCCATGACGCTCCCTCTGAAACAAATATTAGACACGAAGCGCAATTGTCGAAAGACGCTCCGGTGTTGATAGCTGAACGGGCCGGTATAGCATCACGAATACGCAGCGAATATGAGACAGTCCAGACCTTACCGCCGTCGCTGGTAGCTAAGCAAAATCAGGCCGCCGCAGCTGCCCGCCGGAAAAAGCCTAAGCACCAGAAGCATGACGAACAAAATTCGGAACTTGGGACTGTAAAGATGATTGAAGGGATCACAGGGCAAAGCGAACATCCCAATCCTACGAACTCGTCCACAGCACTGACGGTTCGAGGCAAAACCTCCGCGCATGTGCCTTTAGATGGCACCGCATCCACGGCTCAGCGCAACGTTCCATCCACAAGCCTTTCCAGAAGGCAAACTGTTCAACAGATGAAGCCTGAATGGCATGCGCCATGGAAGCTGATGAGAGTAATATCTGGTCATCTAGGCTGGGTTAGAAGTTTGGCCGTCGAGCCGGGAAATGAATGGTTTGCAAGCGGCGCTGGTGATAGGACTATCAAAATCTGGGATTTGGCCTCTGGGTCCTTGAAACTCACATTGACAGGGCATATTTCAACAGTGCGGGGGTTAGCTGTCTCTCCGAGACATCCCTACCTTTTTTCTTGCGGTGAAGATAAGATGGTAAAGTGCTGGGATCTTGAAACAAATAAGGTCATACGACATTATCATGGGCATTTAAGTGGCGTTTATACGCTTTCATTACATCCAACACTGGATGTTCTGGTTACAGGCGGCCGTGATGGTGTGGCTAGAGTGTGGGATATGCGAACACGCAGCAATATTCATGTCCTGGCAGGTCATAAAGGCACTGTCTCTGATGTCAAATGCCAAGAGGCTGATCCTCAAGTTATCAGCTCATCCTTGGACTCAACTGTCCGCCTATGGGACCTAGCTGCGGGAAAGACCATGGGAGTCTTGACTCATCACAAGAAAGGTGTACGAGCCTTGGCCCTCCATCCTACGGAATTTACTTTCGCTTCTGGAAGCACTGGAAGCATAAAGCAGTGGAAATGCCCGGAGGGTGCATTTATGCAGAATTTCGAGGGGCAAAACGCAATAATTAACACTATGTGCGTAAACGAAGACAACGTGCTTTTTTCTGGAGGTAAGAGATTCCCTTTCCCCCATATCATTTACTGAATTCGGCTGAGATTTGAAGGTGATAATGGTTCCATGAGCTTTTGGGATTGGAAGACGGGTTACAGATTCCAATCGCTTGAGACAACAGCGCAGCCAGGTTCTTTGGACGCCGAGGCTGGTGTGATGAGCTCCATGTACGACCGTACAGGTCTTCGATTGATCTGTGGCGAAGCTGATAAAACAAGTAAGTCAACACAATGTGTGTTTGATTGTACATATAGACTGACGGATTTGAAGTCAAAATATGGAAGCAAGACGAGGATGCAACACCGGAGACGAACCCTCTAGATTGGAAGCCGACGCTTGGACGCCAGAAATTTTGAATTCTTTGCACGTTATCGTTTTCGGGAGAATCTGTACGAAGCCCGGCGAATGGAGTGTTGAGGAAATTACTCTGTTCTCTTTGATAGTCTATTGCTAGCTTATCGCTAAGTGGAAAAGCCAAGGTCTCGCACTTCGGGATCTTCACGGAATGCAAGCTTAATATCTTCATTGCCAACATTCAATCGGACCTTTCCTTTTCTATCCCCTTTGCGTGATTCTAGGCCAACGATGCCAGCCTCCATCAGTTCGATCGCCGCTTTGATCATCGTTTGAACTCTCGGAACAGTCACCGAAATGTTGCGATACCTCAACCCGGTGGAATAACCACTTGTCCCTACCAGAAGCAGGGCCTGTATGTTCTGATTTTCGGACATTCGTCCAATCTTCCGAGCTTCTTCAATCACATCGCCCAAGACGCTTTCCCCAGTACCTGTTCTTCGTATGCGAGCTAGTAGAGCCGCCAAAAAGAGTTTAGAAGAAAGTGAGATACCTCGAAGATATTGTTGAAGAGGGCTCGTGGTTGCCTCACTTATCGCTTCCTTAATTGTAGTTATTGTCACTTTTGGCTGGTGTTCCATCACTTGCTCCGAAATGTTTGGGAATGCTTTTGTATCAGTCGTTGATTGAGTCGTTTGAATATTTGATTCTCTGGTCGCTTCTGCAAGCTCCACAGCCCTTCGGCAAATGTCAAGCGCTCGACGAGCGTCTCCGCTTACAGCCGCGACTTTGCGACTTGCAAACTGTACTGCGTCTGGGTCTACTATTTTCCCCGGAACTCCCTCTAATCTGGACTGGATGATTTTCATAAGCTGATCGTGAGTGTACCCTGGAAATGTGACTCGAACCAACCCTGGAGAATGTCAGCTGTAAAATATTTCATCCGCACCAGTCACTCGCACCTAATCGACTGCTTATTTTATTGCTGAGAGTTCGTTCAGGCAGGTCCATTGTATTAGCAACTGCCAATACAATCAATCGACTGTGTCGTAAGCCCGGCCAATTAAAGAAATTATACATAACGCTTTGGTTTTTGGTCACAAGCTGATCCAGTTCGTCCATTAGGACAACGCATGGTACCCTTCGTGGACTTGGTTTGCTGAACTCGCGCTCTAAGAGTTCGAGTGCATGGACTGGGCTCACCCTTTCCCCCCTTAGCGCCTCCCATAGAAGTGAATAGGACTGATGAGGGTCTGTCAATTTCATTCCATTGATCTCGACAAAGATGAAATCCTCAAGTTCCTCAGCAAGCACCGAAGCGTGAAGTTGTCTGATGATCTCCCTCATCGTGGCAGTTTTTCCGGTGCCCGGTGTTCCAGATATATAAATACACGCTCCTGACCCGTCGGATATTGCTCCTTCCAAGTGGGCAAAGACGATCGAAAATTCCTCTTCGCGGCACGGCATTGTTGCAGGTACTGCGGAGACGTGAAGTTTTGTTCTTGCTAATTGAAAAGGAGAGGAATCCAATGCAGATGGGGACAAAGTTCTTGTTCCTAAGGGTATGAACTCCAGAGGTTTCTTGACAAGGACCCTGCTTCTGTCAGACGAGGAAGTGTACATTGAATCCATTGAAACTGACCGTCTATTGCTCGGAGTGGTGAGATACTCGAAGTCACGCCTTTTTCTAGACGGGGTGGTAATTTCTGTATCAATTTTCCTTCTTTTCCTAGCAATCTTTGGTGTGGAAGGGTCGCAGTCAACGAATTCCTAGGCGTATGAGCTTAAGAACAGAGGCTCGTAGCGGGAAAAGCTTACTTGATCTTGATTCCGCAGTAGATCTTGTTTTCGAGGTCCGCTTTTCTTTCTTGCTGCCTTGGTCTCCGTCTTCACCTTTTCGATCAAAGCATAAATGTCCTCCTCTGAACCTTGATAGATGGAATTCCAATCGAACTCATCGCTATACGTCGCTGTACGGGTGTTACAGGCTCGTCGACAGACAAAAACCTTCCCGAAGTCTGTAGAAGATCTCGATACTTTGCCATTTGGATAGTTTGTCAGAAATGACTCCAGTGAGCAAACCGTAGCCCTTCCATTGATAGATGTCAATGGATTGATATCCCAGGAGGGTGTAATGTACAGCTCATTCTAATTGGTCAGAGGGAGAAATAAAAGTTCTAACCACGTTGGCGAGATCATACCTGCAGAAAATCGGTGCGCTTCTTGTGCTTGTTTCTGATTTCCTTTTCTGTGGAAAACCACATAAAATTAGCAGCTTTGCCTTCCTCATCATCCTCAAAAAACTCGGATATCAGGCCCACCCATGCTTCATTTGAGCTCTCAGCTTTTAGAAGCACGCAATCTCCTATTTTGCAGTAGAAGTCCCCCATGCGAGCGCCGACAATCTTTCGATTTGGAAATTGTGGAGAATGATTCCTTTCCCGCGCGCTTCGTAAGGGTGTATTGATATCCTTTGAATTATCAGAGTGGAGCAAATTTCCTTCCGAGACCCTGGAAGCATTGTCGGGTTCAAAAGCTTTGGTGGAGCAATCGTCGTAGAGCCATTCCCAGGGATGATCTTCAACACCAAGTTCGTCATCGGAATCCTCTCGTTCAACACCACCCCCAGAAAGTAAACGCCGCGCACGGTTGATCCTTTCAGCACCGTTGGATGTATCTCGGCCCATATTCAGATCTCCCCTTTGTCATTTATGCTGCTGCAGAATCTGTCCTCTGTCTGTTGAGTTTCGGTTCCTGCGCTCTGTTTACCCGCCGGCCGAACGTCGAATTCAGGCAAGAGCTCGGCCTGTCGGCCAAGCGGCGATTAAAGTCGCCTAACTTAACTAGGTTGTTCCGTAACTACCCTTCGTACTATGGTGGATTTGAGCGAAGGGCCGTGGTGCGGACAGTATGAATCCAGCTTAATCACAGTACTTTAACACTAAGGAAAGAGACCTTTCTAGACATAGTATTCTAAGCGAGAACTTCAAGTACCTTTCAGTGTTCTTAGGCACTCCTGTGTTACATTTAGTTATAAATCTAGTTATACTTCAAACATCTGTCAATTATATCTTTGCTTATCTATATGCTTTTCATAACTATATTTGTAAGCCTAGTTTCCATTAACTAGTTAAGAAAGTAGCCTTATGGAGTATTCTCATGTCTCATTTACTAGAAAAGCAAGAACCATTATTTTTTATTATATTTAAATAAATACTAGTAATTTTGAGAGTCTTTTCCTTGGTAAAGATTAAGAAGCTTCTACTACCATGTAAATAAGAGATTTGAATCTCTAGAATTCCAGTGTTAATATAAGGTAGTGTTCGATACCTTGTCTCGCACATTGAACTAGCGTCCTGTCATTAAGCTGGATCCATACTGTCCGCACCACGGCCCTTGAGCGAATAGAGCCGGAGACAAGGGGCACTGCATGCTTTACACAATATGTCCTGCCACCGGCAGGGCCGCAGTCGCTTGCGGAGTAGTAATTACCATATCACAAACTTTACGTTTTGCGCCGTGACAAACGCGTTGAAAATGTAATCCGGCTGTAATTTAACTTCTTTCGCACTTCACCAAAGGCAACTACCTAGTACCATTGAGATTCTCCACACAATCAAACGGAGCCTTCAGCTGTAAAACAATAGACGGAATATATTGATTTATCTGTGCTCAATGGAAGAGCGCGTCTGATTCAAGACCTTCACCTGCAAATTCATGAATAATTGCCCCGTCATTTTACCTGTGGGTACAAGCAATTAGGGTGACAACGTCAAATCACGTAGGAAAGCTATCAACAGCGCACGACAAGTGTTGTCATCATACCTCAAACGCTAGTCCGCAGACAGCCCCAGCCATTCGAAAGGCAAATTACTGATATTGATTCAGGCAAGATACTTAAGGTGCAATCTTTTCCATGCCCTCGATGGTTTGTTTCTCGGTTAAATGTGATTTTATTAGCATGGTATAAAGCAACTGTGCCCGAGCATCGATAACCCTTGTCGTGCGCATAGATTTTGCCTGGCGATCGAGATAATTCTAATCGCTTTTGCCTTTGGGGATTAAATTATTTGAATAGCAGATTGTCCCTAACGCATGCTTGATTTCAGCACCCTCTACCGCTAATCCTGGGCTCGGCCGAGCTTTCCGCTACTGGAAATCTGAAGTTGAATAAACAACTTTGTCCTGTGAGAGCTAAAACAAACATCTGAACTCTTCAGTATCAGATCTTATCATAGTACTTGCTCACATCACAATCGGACACCCTCATAAAATCTGGCCACATCGAAAGGAAATCCTTTCAATTACAGACACCTAGGAGGCAGTAGCTTGCTGGGAACTTTTTGTCGTGTGATTCTAGTAAATTCACCGCTCTCAACACAATCCTTCAAAAAGGTCGAATCACCACTCCCATGGATTGAATCTATGTCAATTGACTCTTGTCTTATGTTACTGATGATTCACCAACCTTTCAATTATGAAAACTGTTGCTCGATCAAGACAGCGTGGCTCTAAAATATCCTATCGTGCTCAAATCTCTCCTAAATTTGAGCGGAAACGTTAGGTTCAACGACAAACTATCTTCGAATTCGTAAGGTTGTTATGACAAATATGGAAGAGTATGTACAGCCTCCAAACACTAACGACATAACTGATTGCCGCTTTGCAGCTATGAAACTAGTAATGCTCAGGGTATGTTGTCGGCTTCTCTTTCGTGCCTATGCTGCATCTGCTTTCGTATTCGAAACGCCAAAACAAGAGGGCGCAACGCAGTAGCTTGAGTCCTTCGTCCACCCATTTATTAATAAAGTTTTCCTCTGCGATACCTCTTACATGAGACATGCGTGCAAGCCTTTTCTGACTTTCTTAATAGAATGGAATCTCGATATCCAAAATACTGGAGACCCTCCTCGAGCACGATTGCCGCTTCATCTTCAGAATGCCCGACCTATAGAACGCAAGGAACGGATCATCATAAAAGCGGCCCCACCCCAAGCAATTTCGCGGCTAGCCAGGCAGTCCAAGTCTTCAAAGCGCACTGGAAGGACACAAAATTTACTTCATGCATGGTCAGCTCCGTTCGCGGAGGAAGATAATGAAGCGCGGGCTTCGTGGCGTAGAAAGCAGGCAGCAACCGGTATCTCTGCGGCCAGATCTTCATTTCAGAGGCGTACTAACTTCTACGATTAGGGAGCTTTGAGCTGCCAAACGCGTATGGGCAAATCTACGCTAGGTGCGAATATACCTTGAGCGCTCGCGGGGTTCATTGCTTACTTTCGCAGCACATTTCTTAAGTCTCAATCGGGAAAGAAATCAACGCCTCCAAAGTGTTCAGTACTTGAGCAGATCGGCTCGAAGACGGGAGCTTTTATAGAGCCGCCAAGGCGCTATCATGATCGAGTTAGTAGGATCTCAAATATATTATCTCCAAGTTTGAGGAGCGTAGCTTACCTGACCGTACTTATTATCACAGACACTGTCTATCTGGGGCTCCCCAGAAAAAATCATTGCAGCCAAACAAGAACTGGCAAAATGGGTACAGCGCTTCAAATACAGCGCAGCTCAGAAAAATGAAGGGGCCCGTGCTGCTTTTGGAAAGGTTCTTGCGATTAGTGAAAAAAAAAAGAAGCAGCTCGCCAGACAGATGGAGGATGACGCAAGCAGACAAAAATATAAGCAGTCTCCATGTATGACAGAGACATTCAAATTCATCGTAAGGACCCTTTTCCTTGTGTCATTTTGCTGTATTAAATTTCAGCCTAGGGTTATTTTCATTGGCCAGTAGAAGAAATCAGACCAGAGTCTATTCTTGGCAAGAGCTTTGAGGCCTTTGACCATATCCGCATGGTATTTCGGTGCTATATACTCTTCGATTCAAAGCATGCTGCATTCAAGGTCCTGTCGCAAACATTCAACGAGCTCGATGTGGCTTTGAGTAGGATCAGGGGAACACTATGCGAGATAATGACACGCAGCAACAGGCCGGTAACACTGTACCTTGTTGCACCGCCTTCTGTGGAGGCAGTCCGTACAGAAGTGGAACTCGAGGAGAGAAAAATGGGCCTTAGTCGTTTGAGCGGCGTAGTCCCAAGATTGACAGGCCCTAAACTATCAAAGACCGACCAATACACGTGGGTATCTCTGAGGCCCAAACTAGCGGCTGCGAATGCGAAACTTCTAAGAAAAGCTACATCGGACTGTCTAAGAACGCTTAAGTTTTATAGAGGGCATATTAGTATGCGTGTCCGTTTTGGGACTCTCTTCTTGTCTTCCTACAGAAAAGCCAAAGCTGATCGACATGGGTTGATGGAGTTCCTCGAGATGATGAAATGCGTACAGGTGGCCGGGGAGCTGGATAAAGAAAGGTAAGGGATGAATATATTATTTCTATACAAAAGCTAACGAGGCTACAAGTCCTGGAGATTGCGAAAGTAATGGCGACTTATTGTCCCGGTGCTGCCTTGCAACAGATGTACTCGAGCCCGCGGATGCCATGACCAGCGGCTTGGAAAACGTTCAGCCCGTCTTTTCCGCAAGTTTCGAAGTGACGGACCCTAGTATCCATGAAACATTTCGCCTAGATATAGAATTCCATAAAGCCGTCGATGTTGAGAGTTTTGAGATATCTTCAAAAAGATGGTTTAAAGTGGGCAAGCAAAACCCACAAGGACGCCTCCAACCGATCTCTCGAAATGTCCCTCTCTCAGTGAAGAGTCTTAATGTCGAAAAGTCAGTAGATTTTGGATATCAAAGCTCGTTTATTTCTAACAGTTTTTAGGGGAACAGCATGGCAGTTGGAAGTCACTGCGGACAGTTCAGTCGACATCTCAAGAATAACCCCCGAAATGCGCGAGTTTGCGGACCGGATTAAGCTCAATGTGAATGGACCGAGCAACGCGAATACTTCTTCACCGAGTATTACATTCAAAGAAATACTGGAGATCCATGGGTTTACGGAAAGAAGATCCTTTCGATATATGATGAAGGGCAGCACATACATTTTTGAAGTGGCAGAGAGCACCACCTTCGCTCCAGGAAATCCGTCGAATGGTCAGAAGTGGGCGAGTAAGAAGTCAGAGCAAGTGGCAACCTTTTACAACAGAGAATGGGACACAATCTTCGGTCAGAACTCCAGCCTTGGGATCGGAGAACCCGCCTCTTGGAATGACAGCCTTGTAACCTTCTTCTCAAGAGAAGAGCATACTGGAGGCACGAGTTCAGAGGTAGGGTTGGCAGATTTTGCTCAAAGGGTTGAGCTTATCTTACAATTGATTGAGAATGATCGATAAAAGAAGAAGACAATCCTCCCGCCCTTTTCCTCCCCCCGCAAAAAAATTCCGCCCAAGAATCACACTGAAAGCATCGCTACCCTTCAGCTTGTTGCACTGCTTGAATTGCGAGGAAGGGCGACGTCGTGAATTTTCGATAACTCCGAGAGTAGACAGTCGCGGCAATCGATCAAAAACGAAATATGGTTGGAGGAGAGCCTCTTCATTCCAACTTCTGACGCTGCTGGTTATGTCTATGCATGTGAGGCAGGGTTTGTAGTGGCGCTACCACTGATAACCTTTTGTCTGAGAACTGTCGAGCCAATTAGTCCAGAGATGCAAATCATAGAACAAGGATAATGCCGTACTGTCTTCAATCACACGAAGATTACTGCTCTTGCTCTGTACTATGCCCTCCAGATCCTTCAAGTTCTTCCCGAGTTCGTCTACTTTTGCTTTATAGAAAGCTTCCGCGTCATCAGAATCCTACTATGCAGTTAGCGCAAATCCCAATCTTCTAAAGTATTTATCAAGAGAGCCTACCTTCTCAACGTAGAAGCCAGTTCCAACATCAACAATGGCCTTGTTTGGGTGAGAAAGTGTCCCAGGGACATATAGAGAGCTGGTCAGGGGCACCAAGATCATTTTCCCTGGATCGGCCTTTGTCAATCGTCCGTATTGCCACTACATCACTTGAGAATAGATACCTGGTGTAGAAGAAGAGATGCCAGCCTTGATTGACCGTATGCAATCTCCAAATTTGGCTTGGGCAGCTCGCAGCTTGGCAAAAGAATTTGTAAGGTGCTCCAATTCGTCGTCAAGCTGCTTTTTGACAGCAGTGAGTTGCTGAAGAGACAGGGAACCCAGGTCCACTATATTGCCATCAGTGCATCTCTCCAGGTAAAAGCATGGGAATACCAACCACTTTGCTCTTTTCCAGCAGGGGAAGCTGCCATAGTGACCAATTCTTTTCATTCAATTATACTCTTGTTGGTTACTATTTCCAAGCACTGGATTGTACAAAGGCGCGTGCAATCAGCCTCTTAACAGCTAAGGGTAAACGTTATTCCGGGATCTTACAAGCCCACTAACCGCAAACCGCTAGGCCAATTTGAGCTTGTGAAGCCTCGGAAGTTAGCATTGTTACATTCTGCCCGTTACGAGATAAGAGCAGCAAAGTAATAGCTTTACTGACCAAAATCCTTGGCATGTTCAATTGCACGATAATGCCCGAATTAACCTTGGCCATCGCGTTGAAAATTTGTAGCTTGGGTTCCTTCAGAATTCTCAGAGTGCTGTTAATCCTTGTCCCCAATGGAATATGTGCCTTTCGTAGATGATTTTTTCCTCAACTGAAACCTTGAATAATATTGGATGCACGTACTTGTTATTTGTTACGGCGCTCCGTGGCGTTTGCCAAAACTCATTATCCGGGATACTGTGTGACCGCGGCATATGGAGTAGTAGCTAGCTAGGCCATCTAGTACGTATAGCCTTTGAAGCCCAGGTCGAAAATCGAGCTTCTCCTCAAACTACCTTTATGTTTTTCGCCTCTTAGCGCCTTCACAGTATGCCAAAAATCTTGAGCCTACTCTCAGTAAACTTGAAATCAAGACGTAACGAGCCAAACCGATAAATACTGTAGCTTGAAGTGAGATATCCGGTGAAGGCATTACCGATTAGATTGATGCCCAAGAGTGTTTCTGGACTATGCGAGCATTATAATATACGTTGTAGATTGTAATGCGCGATTCAATTCTAAAGTTTCTGTAACAAGCTTTCTACGTATTCACCTAGCTCATCCAACGGCACTTCTGTCTTCAAACCGTTGAGCCGTCGACATTGCACCTCGCATTTTTGCGCAGCCTTCCAGGATTTTGATAGCACGACGATGACTGGATAGCCAATCAAGTCAGCATCTGACAATTTCCAGGGGAGGCTTTTGTTCCGATCATCGATGACAACATCGAGTTGTCTACAGCTGCTCCTCTGCGATGGGATGGTATTTTTCCCGTAACTGAGAAGATTATAAACTTGAGAAGCATCGTCTTCCAGGCCATTCTTCGCTATGATAACCACCTCAAATGGCGCCATGACGCGTGGCCAATTCAGACCTCTCTCGTCTGCAAGTGAGTCGGCGACGGCAGCAATCATTCGCGAAACTCCTATGCCATGACAACCCATCTGAAGAACGGTTTGCGTAGTTCCAAGCTCCGGTGTGACCGCTTCTCGAGCACGATTGGACGGTGAGTCATTTGAAATTGCATCTTTGCAGTCCGGTTCTGGCAATAAGCTTTTCGGAATGGCAACTTCTGCTTTGAAGGATTTACTGTATCTAGAGCCGAGGAAGAACGTATGTCCTAATTCGACGGCTTTTTGCACCCTGAGTGATCCATGTGCGCAATTGGGACAAGGGTCGCCCTCTAAGGTTCTTGTCAAGTTCATTGGCCGATTCGTTTCAGGATGCAATAAGATGTCCGTCTGCGAAACGCTTTTAACATTTCTCGAACCAACCATCGAATGCAAGAAGCAAAGTCCATTATCGGAGTGTGCAAATGAGGCATAAGAGTGGACTCGATAGTCAAAAACATTGACTATATTCGGAGCGCCGGGAAGACGATGGTCTTCCGTCCGTTGCATTTCTTCTTTCCAAAGTTGTAGCGGCTGTTCAATGCCAGCATCGAGCGTCGGGACAACCCTCTTAACGGCATGGGTGTTTACTTCTTCGTTTACGGATGAGGTGACACGTGTGTCATTCCCATACTGGGAAGGATAGTATACTCTTATCAGAGAGCGCCGATCTTTCGTGATACCAAACCATACACCTGGTGGAGCGAGGGCTGTAGCTGGCTCAGAACCGTTCTTGTCGCGCAATGCCGGCGAGTTTAAAGTCCCTTGTTCAACCTTTCCCTCAGCGAGTTCTTCGTTGGAAACGAAACCACATCCAGAGCAGCTGATGACATAATCTTCGCCCTTGGATGTTGGAAAATGATACTCATGACTTAAGCTTCCGCCCATATTGCCTGAATCCGCTTCAGCTACGAGAAATGGCAGCTTTAGTTCACCAAATATTTTTTCATATGTACCGCGAACGTCGTTGTAAGTCTGTAAGGCTTTTTCAGTGGAATAGTCGAATGTATAGAGGTCTTTCATCAAAAACTCTCTGGTTCTGAGTAACCCCTGTCGAGGCCGCGGTTCGTCTCTATACTTGCGAGCTTGTATTCTCAGTATGAGTCGCATAATAAGCGGATTCCCAGCGACTCACTTATCTGATAGAGCCTAATTGGGAGGTCTTTGTAGGATTTCGAAATGCTGGCAACCAAGGCCGTAATCTCTTCTTCGTGAGTTGGAGACAAAAGATATCGACTTCCTTTCCTATCCTGAAAATGGAACAGCTACACTCAATTAGCTCTAGCTGCAGAATTCACGTCTCTGGGGTTCTCACTTCTGGATTTCTTTCTCCTTGAAGCCTCCCCGATGTACGCCAGAGTTCTTCCGATGAAATGGTAGATAAAGACAGCTTAGATGCAGCTTTTTGAGCGATGAGATTAATCATTTCGATATGATGAATTGATGAGAGATAACTCACAAAGGTTCTGCATATGCTTGTCGATCAACTTTTCGAGCTTTTCCTGCACCCGAAGTCCCAGTGGGAGGAGGTGGAACACTCCAGAATAAGCCTTCGATTATGTCAGGTATTCATTTTATATGCAATATAAGCTTCTCCTTAGGCTGACCTGGCGCAAAAATCCAGCTCTCAGGAGAAGCGCGTGAGAGTCTTCTACGGCTACACATGTCAGCTCGAGATACTCTTTTCTATACGAATGCATAGTTACCATTCACAGCACGTGAGGAAGTTATTCCGCCGGTGGGAATCCAGAAGCTGGATAGCCGGTTTTCAGGGCCATTCTGCTGGGAAGCATTTTGTATCAGCTTATTTGAACTATTCTCTCTTTCCAGTTCAAGGACTTCCGCACATGAATGAAACGACTGCATATTGCGCGAACATGGCGAGCACGAAACGTGAGAAAATGGCAGGCTGAGCGTTTCCTGGCCAATGAATACATGGAGATTCAAATGAAAAGATTATTTGAAATTGCAAAGGCCTTAATGTAAGATCATTCTGGATAGCTCGCACAAACAGCACAGGTAAGTAATTATCGGTCCAAACGTTCAATATTTCGACGTCGTAAGTGTCCCCGGTATTGCCAAAGTCTATTCGGAAAAACAATGACCCTGATGATCGGATATACTCAATGAACGCTCTACCCGCTAACTGAAGTGGGAGGTCGCTAGTCAAAATATTCGTCCTCCTTTCCCTGATGGAAGCTCCGAGGCTCGGTCCGTCGTTAATCCGTCAAAAAGGCAGATACGCAGAAATCGCCAACTTAGTTTATGATTCCACGGCAGACGGTCTGACGGCGCAAATTCAGCATATCAATATCTTGGTGACCCTTCATTGGGGTAACCTAAGAATTCTTCTTCAATCATGCCGCCATCTTCTTCAAGGTCCGAGAAATCTCGGGGGAAACTTGTAGGTCTTGTTTCACACAGGCATGTTTTTATTTAACTAACTCACCATTCAGGTATTCGACCCTCGACCGGACTGGCATACCACGCCGCTCACATCACTGTCCAGCGATGGGATCTCTTCTGCTGTACCCACTGCTCTGGTTGAGAAGCTTCGAAGTCACGGACGGACGCTTTTAGACAGGGATGCGGCAACATTTGCATCCTCAAGATCTAATTCCTCGTCCTCAAATCGTTTCATGTCAACCATAATGTCCTCGGGAACTTTATCGGATAAGATTTCAGCATTGACGCTCGCCATCCAGGAATCTCCAGTACACAATATATCTGCATTCGAAAATCTTCTTAATCTGGCGAGAAAAAGGAGCAGAAGCCAGGCAATCACAGCACTTGGTGCCCTTAAGGATCTACTCGGTCAGGGGTCTGTTCTACCGGCAGATCGTAAATTGCGTCCGTTCAATACACAATCTGGACTCTTGACTGCGTTGCAAAAAGCCAGTCCAAGCTGGACGCCTACTCAGTCTCTACCAGGAGAACTGACGGAGAAGCATTTGATATTTTGGGTATACGAGGATTGGTTGAAGTCTGCTTATTTTGAGGTTCTCAAAATACTGGAGGTCTGGTGCAATGATGAGGTAGAATACTCGCGGAGTAGGGCTCTCGTATACGTATGGGAATTGTTGAAGGAGAAGCCGGAACAGGAGTCAAACTTGCTCCGCCTTTTAGTCAATAAACTCGGCGATCCAAGCAGAAAGATATCCTCAAAAGCTTCTTTCCTCCTTCTTCAGCTGCAGTCGACTCATCCGCTGATGAAAGAAGTCATTATAACTTCCATTGAATCCGAACTTCTGTTCCGTCCCGGTCAAAACATCCATGCAAAATATTACGCATTGATTACATTGAACCAGACAATTCTTAGCACGAAGGAAGAAAACATTGCAAACCGGCTAGTTGACATTTACTTCAGTGTTTTTGTAGCATTGCTCAATGCTATGAAAAAGAAAGAAGACGAAGAAAATTCTCGAGGAAGATCCCGTTTTCACCGTAAACCAGATAACAAGGCTTTGAATGCAAAGAAGCAGGAGAGTCGCAACTCGGACCTGAGCGAGCAAGTGAACAACCCTGACGAAGAAATGCGGGACAAGGTCATTTCAGCCGTCCTGACCGGCCTCAATCGATCGTTCCCCTTCTCCAGATTGGACGATGAATCCAAGTAAGTTGATAAAATCTCACAATTCTTCAGTCTTTCTATCACTCACAATCTATCACAGCTTCAAAAATCACATGGAAACGCTTTTCAAGATCACACATTCTTCCAACTTCAACACCAGTATTCAAGCTCTCATGCTCATCCAGCAATTCTCGTGGTCGAAGCAGGTCTCGGCTGACCGCTTTTACCGTACTCTTTATGAATCGATCCTTGACCCTCGATTGCTCACGTCCTCAAAACAAGCGATGTATTTAAATCTTCTCTATCGATCGCTAAAGGCTGACACAAGCGTGAAGAGAGTAAAAGCATTTGTAAAGAGACTTTTGCAGGTTGTTTCTTTACACCAACCTCCATTCATCTGTGGAGTAATATACCTTGTAAGGGAACTACAGAGTGTCTTTCCGAGCTTGAAAGCCCTCCTAGACCAACCCGAGGAGAATGGCGACGCCGACGAAGAGAGATTCTTTGATGCTCCAGACGAATCGGGCGACGAAAATGTCGAGAGCAATTCAGCTACCACCGGCTACGCCGTGGACAGAAGTCAGTTTTATGATGGAAGGAAGCGAGATCCGGAATATAGCAACGCGGATAAGACTTGTCTTTGGGAATTAGTAAGAAAAACCCGTTTAGTTCCGTGAGGTAATATCCACTGACATGGCGCAGACCCCATTCACCACACATTTTCATCCTTCGGTATCCCTATTTGCTGTTCGGCTCCTACAAAACAACACGATGCCCGAGAAACCAGATCTCTCTTTACACACACTTTCTCACTTCCTGGATCGTTTCGTATATCGTAACGCAAAATCAAATGCTGGTGGTCCTAAAGGCACCTCCATCATGCAACCGTTGGCAGGTGGATTTACAAATGAAATGCTGGTTTCGGCCAAGAACAGCACGGCGGCACAAATGCCTGTAAATTCCGAGAACTTTTGGAAAAAGAAGACTGACGATGTCGCCGCTGACGAGGTCTTTTTCCATCGGTACTTCAACCAGGTAGCGAAGGGGAAAGGACTTCCGTCTAAGCGCAAACGGGCTGAAGAAAATAATGATGATATCGAGGATGAAGAGAATGAAGACGATATCTGGACAGCGCTTGTTAATTCCAGACCAGAATTAGAGGGAAGCGAAGAAGGGGATAGCGATCTTGAAATGGATGATTTGCAATCCGACGACCAGGAGAGCCAATCGGATGAGGAAGTTGTACCGGTGTCTTCTGAAGATGAAAGCCAAGGGAGCGTTGAAGTCGACCTTGATGCTGGTGGCGACGACGCTATTCTAGGCAGCGACATTGAGCTGGAATCAGATATCGAAGCACCTCCCGAGGAACAGATGGAACCTTCTCTGGAGACCGAGTCCGGGTCTGCCACGGCACAAAAGAAGAAACGTCGCAAGCTCAAGCATCTTCCCATGTTTGCCTCTGCAGATGACTATGCGCATCTACTGGCTGATGATGATGATGACAATATTTGATGCTTTGACCAGTACTCTCTATATTATGAAAATTAGCGTTCTTAAAAGTTACTCTCCAATTTCTTTAAATTTTAATTAATCGGCAAAAAGCAAATATTTGAAACTCATGAAAAGCAAGGCTGCGAGACGGTGAATTATTTTGGGAATGTTTGTCACCTCGAATGTATTGCGGAAGACATTATCGACCTAGCACGACCTACCTTAGAGTACGAGAAAGGAAGACGTATATGATTACTGAAATTGGCTAGCCTGGTCCGAATACTCTACTCAGTACGAAGGTATACTGCACATACTCCGAAGGTATACTGCACATACTCCGTAGGTAAGTTAGTTACCGTAGTACTACAAGTAGCGACGGTGCTGCTCATCGCTACGGCTTCGACGAATCGACCCCTTGGACCGAGGGACTGGAAATGAGCCTTGGAGACAGAGCAGAATCCGAAGCATCTTCAAGGCTAACGTGTAGTCTTCTGCTCTGTAAATTGTGGCCTCTCTGACCACTTCTTTGCCAGCATATCAAATATTTGACTATTGTTGATTTGCTTCTAGTTTGGACGTACCCTTAGTCGTCTGATGTTTTTATCAAGACCTGCTCTTTCGCGAGCGGCCTTGATCTCGCGCCGGAGGCATGATCCTTTTGTATCTTTATGCTTCAAGTCATCGACGACAAAAGGATCTCTCTGCCATAATTTACTCCGTTCAAATCACGTAGCACGGTTTTTTGCAACTGCTACCTCTTCTCATGCTACCCAGGGTATGTGAAAAGCTCTTCAATTATAACTTTCTATGCTAACGGGTACCTACGCTTCTAAAGACCTCAGACAATCACCGACTGTATTTTGGCGGATTCTCGGGTTCTGTGCAATCTCGATCGTCTTCACCACTGCGGGCTTTGCTGTGGCAGCGGCGCCGGTGTTTTCAGCAATTGATGAATACCTTTCACATCCTTCCGATGCTGAGACGCTTTCTATGTTCAAACCATATGACGAGAAGTCGTCTGAAGTTGACCAGTATATAAAGACTCACCCACTTGCTGTCAGTCTTCGGAAAAACCCAGCACTTTCCGAGTCAAGGCCCCATTTCAAAATTCCTTCAGCTTATTTAAGCCACAACTTCACCAGTGGAACTTTAGCCGGTGAACGCAAGATAGTGGTTCCACCATACGCATGGACTGATGCAAACGGAGACAACTTGACTTCAATTACATATCTGGGCCCTGATGTTTGCGGCCACTCTGGAATTGTACATGGCGGTCTCTTGGCGACAATTCTTGACGAAGGGCTCGCAAGGTGTTGCTTTCCTGCACTACCAAACAAAGTGGGATTGACAGCTAAGCTGAATATCAATTATCGCAATCCCGCTCTGGCCGGTTCGTTTGTCGTACTAAAAGCAAAAACAGTAAAAACTGAAGGGCGTAAAGCGTGGGTTGAAGGGCGTCTTGAAACACTCGCTGAAAATGGAAAAAAATCGATACTCCTGGCAGAGGCCGACGCCCTCTTTGTGGAACCCAAGCAAGCAGCTGTAAGTTTGATCCATACCTAATTATCTATACGAGGACATAGTCCAACCTTTGACTAACAACTCCATCTCCCAGGCCATGGCTAGGTTCTACAGCTAATCGGACTCTGTTCAGCTTTGTATCTTATTCAACCGATACATTTGCGCTGAGAAACCCTGCCCTTCCAATCGCCTCTACTTAAGTTACTAGCAAATACTCAAAAGTCGCCCTCCGCCTTTCGAAAACAAGAAGGCAGCTGAAGAACTCGAGCGCGCTACGGACTTTTAACGTTACCTTCCACCTCTCCCTCCACGATATTTCTAGTTAGATCTTCCTTATAGAACATAGAAAGCAGTCGTATCATTGCTGCCAGCGCAATGAAATTTTTAGATCAATAGAGGCCTTAACACCACCGAGCATGAATCTTTTATTATGTATATTTTTTATATATACATATATCTGTATCTCGTCAAATTTGTGGAAAATAAAAACCTCCCTACGTCCCTTCTCCCAGTGGTGTCTGGAACTATTGACACCAATCGGATAACGTCAGTTTATTCTAAGGGCGGCGGTATGCGTCTTTACATTTAACTCTGCCGAAGTCCAGGATAACTTAGATTGATATCTACATGTTGCAATCAAGGAATGTACTGAGGTAATATCAAACTTCCTATACATCAATTGTAAAACCTTGAATAGCAGCTTGTGTCGGCTATGAAGCCTCTCCCAGATTTAGGCACCAACTGCTAGTTGACTTAATTAGAGTATCAACGAGCAGGCGAGGCGATATTCACAAATGGAACCGCGATAACGGGCTGAACGGTACTTTACAAGGTACCTTTTGATGTTCGTCAGTCAGGGCAGTACAAGCGATAGTACCGTAACTTTATCTTTCCTGCCTTGTTGCGACCGAGAAGCGGACATCAGAGAGGCCAAGCATCGGCTAGCGTCAGGACATACACACAGCATAACATCACCACAGCCTTCTGTGAGTTCTCCAAGCTGCTTCAGCACACGGACACCTACATCCCTATCAGTGCTTTGGAAGCTTATATTCGACGTCTAGCAGACACCATATTCTGAGATGTCACATCAAGCAAGATATATGTTGGTTTCTTTACCAACCTCAATATCGCCTACCAATGACCGTGATGAGGCATTCACAGCTCTTCAATCTACTGTATCTTCAGATTTCGGCACTGTCTCTCCATTTTCCATTCCCGAGTTCAAGATTGGCACCCTCGATGCGCTCGTACAGCAAGCGGACGAGCTGGCAAAATTGGACGCTGCCTGTGAAGGGGTCATTGGCAAAGTTGGCGATTCATTGCGAAGCATACTCGGTGGGGATGAGAGTAAGCTCAACCAGCAGAAGAGGGTTGCTGAGAGTGAGTATTTAAATTTAGACAATAACGAGAGGAGCCTACTCTAAAAATGGCTATAGAACCTGTCGACCAGTACCTGCGCTCCTTTATCTGGAACAAGGTCAAGTATCGAGCAGACAAACCGATTGCCGAGTTAATTGACGCTCTACAGAAGGTAGTCTCCATATTGCTCTCGGATCATTGAATACGAATGGCCTGACAGAAATACAGGAGATTTCCAGCATTGACAATGATGTTCGAAGCAAGTATAATCAATACAATCAAGTAAAGACAAATCTGGTTGCTCTGCAACGAAAACAGACGTATGCCTTTCCATTCCGCACTCTGCAGATATTACCTATTAAACCACATCTAGCGGCAATCTCTCTACGCGATCACTCGCGCAGCTTGTCGACCCTTCCGTTATGATTCAAGGGTCCGAGTATCTCGAAACACACCTTGTCGCAGTCCCTTCTCAAGCTGTTAAAGATTTCTATAAATCCTACGAAACGGTATCCTCAATGGTTGTTCCTCGATCATGCATTTCCATTACTTCAGACGACGAGTACACATTGTTCGCTGTAACCACTTTCAAGAAATACAGCCAAGAGTTCATACATAATTGTCGCGAAAGAAGATGGACACCGCGAGACTACACTTATAGAGAGGGAGGGCGAGAAGAAGAGCTCAGAGAAGTTGACCGCCTGAGCAGGGAAGAGCGGAAGCTTTGGGGGGAGACATTGAGGTTGGGCCACACTGGATGGAGTGAGGCCGTCATGGTGTGGGCACATGTTTTGGTGCTACGAGTCTTTGTCGAGACCGTCTTACGATACGGTTTACCCCTTTCATTTGTTTGCGGTTTGATAAAGGTAAGCCGCCATGATTAAATCCTGCTCGAACATGCAATACTGACTTGATATGAAAAGACGTCTCCTAAATTCGCCAAAAAGACGAAGGATGCACTTGATGCCTCGTATTCATACCTCGGAGGAAATGCTTTCGGCCGTGACAAAAAGGGCCGAGTAAAGAGAGATGATTCCGCTGTCTCTGAAATGGCAGCGGTTGGACACGGAGATGGTGGAGAATACAACGCCTTTGTGTTTTACGAATTTGAGATCAATTGACGACGAGCACGTCTTGTAGGCATTTCAATCTGACAAATCACGATCACAGTCGATGTTGGCTCGATCTTTGTACAGGAACGATTCTATTTGTTTTAAGATCTCTATATACCTCAAATTCTATTTGTAGCTCTCTCATTTAAGTAATGGTTTGAATAAGCACTGTTGTTAGGCGCGAGAAACCTCTTTCACTAGGCCCTGAGCTTGCAGATATGTCATTATCTGGACAACCGCCTCTTCTATGGTCAGTTGATCAGCGCGAATTCTGATCTCGGGGTCAATTGGCTCCTCATAGGGAGCAGAGATCCCAGTAAATTCCTTGATCACACCCTCTCTAGCTTTCTTGTAAAGCCCCTTGGGATCTCGCTTCTCCGCGACCTCTAGGGGCACATCAACAAAAACTTCAATGAAAGGGATTGGATCGTCCTCCGTGTGTTGGTTCGCGGCCGCATGCAAGTCCCGCGCAGCCTTACGATCAGCTATATAAGGAGAGATGAAAGAAGTCAGAGCGATGGTTGACGAGTCTGCGAATAGTTTGGCTACCTGTAGATCATGTTAGCTACGCCATCAAACGTCGGCATCTCTCATACCTCCGAAATTCTCCGAATGTTCTCTACACGATCAGCTTCAGAGAATCCCAAGTCTTTGTTCAGGCCGAATCGGACATTATCACCGTCGAGCCGGTACGCGGCGAGACCTAGATGGAGGAGATGCTGTTCAAGAGCGGTGGCGATCGTGGATTTCCCAGATGCAGAGAGTCCGGTGAACCATATAGTAAAACCCCGCTGTCCACGAAGCTCCGCGCGCTCGTGGCGAGAAAGAGACGGGTGCCAGGTAATGTTGCTAAAGCGTATAGTTGTGTAAGTCTAGTTGCGCAAAAGTGTGCCCTTTCCACTGCCTAAGGAAAAGGGTGGCTGAGAAAAACTACCTAGCCATTTTCCAATGGAATGTCAAATCGAAGACCCAGTCGATATCTTAGCAATCAGACAGCGATTTGAACGGTTGACGAAAATATATGCGGGCAATGCCTGAAGTCTCGACGGTTTTGAAAGAGTTGTGACAATTTGGGAAAGGACTCGATTGCGTTATCGGCATCCACCATACCTGAAAGGGTTCGATTCGAAGGCGGTGTGAGATTATTACCTGCATATACTGTGATTGGACACGTCTTTGCGGCGGAGTGCCACGAAAGTCCGGGGTGGCCCGTGCCGAACCCTGACATGGAAGTGCCTCATTTAGGATAGACCGGCTTTGACCAACTGAGTTGCAAAACCCTAATCGTCGGGATTTGTCACTTTGTAGGTTGGACAGTGATAGGACAATATATCTATCAAGTAGATAGCTCTAGATCGGGGAAACCACCAATGAGTACGTTCGTCCTCAAAACATACCTCAATCTGTTTATTTTTTTTTTGTGGGAAATCAATCCGTAAACCCCTAATGCAAAGCTCTTCAAAGTATGGGTAAATTGTGCACGTCAAAATTCTATGGTCTATACAATATTCCATATGTCGGATGCCGTATTAGCCTTCTAGAACTTTTAAAACACTTCTTGAAATATTGAAGCCTCTGTGGAGTCTATGACGAAGTCGCTACAGAATCACTATAGCAAATTTAGGAGCTACGGCGACTGGAATAGTGTCGTTATTAGCACTCTTTATATTCTCTCATGCCCCCTTTCCCATACTCAGGAAAATCCAAATGGAAGAGAATAGCAGTATGAATAATACTAATATTCGCTAGAAAAGAATAAGGGTGGAACGAAGAGGAGAACGGTGACGTAGAAACGATATAAGGAAAAAATTGAGAATCGAATGCCACAAACAACAGTGATCAAGACAATCAGTTCAGCTGGGAGAAACTTGCTCCCTCGTATACAAATCCATCAGGTGAAGAGCACAAAGAATTCACTGATTTGCTTGGATGGCAAGAAAATTGGGTTTGAAACGAACTTCCCATGAACCTTACAGCATAACATCGGCTTCACAAGTTTCGAATCTCATTCCCTTCACATTTTTTTAAAGGGGATCCTATTCAACCTATTGCTTGAATTTCGAGAATAAAAGGGATACTGGAAAATGTCTTGGATTATACAATGGCTTCAGTTTGATCAGATACCAGAGTATTGTAAATATATAAGATGAGGTCCAGTTTGTTTTTGGAAGGATTCACTGACGTACAGCTTCCCCGCGAACCTTTCCACTCAACTCAATGTTTGTAGCGTAAAAATCACCCAAACAATCGCTTCAACTGTGAAGACAAACGATTTCCACCAAGATTGGTTTTCTATGAACAACGACTGAGGGAATAGATCGCCATATCTAGGCCACAGGATGGACAACTTCTGCGACTGGTTGCTGGAGAAATGCGCTGGGAAAGGTACACACTCATCTTTGCGCAGGGATGACAAGATTCAATTAACTGGCATTAGGCGCGACAGCGAATTTGAAGCATAGATGGACCCAGGAACAATTTCATGTCAGTACCGCGGCGAAGTTCTCCGAGATCCTGAAATCGGAGAATCGGAGCTATGCCCACAATCAGAGCTCTCCTTCTCCGGCCAGTGGAACTGTTGGAGGAGTTATCGAATTCCCATTTCGCCGGCCTAGAAATTCCGCTCAACCAAACTGGGTAGCCCCATCACAGGGAAGCAACGCCGCGATCTTGGAGCGCGCACATCCTGCCATGTACAAACGAGCGGAGAGGGCACTTATCTCGTTTGACCATCTGGTCAACACAGAACTAGAAGAAGAGGAAGAACTCTATAGCCAAGGCCTCGCAGCAGCTGATCAGACGCTACCACCCAAAGTGGAAGACAGAAAAGAACATAATGTAACAAATAAGTGCAGCTTCTTGTACGAGATTCCGAAGCTACCTCAAATGATCGGAGTTGGAAGGTTTCGGCGCTCCGCCACGGCGACTCAGGAATGGATTCAAGAGAACATAACTGAACGCTGCCCTCCACCAATCCCTCACAGGTTTTTTTACGAGTGCGGCCAACCAGGATATACGCCACGCTCACCACCAATAACAAGGTTTAGCGACGTTTCGTGTCACTCATCCATGATCTCGTACAAAGATTCCGAAATAGAATATATCTTGATTCCAGAAAATTCCGGTACCAGGATAAATGCTACTGGACAACGGATAGAGAGTTCAGACCCTCCGGTACAAAAAGGTCCTGGGCAAGAGGAACTTCAGGCTAGCTTAAAAACTGACGCTGTCAAAGACGCAGGAAGGCTCCAGCAGCTTGACGCAAAAATCCTAAAACTGGGATCATATAGCCAGGTTTTAGACGACAAATTGCATCAAGAGGAACAACAAAATAGCCGGAGAATGGACAGAGGGCGGACCCGTCAGCGTTCGTTCGGCACCAAACTCGAAAGTATCAAAGAGCAACGACTTTATCCGGAGGATCTAAACACAACACAGACGACGCGAAGAACTCAAGAGGATAAGAGTCATGAACGAAAAGTTGAAAAAGAAGAGGACTTTGACATCGCTGTGAGGCAAATCCGCATTCTGGACGGAACAGCAGAGCATCCAAAGCAAGAAGAAAAACAAGCCGCCACGCAGTGCCGAGTGCGCTTTGCTTTAGGGCAGGCGGAGAGAGGCAGAAGACAAATCTCTGCGATGCGAAGACGCTTTTCTCGAAACAAATGTCCGTGATATCAATCACAAACAAGGAAGAGAATACTTTCCATTTCCAGATTTGGCTTTGCTATGGTCTTGAAACCGTGTTGAAAACTTGAAGTAACGAAGAGGATATTGTGATTGCTCGGAGGATACTTGTTTTGTTTCGCATTTTCCTGCGGATGAAGTTCTTAAAAAATACGAATCAGAAAATTGGAGTAGTTCAGCAATCAAATTTGCAATAAGATGAGGCGTTGGTCTTTTTATGCAACCCTGGCAGGGCAATCCGCAGAAAATAGAGGTACTTGTGTAAATATAAACATTACCAAGCCCGATGGGGTGCCAATAAGACTATTGAGCATAGAAATTCCGACTGTGCCTATCTAATGGTAATTGCAGCAACGAAGAGACTCACAGTCAAGCAAAACACTAGTTTGCCGTCCCATGAAAGTTGCCAGCTGTACATGACCCGGAAAGGAGGTTCGAAGAAAAGCTGATGGCACGCTGGACGTTGGAACGAAGAACACGGAAACCTCCGGGCCGGAGTGAGGGAAGGCTGCGGAATTACGCGGTTACTTGTACGTAGTACGTGTGTGAACTCAATTTAAAGTTCTTCCGACCAAAGCCGGGATTTGTGCACTGTACTCGGTACCGGCCCGCCAAACTGAAAGATACGTGCGCTCACATATTCTCAGTATATGCTCAACTCCAGAAAAACCGTCTGCAACAATTAAATCCATCACATGAAAGCCATGAGGAATAACAGAGCAATCATATCGGCTGGGAAAAGCCTGACGAGATGGAAATACGCAGCAGCATCTGCTCCGCTCCATTTGACCGTTGCGCGACAATGCAGTGGTAAGACACAGCACAGAATGCTTCGCATAGCACATCCCTTTTGTCGCCCGGCGGATGGACGCACTTTTCTGCAGCCTTCGTTCAGCTTGAGACATGCTTCGACCTCTTCTGAGTCAAACTTGCGAAAGACTCCTCTCTACGATGTTCACGTCTCTCACGGGGGAAAAATGGTGCCATTTGCCGGCTACCACATGCCTGTACAGTACAACGATCTGGGCGTTGGCGAAAGCCATAAGTGGACCCGGGAGAAGGCTAGTTTGTTCGATGTCGGCCATATGTAAATATAATCTTGCTGATATTTTCTGAACCCTTCTCCACGCTGACTGGGCTTTGAACTTAGGGTTCAACACCGCTTCTCCGGACCCGGTGCCGAAGCTCTTCTCATGAAATTAACCCCGGGCTCAATCTCTAGCCTGCCAACTCACAACTCTACATTGTCATGCTTCCTACACCCGGGGACCGGGGGGATTGTCGATGACACTATCGTCACAAGGCTCGGTCCGGAGCTATTTTACGTAGTGACCAACGCTGCGTGCCGGGAAAAAGATCTTGCATATCTTTCGGATCATATTGAGAGTTGGACTAAGGAGGGCGGCAAGGCTGTCGACTGGCAGGTGCTTGAAGACTGGGGCCTTGTCGCCTTGCAAGGTCCTCTCAGCGCTGCAGCATTAGGAAAAATCGTCCCGGATTCGGATGCGGCTGATCTCAAAAGCCTTCTTTTTGGGCAGTCAAGATTTGTCCAATTACGCTTGCCTTCCGGTGAGCTGTCTCCGCCTGTTCACGTTGCGAGAGGTGGATATACTGGTGAGGACGGCTTCGAGATCTCTTTGCCACCAGAGGTTGCCGTCTCAGCTGTCGAGTCCCTCCTTGAGGCTGCCGGTTCTGATACTCTTCGGTGGGCTGGACTCGGTGCTCGCGATAGCCTGCGCCTTGAAGCCGGAATGTGCCTCTATGGCCATGATCTCGACGATACCACAACACCAGTAGAGGCTGCTTTGGCCTGGACAGTTGGCAAAGATCGCCGGGCGAACGGTGGATTTTACGGCGACGAGGTCATTCTCAACCAAATAAAGCCTCTCAAAGATGGGGGGAGTGGCGTCACTCGCCGTCGTATTGGTTTGGTCGTTGAAGGGGCCCCGGCTAGAGAAGGTGCTGTCATCATCGATGCCGAGGGGAACGAGGTTGGCAAGATAACCTCCGGTTGCCCCTCTCCGACGCTGAAACAGAATATTGCCATGGGCTACATAAAAAATGGGCTGCACAAGTCTGGGACCGAGGTGCAAGTGGTGGTCAGAGGTAAGCCTCGGAAGGCCAAGGTCAGCAAAATGCCTTTTGTCCCAACAAAGTATTGGAAAGGCATTACGCCAGCTTGATTATCCACATTTGTAATTCTCATTTCCATAATACCTTTGCATTTTGATACGGGAGACGAATTGATGGCAGGTTCAACATCCTGCATACTCATAACACCTTTGGAGGCATTTCAACTCTAAGCGCATTGGCGTGCGGGAGCGGACAGCATCATGAATTTGTATAGAATGTGTTGAGAATCGTCAAGTATTTGGGAGTCTGTCAGTGCCTCAAATGTCTGATGGGAGGAAATAAATACAAAACGGTCATGATATTTACGTGAGAATTGGTTGCTTTGTCTCTCACTTTAGTATGCTAAAGCCACTATATACGTCCAAAAACATTGTCCCTGCGACAAGGCCGCGGTGTGAGACATTATATCAGATAACTTAGTCTCAGTTGCTCAGATTCCGTTGCTAGCACAAGTAAATGCGCCCCCGAACGCACTCGCATTGTAACCGTCAATGATGGACTGCACAGAGGTCTTTCTTGGGTCAGTTCAGGTCAATGCCAAATGCACGAGAACCAGAGACTTACATATGTACCGACGCCAAGGAAGAAGAATCCAATCGCGATAATTATGATGTTGAGTAAGAATCCACCAATACCTCGGACTCCTCGTCGATGAATCCATCCGGGACCATAATCGACCTTTCTCATTCGCAAATATGCTACTCCCCAGAAGATGAAGCCAAAGAAGGAATCAAAGAGTGAGCTCATAAGAGAGAGCAGATCTGAGAAGAAAGGGATGACCTCTGCGATTATGAAAGCGAGCACCCAAGTCACTGCAAGAATGCCGGCCCATGAGAGCCACCCAACCACAGTGTGAGATCCTTTATGGCGGGTGCCTTCAAAGATTCTGAAGAAGACAAACCGCGCAGAGACTGAGGCATATAGGACCCCGAGGAAAATCAGCGTCGGTATCATGAACGAAAACGAAACTTTTTTATAGACTTCATTGCCGAGCGACCCAAAAGCTGGTGCGGTATTGTATTGTGTTCCAGTGTACGCATAGACGATAGCTCCGACCAGGCTGAAAAGAATGACTTCGGCGATAGTGACAGCCCACAGCGCTTTTGGAAAATCCCGAGGGTTCTTCATTTCAGCGATGAAGCTTGGAAGCGTAATTTGGCCGATGAATGTATAGCTAATGTTGAGAAAGGCGTTCATTCCAGCCACGAAAGTAGTCCCCTTGGCCGGCACAGCTAAGACAATAGGTTCACCGCCACCAGTACCAGTTACCGGATTGATGTATTTGGGGTTGGGGTTATAGCCTGCAGGATGGGCTTCGATGCCGGCAAAGATAGCAGCCAAGAGGACAGAGATGAAGGTGAAGAAGGCAGAAGCGGTACCAAGCTTAGCCAATGTTGAGAAAGTTCGAGGGAGTGAACACACGAAACATATAACTGCTGCGATCGCCGAGAAGCCGATCGTGCACACGCTATGATTAGACATTGTGTTCAGATATTTTGCTCCAGTAAGGACGTGCAGACCCTGTGGACGATATTAGCGCCTGACACGCCAGGTGTAAAAAAGAAAGCTCGGAGTTTGTCACCTGAATGAAGGTGTTGTTGAGCAAAAACATAATAGCCGTAAGATACCAAGCCCAACGCTGGCCCCAGAAAAGCATTTGTCCAATATCACAGACGTCTCTTACTTCTGGGTGTCTAAGACAAAACTCCCTAGGTGATAATTAGTACCAGTCGAAATCCCAAACAACTGACTGTTCGCACCAAAGAACAAGTGATGTATAAAGCACCAGTGCGGCCACCACTACAGTTAAAATGAGGCCGGGAACCAGTCCTAGCACAGAATAAGAGTACGGGAAAGACATGATCGCCAGACAGATATACTCTGAAAAGAGCAATGCAGCAGTCTATGATTGCGCGTTAGAGAAATTCCGATGAAGAGGGAATTTCAAGTCAATACCTTGGGCCAACTGCATGTTCTGTATTTGATGGCATTGGAAGACTCGAGCTCCATTTGCTTCGCAACGCTCACACTGGTCTCGGAATCGGAATCTGACACGAGGCCAGGGAGCGGATCGGCAATCCGATTCATTCTCGAAGGACCCAAGGCTTGTTTCTCTGCATCTCCAGAGAGTTTTTCCGAAGGGTAAGCCTTTGAGTCCTGGACGTTAGAAGGGCTGTCGCCCGTCGCATTTTGATTCTTTGTCCAGCCTAACGCCATTTTACAAGGCGGATATAGATTGCCAGGTTGTCGCGAGAGGGTGATTTGCGAGGATTTACCAATTTCAGCATTTGCTGCGAAAGGACAGACTGAAAGAAAAAAATTATCGCTTGAATCGAATCGCAGGACTGCAGGTTGGCAGAGAGCGAGCGAAAAGGCGGCAAGTGATTTGCAGCGTACACTTGCAGATAAGTATGCTTGTGCTGAGACGAGCAGTTGGAAGAAGCAACGCCCTAGTCAGGCTGCAGGGATGCAGAACTCGGTTTACATGTAGAAACACGGGCAAATATCCGTGCGATTGCACGATCTGGGTGGACTTCTAGGCTTTCGTCTACTGCACATGGTGCCAGAGCAGGATGAGACCAGGAAGCACGCAATCGGAGCTTTAGGGCAGATAGGTCCATCGGACTTGTACCAAGACAGAGAGGCCAAAAGTATTTCAAATGCGCCTCCTCTCAATGAGGCTCGGTGGATGGACGAATGTGACGCTAGATGGGTAAGCGGACCATGTCGGACTGTCAATACAGGCGAATCTTGGAGATTTCCGATGGTTGATAGACGCAAGCGGGATGGGGATGCGTTGGATGACGTCCATGTCGTCCCTGTGGGTGGGTTACAGTAGCTCCGTAGAGTACTTCCATTCCGATCCATCTGAATTTGAACATTGGGGGGCCACAAAATTCACACCAAGCACAATCGGACTTGGCCGTGCCCTTTAGTTTATTTCCGTTCTGCAGTTATAATTTCCGCTCGAACAGGCTAAATTCATCGTCGGCGTGGCACTTGTAAGGGATTTTCAGTTGCCACGGAGTGAGGAAGGGCGGTGCCTTGTGGGGGAAGGGGAAGATACTCCTGGTTTTTTTTTGCTAATGCCCGGGAGTACCTTGCCCGAGGAAAAGCAAAATGAAAAGCTTGATGATTTGCCCACCATTACCAGTATCTTGCCCATCCAAGGATCCAAAGATCGGGCACACAGAACTGACACTTTGGCGTGGTTTTCGTCCGGCGCCTTAGCGACCCCCCATACAGAGTGACATGTTGTTTGCATGCTCCGACAGAGTTATGGCGACATGGCTAGATGGGCCCATCTGGTGGAGTGCGGGGGTGCTGTGCCGTACCTGGTACAACAAATTCACCAACACACCCCTCGCACCGCAGGACCGGCGAGCTCCTCCGTCGCTTAAGCTGCAGAAACAGCCGCCATAACTTACTGGGGTGCAGTGAAGTTCTTCCTGAGGATAGCGTCGCGCTTCAATACGATCAGAGGCACCTGCTGACCGACAAGAGCTTCCCTCCCTCGCTCCAAGGATCAGAGATGAAAGCAAACGCCAGGCAAGGAGACCTCCCTGGTCTCTTCAGAAGGCTTTGCCCGCTTGGTCGGAAACCGCAATGCCCTAATTTGTGCACGAGCAGATCTACACTGCCACGCCCTCACCAGACAGCCTCAGTGTGGCGCATGGGGATATTGGAGCTTGGCTAGGCCGGGAAGGTGCGTAGGGGGAATTGTTTACTCCGTAGAGTAGGCTTGATTGTTTCAAGTAACTTATTCTTTAGTTATGCATATTATCAAATACCCTTGTTCGCTAAAACTAGTTACAGCAGAAAATGTTTCACCCGATAACTACGGAGTATTGCTTCTGTATCGTAGTAATCGTTGTTCCATGAAAAGAGGCAAAATAAATCAGGCTGTTGACAAAGGATGCACCGAAGCCTTGTCATTGCTATCCCAATTGCTTGTGAGGACGCTCTGGGGAGAAATAAGCATGTCATTGTACATAAAAGCTCGATTCAGGTGCCAGGTGGTGGATTGCCTGGCAATTTAATCATGATAGGCTCGGGAGCTTAACACTAGATCTGCACCCTTGAAATGCCATTTTGTTTCGGGCAACATTTCCTACACCGCACTATTCCTGAAGAGCCGTCAGCTCCGGTATGATGGCATTATTGGCATCACAGCTCTGTGGTCTTTGACAAATTATCATTTGATTTTAAATAGTTTGTCTGTCTCTTTAGCAATTTCATCCATATGTGTGAAAGTGTTTCTTCGCTGAGTAAAATCGTAGGGGATAAGTCAGGCCCGAGCCCAGGAAATTTCCCTAAACGTGGCTGGAGAGACATGTACGGCAACCTTAAATGTCCGAAGACGAAGCGAGCTTATCCTACTGACCGAGGGGACCGAGGGACCATACTTCGTACTGTGAAGAGCAAAACCCCGGCTCCAAGGACATCAGCCCATTCGCAGTCGGCTTCGACGTCCAAGTTCCTTTATACACGCGACCTATCGCATTGACCAGTATTCCTACAACATCTGAATCTCTATCGGTCTCGCACAAACTGCTTTCTTGAACACAAAAGCGACAGCCCCCAAGGGGATTATATTTCTCTCCGATTAAGACCCGCGCAAGACAGAAACAAATCCCTGTGCTTCACCTTTCGAGCACCGCTCAATACCGGCTGCTGGATAGTCTGTATTTTATTGCTTTTAAAGGACTCATTGAGGAAGTCTTCATGGCTCCAAAATGTGCCCATGATGAGGAAGTTGTAGATTCGTGGGAAGATGATGTACTACCCGAAGAAGACGCTATGAACGCAGATGTTACATCAGAAGTTCGACCCAATATGGTATCTAGGCAAAAACCCACGGAGAATCGCAGTAACTCGGATTGGCAGAATGTTGTCGTTGATAATCCCTATTCAGCCACCTTCGACGGGCGTCATCTTCAGACTCCGAATCTGCAACAGGAAAGTCGACGGCCGGAAAAACAGACGGCTGTGGCCGGTCGAATGATAGCAGGTGCCCTCGGGGTACGTGCACCGAAAAAAACAGATGAACAAAGAGCATACGAACGCGCGGTGAAGGAAAGAGAAATTAAGAGGCGTAATCTAGAACGCCAGGCTCAAGTCAGGGCGACCGAGGAAGCCGAAAAGGCTAAGGCCGCCATATGGGAAGACTAAATGTGTGCATGCCAGTTTCTTGGATGCAGTACTGTCTGGCCATCTCTGAAGGTTCGTTGCCTGCACTCAAGGCAACGATTTTTCTGTGCATGCTTCGCAGGCAGTCTACGTATCTTGCAATGCATCGGCTGCTAATGAAATTACTCAGGCCTCTGCTACAGGAGTCCCGCTTTGCCTATGCATTCTCACAAAATAAATTGCATACTTTTCTAAACGCCGAAGCTTTCGGTCAATCTACGTTCAGGCAAAACCGAGAGTGTATTTGAGAATTCAGGGCGTAGATCCAGAACTTGGTATTTGGAATTATAAGAGACCCAACTATATTGGAAAAGAATTGAGGGATTGACGCCTGAGGCGCCAAATGTAACGAAAACCTGTGTTCCAGGTAGTATGGCTATCCTTCCGCAAGAGCAAACAAATCATCTCCTCATTGAATTTTGTCGAAAGTGGAAAATCTCCTATGCAGATTTCATCTACCAGTCCATGTCTCCAAACCCTCCGATTTGTTCTTGATGAACTTCAAGAGTATCGCCGTCTTGCATCTCCAGCTAAAAAGTGAAGCGAGTTAGATGAAAGAATGAGACTACAGATGGCAAAGACCTACAGAATCAGGCGTGTCGGCAGGCTGCACCCGGGTACCATCAAAGAGGAAACGGACGGTATTCGGAGCCTTCCCTTGCCGCTCACAGAACGCATCCATGAGCTTCTTAAGAGCAGTTGTGCGCTTGATCTTGAAAAAGACTTCGTTGTTGTTATCCGTGACCTTGATATTCAAGTGTTCGGTCGCAGGAGGCTCTTCGGGCTTGCCCGGTGGGGTTGAGCCATTGTCTGACATGATAGGATTACTGCTACGAGGTGTTATGCTGAAATCAGAAGCTAAATGAAGGGAGTGGCGACAATCGTTTTCTCTGTTTTCAGAATGTCAGTGTCGTCGTTTCGGAGGATGAACTGATCCCTCTCCGCGATGGTAGAGCTATGGGCAAGGCAGATAATTGCATCAAGCACCAGACTGGAGCAAAACCCACTTTTGTGACTCGTATGTGCACGAAGAATCAATAAAATCAAAAGTCTGGGTATTCCCTAAAGATTGAAGACTGTAACGTGTAATTTTAAAGATGGAAAAGGGAAGACGTAGAATCCCAAGTTGCGATGCGCCTGCCCCGCTAGTCCATACGACAAGCGAGACCCCGAAAGACTTGCCGTCATTTATCATTATTGTCTCCGGCTTTACGTATAAACTAGGGGTTCCGACATCAAACCCGCGCTTTTTCGCCACGACCCAGAACGTCAACATCCTTTTTAGCGACACATAAATAGCTTTTAACAACGACAAAGCTTATTATTTTATATCGTTGGACCAGGATCATAAGGAATTTATATTTGTATTTAAAAAATGGAGGAAAACGCATGTCATCCGCAAGCTGTGAGTAGCTACACCTGATATCGTCTCAGATAGCATATTAATGTCTTAACTTAGTGCGCCATTCAAGGTGTGTCCCTCTATCACTGATAGCTTTTGCATGTTTCTTCGTGAGTGTAAGGGCAGAACTTTCGCATACTTAGAATTCTCATAGACTGCTTATCCAAGTCGAATTACAATGAAGACAAGTGCAAGCGGCAAATTGACGCTCTGTATGAGTGTTGCAACACATTTTACCAGCAACATGGCGACAACGCAAGTAGTGTGAGCTGCCCCAAGGCAGGCTTACTGCGGTGAGTCTAGTTCTCCCTTGAGACGATGCCATGTTGTTGTGCTGAAATTTTTCTTTTTTGGCCAGACTCAAAATGAAACAGAGGGGTTTGGAGAAATGATTTCAGAATCGACCAATTTCTAGAATTTTGGAAGTACGAACAAAGCGAATCGCAAGACAACGTGAGAGAGAACAATGAATTCTTTTAGTGCAGTTGTAGATGCCAATTTTCACTATCCTTGTCCTGCCGGAAAATAGACTTTGGTTCGAAGTTTTGCATGTTACACGCGCTGCCATACTCAACATCAGCCCTTTGAGAAGGTCCAAGGAGCGCGGCGGACAGAAGCAATGCGTTTGATATTAGACGACCGTGAGCACGCTAAGAAACCTTGAAGGTTTGAACAAACATTGATGGTTACTCCTATAGGAGGTTTGATCCGTGACTCTAATGGTCGTCTGAAAAAGACATTGTTGAAGAAAGAAAAACGCCAAAATTCGTAGGTGGACGAGCTTTTTGTGGTCGAAAATATTAATGCTTAGTCATTCACTCCCGGAGGCGAGTGCACGCCGACACGCGAGAAAATATTACGGGTTTCTATGGAGGCCAATTACGCTACTCTGAGAAAGCTACAACAAGAATCAGAAGCTGAAATACTGGAGCTCGTGCATGGCGGCGCCTTTAAATAGGCTTGAGTACGAACAAGGCCGAATGTCAGTTGAAAGGCATCCAATTTTTCCGCAAATCGCTGAAAGCTTACCTCAGGGCCGAGCTAGGACAAGCTGTACGATCGTTTATTCCACCCAGTCCTGAGCAACATGGCTCCCATTGCCCGAGGGTCTGCCACGGGTAACCCATCGTCACAGGTAAGACTGAATCGCCAGTTCTGGGGCCTTTCCATGCGCCGATATCGAAGGCTGGGTGCTACAAATAAGTTGAAAGCAGGCTACTGACAAGCGGTGCTTAAATTCACCAGAGCAAGCTTCGCGAAGCAGTTGTGGTAAGGGCACATCCGTTCCTTTTCTTGCCAATCATACTAACGAGGGACGTTGAGGAAAGCCCTCTACATTCTTCGACAATTCTGCCGGCAGACCAGGCCAAGGTTTTCAGCGGATGGAACATTCGGCCAATATGCTAAAAAACAGCCAAGGTGGGAATTCCTGAACTAATCACTGGCCGTGATTCGTCTGCTTATTTGACCTTTTCACTTGTCTGACATGAAACAGCAATGGACACCCGATCTCTACTGGCAGACGGTCAATATGAGGATGCACTCCATCCGCTGCGCGCAGCAGCTGAACGTGTTGGGCGCGAAGTCGAGAAGTTTGCGGAAAATCTAGATCGCCTCAATCCTCTGAACCAACGGGATGCTTCCTCTACCTATCATAGCGTCATTGGCTTGGTAAAAAGCTACCAAGATATCTCGCTCGATGCGGTGGAGCGCTTGAGGAAACGTTACGACAAAGATCTCAAAGCGCGGCTGACGGAGAGAATGTCTCGACGAGCCCAGGCGGTTTGTTTTGATGAAAAGAACGCCCAAAGCCAATCGCTCTCTGCCAACGATTCGCGAGTCTCTTATGCGAATGGAGATACTACTACGTCTACCGTACTAGAAGACCTAGAAAACTGGCAGATGGAGGCAGATACTTGGATTTTGTTCGGCCTTTTATTGGAATTTCAATACCCACCTCCTAACTACGGCAAGGTCAAAGGGGACATGCTGTCCGCACTTGCGAATATCACCCAATATTCCTCGGAGCATGTAATCTGGGAGAAATTTTTGATCGATGACGATATGGCGAGGGAGAGGCACTTAATTCTGAAATGGCTCGAGAGCACTGCCGACACTTCGGAAGGGGATGTAGATATTTTGGTACAACAACTTGAGAACAAAACAAACGCAGGAAAGAGTCTTTGTTCACAAGGTTGGATGCATACAAAGGCAGCCATAAAACACGAGAAGCGGCTTCGTTCATGGCCTCAAGCGGTTGATCCCATGTCACCCGGTATTTCAACGAGCCACCGGAGCTCTGATACGTCGGATGGCTTAGTCACGCAGCTAGATCCAGACGCGGCAACGCGGCAAGGATTGGCTCTCGAGACGCAGGACTACTTTTCCGAAAAAGCAGTCTGGATGGTGTGTTGGGAAATGCTCAGACGTGGAAAGAGTTGGGAGACCATTCGTGAATGGTGTCAAGATAATCTGGAGGGATGGAGAGCCATAATCCTCCGAGGCACTCGCCCAAGCGATGAGCATTTGATCAGTAAACTGGTAGATCCTGTGGACGAAAAGTCTCCGGATGCCTTTCTGGGAAGCTTTTCAAGAAAGAATCGTTCTGGAGTCTTGTGGCGAAGAGTCTGCTATGCTTCTGCAAAGGCAGGTGGTATGAACAAATATGAACGCGCTGTTTTCGGGACCCTTGGAGGTGATATCGACAGTGTCGAACCTGTCTGCCAGAACTGGGATGACCATCTGTTCGTTCATTACAATTCGCTTCTACTGACTCAATTTGATGACTACCTCCGACAGAATTTTCCACGTCGTGCGCCGCAGACTTTAACTCAGAAATTTGCTTCCCTTGACTCGGTTCAACTTCACGGCGAAGCGAAATCCGTTGGCCAACGTCTCATGAGTAGGTTGAAGGTTCACCCTACGACAAGAGAAGAAGCCCGACAACCAATGAAAATGATTCAAAGCGCATTGATTGCGAAGAGCTTTGGTGATTTTGTTTATCAGCAAGGGCTGGCTCTTTCCATCTTCGCCAATGAAAGAACCAAATCCAAAATAATACCTCCTCTTCCTGGGGAGGTGCTTGACGGCACACTGGAGTCTTACATACGACCTCAAGACTACAATTCTCTCCGGGTCATAGCCCATATGCTGCTCATTTACATAGACCTTGGTTTCGAAATTGGTGAAGGGCGTCGTCGGGTCGCTATCGAAAACGTCCTGGTGGCTTACATTGACTTTCTCCGTTTGGCCGGAAAATGGACAATGATTCCGCTCTACGCATCTAAATTGTCTGCAGATAGAAGGCATTTGGTCCTAGGAAGATTGCTCATTGATGTCACGGATAACGCGGAGCGCAGCCAGCAGATGCGGTTGATGAAAGGCCTTGGGATAGATGTCGTCGCAGTTCTCAACATGCAATTCAAGATGGTCATGTCTGATTGCAAATCTCGTGAGAAAGACGGATTCAAAATGGCCCCCTTCGAGTTGCTTGAGAATCGTCAGAGCTCTGCAGTGTCTGGCAGGGCACTCAGAGACAGTTTTATGGGCGATGACATCAGTGATGATGACGAAATTCTCATCAGAAGCTTTGAATGGTATTTGTTCCTAGATGGTTATTGGGTCGAGACTTTTCTTGCCGGGTCGAGTTTGTACAAACGCTTTCTTAGTACGTATTTCGGACTGACTGTCCATCTCTATTCCAAACATATGTACTAACGCCGGCCAATAAGGACTTGGACACTTGGCTGCTGCTGTTGACTTAGCAAATCGGGCTCCATTTCCTGCCATATCCTTGACCAAAACAAGGGCTATTCTTGGCAAAAGCATTGACCTGAGCAAGGCAAAGGAAGCGCAAGGCGTTGACGACAGCAGCGGCCCTGCTGAGGAAGCATTACATTCAGAACCATTAGCAGGCAGTCATAGCAAAAATGCTCCGAAACTTCGAGAGAGAGTTCACCGTCAACTCCTGTTGAGGCAAAGTAAGACCTTTCGTGAACTCGAATCGGTTGTCGCGGCACTGGTGGCAATGCAAAATTGGACATTCACGAAAAAATCGATCAGTCACTCAGACAACCTGTAAGTGATGTGTCCATTAATTATAAAATTCTCCGTCACTCATTCACTTCCAGAGAAATTGAATCGTATGACCCGGAAAACCTGAAAGAGAACCCGAAGAAACGCTTAAGAGATTCTCTTGACAGTGTGATCTCGTCAGTTGAAGCTCTTCTTCGAGGCTGGCTCTTGGATCCATTCAACGGTAATTCACCCTGTCTACTTTGTTTTATTACCTTTGGCCTCGAAATTCAATTGGGGGGGAAATCGCTAACCACTTAGTTTTAGAGAAAGAAATTTCAAGCTTGCAAGAAATTCGGAATATATACCTCCCCGAAATTATCCTCGCTTACATCAGTGTTCTCACTGAAGCTGGATCATATATGCGGCACAATATCCTTTTGCACTGTATGAGCCTCTCGACCCTCATCGCAGCTGAAAACTCAGACTTGATGGAGTGCTTTACCGCGGCTGGACGGGTTTCTGAGCTTGTGGAGGCATTTGCTTTGTCGAGCAAGGCGATTCTGCACGCAAATGAGCATGGAACGCGGAGTAACGCAAAGTCAACTCTGGGTGATGGAGAAACTATGGATATCTGGCAAGTGAAGCTATGAGCAATAAATCTAGGCCACTTTTGAGGCAGTCTTTTTGACTGGTCCGAATATGGATGTTTACTTCACCGTCTGTGGCAAGGGGGCGAACAGGGAGCCACGTGCTTTTGAAAGGGATGTTCTTGTATCTGCAAATTTGGCGTTGAGATGAAATTACGGGAATGTCGACATCGCGTAAATGGTCGGCTAACTCCTATTAATCAGAGCTATGAGCATATCTATTTTCCTCAAGATGAATTAACCATTTGCGCTACTCTTTCAAACCATGATCAATTGCCCCATATTTTCATTTGACATGCCCAAACGTTGCCAAATTATTCTTCGATACAAAAAAAAACATTCAATTCTCAAAAGCTTATCAATATTGCAATATTGACGAGTAGAGGGACTGGTTCGTATGAATACTGCAGTAGATGCTATCTCTGCATTTACTTTGTAAAGTTGTTGTTATTGTTTTCCGCCTTCTCCTGCATCTCTCGCTTTTCCGTACCTCTGACTACGTCTGGTGTGTTTTGTTTTTATTTTGTTATTTTTTTATCTCCCTTTCGACTTCCCACGTCGCCCTCGTTCTATAAATTCATTTTTAAAGTCCTACAAATTTTTTGTTGCTCATTTCACCTTGGAAAGCTCTTTCGATTTCATATGTTTTCAAGAGAAAAAAAAGCGCCATTGATATTTCAAGCAGTCAAGCCATCTCTACTAAAATTAGCGCGCATGGTCTCGCCAAGGAATTGGAGATGACAGCGTCCAGGCCTCTGTCGCAGTGCTGATGCCAGGTTCAGTGCTTTTGCCACGTCCAATGGGCACAATTCCCAGCATTTGTCATTCACAATTATATGCTGCTCATAGAAGTCTTTTGTCCGGCAGTGCGCCGAGTGCTGTGTCGCTACCTGATTGATATACGGTCCAGTGCTTGTATAGTCGATGGTGCCTCGTTGGTAAAGTGGCAATGTTGAAACCACTTGTTAGGCTATTTTTTCTATCTCCACGCCCAACCGTCTATTTTGAATTTCAATCAGATAATATTTCCATCATATTATTGGCCTTAGTTTGGAGAGTCTAGCGCCGTTCAACCTCCTCGATTTTCAGGACTCGGTGGGGTCGCCATGCAGCCTGTGAAGTGGTGCCGAGAGGGGGCTGGGGTGGCTGGGAAACACCCAACTGCTGGGTGATATTACACAAAGCACATGGGCGCATGTTTCTCGATCCTTTCTGTCATTCTATTTCCCTTCTCTCTCAAGTTCTGTAAAATCTTCATTCTTCAATTGATCAAGTTCTACCATTTTGATTTTGATTTTCAATCATCGATTTGCCAGTTGCTTAACTAAATACCAGACTTTCTCGGTCTTCAGTACTTTCTGGGCCTTAGAACTTCCTTGAACTGGCTCCTCAGCGGTCACTGTCTGTCGATTTGTCCAGACTGGAATTCACAGCAGCAGGCCGCTTAAAGCACCCAGTTCATCAATCATATTAAATTCCACTATGCGCGACTTCAAGGTGTCGCAGGCACTATTGTGCTTCTTTACCACAGTCGTCTATCGCTCAGACCTGGTCATTGCTAAACCCTATCCTCGGGCAGCTGTCGACAATTCAACCACTTTGGGAAACGATGTGTTGTTCGGTCGTGGGTGCGCAAACCCTTGCGGATGGTCCGGCCAGCTCTGCTGCACTTCGGATCAGACTTGTTATACCGATTCAAATGGGGAAGCCCAATGCGGTGGAGGCACTACCGCTGGTTCTGGGGGTGGATCTTGGCAATATTACACAACAACTTACACTGAGACTGACCTTGTTACGAGAGTTTCGACTTGGAGCTCGTATATATCGTCCGCTGCCCCAGAAATGACCACGACGACAACGACGTGCCAGCAAACAACGTCTAGCGCAGCTTCGATCAAGTGCAACTATGCATTGAACGAATCTCCCTGTGGTACAATATGCTGCGCAAGCGGCCAGTATTGCCAAAGCTACGGTCAATGTGTGGCTTCTGGTGGCGGAAGTTCGGGCTACTACAGCTGGTATTCTTCCTATTCTGCACCCGTAAGACCCACCAGCTCCGGCATGGCAACGGTGACGTCCACCAGTGCCGCGACAACTACAATGCCTTATCAAGCTCCTTACGAGACCGGCGGTCATAATGTGACCGCAACCCAGGCTTCTCATCACGGACTAAGCGGGGGCGCGATTGCCGGAATCGTTATCGGAGTGATTGCGGGCTTGATTCTTCTTCTTCTCCTTCTTGCTTGCTGCTGTTTGAAACTCGGTATCGAGGGTCTTCTCGCACTCCTTGGACTTGGCAAGAAGAAGAGAAGACGGGAAGAAACGACTTACATCGAGGAACGACATTCACGCCACAGTGGCGGCGCCGGCGGCTGGTATGGCAGCCGTCCAAGTAGGGTTGAAAGACCGCCGCCGCCGCCGAAGAAGAGCGGTGGGCTAGGAGGCCTTGGGGCTGTAGGCGCGACTTTGGCTGGATTAGCAATTATCCTCGGCCTAAAGAGAAGACGTGATCGCGAGGATGAGAAGAGCGATTACACCTATAGTAGCGATTATTACACCTACGACTACAGCACAAGTGAAAGTGGGTAAACGATGCTCAGATATGACTTTCTTGCATTGCTAACGTCAGAGTACAGGTAGCGCAAGCTCTGATCAAAGGACAAGAGAGACTCGCCCCACTCATCAGTCGTCACGGCGATAGAAGCTCTTCGCAAACGTGGACCGCCAAGGTTCGCTGCTTTGCTTCAATGCCCAAGCATCAAATTTTTGCGTACTCATCTAGCTTTCAAGTCAACTCCATTTGAAGGGAATTTCTGGCGTTTTACTGAATGACTCCTGTTTCAGCTGACTTCTAATTCGACATAGCTGGACATGAAACCAGTTCTCCGTTTTCCTTGTATTTCTTTTCTGACACGAAGACGATTTATCGATCTCATGACTTTTAATTCGACGGATTATACCCAGCGCATCATTTGTATTGCGGCTACGATGTATGTTAATGGAATATTCAGCTTTGTACATGACAACCGGGGGACCAATATTGAATGAGCTGTTAGCACGGCTAGTACTGGCATTTGCAATGGATTTTTAGCTTCTCAAACCATTCTATCTGATATGCAGACGTGTCCAATTATTGGCGTGTGAAAGATCAAAACCTATCTTACTAGATATAAAGCCGTGAGAATTAGACAATCGCACAGAATTCTCTGTTGATACTCTCGGAGGGTCACCATCATGCTGAGTAATAAGACCTTCGCCCGCTCGGCCCCTCCGACTTCCCAATTAGCTTGAACCGAGTTCCGGGGGGACCCCAACGGGCCGTGTCCCCCCAAACTATACCCCATAATTCGCTTGAACTATCATCCCGCAGCTTGCTCCGCTTGGATCTTGTATCCTATTCAAGATTCATTCTATCAATTTTCGTTCAAGATCGATCTCCAAGAACGTGATCATGTCTCTCTCACGAGTGCCGCGTTTCGCATCACATCGCCTCTCTCGTCTGGGTGCTCCTACTATCCGTCCAACCCAGGTTCACGCACCACCTCTAATTGGTTTGCAAGCACATCGAGCCGCCTTGCACTCAAGCTCCATTACCAGATCAGCCAGTGCACACGAGGATCATTACGACCCTCCGTCGGGATGGCTTTGGGGAGTACCTCCGTCAGAGCGCGGTAAAAAGGAAGGATGGGAGACCATTTGGTTTTACGGGTTCTTTGGGAGTTTGGCGCTTGCCGCTGTGGCCTACGCGTTCAAACCTGACACATCGTAGGCTATCCCCCTCTCTTTTTTTCCCCCATTGAAACTCTTGCTTCTACACACATACTGTTCTGAATGGTTGCATTTCTCAATAAGCGCTTGACTTCACTGCGTGTCAAGAGTGGCTCAGGATCGTTACGCCATTCGATGTTAATTTGACAATGTGCATTCCGATACAGCGGGCGTATGGGATTAATAATCGCGCCTTACCTCCGCCAGTATTAGAACATTGGCAGTTAATTTCGTGCCATAATTTGTCTTTCTTTTGAATCTTATTAACCCCGAACGAAGGCCGCCTCCATACCTCTACTGCATCCCATTAGACAAGTCATATGTTGCAAGGCTAACATAGAACCTTTTTCTTATACTATAGGATCCAAACATGGGCACTAGAGGAAGCCCGCAGGAGACTGGAGGCTGAAGGAATCTTGCCCGACCCGGATGTCACTTCAACGAAGAAATGAATACGTAGAGAAATGCGTGGCAAATCTTTTTCTATGATTTTTGCCTAAGATACGATAAATATAATGGTCCAGGTTGCTTGTTGTTGCGAATCATCTTTCTGAGGAACTAATCTGATGCTTTATTCTTTGCTTTTTGCTCCTCTTTTGGCGAAGGTCCTTAAGCAGAGTTTACGCCGCGACCCGCAAACCACGCGCGTGATGACTACTACCTTAAGTCTCTCTTCATCTTCACGTCTTAAATTACTCTACCCCGTGTTGTGTGGGTGTACATACCTATTACTCAAGGATTGGCCTAACACGACAAGCCCTGAGGGCTATAGAATTGACTCATCATTTTGTTGGGCCATTACTAGTAAAAATCCTTGGTCATCTTATCATTGCCAACTGAGAGAAGCTGCACACCCTGTCTCTGTTACCTATCAATACAGCTCGTGCAAAGTGCTGATGGATGAACATTATTTCATTTCCTCCACAGGCACGTTGAAACATGATCCCTTCTTAGATTTTCAAAAAGGCAAAAGGTATGCTGTATTGTGTCCATGTTTGCGGAGAGTGAGGTCAATTCTACTCCGCCAAACAGCACGAGCTGCTCAATGGGCCGCTGCTGTTTCTTCTCCTTAAACTTAAATAAGAACTCTGGACCAAGAAATAATAGCAGGAGGGGTCAACCCTCTTTCCGAACATATTCTTATTGTGACAGCTGCGGACTGAGACATTGATTACGCCCAGAGACCGCACGCGCTCGCAGCAACAAAAGTTACGTGCTCCCGAGCATGAGTTACAGAAAGGCAAGGTCACAATAATAGATTTACAGAACATCTCCTATTAGCAATGATCGAGTCTAAGGGATGAATGATAATCGGCGCAATCTAGTGCGGATGCTCCATTTTCAAAAACAGAGTACCACTGACGGAAACCTGTGAAGGAGACGTACTCTAAGAAAGGAGAAGCGCCATACAGAACAAAAGAGAAACACTAGCCCTTGATGTGAGGTGCTACTGGAGACAACTTGAGCGGCATAGGGTATTTTGAAAAGGAACAACTTCAGAGTTTAGGCAAGTAGAGAATGTAATCGCGAGAGGGGATCAAGTAAGGGAAGTGGACACATCCGAGTGCTTAAGGATAGCAACAAATAGCAGCGAACGGTTAAGCCAATTACAAAGAGGCAAGAAGTGGAAAGGAGAAGAACAGACTTTAACGTAGTGGGTGGAGTCTATGATTTTCGCGCCGAAAACACCAGTTCCTTAAAAAAAAAACTGAAAGCAAATCCAAAGCGGATGTAATGGGGCGTGAGGGAGTAGTGCTCAAGTCGACTGATGTCATCCTCCTGACACACATGAAAGTAGAGGCGTGCTACAGGAAGGTAAAACGTATAATATGCAAACCATGCAACAATAAAACACTTCCTCGGCGGTTTCAGGCTACGACCACCAACGAGCAATCGTAGATCCAAAGCACGTTTTGAACTTAGCAACGAGCCTTCGCAAGCAGAAGCAAAATCTGGAAAGGAAAATGTGGGTCCAGTCAGGCCTGACACATCCTAAATGCATGAACACTCAATAGTCGCAGACGGCGAAAATGGTATCAGAGTGCCGTAGTCACGACTCAAGACGCTTGCCCCGAAGCTAAGCAATGAGACTGATCAAAAGCACATAAAAAGACCAAATGAGCAAGTTGGTATTATCACCGATCGTGAGACATGGAGGCAAGAAGTAGACAACAGCAGGACGAAGACGATGATGAATCCATGGTGAATCTCTTGAGGCCTTTATCGCGGGGAAGTTTGAGGCGCTGAACACCGCGATTCCTCGTGAAAGTTTGGTGTCTCTTCAGGTCGCTGACTGGGAGGAGTAGTCCTCGCGTGAATGTCTTCGGAGATGATTGGATCGTCTGGTTTCGTAGATGGATGCACCTCCACACCTTCCTGAGATTCAAGATCTGACCTAGCGCGCGAGCGAGTAAATTTTGGAATGCCGTCATCGCTAGCCGCTGACCGTTCAATTGGGGACCAACCGGCAACACTACCGGCAATGATGCCAGCCATTGCAGCTGCTGGGCCAAATGCAGAGTTAGAGCGGGACCTTCCCCTGCGGCGATTGCGAGAATCTGGGGTCGCAGAAAGAGACCCAAAATCACTTGCGCCACCTTCGGCAGTTGGCGTCCGCGGCAAGTCTGAGCTTCCGGATCGTGAGACACTCCTCGAACGGTAAAGCAGAGCCTCACGAGGATGTTGAAGTTTGAATTTCAGGGCGTTGAGACGACCACCGCGTATCTTTTTAAGGAAGACGAGGTCCTCTCTAATTCCCTCCAGAGCCTGACTGAATTCGTACCGGCGATCATCATCCGATACAACCAGCTGCGGAGCCGGCTTTCGCCGCCAACTTCGAGGTACGGCTTTCAGGATCAGTTCATCCGGTATCAATCTTAGAACAATGCCAACTGGAATTGAAAGCGCGCCGAGGATAATTGAATATGCCCACTGAGCACCGTTAAGACGTGTGACGGAGAATGCTCGTCCACCAACGAACACAATCATTACTTGTCCGGCAATCATGATCAGGGTGATCACAATGAAGAAGTAATTTCGGAATACTCCTTCAAAGATGTTGAAGTGATTGTCAAGTCGGCGATTGCTATTTGAGGTCAGATCATGGTCACGGGGCAATTGTGTATTGCTAGTACTTACTTAAGCTCATTGAAAATCTGCATCCACACAAATGTGTTGAACACCAGAGTATTGAGCTGATGTTGTTCCCGTGCTGTTTGGTAGGACAAAATCTTAACTCCGCCAAAATACAAGATAAATGTGACCACAAGCTGATAGATGGCTTGGCCAATGATCATTTTCCACATGGTCACTGAGATGAGAGGTGCTGACTTAGGATCAGGTTTGCGGTCCAAAACACTCGACGACGGAGGATCAGTGGCCAGCGCAAGGGCTGCAAACGTGTCCATGATCAGATTGACCCAGAGCAGCTGGACTGCTGTGAGCACTGAAGACTCATCTTTACTGGCAACAGCGGACACAAAAGCCAAAAGAACGGCGGTAATGTTAACCGTCAATTGGAACTAGATCGCCGTTAGTACTCCGTGTAGCGCAGAATAATCCTTTCTATTGATACTGACCTGGAGAAATTTCTTGACCGAGTCGTTGACAGCACGGCCCCACATCATCGCCTTTACAATCGAAGTGAAATTGTCATCCATGAGAATGATAGCGGAAGCCTCCTTTGCTACCTCCGTACCAGCAATGCCCATAGAGAAACCAACATCTGCAGATTTTAAAGCCGGCGCATCATTGGTACCATCGCCAGTAACTGCAACTGTCTCCCCGAGCTCCTTTAAACGTCTGACTAGAATTCTCTTATCTTCCGGGCTAGACCGAGCAAGGACTTGCAACCGCGGAATAATCTGATCGAGCTGCGTTTTACTAAGTTTACGAAACTTTGGTCCTTCCATAATCAGACCTCCCTCGGTGAAGATTCCACATTGCTGCGCAATAGCACGAGCCGTCAGAATGTTATCTCCAGTAACCATGCGGACGAAGACTCCCGCTTTTTGACACGTAAAAACAGCATCGGCAACACCATCCCTCAGGGGATCTTGGATACCAATCACTCCAAGGAAGATCATCTCTTTGAAGACATCATCAAAGATGGCCTCCCGTGAATTCCCTTCTTGTGTTCTTGCTGACGAGGGTGGCCATTGCTGAAAATCCCGGTAAAGAAGGCCCAGAGTGCGCAGTGAGCGTGAAGCATAACTTTGAATGATGTGCTCCAAAGCCTCCACGTTGTCTTTGCTTATGGATGTCTCAGAAATGCCCGCGGTAGGATCGGCAATGATCTTGGTACAGTGTGAAAGCATGATCTCAGAAGCACCTTTCACATACATCCTAAATCTCCCATTGTCAAGTTTGATAACTGATGCCATGCATTTACGGCCAGAGTCAAAGGGGAAGACTTGAACGGTGTCAACGTTGGACCGCTCTACGCTCAGAGGCCCCATTCCAAGATGATCTCTGGCAAAATGAAGGAGAGCAGTCTCTGTCTTTGATCCAATGAATGTCGAGCTCCCATCTTCTTCGCCTTCAAAGGCAGTCGAGTTGATCGCGACAGATTTCTTCACCAACTCCTTGACGTCGTCATGAAGTGTGGAGACGAATTCCCCAACCGAGACATCGTCCCCATCAGTTTTGGCGGCGGGGGTCGGCTTCTTGCCTTTGGGAGACGAGGTGGGCGAAACAGCTTCGTCTGTTGTGCCTAGGGAAGCGGAGGCATCGCGTTCGGGCATGCTCTTGTCGCCAAAGCGGGAGGCTGTGCCCAAAGTCCCAGCGACAACGGTCATCTTATTTTGGGTGAGAGTACCGGTTTTGTCAGAGCAAATAGCTGTCGCATTTCCCATGGTCTCGCATGCACGCAGTACACGAACCAGATTGTTGTCCTTTAACATTCTCGTGGTAGCAAAAGCCAGTGCAAGCGTCACTGCGAGCGGTAGACCCTCCGGTACTGCAACGACGACAATGGTCACCGCGACAATGAAAATCTGAAGGAATTGTTGACCTTTTTCGGAAGGACTGGAGTGGTTGCCGCGCAGCTGAACAAGAAACTTGATGAAGAGAACAACAAAGAGGAGCAGAGCGGCTGCTCCACCCAGCTTTGCAATGTATTCGGCCAGGACATTGAGTTTCGATTGAAGAGGGGTTGGCTCAGATTCTTCCCGAAGAGACATCATTGTCTTGCCATAGCTCGAGTGGATACCTGTTCCGGTCACCAAGAACCGACCGACGCCTTCGGTAACCTTTGCGCCCGAAATAATGAACGGATCCATTTTGCGGGTACTTTCGTTGTCCTCAATCGCTCTATAGACGTCGTCTGCATTGCTCTTCTTGATGAGATCGGATTCGCCGGTGGCAGAGGATTCGTCGCATTTGACATTGTGCCCTTCAATGAGGATTCCATCCACAGGTACCATGTCACCGGGTTCAAGCAGTAGCACGTCTCCTGCGAGAACATCATATATCGATACTTCTTGTGTCTTTCCAGAACGCACAAGCTTGATCATTCTATCCTCCTTCTTCTTATTGAGTTTGACAAACTGCCTTTCTTTTTGCCAGTCGTTAGCAGCTCCAACTACCACAACAATAAGGATAGCCACAATAATGGCAACGCCTTCAACCCATTCGACCGGCGGATGGCTCGCGTCGTGTTTCTGTCCAAAGGTTTCATAAAGTCCAAGAGCTAAAGAAATGACGGCAGCAACAGTCAGCAAGATTAATATCTTATCATTGTAGGCCATCCATGCCAGCTGGAAGATGTTCTTGGCCTTTCGCTCCGGGATCCGATTGTCGCCGAAAACTCGTCTTCGATCTATGAAGGAGTCTTCGTTGCCAGACACGGCTGTCCTGGTGGTCGTCTCCGTAGTCGTTCTCTCAAAGCCGGGTACTTCAGTACCCTTCGGTGCAGCCACGGCAGCTTGCGACATGGTTGCATCTTCAAAGGAGACGGACCCGTCCAGAGCGCCTTCATCCATACTCAGGCCAGCTCGGCAATTGGTTCGCAGGCCCTTTTCGAGACCGGAAAGGCCGCCGAGGGCGTAGAATGCGCCTAGGCTTTTGGGGTTGAAAAGCTTGGTTAGCTGTCCCGGGGAAAAGGCAAATTTATTATCCTCTATGTCGAAGTCGGCTTCGGTTCCGGGGTCCGGCTTCAAAGCTTCCTCGTCCCGGGTAATATGGCTATTGTCCTGCTGCAGTGAAACACTCTTGGCTAATCGATCTCCTTGTGCCGATGACGATGGTGGTGAGTAGAACGTCTCCCCACCGTAAGATGACGGTGATCGATTTCCGTCATCCGAGTCAAAAGAGTTCTGACGTGATCGGCTTCCCGGGACAGAAAGGAAGTTACCATCATTGCTCTTGGACGTTGGCGATGAAACATTATGCGAAGAGACAGGCCGGCTCTGCTTGCTGTCAAAAGACTGCGCTGGTCGTAGTTCCGGTGCTACATTGTTCTCGGAATGCAGCGAATTGTGGTGGTCTCCCTGAATGGACGCTCCAGTATTAGACAAGGGATCAAGCGGAACCGCATCTTCCAGGAATGAAGGTTGACTGACAGCAGAGGTATCGATTGTAATGGTAGGCGCTCGCCGTCTTCGAGCTCCGCTCGATGTCCGTGAGATTTCTGGGCGATCTGATTGTGACATCTTGAATTCAAACCGGAGTGTGCTATCAATTTGAGCGACAAGGACAACCGGCGAGGAACCCCAGGTAAATGTGAAAACTCAATACGCTGCAAGTGTGGCGGCGTGTTTGCCTCCCTCAGGAGGCTGTGCAGGCTCGGCCAGCGAATCTGATGTCTTCCAGACACGAACGACGGCTATCTGCGTAGCTGCACCGTTAGAAAACGCCGTCGAGTACAGTAAAGCAAGACAAGGCTACAAACTGTTCACCAGAGCTGAACGGAGCGCTGGGGGGGGGAAACCGGTTCCAAAGGCTTCTTCTGCAATCCGTTGTTCAGGGCCAGCCTGCTTCGTGTCCAACGAAGCTCTTTGGAGGGCGTCGTGAGTAGAGGGTATGGTTTCAAAGGAACGGATGACCGAATCTCAGAGACCGTATTGAAGCAGTGACAGGTTCTGCATCAGGCTTGAGGAGATTAAGAAAAGTGAAAACACTGAATCAATGGGGCGACGAAAGGAATGCAGTGAATTGGAGACAGGGGCGGGATCAAGTGGTCACAGAGAATCTCCGCCAAGGTTCCGCAAGCTCAGAGGAGCACAGATCATCAAGACCAAGCGCCCATTTGCCGCTCTTCAATACAGAAAAGCGGATACTGTACGGAGTAATGGGCTCTCTATTGAGAGAGATCGCAATGGAGGCCAATACTAGGTACAGACACTCTCCTCTCCTCTGCTTCCGTATGCTTGCTGGGTTGGTGACCACGGAGATAATGCATACTAGAACGTTGTCTGGGTGTGTTTGATTTGCCGAGAAAGGATAGGGGTCGGCTTGGCAAAGGGGCTGTGCAAGAGAAGCTATGGCAGCTACATCATTATGATTGGCTCGCCATTTGCTCATCCTTCGCTCCTTCCTTGCTGTGGAGAAAGAACGGCAATCCGCTATTGTACCTTGCTCAAAGTTCTTGCGCAGGGCTTTTGTGTCTGCGAGTACTGTGTGGATCGGTACCCTCAAGACGGTGCAGATCATTCACGCAATAACTTACCGACACGCAAACCCACAACGCCCCCTGGTTCCCGCACCCGCTGCACACTAAACTCCAATTGTCAACTCCAAACTCATCACCTGCCGATCTTGCAACCTCTTAATCGATAATAAATGTTGAGATACTTACGACAACGTTTTATGTTCTCATTCTCATTTCCATATCGAATGTAACATTAGGTGGCCTCCTGATCCCGGTCCTCTGTAGGAATAAAGGAATTAACTAACTCACTTCTTTTCCCCTGGCAAACTCAACCTGCGCAGATTCTCGACTGGACGATGAAGGTGGGGATGCCAATGCACGTTATGGAGACACGGTATAATCATCCGAAAATTTCCCTCCTTCAAAGCCTTGCGGGATAATGGCATGTGATGAGTTGGGACATTATTGGCCTTCCCACATCTATCAGAGTATCTGGTAAGGGGGAAAAAAAAGCTTGATTGTCGTAACGAAGACAAAAAGCCCTTTATCTTGGCTCTATCTGCTGATTGGGTCCAGAATTTCGACCGTGTAGTCACTAATAATTGCCAAGAGTACGTTCCTGATTGAAAGTGTTTGCACTGCCTCCACAAAGATTGCAGAAGGGGAAGAAAAGAGTTCTCCACCTTCTCCACTCTTCCTGTGTGATTGTCACCGAAATTCAAGCTGCTTATCTGACCCTTGTGTGCAAATATGCAAAAGACGTTCGCAGGATATCTAGGCAAGGATGGGAAGAGAACTTGCGGTGCAACATGCCTCAAATTTGTAGTGATTGCAGCCCATCTCATCCAAAAAGAAACAGCTCACATTTTATAAATTTTGGGTCGTTGGGGCATATATGTACCATAGTTGAACATGAGGCTCTTGAAAAGATGTGGGGAGAAATGATCGAAAACGAAGATCACGGAGAGCTAAGAAGAAGGATCTGGCTGGCCGGTCCGGAGCAATATATTAGTACTGGAGCAGCTCGAACGTCGTATGCCTTTTTCGCTGGATGACAAATAATTACTAGGAGCACCCTCTCTGCTGCAGAGGACAAAACATATGCAGATATCTGAATGGGCACATGAGAGCGATTGCTAGATGTAGAGAGACTAAGCCTACCGCTCGTTTTAGAAAAGAAACTCCGCCTAATCCCGAAAGCCAACAACCTACCACTGTAAGGTGCATTGACGTCGGAAACAATCATTATTTGTCCAACTTTCATACTGAATTTCAAAGCCATCATTCTTAATATTAAGCCATTCCATGGTGCTAGGTACTGTCAAGACCCGAAAATCGCTGTAGAAAAACGTGGCCGAAAGAACACCACTAGATATCGTCATCGCTGCCACTTCAATCACAATATCACCATGAATGCCCACGAAGAAGCAGTAACTAAGCACGGCTTTACAGCCGTCCCGCGGAATCCTACATCAATATTACAAGGTCAGACAGTCATCAAGCCCCCGCAGCCCGTGATGGTCAGTGATATCCCGCGCCCAGCTTCGCCACTCGTCGAACAAGTGGTGCAATTCGTCCGCGCGGAACTCCCAGACGAGACTTTTAATCACAGCATGCGGGTATATTATTATGGCATCGCTATTGCCCGGGAGCAATTTCCGTCGTGGCGCTTCTCTGACGAAACATATCTGCTCACATGTCTACTGCACGATATTGGAACCACCGCGCAACGTCGCGCAGAGACTTTGATGTCCTTCGAATTCTACGGTGGTTTTCTCTCGCTGCAGCTTCTTCAGCGACTCGACGCCAGTCAAGCGCAAGCCGAGTCCGTGGCTGAGGCAATCATCCGTCACCAGGACCTAGGGGATACGGGCACAATCTCCACCATCGGACAGCTGATTCAGCTGGCTACTGTGCTGGGTGAGAATAATCTTTTCGAACTGTACTTGATATTCTATGGTTCTTACCATTCGGGCTATGCATTTGAGCCCCAGCCTTGAGTTCCTTGCCGCGACTGTGATATTCTCTTTCCACTAATCACTAGAGACCCAATATTTGCCCCGCCTTTACTTCTATATTCCTGCTTGGCCGACTTCCGGTCCACCTAATTTGGCTGATGATAGTCGATATCTTTGTCTATTTTGTCATTGCTCATTGCTATCAGCGCTTCCGATAAGTGGCTACTCCGAGTACATGACTCTCAATTTTTCTTTTTCTTTGCCATTTCGTCATGGTACAGGCGTGCGTGCCAAGCATAGCTGACGTACATGGTCTTCAAATTATTGGCGCTTTCAAAACTTATTTTTTCGCCTTCTAGATAACACCGGCGCGTACGCCGATCTTGTCCATCAGGGCACAATCGATGATGTGACGGCACAGTATCCGCGCCACAAGTGGTCGTCGTGTTTCGCAGCCACAATTGTGGCTGAGGTCGAGGCGAAGCCGTGGTGCCACACCACTGCGCTCGAAGGCTTTCGCGAGAAGGTCCTCAACAACCAAGTCATGGAAGCCTATGAATTGTAGGGATTTTAGCGGCTGGTCTCCTAAGAGTTATTTTGAAGGTTGGAGAAACACATAAAATCTCTACGACCGCTTCCTCTCAAAAAGAAAATAATTTGTGATTTTTCGTTTTGGATTATATACCGGTTTTTTTTGTTCTATGAAAGGGTAACAAAATCAATTTACTAATTAATTAATTAATTAATTAATCAATTAACTTATTCATTTCATTTTATTCCTTCCTCAAAGATTTTAATTGCTCAAGACATATTTCAGCTCTCGGTAGTCAATCAATGCAATAAATATAATCACTATAAGTGTTAGCGCACTTCGTCGATATGCAACGTAGCTGGAATCTGGTGACCAAAGTTTTATTGGTGCTGAACGATAAACGTCATGCTTTGGCATCCGTCCTGAAGGTGGGAAAGCAATATTGTAAAATGAAAAATGAACCCATTTCTATACAGACTTGTATTATATGAAAATTGTAAAAAATTGACAGCAAACATCCTTTGGCAGAGAAAATTTGTAGAAGTCATGCGAAACCATATCGCACCGCTATCTAAACTTGGATATAAAAAGTGATAACAGATCAAGGAAAATAATATCTCGTTGCTGTACATCATTTCGTTGCAAAGTACCAGGCCAAGGGCGACCTTGAGGATAACATAAGAATTTTGTAAAAAGCCCAGTGGCGTCGATAGCTTGAGCGTCTGTGCTGCCTCGAGAAACACAGGAGTGCCAACACAGAACTGGGGTGGAATCGACGCTTTCGTGAGGCGAACACTCTCCTCAAGAGATTTGGCACCATACGGTCATGGTGAAGTGATTAACTCGTCGTTTCCTCCTTTCATAGGCACCTTTACCTCAATCTTCCATCGTAGGCCTCCACAATTGGGACGGCTCCTCGGTCATACCCCCATCTTATGCGCGGGAACCTTTGGGCGGACAAACGGGCAAAGCCACACGTGACTAGAACAGTAACTCGTCAATACCACGCGCCCCAAAGGAATCCCCTGACTATCCATTCTCTTTCTCCTCTTACTGCTGTTGGTTGGCAGGGCCTCGTGAGAGGGGATTTAGCCAAGAACTTGCCCCGCTACGCCAATCGCAACTCCTAAACCAACACCATACATCTCTACACAATGTCTGTAGCCTGCATTCTGGCCGCCGACACCGGCAGTGCCATAGTTTTTGCAGTTCGTCACCTGTAGCCCGTAACACGCCTGAGAACTTAGACTCGAGCAAATGGATGTTGCCTGAGCGCCCGTCACCGTCGTGCCCTGGACAGTGACTCCTCCGCCTTGGCCGGTAACTGTTACCCCGTTGACTCCGTTGAGAGAAGCGGTGCAGCTCGAGTATTGTTTCTGACAACTAGTGTAGTAGGTTGAGCAGGCCGCAGGATTGTAATACGTTGTCGGCAGATAGACATATGGATAATAGGGATTAGGCACAGTGCTTCCGCCGCCAGCAGCATTGGTAGTGGTTGCAGGCACAAAACTCTTGGTTGTAGTTGCCGATGTGAATGCGGTTCCAGTGCTGAGTTCACCAGACGTCGTGGCGCTTACGCCCGTGCTAATCGTGCCGGTGCACAGTGCTCCATTAGGACAGCAGGCAATTTGCCCAGCGTAGTCAACTTGACATCGCGTGCCAGACCTGCAGCAGGCCGAAGACGAGCCGCATTGAGTATAATCCGCTGGACAGCTGCCATCGCGTTGGTGCAATTCAATAGCACCGGCGGAGTGGTTAGATTGGAGGAGCGGCGATCCGAGTGCTGGAGAGAAGAAGGGAGAGAGTTCAGTGGAATTGACGACTGCAGTAGATAGTAATGCCAAAATGGTGGCTGAAAGCCCGAGGGCGCCGCGCATAGTTGCCAGTTGAATCGTAAGCCGAGGAATGGGGAATTCGAAGAAAGCAGGGAATGCGAGATGCTTTTGTCCGGGCACCAGCGGCGGAGGATAGCCACAGCGGTCGTGTTGACTCGTCGTGAAATCAAACGTCTTTGAAAAAATAATCAAGTGGTCGTTAATTCCAAGCAGGCGATATTTTATCTCTTAAACATCTGCTCCGCAGTCGTGACTCTGGGGGTGCCAAAGGCCGCTACTGGCAAGAGTGATTAGGTTGATGTTAAAGCTTCATTTCGGATTAACAATCTCACCACAAATAAACAAGGGGTCATAAAACGTCAAATCATCTATAATGATTCAATCATTGTAGTTGGCGCAGTCTTAAGAGTTGGTATTTTGCCATAGAGCCGCAGTTAAACTCTGGGTAACCTTAATGTTTTGGCGGTGGATGATCCGCTGGTCAACCTGGCAACGTCAGTGGACCATCCTATTTGGGCAGGTCCCTTTTCGCTTAGAACTGACATCAACCTCGCCGTTGCCCAAAATCTGCTTTACCGCCTATTCTCGCTCTCATGGCGGGTTCTCGGCTGCAACCGAGTGTGCACAGGCGCGCTGGTGCATCGGTCCACTTTGATCGAATGCCTGGGTTGCTTTGCCCTATCAGCGATTCATCTTATGCGTGAATCAAAGAGTATGCGGGTAAGACTGTCATCTATGTGAAAATTGTTTCGTCTCAACTGTCAATATATACCCGTAAATGTTAAAATAGAACCCCCCATTTATTTACATCGATTCCCTCTTTGAATAAATGAAGAACAAAGACATCAGCTTTTAATGCTAGTATTTCCCAAATGGCTGTTGCAACTCTGCCAATTATGCCAATTATATAAACTGCACGTTCCAATTGTACCCTTTAAATAGTCAAGCTGTCACGTTGTTAGCGATGGTCAGGAATCTGTAGCAGGATGGCATGTAACTTACGCCCAAGGGTGACTCTCATCACCATACTGAATGCCCTCAATCCAGTCCTTCATGCGGGCCGCCAATTCACCGGCCTCTTCACCCTCTTTAAGACCGCAGTCAATCATACGATCTCTCCAGCCAATGTTGCGTACAGGGCTGACGACGGCAGCGGTGCCCGCACCAAAGACTTCCAGAAGTCGTCCCTCCTCAGACGCACTCGCAATCTCCTTCATCGTGCACTTGCGCTCAGAAACCTTCCAGCCCTCCGGAATCAACCGCTCACGGGCGAGCGAGAGCACAGAGTCACGAGTCACGCCCTCGAGAATAGTTCCGTCCAATGGCGCGGTGATGAGTTCCTTCTGTCCAGTCTCTTTGTCCTTGATCGCTACGAAGAAGTTCATTGTACCAACTTCCGTCACGTACTCCTCTTCTCCGAAGAGCCAGAGGTTTTGATGGAAGCCCTTCCTGGCGGCTGTCATCTGAGGGACAATGCAAGGGGCGTAGTTGGCGCCAAGCTTCTTATCACCAACACCGCCAGGCCATGCGCGGACAGCGTAGTCGGTGGCCTGGAGCGAAATGGCCTTGAATCCAGTTGGGTAGTAAGGGCCGACGGGTGATGCGATTACGTAGAGAAGAGCTGAGCCGGGGGGACCAACACCAAGCGTACGCTGGGTACCAATCATAGTCGGACGAATGTAGAGCGAATAGCCGCGGGTGCTGTCAAAGCGAAATGAGGAGTTGAATCCAGTAGGCTTGCTTGTGATCTACTTACGATGGGATGAAACGCTCATCGAGCTTGACAAACTTGGAAATCAAGTCAATCAGAGCATTGCCGTCAAATTGAGGGAGAGCAATGCGCGCAGTAGACTTGTTCATGCGCTCCATGTTCTTATCCGGCCGGAAAAGTCTGATCTTGCCATTGGGGTCCTTGTACGCCTTCATACCCTCAAAACACTCGAATGCGTAGTGAAATACACAAGTGGCAGGATCCAGGCTGAGGTTCTGGTAAGGAGTAATGCGCGGGGCAAGCCAGCCGTCCGCCGCGGTCCACTCGATGGACAGCATGTGGTCTACGTAGGAAAGTCAGAAATTTGGGAGACCTCGGCATTCAAATGCTAGAACGGACGAACCTGTGAAAGTTCTGCCAAAGACCAATTCATCCGAAGATAGAATGTCCTTGGGCGTCGTCGTCTTTGTGACGGTGAGCTTAGAGGAGTCAAGGCCGGGCAGCGTGGGCTCAGTAGCTACGCTGTACGGTCTCTGCCACCGCCGACCAGCAAGACATTTTGATGCAAGCTGGAACTGGGCAGTGGCAGTGGCCGAGCGTAGTAACGGTGAAAGTCTCGGCAGTAACATGACGGGGCTTCTCTGGATACGGAGGGGTCCAGACAGCAAGGCGAATGGTACTGAAGAAGAATAGAGGACGGAGGAGCACAATTGAGGATAAATACAGAGGGTTCGATAGGAACTATCTCCAGATACGATCGACAGTCGTGTGAGTAACACTCCCGACAAACTCTCTAAGTGGCCGCTGCGCCCTCCGATGTCCGGGCCGACAATGCCGACGACAAAAGGAAAGATCTCGGCCATTGCGGAATTACTTCGGACTTTAATTAATCCGGGGTAGGTCAGTCCCTGAGACAAAACAAGACAAACAAACCCGGAGATACTTGCTGTTTGTACTCTTTACTGGGTGGAAACGAGTTGACATGTGGTGATCGCCTTGGACGTTGTCACCGTAGGCATCAACATCACGACAATTCTCTTCTATATAACGGAACACAACAACAAGCTACGATACCCTGAATCTGTTCTTTGAAAGTTTGAATATATGTCTATCCTACGCTAGAGTATCCAATGCACAACATATTCAATATTACCTAGCCCGTGAAACATCCACCCCCCTGGTAGCTGTGTTCGAAAACCCTCGACGGAATCAAGGGGCGCGGGACGCCTATCGAAAGCTCAACTATGTTTTCCTCGGCGTTGAAATCCTTTACTTCCAACATTTCGGCAAATTACTCCATTGCATCTAACCCGATCTCTGTCTCGGGCCCATGGAAGATTTACGACGCTAAGAGAAAATCCACTGGGCAGGCAGTGTCCGTGTTTGTCTTCGACAAGAAGCTGCTAGACCCTCGCTCTGGCGGACTTGCTGGGGGTAGAGCGAATACTGCGGCTTTGAAGAAGCTTCATGAAGAAATAATCGAACGCCTCAAGAAGGAGGTAGGCTCACTGGCGAAGCTCCGGCACCCGAGCATTCTCGAATTGGCCGAACCTGTCGAGGAGACTCGTAATGGCGGCCTTATGTTCGCGACGGAGCCAGTAACGGCTTCATTAGCTGGTCTTTTAAAGGAACAGGATGAACAAGAGAGGCTTGGTGGACTCGCAGGTAGGACAAGCCGTTATGTGGTTGAGGACGCCGATGGTGGCAGACGAAGGAGAGAAGTCGAAATTGATGAACTGGAAATACAAAAGGGCTTATTGCAAGTGGCCAAAGGACTAGAGTTTCTACACGAGAGTGCTGGTTTAGTGCATGGGAATCTTACGCCAGACGCCATTTATCTCAATTCCAAGGTGAGGGTGGCCGAACGCAGGTTTTGAGCTGCATAGATGCTGATAAGTTGCTTAGTCGGATTGGAAGATATCCGGCCTCGGCTTTTCAGGCCCTGCTACTGATGCAGAATCCTCTGTGCCCATATTTCCTATTTCGTTGTCCGAAGTTCTTCACCATGACCCACGACTGCCCCGATCCGTGCAGCTTGATCTCGATTATACTTCCCCGGATTTCGTCCTCGACGGCAACATCACATCGTCTGCCGACATGTTTTCAATGGGCCTTTTGATAGTCGCGCTCTACAATACTCCTCATATTTCGCCCATACAGACAAACTCGAGTGTTTCCGCCTACAAGAAAATCTTCGCCTCTCACTCTTCTCTCCCCTCCCAAACAAACAATTATCTCTCCGCCAAACCACTTCCGAAGGAGCTCGCAACTTCGGTACTTCCGCGATTAATCTGCAGGAGACCTGCACAGAGACTTAATGCGTTGGAGTTTCAACAGTCCACATTCTTTGACAATATTCTTGTGTCAACTATTCGCTTTTTAGAGACGCTTCCTGCAAAGTCTGCTACCGAAAAGACCCAATTCATGAGAGGTCTGCAAAGAATTCTCCCTCAATTTCCCAAGTCTGTTTTAGAGAAGAAGGTCCTCCCCGCACTACTTGAAGAGGTGAAAGATCGGAGTCTTCTTGCTCTGACTCTCCGAAGTGTGTTCAAAATCATCTCTACATTGCCTTCAGAGAGACGAGTTCTCAAGGAGAAGGTCAATCCTAAACTTCGAGAGATCTTCCTCTCCTCTGGCTCAACCCAGAAAGCGAGCGGGCTAGAAAGGGATACAGGTAAAGAGGCAGGCCTCATGGTAGTCCTCGAAAATATGAATGTGTTTGCCGAATTTTCATCAACGGTGGAGTTCAAGTCAGGTTTGTCGAATCAATCCCCGGTGCCTCGCAACGCATTTCTGACCCCATCAGATATATGGCCAATCATGCAATTGGCTTTAGGATCATCAACGCATGGTTTGATTGATGCAGCTCTTCAAACACTCCCCGTCATCCTTCCTGTGCTTGACGTCTCCACGACGAGAGATGAGCTTTTCCCGACTATTGCGACAATCTTCACCAAAACCTCCAGTCTTGCGATAAAGATTCAGGGCTTGAATTCTCTATATGTTCTCTGCGGAGGTTCTTTTGAGGATCAAGAGGAAGCACTAGGCGACGATCTGAACGGTGTCGCCAAGAAACCGGAGACCAATTTCAAGAAACAACGGCTGGATAAGTTTACTGTCCAAGAGAAAGTCGTGCCACTTCTGAAGGGGATCAAGACTAGGGAGCCTGCAGTTATGGTGAGATTTCTACATTATTTCATAATCACCCTGCATTAAAGCTGACTGATTACCCAGATGGCCGCCCTCGGAGTCTTTAGGCAGGTGGGAGATATAGGTGACTCTGATTTCGTCGCATTAGAGGTGCTTCCGATCCTCTGGAGCTTCGCATTGGGCCCACTCCTCAATTTGGAGCAATTTCAGAAATACATGAGCCTCATCAAAGGGCTTTCCAACCGTATCGAGAGCGAGCAATTGAAGAAACTCAGAGAGCTCTCATCCTCAACACCTGCCCCAGGAACCGCATCGCTCAGCCGTGTCAGTCCCTTTGGAGCACCAGGTAGAACCGCTTCACGAAATGGGACACCTACCACCGACGAAGCTACAGCAGGCACCACAGCTGATTTTGAGCAGCTCGTCCTCGGAAAGAAATCTGATGCTGCCTCTAATGAGGCAATTTTAGACGGAGGCTGGGCATCTTCCCCTGCTTCGGCGCATCCTCCCAAGCCCCAGCAGCCCTCTGCCCCGGTCTTTTCCTGGTCCACAGTAAATCCAAGCGCTGCTGCGAAACAACCAACTGGCGTTCCTCGGGCAATTACTCCAGACATGGCGCTCAACAACTTCGCCCCGCTGAATCCAATGAATCCTAGTCGTCCAGGTCCATCCACTACGAATGGGTCTCAACCCTCCTTTTCCACGAGCGTGGCTTCTCTGCAGCCACAGAATTATGCCACATCTAATGCGCCTAATAACGCATGGACAGGTCTTTCTCCACAGCGAACTAGCTCAGGCCCGTCACTAGCGACACTCAGCTCGATGCAATCCACGGCCACAAACACTGCTACCAGCCCTTGGGCTTCAAATGCATCAGCCAACCCTGCCGGCTCAGCGTCAGCATTCCCCTCATCTTTTGTACCGCCTTCCTCGTCGCTAATGTCTCCTCCGCCGCTTGCTCCTCCTCCTGCTCCTTCGCTGTCATCTTCCAGTCCCCTTTCAGCATTCAGTATCCCCCCACCACGGAGCAGCAAGCCGGGCACGCCAGTGGGTGCGCAATATGCACAAACCATGCAGCCGCGCTACGGTGCAGGTCTTGCCGGTGGCATGGGCGGCACAACATCGGGAGGCTTTAACACTCTCCCTCAAGCCCAGCCCATGAATTCTAGCTCCTTCTCGACCCTAGCCTCATCGACAGAAGCCACAGTGCCGATGCAGCCTGCAAATCCGCAGAAACAAGGCCTCGATGCTTATGAGAGTCTACTCTAGATATAATTCTAATTCAGAATTGCTCTTTGTATTCTCTTTCTGCCCTCCGTCCTCTGTTTATTTTTTTTTCTATAGCTTTCTGAAAAGTTTAAGTTGGGAAATGGTGTCGCGTATCTTGGGAAAGCATGCTAAAGGTGTATCTATGCGTCATTTCATCGTTTCAAGTAGATCGGTATTTAAGCATTTCATGAAAATGCTCAAACATGTCTATGTATTCCAGCGTTACCGTCAAGTATACCATTTTGCTCAAATTAACTAAGCGGGTCCACTGCTCTTGACTCGCAGTAGGAGTGGGAAAGACAAGTTAATTGTATGTTCGGTTTTCATCCGTCCAATATTCTCCATAGTTGTTGGTATAATGCCAAGACTTGTCCCCTGGCCAGCTCAGGTAATACTGAGTGTAACTAGATCGTCATTGTAAGGGTGACTTATTTTTCTATCATTTATTGCATACATGCTCTATATCAGCATTTGCCAATGCCAGGAAAGGGTGATATTTGTCATTTTATGCATAAATGTAAAACAGCCAACAGCCATGTCGGAACCACTTTTCCAGCCTTAAAAGCAACCACAACCGCAACAACTGTAACAACATGAACCGCACTGATACGAATCAGAGTCGTTGTGTGCATCAATGTTCAAACATTTCTCTCAGCATAGCTCTGAATCATGCCCTCCAACGAAGGCTCATACTCCTTCAAGACCACCTTGTCACCATCTAGGACTGTATTCGCCTGCACAAACACTTTCCTAGGGACCTTTCTCCTCAGGACTTCATTGCGCAGCTTGGATCCCCAGAACTCGGGATCAACATGCGTAATATCATCATACAGCTTCTTGCCCGCGTCGTAATCAGCCGTGCTCTTGAACACATGCAATTTTTGAAGATAACGTTCTATCGCGGGACGACCGTGGCTAAGAATCTTTGTTCTATCCAGCGCAATGCTCAAATCGGACAAGTCTTCCTTAGTGTAGACGAGCTTGACAAAATCGTCGCCTGCGCCGAGGAAGGTCTGCAGGATGCTAAAGCGCGCTTGCATGTGTGCTTGACCCCATTTGCGGGACTTCGGGTCCCAAAACTCCAGCGCGACGATACCGGCCCGCGCCATTTGCAAATAAGCAATGTACAACACGTCACCGGCAGGGCCGTCCATGTCGAGCGAGCCATCGCCGAATCCAAAGATTTGGAGAATCTCAAAGTCGCAGCTCAGTGCCATGGCCACGCATTCTGCCCGACATTCTTCGTAGCTTCCAGCAATACTACCAAAAACGCTGCCCCATGTCTGGCCGGGTTTGTACCATGACTTGACAGGAGCGTTGGTGATGGGGCTGATTGGGGGGTGGGAGATGTCAAAGTTGTAGGTTCCGGGGGAGGTCTCTTGGAGGAGTTTACCCGTGCCGTGACCTAGGAGTTCGTGGATACCCACTTGCACTTCAAAGGCCGCATCGCGGTTGGCTTGGTAGAGATCCAGGTCCTCGTCGCGGATAAAAGGGACAGGTTCATCCGGTGCTTTGGCGCTAAGAACGTTGCCCAAAGATACGTTCTTGAAGCCTTCAGTTTGGCGGATGTCGTCGTAGTTACTGCAGAGAAAGCGGGGATGTTAGTCCTGGAGGGATTCAAGAAGGAGAGGTGGGGAAAGTTGCAAGGCGGGAAGACACGGCGTTAGGTCGACAGAGTCAACTTACGGAATATTGATGCCAGCTGGAATACCACTTCCTGCAAATGTCAGAACCTCTAGACTGGAAAAGTCCGGGCTAAGAAATTTGTCCTTCTCAAATTCCTTGTTCCAGGGAAGCTTGGGGATCATGGACTCTGCGCTGGCAACGAGTTTTCCAAATGCCCTGGTGCGTTCTTGATTGACCTATCCAGTTATGAGCATTACTGAAACGAAATCACTAAGAAACCAGGAATAAGGTTGAGTTGTAATTACCATGGACACGAAGCCTTCCCATTCTCCTCGAACGCCATGAGGGTCACTAAAAGCCGGGTTAGAAATGCACGATAACGAAGATGCGATTAAGACATACCGATAAGTCTCAACAAATCCGAGATCACACTCAACATCCGGACTCTTGTCTTGTATCCAATGCCTCTGGCTCTGCTTGAATGCCTCCAGCGAACCAGTGCGGAACGATTTTGCGTATTCCTGATGCATTTTCACCTGGGTCTCATTGGCTGCATACTTTTCTGCGCCACTGATTGCGTCTGTAATCTTGGCCATTTCGTTGGCGTAGTCACCAAATACCAGTCGAAGCTTTTTGCCGTCGAGGTTTCCTTCCAGCGGCCACTCTTCCTCTTTGCCAACATCGCTGCCGCCATCTGAGAGCTTAGTTGTCCCGGAAGCAATCAGCAGCTCAAAGTCTCCTCCTCCAGTTTTACGCAGCCTGGTATTTTCAAGAAGTAGCTTCTTCTTCTCGAGGAAATCACCAATAAGCGTAATCTCTTCCTTAGTAATAGTTGGCGAGTCAGGATAGTAAGTCGTGAGATGGCCCTCGTCAGTATAGCCCAGGTGCATCAGACCAACGTCCTTGGCAGCAAAAATGGCACCATTGGTCTTCTGGTAATGGGTCATAGCCGCGGGTGAGGTAGACGCCAGCGTGATGAACACTGAGGGACTTGCACGAGGGACAAATTTGGAATCGCCAAAGCTTTTGTAATTGCCCAGGTTTCCGAGAAACTGAGCGGAGTACTCCAGAAAATGCTTAAGATCGTTATCCGTTATGCCTGCCTGGCGCTGGAGCTTCTTCCAGTCGCCATTGCAGCTGTGATAAAGCGCAATAATGAAATCATATATATGTTCTGATTCCGGCGAGACTTGCCGTAGTGTTATGCGAGTGCCCAAAAAGGCGGCCCTGAGAGAAAAGTAGCGTGAGCATTGACAGTATCAAAAGTGATAACACCAAGAGATGAGATAGCTTGTGCTCGAGTGTTTACCTGCTGATATAATGAGCATAATGTTTCTGCTTATCCGTCAGAGCATCAAAGTGATGTTTGATCTCTAGACGAACAACACTGGGAGGCGAATCCGCGAGATAATGCTTCAACACTTCACCTTCCATTTTGTTCCCTGTTTGCTTTGTTCTACTATGAAAATCTCCTCCTCTTCAAAAGGAGATGCTGTTTTCTTGGTCTGCAATGATTCCAGTCACCGAGGTAAGCAGCGTGAAGCTGTTCTTGTCAGAGGAGCTCACGTGGGGCAATCTGCAGCTCGAATCGCGGGGGCCAGGTGGGGCGCACCGAGGCACAAAGCTCACAGCTCCGAACCGCCAATCAGTCGACAACAGCTTGCCATGATAGTTTGCCCGCCCTTTGCTTGAGCCTGCTGTTTGCATGGATCAGGGAAATGATTGTAATTTGCTCTCCCTCGCTCTCATCTCACTCTTTTCGTAATTATTGCACTTCCGAGCCAGAGCTCGATAAAACAAGAATGATTGAAGTCTAGTGTCATGCCATCTCCACAAAAGAAAAACAATATTTTGCTTGCTTTAAGTACAACCTACAGCTCTGACTACAACACAGCACGCCTAGTTCAGTAATGCTTGGAATTTTATTTAAAGTCTATGATCATACTTGGTGCTTGCCAGAAAAAGGAAAGGAAACGGCGACAACCTTCCGAGGCACCACAATAGCTATGTACAATGCCAAATCAGCTTTACAAGAAGGCGAGACAGTTGAGTTCAAGTTGGGAGATCTGCCCGAAACCACGGAACCAAAACACCAAGTCCGATACCAATTCCAAGACAATTTTCTATGAGACCGGCGCTCGGGTGAAACCGCGCCCCAAGCATGAATGAAAGAACCCCTTCCTTTTAACGCCCGTAGAAATGTCGACAATCTTGATTCGCTCGTCACAGGAGAAACGTTGCCATGGATTTTAAACCTTCGGCTTCGGTGACAAATTAAAGGGAAAAGGATTTGGAAAAAGCGTCAGGCGCCGTAATCTCAAGCCTCGCTGAGCTTGGCTTCCATGATCCGTTTCCCTCCCATTTGCTTGACCTTATCGATCAAAGTATTTGAGGTATCCAGTTCCTCGACGTCGTCTCCTCCACCAATGCTCTTGCCATTGATTAAGACATTGGGAACAGTGTGTCGGCCAGTCATCTTCTCGAGTATATCTTGTAGTTGAGAACCCAGACGATGTTCATCAAGCTCGACGACAAAGGGCGGTGGAACAATCTTGTACTTCTCGACTAGGATGTGCTTTGCTTTCTTGGAAAAGGGGCAGTGGGTTTTGGAAAAGATGATAACTAAGTGGATTCCGGAGGCATTAGCATTTCGTTGGGCTGGCCGGCTGCGCAATGCAAGAAGGCAAAGGGGCAATCTCACTTGGGCTGCGCTTGAGAATATCATTCAATTCATTCTCAAGCTCCTCTTCCTCCGGCGACAAGGCAGGTGGAGAAGGTTTCGCCTCCTTTCCGCCCGCGGGTGTAACCTCCCATTTCTCGGCCTTGTTCATCTTTTTGCGACCGGCGACACTCTTCTCAATCTCATCGTCAAGCTCTAGGGGTTCCTTATCCACACCCAATACTGCTTCCTTGTGTTTTTCTCCCGCAGCATCGGCCGCTTTCTTGGCCGCAGCTTCTGCATTCTTGAGTCGTTGACCGACATCGGCTGCCTCCGTGTCCTTCCCGTTGTGCGCGTCCATGGCGTGAACAGTCTTTTGATAAAAGTCCGAATCGCGAGCTTGTCGGGCATCGGCCTGTAAATTTTTCATTTAGCAAATAAGACATGGCTTGCATCGGGGGCGATGACATAACACAGACCGTTAGATAGAGGATGGTGAACACAAGGACCGCAACTAAGATCCCAAGGATTCTCACACGCCTGGTAGATGGCATGATGAAGGGAAATGAGACAAGTAATGCCCTGGTATGGTGGGAGAGTGAGACTTGAGTGCAGCACAACTTGCACACCGAGGCTTTGAAGTTGCCAACACTGGGTCCGCCAGCTTGTAGGTACGGGTTGTGTTGGATAGAGGAAATCTATTTATGCTTGATGGGTTATAACGCTCACTTTCGCGTGTCTGAGGATGCTTGTAGTGAAGGTGATGGTGGTGATGTCAGAAGCGCGACAAACTTAGGACATGTATATTGGTCACCAAACAGATGACGCTTCAAAAGTTAGAGAGGATGTTGGGAACAACGTGCACATGAGAGCGAGAATGGAGGAGATGCGTCGCAGTGCAGTTCAGGCCGATCACCAATTGAGCTTACTATTGTCCCAAATGCTCCGTAGCTCCCCTCCCAGTAACTACTGTATTAGTCCCTTAAACTAAGGTAGGTAAGTAGGTAAATTACTAAACTTCCCCATCAACAATAATGAACGGCCCGAACGCCTTCTCGTATTGGGCCGTCGGTAGCTGCTACGAGTACAGCAACGGGCTGATCTACAGGTACCTTAACTACGTTTAATTTAGAGTACAGTACCTATTCCCTCCATCAAACGAGCCTGGTCCAGCGTACTTTCCCGTTACGTTAGCGTGTGCTTGTGGGGTAGGACGGGAGCGAAGGGCGCGCCGTCGAGTTCAGAGGGAAGGATGGAAGGAAGTTGCGAAGGTAAGGCAAGTTCGGGTATACGGTAGAGGTGAGAGTATGTTCATACCACATTGTTATGATAATGAGAGCATTCCTCCCTTAGCCTTTCACTCTTGCAAATCATAATCAAATCACCTCCCCACTTCAGTAGTTTTCCTCTCTCTCTGCCCTCTCTATACTACGTATATCTGCAATATTCAACCACGCCTGGTGGCCAAACTTCTCTTTGCCCTCGTTTGAATTCCCGCTTCGGGACATTAACGGCTCCAGGAATTCCACAACCAATCCGATCCCTCTTTTGGACCAGGATCCTTCTACGATCCTTGGCGAAAGATCTGCATTTTTGCCGCTACTGCAACGTGCGACCCTTATATGGTCCAAGTTTTCTGTTCATTCTTTCTTTGGGTACTCCGTAGAACAAGGCCAAAGGGCGTCCGCGCCAGGTATGGACGGATAGAGCAAGGATCCCAAATAGGCCATCGTAACAAGTTAATGCGACATGTCCCTGACACAAAGAGGGGCCCAGGTACACAAAGACTGTCCACGTGCCACTTGGCTCACAAGGATCGGTGCCATTACATCCACAATATGATGATTTGCATGACACCAATGTGATTCCATGCAAACTTCCCTCTCAATAAGCTGTCAGTAAAATTGAATAGAATATTAGTCTACTTTCATCGGTAGTATTAATTACAGAAGTGGGATATATCTCACACAGAAGCCTAAGGTTATATAGCGCCATTTGCATTGGCCCCGCCTCCCCCACCACATGACGCCTTTGACCCTCAAATAAGAGAAGCAATTCTTCAAACCTCAATAGTACACCGTCAATAGTTGGCCCCAAAATAAATTGCAATAGATCAAGCCATATTCCCCGCTAAAGCAAAATTGAAAACCCCAAAAAATTTTCGTCCAGGCATTATGTTTCCTGCTTGTTTTGTGCTGTGGTGCCATGAATTTCGACCCGTATGCATGCATCCGTCCGTAAGTCGCATGTGGCATGCGATGCATCTAGCCGTGGCCGAATCGTCTATTATTTCCTCCTTTTCCTTGTACCACACGCATCCAATCCTCCCATTCTTTTGCGATTTCCATGAGGACATTACCCATGACAGTGGCGCTCGCCATCAGACCGTGGCCTTCTCCTTCGAGGATCCGCACCTCGCAACGCCGCATGGTCGTCCCCAGCCACTTGACGTTTTCGACAGGAACCCTTGTGTCTCTGCTGCCGTGGTGGATCACAACCGCTCGACTTATGTCAACGTATCGAAATCCAATAGGTTGTCTCCGTTCGAGACACACAACGAGGTCGATCGCCGGATTTGCGCCGTGTGTGGCTCTTTCCCAAATACCCCAGGTCAACCTTGAATCGTAGTCGGCCTGGCGGCCTAGTCTCTCAGAGAAGTCTAAATCCTCCGACAGTACACTCTCGCCGAATTTGGAGGGCGTCCCTTCAGGAGAAACTTCGGAAACTGGTAGAGGGTTTTCATCGTCCCGCCGCACGTTGGGGCTCGATGGCCCTGGCAGACCGGCCGGAGGCGGCTTGCGTGCACTAGATGCAGAATTCTCCTTATTTCCACTGCTGTTGTTGCCAATAACCCTTCGTTTCGACCGCCGTGGAGACCTAGGAAGACTGTTGACAATGCTTGCACTGGTAGTGCTCATAAAAGTTGCGTTTGCCGCCTTCAGAAATGGCGTCGGTAATGCTCGTAAAATCCGTTGCGCAGTAGGCAAATTTGCGGTCGGTGCAGCATCAGTGCGAGTTCCTATGATTGACATTTGCGAGGGAGGAATCCACGGCGCGAGGAGGTGAAGACGTCCCCTCATGTGCTGAGGCATGCGTAGTGCGGTAGCCAAAGCATAGATCGCGCCCGCTGAATGTGCCAGAATAGAAAACTTTGTGATCTTCAAAGCCTGGCATATCAAATAAACGTCATCTTGAAATCAGATGAATTAGCAAATCCCGTTCTATTTTCATTGTGGGTTCCCGCAGCTTACCTGGCCATGCAAGTGGTGTCCCAGTGCCATCTTCGTAAGGCATGCTATTGCCAACCCCAGGTCGCTCAGGGGTAATGAGTCTCAACTTAAGGGTGACAGCCAATTCATCATAGAAGGCCGTAATGTACCGCGTAAGACCCATTCCGAGACAGCAGAAAACGGCATAGCCATTAGGATCACCGACTTCCGAGAAGGAAATAACACGACCAGTTGTTGGGCATTTTACCTTCTGCGAAAGACGTGGTGCGTTAAGATACGCATCTACAGCATCGTCAATGGAGTCTGCACTATTTGGCCGATCATCCGCTGTGGAATCCGGGGAAATCATGAATGGTGTGGGCTTTATTTCTTTTTGTGGAGTGAACATGCTAGAGCTGGGATAATTTTCGTCCGAGACAGACATTGATCGCCGCGAAAATCGATCAAGCCGGGACTGATTTCTGGAATCCGATGCTTTTGACGAAGACCAAGGCTCTTGTGCGGCGGCCATTGCGATCGAATCTTTTCTCGGTTTTCTCTGAGGAATAGCTGGAAATGGCGCGGTATCATCGACATTGGAGACTGGCGCAGAGTCATTACCAGACCGGGCCGATTCTTGTGATTTGAGTTTCTCGGAGGAACGCTTTCCCTTTTCCATGCGGGATTTAAGTTCCTTTATGCGACGGACGACGTCTCCATTCTCTATTGCTGCGTCGGCCTCCATGAGAGCAATTGATGCGGCACTTTCCTTATTGTATCCAATTTTGGTTGCGCTGGACGCTGGGGTGACGGTGTGCGAGCGACGCTTCCTGGGAGATTTTGTTCCGGTTTTCAGGAGAGACGAATCCCTGGTTGGTATCGATAGACCCGCGACAGCCCCCAAAGATGTCGACTTAATACTTGCTGAGATGGACTTGGAGCTCGTCGCATTCATTGTTGGTTGCTCTGTTAGCCCTCTTATCATGGAATCGGTTTCTGGAGCAGGCTCCTCGCTGATAACATTCTCTGCCAGGATGGATGAACTACTAGCCGGCATCATTGAGGAGGCCTTTCCCGCATATCCTTGCACACGATTTGCGGTAGTAGGTTCTAAAGGGCCCAATATTGCCGGGTCATCGTTCCTGGATTTAAGATGCTCCTTTGAGGTTGCGTAACGCAGAATTGATCTCTTTATGCTGCTTGTTGCTTTTCCAGCGCTATCTGATTCTCGACTTCCCGTCGAAATTCGTGGCGTTGCTGGCTCCATATGGAGAGAGCCGATGCTGCTCTGCTCATCAGATATATTGGACAATGAGGAAACGGAGGCCCTTGAGGCTGCAAGAGTCAATGAAGCTGACGAGCGGCTCCGTCGCAGATACGCTTTGGAAACAGACTTGGCTGAATGGACTGATGATTTTGACGTTCGTATCACAGGCGGTAAAGCAGCTTCATCTGGATGTAAGAAATCGTGGACGACCGCGGCAGAAGGTTGGGTGTACGCGCCGTAGTCCATGCCAAAACTACCATCGTTGCTTCCAATCCTGCCCTCGACCTCCCGAGAAGAGGTTTTAGAAGCAACACGAGAAATTGATGTGGTGCGGTAGCTTGGTGAGGATGGCGTCGAGTGACTAAACGATGTATCGTACACTCCGTCAAAATGTGTTTTGGTAGGGGTTGAAATATCCGACAGGCATGAAATTAGTGAGGAAATCACGTCGGGAGACGCCGGATGAACCTGGACATTGTTTGCGGATCGGTTTCTAGCCCGCGGAGGAGCGGAGAAGGACGGCTGGGGCGGTAATGAGAGCCGGCGACGATGTTTCTCAGAAGGCGGCGCACTGGGGGCGGAGGACTTGGTTATTGATGTGATAGGATCTATGACCGCTGAGGACATGGTTTCAAATAACGCTGTACAAGGCGAATGTTCGCTCTCTTGCTTCAAAAGACTAAAAGGAAGTCGCGATCGCGACGGCACAATGGGCGAGCTAGGCTAAGGTAACCTTGCTGCTTTGTGACAGGGTCTCTGAAGCGTCATCGCCACAGCTGAAAGAGCGTCTTTTCTGCTCTATGGGCGATAGGGTCTCGAACAATCGCCTTTCACATTCGACGGTGAGATTGGTCAAATGGAGAAAAATTGTCCAAGGGGGGATATGCTGATCGTGCGATAACCAGTAGAACAGTAATAATCTCAGAAGAATTACGGCCGTGCTTTAAGTTAGTGAGCCATGGGAAAGGTGAGGGGGAGCATCAGTTCCCCGGGTAAAAGAGTTTTGACTGGGCGCGCGCCAGGACCAAGACCAAATAAGCCATAATTAAACCCGCATTTTATCATGAATATTGTATTACCATTGGGCAGACAGTCGGGGAGGAAGAGAATGGATCATCTCGGTCGCAGCCGAGGGTGGACGCACGGTGTCTCATTCATGCGTCGACAATCTCCAATCACGTCCGCAAAAGACGTTCACAACCCCTGATCGGGTGCAGGTAGAAGCAGAGGGCTTGAGAGAGAGAAACATCAATCAAAAATTTTGGCGCCTCTCTTTTCGAGATGCGTTGCACTTTCCTTGATCCCCCATTTTCGCCATATTTATGACATGTCAGTCTCGTTGGACCTCACTTGGCTCGGGATTTATTTTCTTTGGACACCTTGAACAATCTCGGCCTCGGCAGGCGACACACGTAGCGGGGAGCAGGGGTATAACCAGAGTTTTGTGCAAAAACTACAATTCTATGGCCCCCCAGTCGGCGGTGGGAAGCACCTACCCTCTCACCCAGTTTGATGACATTGTAATATTGCTGCGTTGATATTCGAAAGCATACATTTATCAAATCCCTCCACGTATGATAATGCCATGGCTTCGAAATATCCCCCTCGCTCTCCAATGATAGCACTGAACTGCTGCTGTAGGTACCGCGGTTCTGATACCAATTAGTATAAATCAGATAATTCTTCGCAAGGCGTCGCATCATGCAGTAAAAAGCCTTTTGGATCTTGTCTGCAGGGACCAGATTGGGGGGAAGATCCACTTGGTTCGAGATGCGTCGTGCAGCAGCGTCGTGTGGAGACTTGGGAGGGAAAGGTCACAAATTCCCCAAATTGGAGAGACGGTTAGAGAATCAAAACAAAGAGTTCCTTAATTGCCTTTTCCGTTCTTGGTTAGAACCTTAATTGCGCTAAGCCATATGGGCGCAGGATCGAAAGGATTTGGGCCCTGAATTTTGATCTCCCTTGTCGGTACTGGTTCCGCAGGTTTCTTCTCTCATTTATACCGCGAAAATATACTCATTGAAAGGTTTCCCAAGGTTTTTTTCGCCCAACACCGTCCACCCCAGGACCCGCTTTGCGAACCTGAGGGAACCTTTGAGCGAGAGGTTCGCCTCGGCGCGAGCTTAAACTCCTTTCTCCATCACGTGTTTGCAGCAGGGAAACAACGTCATACGCCAACTACTTTATCTCGCCCTTTGTTAACCCAATTTCTCGAGGACTCGATTGCAAACAAAGCCCGAACAGAGACAACGCTGACCGAATGATATTAACATTTTCTTTCTCTCTGTGCCCTTCAAGGCCAAAGACAAAGAGGTAGTAAATCCATATATCAATACATAGTAAAAGCCTTTTTTTTTTCCCTTCGCAATGTTTTCAGAAATATACTCCATCATGAATGTAATCATATCTTTTCCCGCTCTCGCGTTCGTTCTGCTTTCCGTCTCAAGTACCTATACGACTTCACTCAACGTCGTATTTTTTTATATAACATGGGCGACACTGATATGGTCGCACTCGCCCTTGTACATTGAAATGCTGGGCACATTGCTCATGCGACTAATTTTCTACGTCCTCCCTTCTGCCATCTTCCTCTTATTCGATTCTGCAGCCCCGACTCTGTCCGCCAGCGTTAAACAGTATAATGAGCTCGCGCTGCCTGCGCGAAAAGGTGGCTTTCGAGGTCGGCCTACGTGGTGGAAGGTCGCCGGGTTCTCTACTCTCAATGTGTTACTTGGCCTTGCGCTTCAATTCTCAATCGAGTTCCTCTTTACCAAAATATTGCGCATGTCTAGCGTTATAAGAATCAGCATGGCGCTGCCAATGCCTTGGCGTGTTGTTCGAGATATTGGCCTAGGGTTGTGCTTAAGAGAGGTGAGCAGGAATTGTTTCAGGAACGATGCCAATGGACAAGCGCGCAAAAGCTGATTAGAAAACTTGAGAGTTTACAGATAATTCAATACTATGCACACCGTTTCATACTTCACCCTTCGAGAGTCTCTCGATATACTGCGGCTAATGAGCCGTGGCTGCAGTTGTCCAAATGGCATCAGAGCTGGCAACACAGCGTATCAGTTCCGTATTCCTTCTCCGCAAACTATGACCACCCAGCCGCTTGGGCTATATGGCGGTGGCTGCCAGTCTTCCTCCCGGCCGTTTTCTTTCGCTTCCATTTATTAACTTGGTACATTTATATCGCACTGGTCTCGCTCGACGAGGCATTCACGTATTCCGGTTATACTGGACTACCTTCTTTCTTTATCTGGAGGAGTATCGCACGCATGCAAGGCAAGCACTTGATCAGCGGAGGCGCAGGTAACTATGCTCCCATTGGTATCATGGACTGGATCCATGACACAACCGTTGGAGAGGACATTGTGGACAGGGCCAAAAGCGAGCTCATGGCAGGGCAAAACAATAGAACCGTACGTAGCAGATCTCGTTCAAAAAACAGAAACCGCGCCGGAAGACACTAGTATGTTCCATAATCTTTCAACATGCTGTTTTGCCTCCATTATCGTATGATAATAAACATTTGACGAAATGCAAGTCAGAATACTCGCAATTGGCGACATTTCGCCGGCAGTGGCAGACGGAGAAGATCCTGAGTTAGCACAAGGGTTTTGGCCGACTTTCAAACAGATTTTCACATAGATTCGTTGCGCATTAGTTCAATTGAAAAAAGTAATTGCTTGAAGTCTCGATACAATTTTTGCTGAAGACACAAGCGGAGCAGCCCCGAAGATCAATAAAACCGGGTGATCTCTCTATTGCAGCTCACAGCTATTGTAGCTCCCCTCAAATTCCACCATTTGACTCCAATCGCCCGTTTACCAAACCATCTCGTGCGGTCGGTCACCCTTGCGCAGGCTGAAGGTGCTGGCCAGGTACTGAATAAGGTAGGGCTCCTTCTTGATGGTGGCCAGGAGAGCCTTGTCGATGGCCTTCTGGTCCTCGACACGGGTGCTGGAAGCCTTCTTCTTCTGTATTATCCGTAAAAACGTCAATTTTCGGTCCATGTGGTGAACTGGCCCAGATGAACAGTTAAACTAACCTGGAACTTCTCGCCCTGCTTGAAGAAAGCCTCCTCGGACTTCTTGTTCTCGGCCTTGCCCTCGGTGAAGTAGCCGTCCTTGCCGACCTTCTCGACGACCTCCTTGTCAATGCCGGAAAGGTCAACCTTGGCGCTGGTGGCGTTCACGTATCTGGCGTTCACTCTCCGGAGAGGGACACCGTTGACCTTGAAGGGACCAGTGACAAGAAGCACACCCTGGGAGAGGTGCTTGAGGAGAACAACGCGCTTGCCCCGGAAACGGCCAGCGAGAAGGATCAGGACGGTGCCGGGCTGCAGCGAGGGACGGAGCTTCGTCGGGTGCTGGGTCTTGCGGACCTATTGACATCGAACATCAGCATCCTGCGACTCTCAAAATTGTGACTTCCAAGAGAGCGAGTTTCCAGATATCGAAGCTTTTAGATACTCAAATGTTCGAGGGTCGGCTAAAGCACATCTCGCAAACATTCAAAAACCTCGCAACGGTGAAAATTCGAGTCGCGCGCAATATAGATAATGGACATCGCATGAATCGATGCGCCTAAATTCTTCCTTCGTACCTTCTTCGGCTGGCTCTCATCCTCGGCGGGATACCATTTCTGGGCCTGGGCGCTGTGGTGCGGCACCTGACGCTCGCCCTTTCCGAACTTCTTCGTCGTGCCGGCTGGCTGCGATTCTGGTCTTGCCGACATGTCGAATGTGTTGACCGAGGACCGTAACTGGGGATTACTTTGCCGGGTCCTTTTGTCGTCGTCTGGTGGTTGTCGCTCTTCGTGGGTGAACGAGATCTCGCTTGCTACCAAACGTTGAGTGTGCCCTACTCGCTTATGAACCCTACTTGAGTTGGAATTCTGGCTCCCGAATACGGTAGCCCTCGCGACGTAAATGGTGTGTTCGGGAAGCGAGGAAGTGCAAAAGTGCTGTGGCGTCCAGCATGTGCCTAGTTCGTTCAATCGGGCAATCTGCTCAGAGGCTCCGGCCAGTATCGGACGTCAGCAGCCGCAACGTCAACATCCTCCATAGCATCTCAGGGCGATTTGTGGACCATCGTAAGGAATGTCCATCCTTCCGATACTTACGTTCAAAGCTGGTATCTGTGACCTAGATGTAAGTCCTCTGACACCGTTGTCCGTTGCTGCCATCTGGTTGCATTGTCATTAGTGTTCTTGTCCGTCGTATTCTAGATGGCATTCATTTCATGACATATGTGCATGCCCAAGACTAACTCCACCATTTCAGACCAGCACCTCGCCACCCAAGGTTCGACCTAAGACTCAGCCTGGCTACATATATCTCTACGCTGAGGATGGTGGGTTTTTGATGCTCTCGATTCGCTGAAAGCCCGTGAGTATCGCTGACAATCAATAGAGCTAGTTCATTTCTGCTGGCGGCCTCGCTCCGCACCTCTAGACCACCCTGAGCTCGATCTTGTTATGGTTCCGACCGATGGGCATTTTCAACCGTATGACTACGAAGATCAGCCAGCGACATCGTCCCAAATCAGAACTCCGACCAATGGCCGTATCTATGTCCTGAAGTTTTCTTCAAGCTCCCAACGACACCTTTTCTGGCTTCAGTCTAAGAGCCAACATCCTTCTGGCAATCCTGGCTGGTTTAGTCCTCGCGACCTAAAGCTGGGTCAAATTATTGACCAGCTCCTCCAGGGAGAAGAAGTGGATGTTCATGATGAAATTGCGAACATTCAAAACGACAATGACGATGAGCCTGACGGCGACGAGACGATGGAGGATATTGAGGGTACTGGTGAACATGGTGGCGATCATCACGGAAGCAGTGGTGGTGGTGCTGGACCAGACGCTACCGGTGGTGATATTCGGGAAGAAGGGGAGCCTTCAAGAGAGGGCGGGGCAGATGGTGGCAGAGCGTAGGTCCCTTTTTTGATTAGCTCACTGGCTTCGTCTCGAGGACATTTCCGGCAAATCTCGCATAATTGGCGTTGAAGTCTTTGCCAATTGGAGCAAGGCAATCAGCATTTTATACCATCATGTATGCAGACAAACAAATATGTGCTGCTTTAGATATGTGCCGATGCCAAATCTGCCGTTTTGACTACATCTCATAATTTCTTCTCACAAATTATCAACTAACTTTTCGTAAGCAGCCTTTCCTCAACCGACCCTTCTACAATCGTTCAAAACTTTCTAAATTCATTAAAAGGAGCCCCGAGCATGGGACCGGCGTCTCAAGCGGAGGGAAAGCTCTTTACGACGCTAGGGGATCTTCTCCCCGCCGAAACCACAGCTCCTGTAATTGAGGCTGCGGGACAGTCCACGGTGGATCATCTGCTCTCATTTCTCCCGCCGGATTTGATGCTCCTCGCACAAGAGGTGGACGACATCTCGTCTGTGGATCCCAACTCTGAGACCGCTCGGGCTGCCATCCAGGCGTTGAGTGTCAATCAAAAGAAAGACATTCTTAGAAGAGTAGTACGATCACCGCAATTCTCCCAGAGCCTTGCCAGCCTCACAGCAGCTCTTCGAGACGGTGGTCTCCCAGGAATCAGCGATGCGTTAAGAATCAAGGTAGAAAATGGAGGCTTGGTGAGAGGAGGAGGGGTTCCCCTCGGCAGCGGGGAGGCGGTTGAAGCATTTTTACAAGGCGTCAGGAGATCTGTCGAGGAGGAGAATGGCAACCAAAGCAATCGCATGGAAACTGATTAGGACCCTTGTTGAGGAGGGGTATCATATTCCTAGGGAGCGAGCTAGAACCAATTCAAAGCAAGGTCATATAAGTGTCTTGCGCATTGACCTTCCGTCTTCAAAAGTGAAAAGATCAATAACAGCGGTATTCATAGGGGAAATCATGACATGTGACCTGAAACATTAAACAATCCTACCTTTAAGTGTCCCAAATAATTGTACACAAACCACAAGTGTGTAAAACGGATGTACTCGCTACCCGCCCCGTCGTCCCCATTCAAGCCAAAGGTACTTGGGAACGGCTTATCTGCCGACACACGTGATAAGCTAAACTTGAAAGGGAACGCCGTTAGACTTCCGCTCAAGGAGCCCTTCGGGGTTTGTCACTTAAACGCAATAAAAAGCACATCAAGCAACACACGCGACAGCTTTTGCGCGTTCAGGAGGACTGTTTAGTATCCTCTGAACACCCCAACCTTCATCCGCTAATTGGCTTCCGCGCTCCGTGTCTCTAACTTTGAGTGGAGCTTGGACGGTCTTCTGCCACTTGACGTTCTCCTTTTGGACGGGAGTAAATCAAACAAGTTTGAGACGATCATGTTATGAGGCCTACCAACGGTCACTTTGATGCAATGTCGCCTCCGCACGCTTTCATATCGAGCTACGCGCCCCGCTTGCGCACCTATGGCAACTCTCTTCTTACTCCAGTGATCCAACCAAGCACGGGTCAAGGAGCGCCAGGAGCGCGGACCACCAAAAGAGGGACCTTAGCGGTCAATTATGCCGAGGACAACTTTGACGATGATGATTTTGAGGATAGTGAAGGCCCACGACGGCCCACGGGGCTTCGGAGTCTCAGAAGAGAGGATTCTACCCAGGAAAAGGCTTCACTAGCCGAAAAATTGGGAACGGAGCTCACCTCGCCGGTCGAGTTGCAAGGCATCTGGAGAGATTGGATGGGCAGACCAAAATTTGGAAGGTGAGAATCGATTACAGTCCTTTTGCCATGGCTATACTAATCTTCAAGTGCCATTTCAAGATCAGAACGGCAGCTTCATGCCCAGACGGCCTTGCCTTTGACTCTTATACCTATCCGGATAGACCTCGACATCCCTGCATTCACTCCACAGGCGGCTTTGCCGCTGCCAATAAATGCGCATGATTTCAATATCAACCCAGCGCTGCCGGCCTACAGGACTCCAGAGCAAACCCCCCCGTACCGGTTGAAGGACGTCTTTCTGTGGAACTTACATGAAACGCTCATGACACCAGACCAGTTCGCAAGCATTATGGTTAACGACTTGGATCTACCAAATCCTGCCGCGCTGACCGTCCAAATCAGCAACCAAATACGTCAACAACTGGAAGAATATGCGGGGGTGGCATTACACCCCTTATTTCATACCGCTCATAGTGCGAACAACCCTGGGCAAAAACCGGTTCGGGGATCTTTATCAAGAGCTCACTCTAATACACCGGCATCTCCTGCAGGGACCCCCCTTACTATTGGTCACCTTAAAACCAACGGATATGCATCTCCATCCAAGGGTTCAGATGCCATCACTGCTTCTGCTACGCCATTGCAAGCCTCTTCTGACGAGCATAATCCTGATGATACATACCGTTGCATTGTGACTTTGAGCATTAATCTGCAGAACCAGCTCTACACCGATAAATTCGAGTGGTCTCTCTTGCACCCTCCAGGATTGGCTGAGAAGTTTGCGAAGCAAACTTGTGCTGATTTGGGCCTTGCTGGGGAATGGGTGCCTGCCATGACTCATGCAATTTATGAAGCGGTCTTGCGTCTTAAAAAGGAGGCGTGCGAGAGTGGCGGACTAGTTGGCGGTCTCGGCTACGGTGGCGAAATCGACAACTTGGCTGCCGGGGGTAAAGAAGCCGGATGGCGATATGATAACGAGCATCTTGCGGACGAATGGGAGCCGAGGGTTGAGACTCTTTCGAAGGAAGAAATCGAGAAAAGAGAAGGCGATCGCGAGAGACAAATTAGGCGGCTTCGGCGGGAGACGGCAAGGTTCTCTTCCACGGCAAACATGGCAGGCGGTATGCCTTCAACCGGGGGTTACTTTGATTTGCCTGACCCGACCGAGACACCTATGGGAAGAGGTGAACGTAGTAAGAAGAAGCGGAGATTTCGAAGTCTTAGCCCTAGTGGAAGAGGCGGCACTCCAGGTGGAAGGGGCACTCCGGATACTGGTGTAGCTGGGTATGGAGGCGGTGGTGGTCTTTCAGAATGGTGAGTCCGGCAAAGCATATAGACATTCTGGATACAAGTTAATCAGTCGCCATATAGGGAGCGACAGAGCTGGCGGTGTGCACACTGTATGGTTTGGGGTTCCGGTGTATGGACCGCCAGAGACGGGCCGAGTGGTCAAAGGGTACGTTCGCCGATCCACATAATATTTTAAGAGGATCTCAACTGATAATCTAGCAGTCTCTTTGTAACAACTGTGGTCTTATTTTCGAAAGAGACAAGAGGCTCCCTCCTTGGTCGAAAGCACTGCACAAAAACGACCTTCCTCCTGTCGTCAGATGATAATTTATAAGTGCTTCTCGCTCTAGCTGGCGATGGTCGGATACTTGGCCGTCAGTTATTCGTCTTTTCAATTTCCTTTCTCTTTTTCTATCTTCTCATCTTCCCCTTATGCGATTGAGACTTCGACCAAGGCACGGAGTTTTGGCAGGGGTGCATTACGGTTCAGTTTATATGTACAATATGGGCTGCATTTTAGGTGGCGAGCATCATTTCATATGCGTTCCTTCTCCACGGCGTGACCAAGCTCAAAAAGTCCAGGCTGTTCTCGGAGGTGGCGGCTTGTTTGGAGGCCGTTGGATATTTTTGCCTTGTCTTATCTAATGACTCAAACTTCGAGTCGCGAAATGCATAGGTTTAATTGCCGAGAAATCAAATATCACCATTCCAAAGCTTGACTTGGCTGCTTCACGACACAACCGACACAGCTTGTAGGGAGGCACCGACCATGCGAATAACGGTTTCAGAGGAATTTCATTTCTTGTTTCTTCTTATTTCTTACGGAATCTCCAGCTCTACCTATATTCGTGGGTTTAAAATGCTATCGGGGCCCTGGCCATGCTACATGCAATTTATTCCTCAAACATCACAGCGTTCTGATGCGCATATTAAAACGCAGATGATTCAAACGTCTCCCAATGTCGACAACAGTTGGTTAAATGGAATGCGATCCTTAGCAGCGAGATAGAGCGTCAAAACATCTTATAACGCCTGCAAAATGAGAGCCCTAGAAAGGAAAATGCGAGACCTCTGGAAATCTCCTCGGCGCTACCGGTGCTCTAGATCTTTGATGGTCGTGACTCTGGGGGCTCCTGTTGACAATGACAATTAGTTTAATGACCTTTGACAAGCAATACAGCCTTATTTCTTTTCATATTACATACCGACTCTGCTTTCCTCTTTCGCGCAGCTTGCTGTGCATTCGGCTCATTGTCTCGTCCCCCGTTATTATGTACTGTCTCTCGAGCTTTGGGCTTTGCGACACCAAAAACATTGTTGCTTCCAGTAACGTTGATCCCTGATAGTATGCTGATCTCGACAGGTCTTGATCGCCCGTCCTCCGTCTCAAATGCGCTCAGAGCGGACATTTGTCGCAATGCGGCCAACATCCCAGCAGCCACACGCGTGCTGGTCGTTTGAGGGTCAACATTTGGTACGGCAATCAAATTTCCATGGCCCATGATTCTGGTGGACATGTCGATTTTCAGGGTTATAGGGGCCGCCATGTCAACCTGGCTATCGTCGCTGTCTCCGTACGCTTGTGGGCCCGCGAAGATGAAATTTGTTGGAAGTCTGTGGGTAGTCGCGCAAGAATAAGATGGCGGAGCGTCTTCTCTTTGGTTGGAATTTGATGCTGCCTGTCTAGACTGATCCCCAGTATTATTTGAGCCTTTTTGGATTTGGTGCGTGATTGATTCAAAGGGAAGCATTTTGGATGGCTCGCCAACAGCGCGATTTGCTGAAGCTGTGATGGGAAATGCAATGCAATGATACCAAAATGATGCCCTTCTATGAATTATAAATAAATTTGATATGTGCCTTACAAGGACAATACCTCTTGAAGAGAGATTTCAGGATAACTATAATGTTTGCAGGATATATCCAGATTAAGCTGAGGACCCTTTGCGAACAACCGGGTACTTATAGCCTTGGATGTTTCGATTCACACCATCAACATATAATCCGTCAGAACGTTCACCTCATTCCATTTGCGCTTCCAGCCGCCATGCTATTGTTGTCAAACTTTGCTATTGATGCAACCACACGCGTGAACCAGCAAATGTGCAGGGGGAAGGGGCTTTGGGCCCGGCCACCAACATGGTCTAGTGATTACAGGCGACTGGGAGGACATTGTCAGAAACCATTGTCCTGGCCAGTCATAGATTCACTGCACTCAAGCAACAGCTCTGTCTAGCTGTATTCTGCAAGGTAAGTGGTCATTGATCATCACATTGGTTGCTATTGTTCTCAGGCTTGAATAAGACTCGGCTAGCGCAGGCCCAGTAGATATCGGGCTCCGTGTGGCTGGGGAGGCAGGAAGTGACAATAGCAACATGTTTCACAAGTGCTGCGATTGCATATTGCCTGTCTTGATCGTGTCATTGCTATTGATCTCATTCGCAATTTCACAGAGCCGCATCGCTGGGGCCTTGAATGGCGGTTCCATTCCAGGGAAGAATAATCATCACCATGCTCCCTAAATTAGTTCGACCTGGGCCATGTTATTCCTCGGGCGCACTGAGGATCGTTGGTGAAAGTACCGAATGTTGGTTTTAGCCGTCTTAGATGCGATTCGTAATGATCCGGGATCAGTTGTCAGGGCCAAGTACTCGTCAGAGAATATTTTTGTATTGTTCCGGCCCCGGTCAATCCACTTTCAGCCCGGATTCTTCGTATCGTACCGGAGTAAGTCAGAAACGGGCGAGGTTTCATTATGCTGTCGGTTCGCTTAGATAGCCTTTCACTGTTCTGTAATGACGATCATGCAGCACGAGATACAACTTTGGATCCTCGACTGTTATTCCTTTCCACCCAGAAATAAGGAAGAAGACGCCTAGTCGCAGTGCCAAAGGCAAAAGAGGCATATAGGAATACACACGATGATTGCAGGTTGGATGGGTGATTTAGGTAATATGAATTAGCACATGACCAACACGGCCTAAGGTACATTGAGTTCGTACCCGGAGTGAGGGACGTTGGCAGCAATTTTGGAGTCATAGTTATGGAGAGACTTGAATAGTCATCTTACTGTACCATAGAAAAGTGTGTTTGTGCGGTGAAATCCAACCCATCAAAGATGGAGCGAGAGGAGGGAGATAAGATCTTGGGGAAAAAGACAACAGGACTTTTCCATCCGAAAAAGGTAAGCGTGGAGAGGGCTTAGCGAGATCGCTTGTGACCTGCGCCAAGACCGCACAATGAATTTCCTCCTTCGAAACTTCGAAGCCGACCAAGCCCCCGTCGACAGCGAGTTGCCGCCAACCCCTCAGTCAGTTCAACCAGCGTCTCAAGATGAAGTTCATTCATTCCCAGGAGTCGCTCATCGTCCCGGATGGTGGTAAGTAGCGATTTTTACGATTTTCGATGATTCGATTAGTGCCGAAGATGGATGGGTTGTTGGACGAGCAGAGAGGTTCTGCGATCCAATTTGTCTCCCGCGATGCGATTATCTGAAAATCACCACAATTCCTTTCGAAAACGCCGACGCTGACGAAAATACGATTTACAGTGAAGGTCCACATCAAGTCCCGCTTCGTGACGGTCGAGGGTCCCAGGGGTACGTGAAATACCAGTCTAGAGAGCGAAGGATCAAGAGCAAGGACAATCCTAATTTTCAATGCAGGCAAGCTTGTCAAGGATCTCAGCCACGTCGCTGTCACCTTCACCAACCCCAAGAAGAACCTCATCCAAATTGAGCTGCACCATGGCCAGCGCAAGAACATTGCTGCTCTCCGCACCGTCAAGACCATCATCAACAACCTGATCATCGGTGTCACCAAGGGTTACAAGTACAAGATGCGCTACGTCTACGCCCACTTTCCCATCAACGTCAACGTTGACAAGAACGGCGAGACTGGCCTGTACGAGGTTGAGATCCGGTATGTGCAGCCGAACGAAACCGAATCCAATCATATGGAACGAAGCCGACAGGAGGACTGACTTGGGTGCGATATAGTAACTTCCTTGGCGAGAAGCTCGTCCGCCGGGTGACCATGCACCCCGGTGTCGAGGTTGAGCCCTCAAAGACCCAGAAGGACGAGCTCCACCTCACTGGAAACTCGCTCGAGAACGTTTCCCAGAGCGCTGCCGACATCCAGCAGATCTGCAGAGTACGGAACAAGGATATCCGGAAGGTACGGTTTCTATCTCCGATCCTCAGCTTAAAGTATGATAAGCGCTAACTTTTTGCTCAGTTCTTGGACGGTCTGTACGTGTCCGAGCGGGGCAACGTTGTCGAGGAGTAAACGGCTGGTTGTCAAAGGGGATTCCCGGGGTTTATAGGGCTGAGGCGTTTTGCACATCAGCTCGTAGATTTCGCATCTAGCATGGTCAAAAAATTAAGCTATGCAAAATTTGGTGAATTTCATTCTACAACTTGTTCAATTTTGGCTACTTGTGCACCGTTTGATTTCAGTGGTCTGGGCAAACATTTAATGTCTTTGTGATGTATGTTTTTGGTGAATGCCTTGGATATCCAACAAGGCAAACGTGGGCTTATTCCACCTATCGGATCATCTCCTTCGACCATGTATATTTCATTTTACAAGATCTTTAGCTCCCCAATTGGCATTTCGACAATTTTCCTTCAGTCGGCCCCCAGAGGATGGATTTTGTGACTAGGATCACCTTTAGCTCCAACATTCCCCCGCTCTTGGCACCCTATGCAACCTGTTGCTGTGGCGCACCAACAGCCAAGCTCGCGGCTCAAAGTAGTTATTGTCTAGCAGGATATATCAACGCTGGTCAAGCTTGCCTCGATGCCTTAAGGGCCATTTTAAATCACCATTGGTGTTTCCTGTGAATCGAGTTGGCCAAGAAATATATCGCTCCGTAGCCTTCTGTACTCGCTCCAACCCATCTTTCTCTGCTTGTGACGCAAGACCGCCGAATAATATAGTAGGTTGGTTGAACTCGTGAAGTGGTGGGCTAGTACGGTAGGTAAGTTAGATAAGGTCGCTACTCATTCGCCAGCCTTGTATGAGAATGACTGCATTAGCCTGACTCAACCTTTTACAATGATCCGGAAGGCAAGCAAAAAAAAAAAGTGCCTTAGCTTACTGGTTCTTTGTCCTATCAACTCTTCCAGAGAAATTTTTAGAGTCCAGATATCATCAGTCGGCATCTTTTCCAGGCGTTCAATATATGTGACCAAATCACATTTTCTGTCATTAGATTAATGTGGAGGAATCCTGGAATTGTTAATTTGATATTATACTACGGCATATTGTTTCCATTCGATAGTTCCAAAGGTTGTAATCAGTATATCGTGCAAACGAACATGGAAAGAAGCCTTATGACCTGATGCAGATTTATTTGATTATTCTTGAAATCGGCGACAATCCCAATGTATGTACTCCGTTCAGCACAACAACTGTGCTATATCTCGTAGTAACATTGTTTACTTTCTTTTGGATTCCACTCATAATCCAATTCTCGGTGGAAACCATTGAGCTGGTCATCTGTCAGTGCGGAGTCGTTCTCTTGCCCAGGCCATGGCGTGGGTCTGTCACCACTGCGTGACGATGAACTGCTGAACTGCTGATAAGAACATTTGATGCATCCAAATTTCCAAGCTAACGATTTTGTCTTCTTAGTGCTAGAGAGGCTATCTAAGCATTGCGATGCACGGATACGTCTGAGGTCTTGTCTGATTTCAGTGTCCAATGTTCTCCGAACCGGAACGGGGGAAGATAAACACGGAGTACTAGCGGTCCGATCATCTGCCATTCAATTGCGCAATCCCAACTTGACTCATTCTGCTTCATTAAATATTCGTGGTTAAACGATTTACATCTTCCATTGTTTTTTTGACTTCTTATTGGGAGTCCCCTATAAAAATAAAAATAAAAATAAAAATAGAAATTGAAGTTGAATTTTACTGTCAATTTGCTGTCCAGAGGATCTTCTTACATCACAATGTCGAACGTCTCCCTTTATCCAGGCCCCACGACCCAAGAACTGAAGGAACGATTCGTAGGACAGTTGCTTCAAGATGTTGATGGCCCCGCAGCAATCATCGATACGGCTGTTGCTCAACGCAACTGCGCCCTAATGCTGGATGCGGCCAAGGCGCTGGGAGTCAAGTTCCGCGCGCATGTCAAAACACATAAGGTATGTAATAGTTGTACAGTTTGCAGCTAGCGTCTCGTTGTGCCAAATTCAAGACTATGTGGGAGGAAAGAAAACCAAAGTTTTTATATAAAACACGAGACTAGAAGTGCGTGCAGTGCGCTGACCCTGTTTTTTAATTCTGGGCAGACGACAGAATTGACCCGCTTCCAAGTGGGCAATGGCAGTGATCCTGTCAATTTGGTAGTGTCCACACTGATCGAATTGGAGCAACTTGTGCCCTTTCTTCTTGAATCCAAAGAAAATGGAAGAGCTGTGAATGTGAGTTTTTTCTGTTCCTGTTTCTGTTCCTGGGAGAGATGTGTCCAAATTATGCTTCATTACTGACAGAGGGATTTGTGAAATAACAAAAAGACCATATATGGATTGCCAGTGCAGCCTTCAAGCATCAAGCGTCTTGCCGCAATTGGCAAGACTTTGGGAGCCGGTAGTATTTCTGTGCTTGTCGACAATCCTGAGATTCTACCTTTTCTCGGAAAATATAAACAGCTTTGCGGACATACTTGCGGAATCTACATCAAGCTCGACACCGGCTACAATCGAGCAGGCATTGCGCCGGAGTCGGCGCAGCTCAAGGAGCTCTTACATGCAATTCTCGAACACGAGACTAAAAGCCCGTCAGAGATTAAGTTGGAAGGATTCTACAGCCACATGGGCACGAGTTATGGCTCAGACAGCATCTCACAAGCTCTGGACTGGCTCGTTCAAGAAATTGACCAATCTCAAGTCGCTGCCGACCTTGCCAAGAGCATTTTCCCAGACACTCGACGATTCGTTATTACTGTTGGTGCCACGCCAACGACTACTGCTGCGCAAAACCTCACTTCGTCTGAACCTTCATCTTCATCAGGTCCAGATTCGGGTTCGGATTCTGCAAACGCGGCAGTCGTGCGGACCAAGGAACTCATCGAGCGTGTAAAGCGGACACATGACGTGGAATTGCACGCTGGGGCATACACGACACTGGATCTGCAGCAACTGGCAGCACATGCACGATCACGCGAATCAAATCTCTCATTCAACGACATTGCGTTACGTGTGCTCGTCGAAGTGGCGAGTCTATATCCGCACCGCAGCAAGCCCGAGGCCCTGATCAGCTGCGGCTCTCTCGGCCTCGGACGCGAGCCATGTCGGAGTTATCCCGGGTGGGGCGTAGTCACGCCGTGGTCGTCTCTTGGGGGCTCGCAGAACGACGAGCAGAAGCAAGAGCAAGAGCAAGGGCAAGGGCAAGGGCAGAATGGCTGGTATGATCCCGAGGACAAGGACCGCACGGGATGGATCGTCAATCGCATCAGCCAGGAACATGGCGTGCTTGGCTGGGAAGGGCCGCGGGAGAAGATGCGCCAGCTACAGATTGGCGAAAAGCTGTTGCTTTGGCCTAACCATTGCTGCATAGCGGGTGCTGGATACGGTTACTATCTCGTGGTGGACTCGACGCGGCCAGGCATCGAAAAGGACCGTGTCGTCGATGTCTGGACTCGCTGGCGGGGATGGTAAAATTATCGATGATTCGATAGTGAACACTGAGCATGTCTCTGTATATAGCTGGTGTACTTTCAACCTTAGTGGAAGAATGTCCCGCGCTGTGATTTTGAGTATATTACTGGAAATGCAACTTTCGTTTTGCATGGATCCTATAAATCTGAGCAAGTATCGGGGACAGTGCTGAACATAATTCAAGAAATTTATAGTGGTCAGGTGTGTAGGTATGTATTATGATTATATTGAGGCCATCCATGCCATCTATTCATATACAGAGCCCCGTCTATTCTATGTATCTATAGTATCTATATCATCTATACATGGGTATATGCCAGGTGGGTATAATGCAAAATATGTCCGGAGTCATTAGATTCTCAAATCTGAGAACGCCGATAGGAAAAAGAGTATGCGGTGGTCAAGAAATGAGAAAGTAAAGAAAAGTTCCATCTGGCCCCCATCGCCAGCGAAGGGACCGATAAGAGAAAATGCAAATCGACTTCACTGGTTGGACTGAGCGGGACTGTTGGGTCTCGTCTTCTCTTTGCTTTCGTCTCCAATTTCATCTGCCCTCTGCTCTTCAACCTCCTGCTCAATGCTCATCCTTTGACTTTTCTTGTCCATCTTCCTTTGGAAAAGAGCGGCAGCGAAATAAAATAGACTGCCCACCATCATGAGCGAGCCCGCAAACATTTGCGCATACAGATAATTTCCATTGTTGGCCTTGATCAATGCGCCAGCAATGGGCTGCGATACAAGAGCCGCAATGCCCATAAACGACAGCGCCATACCCAAGCGGACACCCATTTTTCGGGGATCGGTAGTCAACGATGCAATTGTCGAAGGCATAAGCCCTTGGGTACCCGCGCCGAGGCTGCCATAGATGCACACATAGGGAATGAGCCCCGGCAAGGTGGACACGCCGGCCCAGCAGTATAAGACAATCGCAGCGGCGATACCAAGCGGTGCAATGGTCATCAACTTTCCAAAGTATCGATCGGCGAGATAGCCCGGAATCAGACGACCCGGAATGCCGACTGCGTTCAGAACGAGAAGGATGGTGAGTGAATTGGCGGATGAAACGTGAATTTGGTCGTGTGAGAAAGGGGTCAGCTGAAAAAGATGTCAGTTTGATTTCTCCAAGGACACAAAGCAAAGGCGAAAAAAAGGTGAAGGGACTAACGAAAAAATAAGGCACGTAGATGGCGCCAATGCAGAAAAATGAAGCCGCAGTGACGAGGAGCCAGAGCGGCTCGCGGAATGCATCCCATTCGATCCACGGACCGGCCTTGCGGGGCGGAGTGCGCTGACGCAGAACGGCCAGCGCAAAGGCTGCGTTGAAAAGCATGACAAACGCCATGACGCGGACGGTCCAGCCAAAGCCCAGCTGAGGCAACAGCTGCCGGGCAATGACGGGAAAGACCATACCACCGCTGGCCGAACCGGAGACGATAGCCGCCACTGCTACAGCGCGCTTGGTGGTGAAGTAGGTCGAAATGAGAGCCACGGCGGGCGCAAAGAGCATGCCGTCACCGAGTCCCATACAGACTCCTTGCGCCAGGAAGACCTGCCAGTATTTCGTGGAGAGACTGGTCATGAAAGCTCCAAAAACTTGAAGGAAGCAGCCAATGGCAATGGTGGCACGAAAGTATCCTGCATCCATGCTCCGGCCCGAAATGGTGCCGATGAAGAAGAGCAGGAAGATTTGTATGGAACCAATCCACGAAACGGTGCTCTCGGATTCGCCCAATGCCGTAACATAGTATGATTGGAAGAATCCAAAACTGTTGATGAAGCCCCACGTATTGAAATTGACAAGATGGGCGCCCACGACCTGTAGCCAGGCCATCCAGCCTCCATCAGGAGCGGGTTCGAGGCTCATTATGCTTTTCTCATCGTTCTCGTCGTCGGTGGTGGCTCCGTGGGAGGGGTCATCCTTGCCAGACTCTTCTTGAGGGAGAACATTTGGTCGGGGTGCGGGTGCGGGTGTGTTTGAGCTCTGTGGTGTTTTGGGTTCTGTGCCGGTGGGATTGAATGTGTTAAAGTCTAGGACCTGTGTTCCTTCTGCAACGTGGTGCTGCTCTCTGCTGTTTGCGTCCATGCTGGATGGGTAAGAGGAAATGTCAGGCTAAGCAGTTCGAGTCCAGGTCCAGCTGGGTTTCAAAGCTGCACGAGCGGATCGGAGGGGGTGGGTGAAGGGAAGAGTAAAATAGGTCTTGAAGTTTGGGAGAATTTGTGAATCATCTTCCTCCGAAAAAAAAATATGTACTAAAGCTTCAACGATCAATAATCGCCCCGAAATCACATCTCGGGGAAGGTCGCCCGACAGCGACTCAACAATGTTTTTCCACCATCAAGCAAAGGGCGGCGGGGTGTGTCATAGCGTCGATTCTTTTTTCTTTTCTCGACGATCCCGCTAAACTAACCCTTACAGAGCAATCGGTTCCTGACAGCTTGAATAAATATCCGAATATGTACTTTTCCACCCAATTGACTTTCCAGATGGGTCATATTTGCTGCTTTTTATCGTGGGGCGGAGGTCAGTGCTTGTCCGAAGATGGAATAGCATCGGAGAAGATAAAAAGGTAGAAGAACATGACTTAGCATGACCCCCACGCACTCAGCAAGTGTACTCCTAGAGCTCGGAAAAAGGCGGTTCTTGCCGAATAATCCAGAAGAGATGCGCATAGACAATAGCCAGAAGACGGGATGATTTTAATTGTGCACTGGAATCATTGAGCATTGACCTGAAGCATTCAAGTACTATTGAACAATAAGTCAGTCCAGTAAACTGCCTTACTGGGCACCTTTTAGCATTCAATGGCAGGTCAGGGCGGCGAGAGCAGCGAGATCGGAGCTAATACATCGAAGTCTTCGATTTAACCAAATACCCCTCCAAGGTTGCTTATCGGAATTGCTTATCGGACCTGGTTTACGGCTATAGAAGGGATTGGCCGAGGGGAGATTTCAGTCTCGAATCGCACGAGAATGTGTCACACGCTCTCCTCGGCCTTGCTTGCCCTTTGAGTTACGGAGCCAAGTCTTTTGATGAAACCTTAAGAGTTGCGTTATCGGATTGATTAGCTGGCGACTAATAGTTCAAGTCATGCAGAGCCCCGGCTGAAGATAATAATTGTACAATATAAAGTGTAGCCAGGCCCGTCAAGTCGCTGAAATTGTAGCCATAGTTTCCAGTCATTGTAAAATCTAAGTCTCTGTTCTACAGTGTAGGATCAACGCGTCGATAATGGCATCCGGAAAGCAAGTTGTTGCGACCGACAAGGCGCCGAACCCCGCGCCCCTCATTTCGCAGGCCCTCGTGGTCAACGGCATGGTGTACACAGCTGGTCAAATTCCCGTTGACCCTGCCACGGGAAAGTTGGTCGAAGGCACCATCAAGGAGCGTACGGTGCGTGACTGATATCATAAATGCACACATGTGTACCTGTGATATTCAGTGCTGACAAGATTTCACATTAGGCTCAAGTCTTCAAGAACCTTCAACATGTCCTCGAGGCGGCGGGGTCGAGCCTGGAAAAGGCCGTCAAGGTCAACATCTTTGTTACCAATCTGAAAGACGTCCCTGCATTGAATGAAGTCTATGCTACCATTTTCCCTGATCCCAAGCCGGTATGTATCTGCGTTTATGTTTGTTTATATTTCATTTTGTTTTTCTTATTATTTAATTTTTTTTTTATCCTATTTTTTTTTTTTTCCCTCTGTAAATAAAACGATACTAATATCCGACAATAGGTCCGCACCTGCGTGGGCGTTAGAGAATTGCCTCTTGGCACTGACATTGAGGTTGAATGCTCAGGCTACATCTAAGGAAATATACAAGAATGCATTGGGAGGAGTTTTTCTGGCAATGAACAAACAAATAGAAAATTGGATAGATACAATAAAACAAAATATCCAATGCAGTACCAAGTTCGTTTCGACTCTTTGCGTAGAGTTTTGTTGACTGACACTTGAGACGTACCTTTTCAACGATGACTAATCTAAGAAACGCTTGACTGGTCGAGTTAGGAACAAAGAAAAAAGCAGTCACTTACCTCAGGTACCTCACTCTGCTCGCACTAGGCCGGGGTCCTGGATGAGAGTCTAGACCTAAATCTACTCTTGGCCCGCTGTCATCCAACCAGGACCCTCGCGCTATTGAACCCCAGACTACTTTCGAGGACGTCACCACTTTCCTACCGCCCTTGCTATAGTACACAATCAACACGTCTTTATTACCATTATCACCCATTCTTTCCCCACCGTCTTTCCGCTTGCAGACAAAGGCCCTTCAAGTTGTTGCACAAGCCTGGAAACTCGAACACGTGGAGGGTCCCTTGCCCAGACGCAGTGTCACGATGATTTCGGTCAAGGATGATACCACGCCCAGGAGGCACGAGAATGATTCTCATCCCTTTCCATTTTTGTTATTTGAGACAGCGTTAAGTTATTCGACGGCAATCGATACTGTCTTGCCCTGTCTGCTTGTGCAACGTGAGATATGGCTGGCAAGGCAACTCCTCCTTGGACAAGCTCCTCGAAAGTAGACGGCCACGGCCGATATGTCGATTCAGTTGGCGAAGACGAAACTCAGGTCCCTGCGATATATGCAAGCCCAGCCACAGTCGCAGATGCGGACAGTGCAGGCACTACTGTCGATCCCGAAATGGAAGGCCTCACTCTATTCGAAAGGAAGTGCGTGCTGGTAAACCGCGAGCTCGATGCCATGGGCATGGGCCGGTACCAGTGGTGTATCTGGTGCTTATGCGGTTTTGGCTACATGCTGGATCTGCTGTGGGCACAGGCATTTGGTTTAGTGGTGAATCAAATGAAGCAGGAATTGGGATTCAATTGTGCGTTTATGCCCTCTCCTAAATCTGTTTGCAGAAAGTCAATAGCTCATCTCATTGAAGATTCTCAATCCGGAAACCTTGCGACTTCATTTTCTTCTGGACTTTGCGCAGGTAATCTTTTCCTTTCCTTTCTTTTTTTCTTTCCAACTTGCAGGGAAACTGTTTTAACATTTATTCACTTAGGCGCGTTTGTGTGGGGTGTCTTGGTCGACATTATCGGTATGGTTATATCATGAGATTAATTTGCCTTACTTTCCAAATTGTCTCCCACTGAACGACTATCAGGCCGCCAGTGGGCATTCAACCTTACAGTCCTCATATCATCCATCTTTGGCTTATGCCTCGGCGCATCCAACACGTATACCACCGTGTTGGTTCTCACAGCATTTGTCGGTTTTGGCGTGGGAGGCAACATCCCAATTGACACGACTATTACACTTGAATTCATTCCAAAGGTAGCCATTTTGATTCCCACCCTCCATTCCTGAGCACTGTCCAATCTCTCTGGATCTTATATTATCCACCTTCGGCCTCCCATAACATGATTATTCCCCTCAATCACTTCCTCGCTAATGATACTCAGAACCGGCGATTTCTCCTGGCCGCACTCTCCGTCTTCCAGCCCATTGGCGTCGTAGTGTGCACCGCCATCGCATACGGCTTTATCCCCAACTATTCCTGCCCGGCCAACGGTCCGGACGGGGAACCGCTCGAATCATGCCGCCTCGTTTCGCGGGGAACACCATGCTGCCAGCGATCCGCCAACATGGGCTGGCGATTCGTATGCTTCACCATTGGCGGGATCACGCTGGGGGTATTTATCCTGCGCTTTGTGCTGTTCCGATTCCAAGAGTCTCCCAAGTTTCTCGTCTCCCGGGGTAAAGACGAAAAGGCTATCCGTGTCCTGCAGCACGTGGCAAAGTTCAACCGGACCGAGTCTCGCCTTACACTCGAGGACTTTGCTCAGCTCGCAGACGAAACCACGTCGGTGCAGAGCAGCGATTCTGAAGCGCCCTTATTTCATAATCTGCGTGAAAGCGGCCATGGCCAGAAATCTATTCAGCAGTCTGTATTTGGTGGGAGTTTCAAGGCCGAGCTGGCTCGCTATAAACTCTTATTTTCCAATTTCACCATGATCCGGTTGACACTGCTGGTGTGGATCACGTATATCTTTGATTACTGGGGATTTACGATCGCTGGTACGCCGTCTTTCCATTCCAATCTGCTCATTACTCCTATTTTTGCTTGAACAAGAAATAAAGCACAACTAATACATGTTTATCTCTAGGCTTCTACCTCCCGACAATCCTTTTGCTCAAAAACGCCTCATTGCATGTCTCGCTGCGCAGCACATATCTGTCATATCTATGGATTTACCTTCCTGGGATTCCCGCAGTGTTGCTCGGGTCTTATTTGTATCATTTTGACATTGGTTTTCATAACTCTTCCCCTTCGCCAACTTCATCCTCCTCCATCTCCTCAGCATCCTCCGCGTCCTTCTCCACCCCTCCACCTGGATCCAGCTTATCCCCTCCTTCCCCCAGCCGAGAACATCATCATCATCAACACCCCCACACCACCGCCAGACGCAAACCCACCATCTCCTGCCCTATCCCCTTTTCTATATCCATATCCGGGCGACAAGCAACCATGGTCCTCTCATCCCTACTCATGTCTCTGTCCCTCTTTCTCTTCAGCCTGGTCAACACCCAGGCCAGCAATATCGGCTTGAACGCCATGGAGTACTTTTTCCAGTCCCTCTTCAATGCCGTCTTGTACGGCTGGACACCCGAGGCCTTTCCTGCTCCTGTACGCGGCACCGCTGCTGGCGTCGCTAGCTTTTGGGGCCGTCTTGCAAGTATTGTCGCTCCACTGATTGCGGGACATTTGTTGGACACTGGCAGTGGCGGTAGTGGAGATGATGCAGCAGGTATTAACAATGTCCTCTACCTGGCGGGCGGAGGCGTTCTCGTGTGTACTCTTTCAACAGCACTGTTGCCGAGAGGAGTCCTTGGTCGGGAAAGTTATTAAAGTTTGTCATTCAGTCATGGCCGCATATATGTTTACGTGTTGAGTTTAAACATTCAACTAGAAGAATCAGTTAGACAAATAGCCAGCATGGTCTTTTGAGATGCTTTGCAATTGACTTTATTGCTTGTTCGAGCAGGCTACAGTACGACAATCACGTCTATATCATCATCATCATCAAAGTAACAGTGACAATGTTAATGTTGAAAATTTGATATTGTTGTTGTTGTTGTTGTTGTTGTTGTTGATGATGTTGATGATATGATAAAGGCTCTGAAGAGGTAATGGGGGATACTATATAAAAGGCCAATAGTCCATAAAAGGGTAGAAACCTATCACGCAGAAAAGGAAAAAAATGAGAAAGGAGGAAAAGAAGCGGGGAAGCGTGGAAGGGAGAGAGGAAAAGAAAGAGAAAAAAATAATAGTAAGAAAAGATAGGGGCAAGGAAACGAGGCATGCATTCTCCAGTGCTTGACCATCAAAGGGGGCATATTAGTAAATCATTCAACCACATCAAACAGATACCCCGCGCTCTATCATCATAAATCCTAAATAACATATACTCGGATACAAATACCCGCCAACGTGGACGCAGACAAAGATGGAAACCGAATGCTCGCGCGTCGCGTGCTCATGCTCGTGCTCTCGCGTCCTCCATACAGAATGCCCTTTTGATTGTTTTTGATGTTTCTCATCCGTAAGTTGTCCTCGGATACAATGATTCATGATACTTTAAACCCCATGATTGATTCATCCTGCTGCACCATTCGTATCCATCGGACTGCCGCCACCGACGGCCACGCCAACGCCGGAGCCCGCGCCTTGTCTCCGTCTCCGTATGGGCGCCTTCTTCCTTCTCGCAATCGCATCTGCTGCATTATCGCCAGGCTGGTTGGAAGACATGGACACATCAACCTCTGCCTCATCATCGCCATCGTCATGCGCAGCCTGCTGCTGCATTTCGTGAAATCGTCTTTGCTCATCCAATTCGGTGATATCGTCCGGCCGCATACGCAACCATTTCATGCGAGGTCCGGAGCGAGCCCGTTCTGACACTTTGAAGCCGTAGATACGGGGTTCGTAAATCTTTCCTTGACCCAGTCCCGGTGCGAGATTGCTTGAAATCACACCATTGATTGTAGTTGGTTGACCGTGCTGTAGCTGATTCGCACTTGATGAGGAAGCGCCGCTGCGCGTGGCACGGTCAGCGTTAGTGGCTGATCCTGTGCCGCCAGTGGTGGCGGTGAGAAAGCTGTCGCCGCCACGGCCAACGTCGAGTTCAGGGAACGTCATAAAGAAGAGACATCCAAAGGTGGTACCGAAAAACGCACCGTCGAGCGACTGGAACCGGCTGTTGGGTGGCGTGTACACGTCGAGACAGCTCGGGCAAAAGAGCTTTACAGTATCCTGACCTGGCGTGTCGCTACAGCCGACGGGCAGGACACGACATCCGTTGCAGTGCACACGCGGGCAAACTCCAAAATGTTGAAGTTCGTACTTTTCTGCCATTTGTTGTATACCGGGCCGGGAGGTGATGTAGCGTTGGTGAATGAGACCGTAGAGAAGCTCGGCTGAGCTCTCGATGACGCTGAGATCGCTCGCCATTCGCATGTGCCGTCTGTCACCAGCGCGGCGGTATCCCAAGCGTCCCTCGTCGCCGAGAGCCTCATCTTCTTCCTCTTCTTCGTCCTCGTCCTCGTCCTCTTCGTCTTCTTCGGGCTCCACGTCCAGAATCATCTCCAACGCTTCCTTGTACATGTGGACGTGCGACTGAAGCCCTGTTAGATTGAAGTCATCTTCGATAAAGTCCTCTGAGACTTCAGCAAAATATTCATGACCGAGAAGCGAGCAAAAGGATGTGATCCAAGATTCGGGTGCTTGCGATGACGACGACATCTCGCTCACGTCATACGACTGCTCTCCCTCTTGCTGTGTGTAGTCGTCTTCGGTCTGGAGATCCAAGCCTTCGAGGCCCGCGACCAGGTCTTCGCCGAGTCGCGACACGGTGAAAGATTTGGATCAGAGATCTTGGATGTGATTAGAGCGAGTGGGCAGAAACCCAAGATTTCGGAGCCTGTCTTAATTGACAACAGGCTGCCGCGTATTTTAATCTTTGGCTGTAAAGGTGACCGGTTTCAAGGGTATCTCGGTGTGTGCGTGATAGGATGGCAGGTGCGGGTAATGGTGGAAACCAAAGGTGCGAGTCAATGACGGCTAAATTGGCAAGGACAACCGCAAGCTGAGATGCTCGCACGTATCATGTAGGGTATTGTTTGAGAGTGCTTCCACAAGACGCCGATCGAGTAACGGTGACTAAATCTCGAGATGACTACTACAAAAGCTGAGGCACTGCGTCAGCTTCGCTCCTCGCCATGACCAGACCGACTAGTTGGGGAAAAAATAGTATATTTACCCACGGAGATAGTTTTCACCAACCAATTAATCAGCGGTAGCAGAACATAAGGTAGGTTCCAAGGCAGTGAGCCTTTTTGCTTTGTCTAAGAACTTTATGGAGGTTTAAAAGGGGGACAAGAAAATATCGTATAAAAGGCGCTGCGAGGAAAGGGTTAAGGTTTGCTGATCTTCACTGGCAGTGCGTTCGTGTGGGTTCTGTGGAGTTGGGGGATCAAGTCTGTCTGCGATGGCTGATGGTTGATGGCTGAGTCCCATTTGTGGCTGGTGCTTCGCTACACTGTATCAAGTTAGACTGTCCTGTCCCTTTGGTGAGCTTCATATGTGGAAGTAGATTAGATGGTCCTATACAATTTTAGAAAGGACCATTATGATATTTGAATCAAATATTAATTATCGAGAAAGTTCTAATTGATATTATATTATATTACTTCTTCAATGGATATGGACATTGTTTGACAGATAATGACCATCAAGAGAAAGCATATGATCTCAATCCCAGTATTGCTTCTGCTTTATACACTCAAAACGCCCTTCGCCAATATAACCAAAAGAACGTTGCACCACAGGTCAAAAAAGATGCCGAATAACCTTCGGAGCTTCCTGCTGCCCTTCGAGATTCGGGTGAGTTGAGCCATCCCGAGGAATTGGGACAGACTGTGCGCCATTATATCCATTTATCCCCTCGGTTCCGCCATTCAAGACTCCGGCGGCCTCAAACAAATGAGTCAATTCGTTACTCATCTGATATCCATCAACGGGAGTGGTCCCAGCCACTGCTGAATTCATTGTAGCGGCTGTATCAGGATAACTTGCCACTGGACCCACTGGATGACCTGCGAGACCGGCCATGGCCATGGCAGCGCTAGAATGAGCGTCGCTCTCAGATTGACCAAAGTGTTGTACTCCAAGACCCAACTTCGGTGCCACGACTTTTAGTCCTTCAATGGTCTTCCAAAGACGCTTTGAGATGTACGATTTAGTGCTAAAGCCCTTGACGAGATCAAGAGCCATGTAAAACTCGTCTCGGGCGAGGCTGCTAAACTGTGCTGGAGCGTGCGAAACGGCCAAGAATAGCACCGCCAATGCCGAGACTAGAAAGTAATTGAAACAGACTTGCTGAGTTCGATAAATGTCTGTCTCCTGATTAAGCCGCGATAGGACTCGGATCGTGTCCTTGGCCACATCCACAACGGTCTGAGCGCAACCTCGGTTCTCTACGATGCTCGTAGCAGAATGTAGCACCGGACGATAGATAAGGATACGCATTTGATTCGCTCGAAGATAGAGGATCACCCGTAATCGAGCCAGGCCGCGGTTCTCCAAGTTAGTTCCTTGTGGAGACTCGAAATGATAGAACCGTAAATTTTCTGGAATGGAATTATGCCATTGAAGGGTCTGATAGTCGAGGAATCCCATTTCATCGCGACGAATCTCGCTGACTGAGCCATCGAGTCCGGCCACAGACTTCCAGACACGTGAACCAATCCGGCTGTATGCGATCATGGCAAGTAAATAGTGAGATGAAGCGTCCTGCAACTCGTCAACATATAAAGGGGCAGAGGTATATGTGAAACAATTTTAGCTTACTGGCTCAGGCAAGCTTGGATCGATATCCGAGTCCTGGAGTGCAAACGGTAGACCGGTGCTTAGACTCCACCGTCGATCAAGAACGTAGATGGACCAAAAGATGCCAATAGCGCGCGCACGTCGCTCCTGCTCATTCTCAGAGCCGGCAAATAACTTGTCCAGGCACTCACGGCGATGAAGGCCAAGCTCTAGGCACAATCGCACAACCAATCCATTAGTGCGCCAGGCCAGTGTCTCCTCGTCGCGATGAAAATGATAAAATGACTGTGCAACACGTCAACCTCAAACGATTCTGAGAATATCATGGATTTCAAAACAGGTGACCTACAATGACAACCAACAAAACAATGTCCCTGACCTCCACAGGCGCCCACAAGAAGTTTTCGGCATGTGGCCGGACGGTCTCATAGAGCCTCTCTCCGACCTCACTTTGACCGTCGCCCTCAATCATCAAAGCCGTCGCAAGTACCATTTTCAACACGTTTGTATATTTGTCTTGAAGCTGATCCGCGCCAGGCAGTGAAGGCTGGGCAAACCCGCTCCGGGCTGCGGCTTCGATGAAAGTATATAAGAGATTCGCATGTCGCATGAGAAAGTCGATGCTAAGGACCGGATACATGACGCCCACTTCTTCCTCATAGACTTGACAGAGTCGCATAACATCTTGTCGTGACAGACCCCATATCGGATCTTTCGTCGAGTGTATCTTGATTGGAGAATGCGGCGGGGATGGGGCAGGGAGGGCATTACGAGGGAGAGCGCCATCGGGTCCTATGTCTTCAGGACTGGTGATGCCCATTGTTTGTAGACTTGATCGAGCAACATCGAAACCAAACGCAGAGCTTGTTGGTCCTTGAAACCTTGGGGTACGCGAAATTCGTCTATCTTGAGTGGCCTGGTGGATCTGATTGAGCGGAGAGCTGGGATTAGGAATCGACGGCTGTGAAACCGAGACGGAACGTGACTGAAGTCGGCGGGGATAAGAGCCTGACTCTATTGTTGGAGTATTGATATCCTGTGAGCTGCGCAAGGCCGACATGCTCGCGAACAAGTTATCGACTTGATCCTGTAGCGTTCTTATCTGCGCATCCATCCGTTTGAACTCGCTGAATGCGAGTGGAGCAAATAAGTCAGCATTTAGAAACGCAGCTGAAGACTCCAATCCAGACTCACTCGGATTCTTTAAACGAGCTTCCGCAGCAGTTCGGTGCATATAGACACTCAAGGCCAAGGTTGCCGCATCGTTGGCAAGGCGTTTGTCCATTGCATTTAATCTTGCGCCGTTTACATTCGTTGCTGGAAATTACTCGTCAGATAAATACTGATCCTCTGGGTATGGTGACCCGAAACACACCAGGCAATGGATATATAACGATTGCGCTTTGCACGTTGAGTAGGTTGATTGGCGCCATCGGGCTTTCTTTTATTGGGGTTGTTGTTGGATGCGCTGTGGTCGCCACTGTCCGACCCGGCGGTCGAGGTAGGATGAGGAGGTGGAAGGCCGTCCATTTCTATTATTTACGAGAGCTTTCATTTGTCGAGTGAGGTGTGGCGCATGGAGAAGAGACCGGAAGACCTTCAGGGTCGGGAATGCGAAAGGATGTCAGGTCGCGTCGAGCTGTAGAGGTCGAGGACGGAGATAATCCCGTGGGGTCGGCAAGAGGATCGGAATCTTTCCCGTTTCTAGGATAAGGGGAGGGGAAACAGTAACATCATCCTTCTCTTTTCACATGCGGACAATTTCAAACTAACCAGTGATGAATTCATTTCCACAGACAAATATATGACAGCACGCAATCTTTGATATTTTACGATATTCTATATTCTGTGCTATCATGTTGTCACGATTAGTGAAAAACATGGTTTGTCACAACATCTTATCATCTGTTTAAGGTAAGGTATGAAGAAACACTGGCCTCATTGGCTTGGATGCAGGAAGATTAGCTGTGCAAAGCTATATACGGAGCTTCAACAAACATTTATTCTCTTTTACTATCTTCGATGCCGCCCTTTCTAAAAGATGGTGGCGTTGCGATGTTTGAATGTGCAGCGTCTTCCATCACGAAGATGTCGTTATTTTATGGAAATGAATGTCAATCCTCTTTCATTTTCTTGAGCACACACCTCTCGGGATTCGTGGCCTAAATTTCTGATCATATCATTCGATATTTGCTTCGGATGTTTCCATAAATTTCCATTCAATGCGGTCCCATGACCTGCATCGACTTCCTGCTGCTGTGGCGGCTCGGACTCTGCGTGACTGGTCCAGGAATGGGCTTTCCACGCGTATTCCCAGATCGTATCTTGAAGTGAATCAAATGTACAAAAGTGCCTTGTAGAATTTCAGATGCTTTGGTGCTGCAAACGAGCATGTCCGTCCGCGATATTCTATTCTGACGCATCCTCAATCAACGTTTCCAACCGAAACATTTGCTGAGAATCCAATTTGTCATGCCTCTGAGACACTCTAGAATGGGAGTACCTTCCCTATCTATAGCACCTTCGTCTATAAAATGGCTCTTTGAGCTACTGTGTCTTCTATGATTTACTGACTGGTTGGCTTGCCTGCCAAGCCATGAAACAATAAGATTGAAAAACGGGCAGCAGAAATCCAAACAGAGACAGGGGATGACGGCGGGGGAAAAGGAGAAAAAAACCCCAAAGCTGTCTGGTTTGGAAATACACAGATGTGAGGATGAGGTTGGGTAAGATGACCCGGTTAGTCAGGCAATTATCTGTTGGAATCAAAAGAAAAGATCGGCAGGGAACCACGGGGTTAGAAATAGAGCTCGGTGGAGCGTGGTCCCAAATGGAAACCAGAAAAATGAGTTCAAAGGCATATGTGATCAGCGAGGGAAATATAACAGATTATCAATGAGCTGGGCTGCTCTTCAAGAGATATCGCTCTTCTTTTCATTTTCTCGTTTAACCTTTTTTTTCCTCGCCTATATGGGCATTTTGCAAAGTATTTTATCCAGCTCTTCTATATCTCTTTTCATCTGTCAAATTGCCTCTTTCTTTCTTTCTTTCCATAAAATCATGTCATTATCATTACCTTGCTCTTCGCCGACCATTACCTTTTTCATATTTCCGTTGAACTTTCGAAATGTACCTGCTATGCCTCCCTTACCTACCTTAGTCAATCTCTCCGCGCCATAAGTAAATATGATATCAAGTCTCCCATGCGTATTCAAATGCACTTTCCTACCATTTCCTGGATCCCGTTCCTCATGCTTCAAAACATAACTGTCTTCTTAGGCCCCCGCCCTTGGAAGATGTTACCCATACTCCTGTTGTATATTGCCCTCGAAGGACTGAAGCTGGCAACCCTGAAGAAGATCGTCCCAGTAGGTCCAGTCCATGGGACTGAGGTCCATTGGGAGAGAGCCGGTCAACAACGGTGCTTCTATGCCCGCTGCCAGATCGACTGGAATGCCAGCTGGATTGCCGGACGTCGGGGTTGTTATTATAGGATCGTCAGCCGGAGTCGAAGAGTATTCAGATGATGTTTTGAGTGGGGATTTTTGGTTCGTGGGAGAGGCGCTGGATGTTTGACTGTGGCCTCGTTGGTATCGTAGCACCGAAATGAATGGCGGTGGCGGGTTGGGCGGTGGTTGGTTCTGGCGCGTGAACTCGGCTTCAAGTGCCTCCCATGCCTTCAAGGTCAAGTTCCCAACGGCCACGTGAAGCGCATTCTTGGTTGACTGAATATACTCTGGGTGGTTTTGAAACATATCGTTAACCTCATTCCATGCCCGCTCGACAAGCACCCCCGTCGTTCGACGACGTAGTTCGCTCAAGAGGTAGACTAGCACGTCGAGTTGGAAATTCATCTGGACATGCCAACGATATCTTTGCAAGCTCTTGGTTGACATGACTAGATTGTCGCTCTCAATGACCTGTAAAGCATTTCGAAAGAGCATATCCCGCTCTTCTTGGGGCAGGCTTGCCCCGCCGTCCATATATTGTCGAGGATGATGAGCAACTAAACGCATCTTGCTGAGAGCTGTTGACATCATCGTCGAGCTCATGTAATGAAGAGGAATTAGCGGTTCGCAGAATCGCAAATATTTTTGGTCCAAATTCCGCTCCAAATCGTCAAGCTCCTTATCTTTCTCCGCCAAGGACACATCATTGGTACTCAGCTTCTGCCAACCACCGTCGAAGCCTTTGCCCGGGGGGCAGCGACGCAGAAATTCGCCCACTTCATATCGAAGCTGACAAAAAACCATTTCAGTGATACCAGTATGCTCTACTGGGAGCTCCCGCATGTCTGGATTAAGGTCGCTGTCATTAACATTGAGAGGAGGTTTAGTGTCCCACAGATGGGAGAGGACCGAGGATCCAGAACCCGACATTTCTGCACTGCGACCATCGAGTAGTACAAGTTGCCACCAGAGCCGCCGGCGCATCTCCACTTCAAACATCGGCAGTTGCAATGTGACTCCATCACGGTGGAGACCAATCCGTTGACTGATTCGAACAGCAACACCAGTAAGAACCCATAAAGTTCGGGGATCGAAGGATGAACGGACGGAGATCTTTTCGGTAACGTTAGCCAAAAAAAATTTGCAACAAACTTGGGCAAAGGTACGTACTATGAAAAGGACAAATGCTTGCAAGACAACCAGATCGGAAGATTTAAGCAATCCCGCGGCAACAAGGGCTTGTTGTGTTGCGTACTGAAATCGTTCCAACAGTATTGATCTTTGTTCGCCAATCAAAGCCTCGCACTCGGCATTGGTCATGGATAATACTGCGCAGGAATAAATTGCAAACATCAAAGCTTCAGTACTCGTGGGTATGTTTTCAATATGACCGCTTGCATCGAGAATGGCAGACTGCACCGTCGGAGCGTGTATGATTTTGGTGAGGGGATTGATATTGTCCAAGAAAGTCTGCCATAATCGAAAGATATGTACGGTTTGTGGGTGCAGCGCGCTCAAGTTTGTAGTGATAGGACCGAAGCCAAATAGAAGGCCACTACCTTGGTAGAGTGCATCGTTTCCATGTTGAGTTGCCGACTCAGTCCTTTCATCCTCGGAGGATGCGTGTAAAATCTCCTTGGGGTTGCGGAGCTTGATCGCTGAATCAGAACGAGCTTCATCGGAGAGCAACAAAAGGGTCCAGGGGAAACTTACCTCATCGCTGAGGCTGGTCCATAGGTTGCTATTATCATATTAGTCCAAGGACTTTTGAGAGCACAACATAAGATATCTTACTTATCCAAATAGCGAGACATGCCCCGTTCCGAGATTAGTCTCCCTGGCTCCATAGCCGGCGATGCTGAATCTTTGATACGCATGCCTGAAATTCCAGATGTTTTTCGATAATCGACTTCAGAAGCCTCTGTGTCCATCTCGTTACCCTCAGGGCCAAATTCGCCACCTTCCCCATCTGATCCATCCAGTTTGACCCCATAGCTTCTCAACATCTCCTCGTAACGCTTCAACCGCGCAAGCAATGTGGCCTCGGGAGATCGTCTTTTGCGCCGTCGAGGCGGTGCAGGTGGACGAAATACACATTCAACCTGAGCCTTTCTGCATGCAGAGCAGGGGTCCTTCCTGTCACATTTGACCTTGCGCTGTTGGCATAACACGCACGAATGATTCTTGGGATTCTTCACGACCGCCACGCCTGGCGTCGAGGGCGTGGGGGAGACCAGTGGCTCTGCCGACGACATTATTGCGGCAAGAGCTCGAAGTGGGATCGAATGATGCGGCTAACGGGTATGGCGAGGAAGACCAGACGACTCAAAGAAACAGCTATACGATAGCTGCGGGCACATGGGACGCGGACCACTTGCGTCGGTCGCTTACGGGCGGTGAGGCTCAAGCATACAACCCCCAGTCGGAACGAGCCGAGCGGTGAAATGAATAATTTTTGAGATGCAACTGAGATGAAAAGGCAGAAGCTTGATGACCTGCCTCTGCTGTGTTGGTTGTGTGCGTGTGAGGCTGAGGAATGGGGTTTTCAATATTGGTGAACGATTTTCTTTGTTCCTTGAGAGAGGAGGTTAGAGATGATGCATCCACTTCCGTTGACTGGAGGTTTAGCCGGAATGGGGCGCTGGAGAGGCAAGTGCTCGGTACCTATATCAATGACTTCATTGTGCAAATTTCCAAGTAGCCTGTACTTTTCTGTTTTCCCAGAACAGCTATCGGCAACGGAAAATCCAATTTCCCGCCATCAGGCGCAGCTACCTACATTCTTCATGATGTCGTCTTTCACAAGCAGCAACTTCGTTTTCTGTTCTGTCGGAAATGTAATTCTTTCAGTAGGTTTGCTAAAAATATAACTCCTTTATTTCCTCTACTAATGCTAGATATAAAGCAAGCATTTCTGTTGAAACTACCAGTGACCCATACTTCTTGTCGCTGTAGCAAGCTGTAACGCTCTGACAAGCTTCGACTATGTTGTTGTAGCAGCGTTTGACATTTCAGACTAAAACGGGCTTCGATGCGCATCTCGCTGTGCGACTCCGTGGTTGAGGTTATCTGCGATATCACTATCTAGAGCAGGTTCGTTTCAGAGAATTAGGCTTAGTGTTGGATACAACCAGCGCAGGGTCAACTCGTGGTTACCTCATTTTGACGGGAGCGGCAGAACGCTCTGTACATGTGTTGGGGGTTCGTGAAGACCCTGAAATGGCCTGTTAATCTAAGCGCAAGCCCCGGCGCTAAGAATGACCGACCCCCGATTGCAGCTGCTTTAAGGTTGGAAGCAGTCGAAAGGATATAATGTACCCCGCCTTACTTCGAGACCTGCAAAGATACTTTACAGTGCGTGGGCTGCTCGCTCCCCGGGCAGGCCGAGCCGTCGGAGAGACGCCAAAACGATCGACCCGAAAGCTAACCTAAAGGGAATATATGGATCTAGTCGAACTAGCGAAGTAGCTCTTCCGTACTCAAGTGCAATCGTCAAGGTTCTCGCTTGCTGATATGAATGTATCTTCAACTATAGAGTATCATCGTAGATCTCGCTGTTCATGACATAAAAGTGCAATAGATCTAAGGGTGGAAAGAAATACCCTAGAAATGACACCGGCAAGATCAATCAGACAGGAATTTAGGGTGGGTCTCTTTTTGCGACATGCCAGTGGGTCTGGGTGACGGAAATTACACTAGCGATCAGAACTTTGCATAAGGGTACAAGGTACTTCGGGCCCGAAAGGATCGTGGGCCAGGCACCGTTTCGGGCCCGAGAGGTTCATGGACAATAACAAAAGCGTCCATGACTTGTCGGATCGGACTTCTTCTCCCTCAACGCCCCTAAATTTCGATATTCATTTCTTTAGACGCGTTGATGTCTTCCGAATCATCATTTTATTCTAGTTTTTTCTCCCCGCCCCTTCCTCCTTCATCTACTATTTAGAATACCTCACTTCCACTGACATGACTGACCATTCTCCATCCACATCTGTCAATAATCACCTTGAGTCTCCTCCATCTCATAAATCCTCTCTCTCCGTTCCCTCTCCTCACAATCCGACCACCTCTGAGCATCAAGCTCCTCATACTACCTCTCAAGTTCCCCAAACCACTCAGCCCGGTATGCCTTCGAGCACCGAAATGAGCCAGGACTCTGTGCCTACCGACTTGGAGAAGGCCCCTGAGCCTCCCAAGGTCCAGCAAAAGGGTCCACTTCCCGATGACTATGAGTACCCCGGAACGGTGACTGTTATCTTGGTTATGGTGGCTCTTTACCTTGCTGTCTTCCTCGTTGCTTTGGTAAGTTACTTCCCCCATGACAAAACAAAGTCCCAACCCATCGCACAAGATGAAAAATCTAACAGCCGGAACAGGATCGAACCATTATTGCAACTGCAATCCCTCAGATCACTGATCACTTCCGCTCGCTCGGTGATGTCGGATGGTACGGTAGTGCCTACATGTTGACCAGCTGCTCGTTTCAATTGCTTCTCGGTCGTGTGTACACCTTCTACTCTCCGAAATGGGTCTTCTTGACTACCATCATCATTTTCGAGATCGGATCTGCCGTTTGTGGAGCTGCCCCTAGCTCAACTGCTTTTATCGTCGGTCGTGCCATTGCCGGGCTTGGCTCAGCTGGTATTTTCTCTGGTGCTATCATCATTATTGTCTACACTGTTCCACTGCACAAGCGACCTGTCTATCAAGGCTTCGTCGGGGCCATGTTCGGAATCGCCTCGGTCGCAGGTCCCTTAATTGGTGGTGCTTTCACGACTAATGTCACCTGGAGATGGTGCTTCTACATCAACCTGCCGATCGGTGCAGTGACCATTGCAATCATCATTTTCATTTTGAAGCTACCTGCACCTCAAAAGGCCGGCACCCCCATCAAGCAGCAGATCAACCAGCTCGACCCTCTTGGCACGATTTGCTTTCTTCCGGGCATCATCTGTTTGCTTTTGGCTCTCCAGTGGGGTGGCTCAACGTACGCTTGGAGTAACGGTCGTATCATTGCTCTCTTCGTCATCTTCGGTGTCCTGATCATTTCCTTCATCGCTATTCAGATCTGGCGCCAGGAGAATGCGACCGTGCCTCCTCGCATCATCAAGATGCGCAGCATTGCGGCTGGTGTCATTTTCGCCTTCTGCCTTGGTTCTTCTCTCATGGTCATGGTTTATTTCTTGCCCATGTGGTTCCAGGCCATCAAGAATGTCAGCGCCGTGAAATCTGGTATCATGTCAATTCCCATGGTGCTTTCCTTGGTTATTGCCAGTATCATTGGCGGTTTCCTCATCAGCAAAATCGGCTACTACACACCCTTCATGTACATTTCAACCGTTCTTACTTCAATTGGAGCCGGTCTGCTCACGACCTTCACCACAACCACCGGTCATCCCAAATGGATTGGCTACCAAGTCATTTACGGTCTCGGTGCCGGCTTTGGCCAGCAACAGGCTGGTATGGCTGCCCAGACTGTCCTCGATCGTAAGGATATTGGCGTCGGCGCTTCTCTCATGTTCTTTGGCCAGTCGCTCGGCGGTGCCCTCTTCGTCTCCATCGGAAACAATGTCTTCGCCAACAAGCTTATCGACGGCCTCAAGGGCGTGCACGGACTGAATGCCGGTGCGATCGTTAGCACTGGTGCGACTGACATCCGCCGTAACGTCGCCCCCGAGTACCTTCCCGTTGTCCTCAAGGCCTACAATAATGCTTTGATGAAAGCATTGGACTGCGGTCTTGCTGTCGCCTGCCTCTCCATCATTGGTGCTGTTCTGATGGAGTGGAGGACCGTCAAGGGCAGGCGTAGTGGTCCTGGAGGACCTGGTGGACCAGGAGGCCCTGGAGGCAAGGCCGGCCCTGGTGGTCCCGGTGGTCCCGGGGGTCCCGGGGGTCCTGGAGGTCCGGGTGGACCTGGTGGACCTGGCGCCGATAACAAGGCCTAAGCTCAACGACTCGGGCCCATCTTTGGCGGTACTTGCTTTTACGTGTCGTCAAAATTTGGGTTCTGGTTGTGGGGGTGGCAGATGGGTGGTCTGTGTTGTGCTTGAAACATATTTTCGCTGAGACTGAGGCTGCGTGCATCGACATAATATCCTCATATCATCAATTTTCTTCTCATCATTAGCATGCGACATACCCAATATTGTTTGCAAGATTTTCAAAGCGAGCATCTCAATTTGCTAGACGAGATGTACGGGGTCTTGTGGTATTCCTCGTTTTCTCTTGTTTGCTATTCAAACATGTTGCGGAGATGCAGTCGCCTGGTTTCCCGAGGTTGATGGGTGGTCTGGCTGTTTACCTTAGCCGAGTGTTCCCTTGCTGGGTAATGGCGGTCACCATTCGGTCCGGTGACAAGTGCAACCACGACTGTGCCCGACTTTTTCTTTCTTTTGTCAAATCTGGGTCTGGGAAATTCTTCACTCTACACATTTTCTATGTGTATTATATCAGGGCGTTAGGGAGAAAAGAGCATGGAAAACATGGGGCCAGGGGATAATATACGAATAATGAATTAAAAAAATTTAATCAGCTAATATTTACATTTTTCCACTTCAATTATTGTTGTGCTTTATTTCATTTGCCGTGATAATTGATTGAGTACTCGCTGCATACACGTAAGATAGTAATACGTCCCATTACGCTATCAACTGATCTAGAAGGTAAAGCCAAGTTAATAAGTTTCTCAGGCCAGTATCACTCTAGCTATTGGGGGTCTTTGATCATATCAGGATGCCAAGATGACGAAAAAACTGTGAGAGTAGATTCTGGCGATGATTATCGTCGGCGCAGTACATCAAAGTTGCGAAACATTTGATACAGACCTGTCATGGACTCGAGACTTTTGATACAATGTTTAATACGTGCATGTCTACGCTGTGCTAACGAGAATTAAAAAGTGAGAGAAAAGGCTTAGATAAAATCGAAATTGAAATGATAATAAGAGTAGCCATGGTAAATAAATTTCATAAATGCATAGAAACATATATTGAGCGTAATTGAACTACCTTTGACAGGAACATCTCTACAATCAAAAAGGGGGTTTAAAAAGAAGGAAAGTATAGAAAGTTTATATCAATGAATGAAAACCAATGTTGCCTTCATCTGTATCATTACTGGGCAACCAGGTGACTGCCTTCTTACTTCCGAGGTCTTCGGTCCTCAGTAATTCACCCATTATGATTGGGTGATATCTCTTGTCCACTTGACTAGCTCGGCGATGCTCTCAGAGACGAACTTATTCCTGGGCACATCATGGCCGCCCTCATGATCGTACATTCTGCGGACCGAGGGGTCGCAAAACTGCGCGAGCTGCAGACTGGCGGGGTACCGGGGATCCTTTGAGCCATAAATGTGTACCGTGGGAATGGGAATGATCAAGCGCTGCGGGATCGCCGTGCAGTCGAACCCAAACACATTGGTCGGATCGAGCGCCGCTTGGGCCGCCATGTCGTCAATGATCTTGTTTCGCGTCGCGCCGGGTGGCGCCTCGCCGTCGCGCGTCATGCCCACGCCGTGCCACGACTTCGGGATCGTCGTGTTTTCCAGCACGGGGGTGGCGGTGCCGCTGCCGGAGTTTCCATTGGAGAGCGAGAAAAAGCCGTTGTTGGTGGCTGCGGGCGACAGGCGCGTTCCAGACGAGGGAGGCGGAGGAGTCGGGGTGGAGGTCGCGCGGCCATTGGAAAGAGACGGCGAAGGGGAAGGCGAGGCACCCCCAAGAGAAGCAAGAGGTTTACCGGTCCAGCGGTCTTGGCCTAGTTCAATGGCCGCGGCTTGGGCTTGGAGCTCGTGCCGCGTACGTTCGTCCCAGTCTTTGGCTTCTTGGCTGACGGGAATACCGAGCGCTTCAACGACTGGCAGGCCCACGCCACCGCAGATGAAGATGGCCGTTTTGAATGGAATAGGGTCGTCCGGGCGCTCAGCCATGTGGTAAAGCAAGAAGCTGGAGATCAGGGCGCATCCTTGCGAGAAGAGCATGACTCCGTCGTACGGTCCATCTCGGTCAATCAGGTCCAACAGCCATTGATGTGCCGCGCGGATGGAGGAGACCGCGGTCCCTTCCCAGAAGGAGTAGTATGGGGGAGGGTAGAAGAGGTCGATTCCAGCGGCAGGCGTGGAGGCGAATGGCGCGTCGCGGAAATCGAACTCGAAGCTTGGGTCGAGACGGAGGCGGAACGACGCTGATGCAGTCGTTAGATGGATGAAGTAATGCGAGCTCAATCCGGGATTGGGGTGATTTGAAGATTTATATGCGTGTTGGGTGTTTGTGAAGGGAGAAAACGGTAGGTTAGGGACATGGGAAACAAAATTTCGAGGCGTACTTACCAGTTTGCGAGCGAAAAATGGCCGCACTCGTGCCCTTGCCGTGCAGACAGAGGAATCGCATGATCAAAAAAGAGTGCCTTGCGGGGCGGCTAAGCGCGTATTGGTGTAACTTTTCCCCTTTTCGTTTTTGATTTAATGCTTGCACCTCTCAGAGGCAGATTGAATGGGTGGACTTGATACCAGATGCCAGATGTCGGACAGTATTTGGGACAAGGTTCGCAAGCCCAGTGGCTATGCGTGTGTAAGCGCTGCCAAAGTGAAGTGGAAGCGGGGTACTCTCTCAAGGGACGATGGAAAAGGTCAATAAGCCAAGTAAAAAAAAAAAGGTCGAGTTCTCGGCCTGCAAATACACCAGGCGTACACAACGCAAAACAGCCCAAAAGAATTGGAATTAAAAAGGGCTGCGTTTGGCGGGCGAAAGAGACACAGGAATTCGGGAGACACACGCGGGGTGATGTCCTTTGGTATCCCGAAAGGAAATGATGATTGTTTTTTGGCCACGCGAAGCGCAGTAAGACGCCTTAGGGCACGGGTCCGATGCAGAGAATGATGTCGTAATGACTTCCGAGGCTGAAGCTGAAGAGAGGAGATACCGCTGACAATCGATTGTCAAAGCCCAAGAGGAGGAAAGGTGAATAGTGAAGGCTGACAACAAGGGCGGCAGGCCAATCTAATGTTGAACTTGGTATAATGAGACACAAGGATACAAAAAGCGGCCACCCCTAGAAGTCGCTATCTGCAGTGACTGACAGGACAGCGGCCGACAGAGTTGCATGTGCTTCTTGCAGAAACAGAACAATAAAATACAATGGAATTGTAGTGCGGCTGTCGGTGGTACAGCTGGCCAGCTGTAATATGTGAGACACGACACAGACGCGAGATGCCTATCACGTAAAAGCGGCTCCCCGAACGAAAGGAATGGGACTAGGAAAACACGCGGAAACCAGGCAGCCAAAGTAGATTATGGCGTGCATCCTCCGAGTTGGAGCACCAGAGTGAGTAGAGGGCGTCGTCCATGGTAAGTACTGGGGTGTATCCCCGTGCCCGGACATCGAAAGGGATGAAGCGTGTCCGAAGGAGCTAAAAGGTCATGTCTAATGCAAGGTCTCGTCTAGCAAGGCCGATCATAAGGGCCAAGAGCCTGGCTTGCCATGAAGAGCGAGATAACATAAGCTCAACCAAGGCATTTTCGTACCAGGGTCGCCTAAATGAAAGTCCTGGACCCTTTGTTGATGCGGGGGCATGGGAGGATGAGTGGGAAACATAGAGGAAGAGCAGGCAGGGAATTGAGCTCCGGGGATCGGATAGCGTGGTTGGCGTGCGAGTGGCAACGATAGTTTTAGTTCGCACGTTGGTCGAAGTGGATCGACGGAAGCACACTCAAACATGTATAACGGTGGAGTCAAGTAGCGGAGAGTTGTTCGGGGAGAGCTAAATAAGCAGAATAGTATAGAGGAAGAGGGCCCTCAGTCTAGTGTGCAAAGCAGTCCGAAGGAGACACTTATATCGCGATTCATGCAATACTGTTAGGTAGGTTCTATAATATCATCCGAATATGTGTATCATCTCGGGCGGAAGAACCACAGTTATACATCTCCCGACCCTACCACAGAGGAACAATTGTCCTTTACCATGGGCTGCATGTATCATCATACCTTGGAGGACGCGAGTAGATGTTAGTTCAGACTAAGTTACTGGGTAAGAACTAGAGCTAGACAGTGACTAAGACGTAGCGAAAACTTGATCCCATCTTAGCTGGAAAGGTCCAAGTACGAGTCTGCACTCCATCCCATTTTTGTGGGTACGTCGTGCTGAAGTGTCCGAGTGTTTTAACGGTCTTCTTCGGGCACCGAAAGCCAGGATACGGTAGCGTGTTTTCAGCCCACCCAATTACCCTGTACTCCCCTTCCCCACGCCTCGTTACTCGTAGCCCACCCATATTAGGAAGGATGATCAATACCAGGTACCGACCATGTCGTATGAGAAAAATTCATGAACACGAACCGACATCTTTCAGCTTCGGGCCAAAGGAAAATTGAAAGGACCACTCATAAGTGCATTTGCATGTTGCAGTTGTTTTCCAAAACATGTACATGATCCCACTACCGCAATATTATGCGCACCCAAGTAACGCTTTAAAATCTATCATCAAGATTCTTCATTACAAGTCGATTGATAAACAAAAAATTCCATCCAGGGGAGCAGAATTTCAAATGTATAGGCCAGCATGCCCGTCTGTGAGACAAGATCACGATAAATAATATTAAAATGGAAATAAAATCAAATGTGACTATTAAACGAGTGGACGAGCGCAGAGGTAGCTATACAGTATCAAAATTAAATGGGCACTCAAAAAAGAAATAGAAAGGGCAAAAGCGAGCGCCGAAAAGGGCAAAGAGTATATACAGGAGAACAATCTCCCCATCCGCGAGATCAATGATGATGCCCTCTTAGGGCGAGGTCCCACCATCACCCACCTGTAAAGACGGCCGCCTGTGTTGCCAAGTCTCCGCAACACCAAGCATTGTATTAGTCCGACCTGGTGCTATAACAATCACCATCACTGCCTCATTGACTCCCTTCCGTCCTTGTAATTAGGTATTTTCTTTTTCGGGCTGATCCTGGGGTATCATGTTGACGAGACGACGATTGGCCTCCTGAACAAGAGAGAGGGAGAGAGAAAGAAAGAGAGTTGCTACCGCTGATGCCGTCATGGTTTGGAATCGTACTTCACTCGAAATCCAAGCCAGTCAAGCCCCGACGGTTTCGACGAGGATACGTGCCATTTGGACCATAAGTGACATTGTTTAGGCCGGGGAGTTCGTGACCAAACTGATCCACGCCATACTCTGGAGGAATTTCGGGCCAGGCATCAACGCCATCCATAATGACCATTCCCATACCAGCTGCCAGGTGGAGCTCAATGTGACAATGGAAGAACCATGCACCAGGATTTGTCACTTGGTACCGCATAACAATCCATGCAGGGCCGGCAAGCGACGTAACATATGTGTCCTTGTAATTGGGGTTCTCCAGGTTGAACAGATGTGGTACCTTGGAAATGGCGTCTGGAACAGAGCTATAGTTCCAAATGCCAGCTCCTGAACCGATAAGCCATGCCTTTGTGGAATGCTTGTGCAGCATGTGCGGGAACTCGATCGGCTCGCTAGCAAGAGCGCCAACTTGAGCAACGATATCGATCCACGATCCATTCTTCGTCCGAATAACTAGATTTTCATCAAAGGCCGCGGGGATATCGGGATTGTACAGCAAAGGTGTATCCTGTGTACGCCAGATTGGGTACATCGCCTTGCCCGTGAACGTGTATTCCCAGGCATTGTTCATTCGGCTAAGGTAGATGATGTACTCCGCATCGGCCGTCGGTGCGGGTGCGTCGACCTCAAACGGGGGCATGTGTTCATTATCCAGGATGGTAACGTTGGCCGTGACGTTGAGCCCACCGTAGTCAATGTAAGGCTTGCTCGACCCAATGTCGCTGCCGCCATTGTAAACGAGCGTTGAGAAGGACGAAATAAGTTGCGTCAAACCAGCATCAGCTACTCGGATGGTGTAGTTTCCAGGCTTTTTATCGAGTTTGATCAGAACAGAGTACCGCTCTCCAGCATACATGGTTATAACGTCGGTCTTGATCGGGTTAATGTAGCTGCCGTCTACTTCATAGACGTACATGGGATGTTCATCCACCTGAACATTAACAATCTTGAGGGTTGAAGCCATGATGAAGTTTAAGCTTGCCCATCCATCGGCAGCATCGACGTTGACGATTTCTGTCTCACCCTCAGAAGCAATGCAGCCTTCTTGCATGTGTTCTGGAATTTTGGAGGCATTCGAGTGGTACAAATAGTCTCCTTCTGTGGCGTGGACAAAGGGGAAGCATCTGCAACCAAATCAGTTATCACAAAGGACGCTTCGAATGAATGTCTCAGTCCTACCCCTTGTCATTGACTGTTCCTGGCGCTACAGCATAAGAAGTATATGGGCTGGTTTGATTGAGCAAATAGTCGAGGCTCGGGCAATAAACACTTCCTTTCCCGTTGACCAAGATGCTGTCCACACAACTATAGTACTCGTCAGCGAATATTCGCCAATTGCATCCGGCCAGGCTTACAATATACTAAGTGCGGAAGCGTTCTCGGCCGCGAGATACTGGCCTGACGTAAACTGAGTCCAATCTGACACCAGCAATGGCTCAGCATGATTCGCTGCCTTTTCCATTTGCTTAATCTCCTTTGTATCATTGCTGATCAACGAAAACGGCTTCTTCGTACCCGGCTTACGCCTATGTGTCTTCCTCAGCATTGCATCATGATCCGTGTTCAGCGGAACAGTAGCCTACCTGATGAAGAGCGAACCATACATCCCATCGAGAAGCTGCGCCTGTGCATGGGAATGATACCTGCCACATTTCAATTTTAGTTTTCTGAGTAGTCGGCAATGGATGATTGCAGAAGCAAGAGACAAACCAGTATTGCCCGGCAGGGTAAGCCTTAAATCGGTATATGAAGCTCTCGCCCACGGGAATGGGCTTCTGCGTGAGGCCGGGTACACCATCGGACCATTGAGTACCAAACATGCTATGGCAAGCGTCAGTAGGCAGGCAAAACTCGTTTGATTGATGGGAATATGCAAGTCTTACTAGAGTCCATGCCAATGTACAGTGGTGTTCCAGGGCAGTTCGTTGTGGACCGTAATCTGCCAGCTTATCAGTTTCATGTTTGGCGTTGCCCTTGCTTGGTTTGTTGCACCAACCTCCACGTCATCATCCTCGTCAAACACCAAATTTGGGGATGGGAATTGACCATTGGTCAGAACGCTCTCTCGTGATTGTCCATTGGGAGCATATTGTTCCCAAGTAAAGGTGAGATCGTGCTTCACCAGCCGGGCTTGAGCAGTATTGGTGAAGGAGAGAGCGCAAAGCACAAAACACAAAAGGGTGAGGGAAAACATGCCGAAAAACACAAAAGAATGTGCTCCCTGTAAAACGAATGTGCACTTGCAGAAGACAAAGGCTGAAAGAGAAGGCTGGCTTCAAGGGGAAGAAATATAAGAAGTCCGAAGAACCTGGTCGCTTGCAGCAGGTCCAAAATCGATTCCACGCTCGCCACCACCTCCTCGTCCATGGTGCTCCACTCAAGCCCCCTTCGGAAGCATTGTGGAGCGTGACTTGTTAATAGCTCTCGTGAAACGGAGCGACGAATAGAAGCATGGACTAAGGCCAATTATTCCCATCTCGTGTCTTCGTTGGCTGCCCGCTCGATCGCCACATTCTGCCGGGAGCTTCCAAGGGAAAACTGGGTCGAAGACAGCATATCCTCGGAAAGAGTAGACCGGAATGGCTAAACTTGGTGCCTGCTGGCTAATGTGAGAGCTGATGCAGGTCAGGTCCAGCGTATTTCGGACCTGGAGAACTGTCGCTGTCCGATGAGTGACGAGCCGAGCGAAGAGACGGCAAGTCTAAGTGTAGATCGACGGGAGGATGTAGCATTGGGAGCTAATCCAGCCCATGCATTTGCCGCTAGAGAAGTCGGGACGAGCCCCACATCGTCGAGAGGACCGAAATATCGTCCTCGATATTGTCTGCATTTCGGCTATTTAACATCAGGAAATGCACGTGTAACATGTCGTGCGACGACGACGGCCAATTAGCACCTCCTCTTCTACGCTTTGATCCGGGAAAAGGATCGTGAACAGTGCTGAACTTGGTACTAGACAAGCGGAGTGGCGGTGATGAGGCCCACACATATAGTACAGTAAGATATAGTACACCCAGTACAGATAAGTGTACCTGAGCGTCGAGAAGGTGGTGGTGGTTGTCCTTCTTGTTTGGTCTCGGGAACTTCGGGGTCTCGGGAAGCCAAATGGAGACGAACAGGGATGATGATCCCATTCCCGTGAGACTTTTCCTATGTAGGAAGGACCCTTGGCAAGATCCTCGGATCATTATTGATCCTTCCCGGACGCGCTACTGAATCTCACGCCCTGTCGACGACGGACAAAACCACTAACTCGGTCAACAGCATGTTCAGCGAAGATTGAATCGATCAATTTCCGGGGAAAGCTTACTGGGCTGGCCGCTCTCATTCTACCCAGCGTAGCATTCGTATTTGAAATCCTCTCATACAGTGGATGCTCAAAAGGACAAATTGACCTGGCTGAGGTTGGAGGTACAAGAGCATCTTCTCCACACTATATTCAGGTACTGATTGTGCTAGCGCATATATGTATACGAATTATGACGGGGTATTTAGTTTCCGAAAGGGAGAAGGGGAAAAATAAATCACACTCTTTCCGGACGGTTGCATTCAGCCACGTGAAGTGAGAAGCAGTCATGACGCGAGGATTTCTGTGACAATTGACAATTGACAGGTTAAGAAGTCTCATCAATCATGCTTCATTACAACATTAAGGAATCTTAGCTTGGCATCAGAAGCTTGATTAATTTCAATGGCGCCTGGTAATACCATGGTAAGCCCTAGCCCAATGATTGCGGGATACCCCTGTTGGTTGGAGATTATGCACATTTTCGGATACCGATAGCTTTCACACGCGACAACCACAGCTTAATGCACAAGCGAAAGCAAGATCCACCAGAAGATCTTGGATATGCTCACTCTATATCGAACCAATCTCTAGGTTCCAAATGGAATTTGGCCAAGGCCATCCGGGGCAACGGCCCCAAGATATTCGCGCTAGCTCAACCCCGAATGATAGCTTATTGAATCATCGGTCTTGGTCCCAGGATGAAACCCTGATAGGATTATTGTTTGCTCTTCCTTTCAGCCGTATACGATGGTTCCCACCTTCAGCTGAGTATCGCACTCCGCCAAAGCGGTTCGGAGGATCCGTTTCGGGAACTTTACGAGGTTGAACAGTATCACCGGTGGTGATTCGCCAGGGGAGCACAAGATAGCAGACTGGAGCCACAGTATATAGGGCCCTTGATCCATTCATCTTTTCGTGGTTCTGCAGGGCAACTCCTCTTCTTCTCTCCGATAATCATCCTCCAGCCTGGCTTGATATTTCTTGCTCTTAGGCAAAGTTCTTCACCATGGTCCAGCACATTCAGATTTATCTCTTTGGAGATCAGACCTATGACTCCAACTCAAGGCTGGGTTCTCTCTTGCGTTCACACAAGAATCCTATCTTGACGGCCTTTTTGGAACGAGCCTTTCATGTCCTCAGAGCTGAGATAGGCCGGCTGTCCCTCCGGGAGAGGGAGGCTTTCCCTCGATTTTCTAGCATTGCCGACCTTTTGACCAGGCAGCGTGAGGGTAACTTGAGCCCGGCGCTCGAGAAAGCTCTTACGTGTATATACCAGCTGGCTTACTTTATCAGGTGATTGGTTTCTTATACTGTATCTACGGCCTGTTTCCATTTACTAAATCTTCATAAAGTCAGCATGGCGACAAAGCATATCCTGTTGCGTCTGAGACGTACATGATCGGCTTATGCACAGGCACACTTGCTGCTGCTGCAATTAGCTCTTGCCGCACCCTCTCCGAACTTTTGTTGGCCGCTGTGCAAACGGTTGTGGTTGCCTTTCGTGCTGGTCTCTGCACCGTTGATCTTCGTAATCGGATCGAACCGTCCATCACAGAGGCCCGCTCATGGTCGATGGTTGTCCCTGGTATCAAGTCTGACCAGGCCTCCCAAGCAATCAAAGACTTCTGCGAATCTCAAGTATGTCTTGTTTAGTTTAGTCACCGTCCAGGATATTGAACTAACTTTATCTTCAGTCCATTCCATTTACATCCCAACCCTACATTAGCGCGCATGGAACCGAATCCTTGACGATTAGCGGCCCTCCTGGTACTCTTCAGGAGCTTCGAAATACCCCTACTTTTTCAAAACTCAATGCTATCAAAATCCCTATCTACGCCCCATACCATGCTGCGCACCTTTTTAGCAAGACAGACATTGAGTCGATTCTGGAAACAACCACTGCTGAGTCATGGTCTTCGTTCACTGCCAATATTCCTGTCATCTCGAGCGCAACCGGCAAACAAATCTGGGCAGGCAACTTTAGATCTCTTCTCCAAGAAGCTCTCGCCGAAATCCTCATCGAGCCGATGCGATGGGACAAAATCAACCAGGAATTTGCAGCAGTTCTACGGTCCAGCGGGGCCTCTCAATTCAAGGTCATCCCGATCGCGACAACTGCTGAGCAGTCTCTCTACTCGACCCTCAAGCAGGTCGCCCAGTCAAGCCCTGAGCCTAGCCCGACTGAGGCCCCCAGCGTTGTGCCGGAGTTTCCCACTGGGCGTCCGGATCAGTCCAAAATTGCTATCATCGGCATGTCTGGAAGGTTCCCCGATGCTTCGAGTCCTGCGGCTTATTGGGACCTGCTGTATCAAGGCCTTGATGTGCACAAGGAAGTTCCATTGAAGCACTGGGACATCAAGACTCACGTTGATCCCACCGGCAAGAAGAAGAATACAAGTGCTATGCCCTATGGATGCTGGCTGGAGAATCCTGGCTTTTTCGATGCTCGCTTCTTCAACATGTCGCCTCGTGAGGCGCCTCAGGTCGACCCAGCACAGCGGATTGCGCTCCTCACTGCATATGAAGCTATTGAGCAGGCCGGTCTTGTCCCGGATGCTACTCCCTCGACGCAAAAGGATCGTGTTGGTATCTTTTATGGCGTGACCAGCAATGACTGGATGGAAACAAACAGCGCACAAGATATTGATACATATTTCATTCCTGGCGGCAATCGCGCATTCATTCCAGGTCGCATCAACTACTGCTTCAAGTTCAGCGGTCCCAGTTATAGTGTTGATACTGCATGCTCGTCGAGTCTTGCCGCCATCCATGTCGCCTGCAATTCTCTGTGGCGAGGTGATGTCGACACCGCCATTGCCGGTGGAACGAACGTCCTCACCAACCCCGACATGACTGCTGGTCTGGATAAGGGACACTTCCTTTCGAGAACGGGTAACTGCAAGACCTTTGATGATGGTGCTGATGGCTACTGTCGTGGAGAAGGTGTCGGCACTGTGATCATGAAGCGTCTCGAGGATGCTTTGCTCGACAATGATCCTATCCAGGCGGTCATTCTTGGCGCTGCAACTAACCATTCAGCTGAGGCTGAATCCATTACACGTCCACACGTTGGCGCACAGCGAGCTATTTTTGAAAAAATTCTCAGCACAGCAGGCTTGGACCCTTACAATATCAGCTATGTCGAGATGCACGGAACCGGCACCCAAGCCGGCGATGCAGGAGAAATGTCATCTGTCCTCGAAACCTTTGCTCCTGGCGCAGCTCGTCAGAAGCGTCGAAGCGACCAGCCATTGTATCTGGGATCTGCCAAAGCTAACATCGGACACGGTGAGGCAGTATCTGGAGTCAGCAGTCTTGCCAAAGTGCTGCTGATGATGCAGAAGAATATCATACCGCCCCACTGTGGAATCAAGACCAAGATTAACCACAAGTTCCCGACCGACTTTGACGAGCGCAATGTTCACATCGCTTCGGCGCCCACTCCTTGGCCCCGGGCTGAAGGCGAAGTGCGCCATGTTTTCCTCAACAATTTCAGTGCTGCTGGTGGTAACACTGCGCTGTTGCTTGAAGATGCGCCGGAGCAGATCCCAAGCACCGAACATGACCCTCGTTCAACTCATCTGGTCACAATCTCGGCCAAGTGTGCAGCATCGCTCAAGGGAAACCTCAAGGCAATGCTCGAATACCTTGGCAGCGTCCATGAAAACCATTTTTCTTTGTCTCGCCTGTCTTACACTACAACTGCCCGCCGAATTCATCACGCACACCGAGTCATTGTTCATGGTGCCGATATTCTCGAGGTTAAGTCTAACCTTGAAGGTGCTATTGCACGCGAGGAAGGGATGAACAGGGCGAAGTCGGCACCCAAGGTTGCTTTCACTTTTACTGGCCAAGGTGCGCAGTATCCTGGAATGGGCAAGCAGCTTTTCGAGGCATTTTCTCAGTTCCGCTCTGATATTCGACGATTTGACCAACTGGGTCAAAGTCAAGGCTTCCCCAGCATTCAGCCCATTTTCACTGCTACTGGTGGCGATATTGGCGATTATACCCCGCTTGTTGTCCAGCTTGCAAATGTCTGCATGCAAATGGCCCTTACTCGATTGTGGGCTTCATGGGGCATCACACCAACTGCCGTGGTCGGTCACAGTCTCGGTGAATATGCTGCGCTCAACGCCGCTGGGGTCTTGACCGAATCGGACACGATCTACCTGGTTGGAAAGCGGGCGCAGCTACTCCAGGAACAATGCAAGCGTGGTACTCATTCTATGCTTGCCATTCTTGCATCGCTGGCGAAGATTGACAGCATTTTGGCCGGAAAGAAGTATGAGGTTGCTTGCATCAACGGACCGGAGGAAACGGTTCTTAGCGGACCGAACGAGGAAATTCGCGCCGTTCAGGAAGCTTTGTCAGAGCACAAGCTGAAGATGACTACACTCAAGGTCCCCTACGCATTCCACTCTTCTCAAGTCGAGCCGATCTTGAGTACTTTTGAGAAGGCAGCTGCCGGTATCACTTTCCACAAACCAACCGTGCCAGTTATCTGTCCTCTCTTTGGCAACGTCGTCTCGGAAGCGGGCACATTTGGTCCAAAATACCTAAGCCGCCACTGCAGAGAGCCTGTCAACTTCCTTGATTCGCTCCGGTCTGCTCAACAAAGCAAGGTGCTTACTGACAAGCACATTGCCATTGAAATTGGACCTCACCCTTACATGTCCAAGATGGTTAAGGCTACGCTTGGCCCGCAGACAAGCACCCTGCATATGATGCAACGCAACAAGGATACTTGGACTATCTTGACGCAAGCTCTGTCCACTCTCTATGTAGCTGGTACTGAGATTCGCTGGTCTGAATATCATCGCGATTTCAAGTCGGCTCACAAGGTCCTTCGACTACCCGCATACAGCTGGGACCTCAAGGACTACTGGATCCAGTATGTCAACGACTGGTCTGTACGCAAAGGGGACCCAATTCCCACTGCCCAGGCTGCTCTTCCGGAACCTGTCGTACCCAAGCTCGAGTCCACGACCATTCATAGACTTGTTGAGGAGAACAAGGAAGGCTTTACGGTCAAGCTCGTTGTGGAGTCTGACATCTCTCGCGCCGACCTTAGCCCCCTTGTTCAAGGCCATGTTGTCGATGGAATTCCTCTCTGTACTCCGGTAAGTAGTTGTGATTTATAATTTCCTGTCAGATCTTCGACTAACATGGCGTTTAGTCGGTGTACGCTGACATTGCGCTCACGCTTGGTAAATACCTTGTGGATCGTTATCAGCCCGACATGAAGGAAAGACTCGTTGATGTCTCAGATATGACCATCGAGAAGGCTTTGATTGCCAAGGGAACGGGACCTCAGCTACTTCGAACATCTGTGGAAGTTGACTGGCTCAATAAGAGCGCCAATGTTAGATTTTACAGTGTCAATGTGAGCCATCCTGCGATTTAATCCTCTGAAATGATACTGACCAGGAGATAGGAGAAGGGTGAGAGACCGGCAACCCACTCTAAATGCGTCATTCGATGGGTCGACAACTCGCAACATCATGTACTTGAACGCAAAGGGGCAGAGATCAAAGCCCGGTTCGATAGTTTGCGCCAGGGAGTTTCATCTGGCAAGACGTCCCGGTTCAATCGAGCCATGGCGTACAAGATGGTCAAGACATTGGCAGATTTCCCTGAGGACTACAAGGCGATTGATGAAGTCATTATGGACAGTGGCCTCCTGGAAGCCTCTAGTCGCATCAACTTCTCCGGTTGTAAAAAGGGAGGAGACTATAACACCAACCCTGCCTATATTGATGGTCTCACCCAATCTGGAGGATTTGTCATGAATGCGAATGATGGTGCTGATCTTGATAACGAGGTCTTCATCAACCATGGTTGGAAGTCATTCCAGATCTTCCAAGATATCTCCGCTGACAAGATCTACAATACTCATGTGCGGATGCACCCTGGCGAGTCGAACACGTATGTGGGAGACGTCGTGGTCATGGAGGGCGACAACATTGCCGCTAGTTTCCGTGGCATCGTCCTTCAAGGCGTTCCTCGTCGTGTTCTTAGCTTCATCCTCAACATGGAAGCTGGCAGAAGGCCACAAAGGCAGGCAGTCGGACAGGCCGGTGCTAAACCCGCCGCTAAGGCACCAGCTGCGAAGGCTCCTGCTCCTGTATCTGCTCCAGTTGCTAAAGCTCCTGTGGCATCTGTCCCCGTCGCTGCGCCAGTGACACCTATTGCTGCGCCGATTGCGGTGCCCACCTCGCAGCCAAGTGAGCCAAGCAAGGTTGGACCGGCGCTTCAGATTATCTCGGAAGAAAGTGGTGTCGCCGTCGAGGACCTGACCGATGAGAGCGTCTTTGCCGATATGGGAGTTGACTCTCTTCTCTCACTCACCATTGGCAGCAGGTTCCGCGAGGAACTTGATCTGGACTTGGAAGTAGAGTCTATGTTCACTCAATTTCCTACAGTGAAGGATCTCAAAGACCATCTGGCTCCCGCTGGAAACGCGGCGCCTGCGTCCGCGCCTGTATCGGTAGCCGCGGTGGCTCCAGTCGTTACTGCACCTCCGGTACAGCCTTCTCCTGTGTCTGTTCCTGTAGCCGCTCCTGTCGCTGCTTCTCCAATTCAAGACAGCAAAGCTTTGGAGAAGTACGAGACTGCGTTGCAGGTTATTTCAGAGGAGAGTGGTGTTGCCGTTGCAGATCTGACTGATGATAGCGTCTTCACCGACATGGGCATTGACTCTCTTCTCACGCTGGTTATTACAGGTAGATTTCGCGAAGAGCTTGACTTGGATGTTCAAGTCGAGGCTCTTTTCACCGAATATCCCACTGTCAAGGACCTGAAAGACTTCCTGGTGCCTTCTGGCGAAACAAAGCCTGTCGAAACAGCTCCAGCTGCGTCTCTCACCCCTGTCGCAACTCCTGCGCCAATTTCTGCGCCGGTGGCACCCTTTGCCCCGGTAGCTCCAGTGGCTCCTATCGCAGCGGCAACCCCCGTTTTCAAACCGGCTCCGGTCCCTACAATCGCAGTTTCTGTTGATAGTAAGGCCCAGGAGAATTACCAAGCTGCGATAGAGATTATCTCTGAAGAGAGCGGAGTTGCCGTCGATGATCTTACTGATGACAGTGTCTTTGCCGATATGGGTATTGATTCACTGCTCACTCTAGTCATTACAAGCAGATTCCGAGAGGAATTAGATCTCGATATCCAAGTGGAGGCACTGTTTACTGAGTACCCTACTGTGAAGGATCTCAAGGACTGGCTGACAGGTGGCGCTTCTCTCAACGATGCAGCAGCTGACGACTCGGATTCGACATCTTCTAGCGGGCAGTCAAACAACAATGACCGCACTGCTACTCCATTGTCAGACGTCTCCTATAGTGGCGATTACATTGCCAAGGGCCTGAAGCCACCCGTCCAATCCACTACCTCTGTAGTCCTCCAGGGCCTCCCGAAGAATACCTTGAAAACTCTTTTTCTCTTCCCGGATGGATGCGGCTCTGCTCACTCCTACGCAGCCCTTCCTCGCGTCAGTACGGATATCTGCGTGATCGGCCTCAATTCTCCTTATATGAAGAACCCCAAGGAGATGTCGCAGTACAACGTGCACGAGATAATCGAGAGCTATCTTACCGAGATTCGCCGTCGCCAGCCAAGTGGACCATATCACCTCGGCGGTTGGTCCGCTGGAGGCATCTACGCTTTCCGCGCTGCATCTCAGTTGATTAATCAGGGTGAGGAAGTTCAAAGTCTGGTTTTGATTGATTCGCCCGTCCCCAAGGGTCTAGACAGACTACCTCAGCACTTCTACGATCACTGCAGCAAGATCGGTCTTTTTGGCCAGGCCGTTGGAGCCTCCCCGGCCAACCCGCCCGAATGGCTTATTCCTCACTTCAATGCGACCATTGATGTCCTTCACGATTACTGGGCGGAACCACTCCCTGCTGGCACTGCCCCAAAGACATCCATCATCTGGGCCTGCGAGAGCGTCATGGATGGCATAAATTTTGTCAAGCCAGCGCCTCACCCTGATGATACTGAGGGAATGAAATTCCTAACGGAGAAGCGTGCCGACTTTTCCCCGTGCGGCTGGGAAGACTTCTTCCCCGACAGGGAGATTACGGTGGAGAAGGCTGAGGGTGCCACGCACTTTTCAATGATGGTAAGTCACAACCTCGAGACATAGGACGACTGTATTCCATTCGCTGACTGGCCAACTTTCAGAGGGACTCTTTTGCACCTAAGCTATCTGCCTTTATCGAGCGTGCTATGACTGTTTAAATTATTTGATGATGAATTTGATGATGAAACACAAACTACGGAGAAGAGGGTGATCACTATTGATTTGATAGACATGACTGGTCCTGAGGGATTTTCTTTGTTGATATATTTCTTTTGTACGATTTAATACTGTTTTTGGTCCTTTACTTTTCTGTTTGATGTTCCCGAGTATACTATAGACTGGAATTATCTTGACAACATAGGGTTATAACAATTTATGCTTTAGTTTTGTAAGAATTAATATAACTTTCCTTTTTATTCTAGAATTCCGAATGATCAGATCAACGTTGGAACCTCTTCATTCAGACTACACTGCAAGGCAACTGGGAAATATGAACCCTCGAGTAACTTATCAGGCAACAACCCTTAGAGTAGTGGGTTGAACTTCATTCACAAATGTCATACACGCAATACGAAAGACAACCGTATGGGTTGTTGGTAAAAGAATGTATGGATCTATTCCTCCGTCACTTCCGACCAAAGCTTCGGGCTCCGAATTGGTGATCTGACGCCCTGGGAGGTGCTCGGCGAAAGGCTGAGATTTAGTTTCGGAGGCGCTAACAGTGACTTGTCCTGGTGCGGTCAAATAATGTACTCCTCACGTGCCGGGACGCGATTTGACAGCTGCGACACCAAAGAAGGTCAAGTCATTTGTTTCAACAGACATAGTGCTTTGGCATTGTTTAATTTGCCTTCATTTGAGTCGAATTCCATGAAGAGGCAATTGATCGAAACTCTATAGGTGTGTATACAAAGTGTGCTCTAGTTGATGATAGTCCTTTCATTTTGTTCAATAGTTTTGCTTTTATACGCTACACTACGTTTTGCGGTATTACTCTAAGCTCTCCTCTACTTTTGGGTGTTATTCCAGCCGTTTATTTATGCTTTTGTATACAACAGTGTATGGAATTTAGTTCCTGAAAGTCCTTCAATCATATCTATTACTCTGATTGCGTCGCCGTCTTGTATTGGATTTCGGCAGTGCTTTTTGTTATATTCTACTAGCATAACTGACATTGCCCCTGATCAACTTCTAGGGGGACGAGATTTCGTTATGTTTTGAATGTTTGATCATCTTCAATCCGAAAGAAATAAAACTATGGCTGCCCGAGTATCGCAGCCTCGCATCGAATATGTCGCTGTCCCTGGATATTTTCTTCAGGACGAAACGAAGACTGACGCGTCGTCGTTTGATTGCTGGGTATGTATGCTTCTGGGAAATGCGCCAACTAATTCTATTTATCCCCTCTTCTTTCTCTCTTTTTTTTTGGTTTGGGCCTGGGAAATACCGTTACTTCCCCTTCAATTTTTTTATTTAGTCCGGATTATATTCAACGTTCTGGACTCAATATAAGACCGAGAAGCCAGAAGCATTCCCTTTTTGCCAAAAAAGGGGGGATATTTTACTTCTCGCAGTCTGAGAGGAGATCGTCATGGCGAAATACACACGTGTCTGCATTTTCCATTATTTCAACGCATTAGAGTAGTATATTAATCTCAGAAGTTGAACTAATCGTTTGTCACATATCTGTCAATTAGACAGCTCCAAATTTCGGCCTCGTTCCCAGACCATATGACTCTGACGCAACCATTGATCCGGACCACACAAGGACGACGCAATGGGTGCGATTCGCGCATCATATCCGCACTCTGAACAGACTGGAGCTTGAGCGCGAAAAGCAAGCGGCCGGCGCGACCGGAAACGACACTGTCCTACCGAATGTCCCCGTCAAATACAGGTATAAAGTCCTTTTTCTCGGACGCCATGGCGAAGGGTATCATAATGCTGCAGAGGCAAAATATGGAAAGGAAGCATGGGATGTGAGTTATTTCTATTTTATCGCTCTCCTTCTCTGGTCCGGCTGGCGCGCATTCTCACTAGTTATTTTACTTGTGGATGTTCTCTTGTTTCCTTACAATTGTGCGCCGCAATTTATGCTGTTCCTCCAAACAAGTAATCAACTTCTTCATAACCAACGTTAATCTCAAACTCTGTAGAATTACTGGTCCCTCCTCCCCGGGGACTCCACGTCCTATTGGGTCGATTCAGAGCTATCACCCAAAGGCATCCAGCAGGCGCTAGCTGCGAACAAAGCATGGGCGCAGCAATTTCATCAGGGACTTCCAGTGCCGCAGATATTTTATACGAGTCCGCATGTACGCTGTTTGCGCACAGCCCATTTTACATTCAGTGGGCTGCAGATTCCACTTTCTACAACAGATCCTGAAGCCCTGGCAACCTTGTCGGCGACGGAAAGGCAGACCAATTGGGGAACGCTGAAGCTGGAGTTGAAAGTAAAAGAAGTATGTCTTCACGTTACCCTGGATCACCCACAGGACTACGGGATCATGATATACCCCGTAGCTTTCCAATTTTCTTAAGAGAGAGAGAGAGAGAGAGAGAGAGAGAGAGAGAGAGAGAGAGAGAGAGCTTGCTAACACCTACGTAACAACGCTTTGCAGCTCCTGAGAGAAGTGATATCCCCACATACATGCGACCAGCGCTCCTCCAAAACGCACATTCTCTCATTATTCTCTTCCCCTTCCATTTCCTCCTCTTCTTCTCCGCCCACTGTTACAGACTCCTCATCCGAACCACCGCCGATAGTCACCATTGACGACGCTACTTTCGCCGAGCACGATCCGTACTGGTCACCTTCATTTCACGAGACAAACGACATGGTCCAGACGAGACTACGTGTGGCGTTTGATGAGATTTTCGAGCGGGAGCGACCACCGTATCCTGCTTCAGTCCCGGCATCTACCTCGTCCTATTCCTCTCCTTCTCCTGCTTCTTTCAATCCCGACAAAATTGGAGACAAATTGGGACCAGACCATTTCAATGAAATGGCACAGTCCGAACTGGGGCTTGGCCGAGATTTTATTTCGCTGACGATGCATTCGGGCGCCATCCGGAACACGCTTGCACTTCTGGGACATCGGCCTTTTCATCTCTGGTCATGCGGGATGATTCCGGCCGTTGTGCGCGTGGGCTACCATTACTGATCGAGCTCTGTCGATTTTTCCTTCAAATGTCGTATATTATTTCACATCCATGATGCACAAGCTGTATCCACCTCATATTCCGCAATCTCTGCTACACTACGTACTATCAACAAAAACTGCACATGGCAATATACATCTCACCTTCTTTCGGAACGCTAGACTGTTAGAAAAGCGACAAAACCTTAGAAAAGGGGAGGGTATTTGACATCTTTATATCAATACAGCTATATAACTATGAATATACATTTATACTTATGTGGATTACAGGTTCAATATAGCGCAAAGTGCATATTAAGCAGTGAGCTTTCTTGCACCGATAGATGGCATACACGACCAAGGTAGTTTCAACAATACCATCATCCATCAATAGAAAAGACAAGGTAAACAGACAACTTCGCAGGGAAGATTTTTAATCCTTTGCGCTGCTTGCTATACATGCACCACTGGATGCACAGGCAGCATAAACTATGCATCTGACATTGCGCAAGGTACAACGCAGCACAAGACAGCCTTATGCAAAATGTATAGTAAATTATGTTAAGCATATAAGTAGTGTAGCTCAACTAGAGGAAACAATGACAGATAGGGGCATCCTTGCGGCGGAAAATTGTCCGCCACGCCACTTGCGTCAGCCTACAGACTTTTGCCTGGGGGATGCGTACTGTCAGGTATTTCAATACCACTGGCATCATGACAAGGTTCCCGCAGTGACCCAGTGACCCTCTTCTTGTTCGCTTCGCCAGGAGGCCCAGCGACAGTTACTAATTGCAGCTTGCGGAGGTGAGAAGCTGAACCAGCGGTGGCAAAAGTTGGAAATCTGTTACTTGGTTGCCTTTTCGTTCGACGCCATAAAACTTTGTAGGCGATGCCGATGTGCTGCATTAGAAAGAATAAAACTGGCGCGATCATGCGGACGAGCCGATCGGCTCATGTCAGGAGGTAGAATGTCAGAGTGCTCAAGGCACATTTCCAATCTGAGGGACGTGACAGCGCCTCTAAGTCGAAAATGGAACGCTAGACAGGCGTTCCCGATCCCGGGGATTCTAAGACAGACAAACTCCACATCAAAGAAGGAAAGGCCACATATATACCTGTTCATGCACTGCATGATTTTCCAACCACTGTGTCCATCCCAATATTTCTACAAGACAGCTGAGACACCGGCAAGCAAACCATTAATGGCTGGCTGAACCAAGAACGGGATGGGTTGCGAGGCGCCCGCCACATAGGTAAGTGAGCAGCTGAGTGGCACAAATTGGATGCGTACTGACAGTCTTCGTATTTCGTTATGTGTCGCCCAGTACAGAGACCATGGAAAATGAGCGGCGGAGTCTCTTCCGGGGCCATGTTTTGGTGAGTACTCTTCCAATGTCTCAAGCCAGAAGTAGAGACTGATGTGAGAATGTTCTCCTTCTCGGGTGCAGCACAGAGGCCTGACGGCCGATTTCAGAAATCCATGCTCAAGGGACGCATATGCAAGCTTGACGTGACAAGGTTGCCATAGACAGTCCCGATTCAAATGAATGATTGTCACCGACATTGACATGTCAGACCGAGTTTGGCGAGACGGGGATAAACCATTCATACGTGCGTGGGGATGTGGTCGCCTCTGAAGTCAAAAAGATCTACGGAGGACCCTGCGCATCTTCATTAGAAATGGCGTCGTTGTCTTGAACTTAATCTCGATCGATCTGGCGTTAGCTTCCGGCTGGGCAGGTTGTTGGTCGAAAGGTTCATCCCTGGAGTGTCTGTAAAATGAGTCAGTGTGCATGCCCTCTTTGTATGATAGCGGTCCAACATGAAACACCAGTATCCTTGGAATGTCAACATGCATTTAGCAGCGATGACCTGGCGGTGAAGAACCGGGTCACCGCACAACGATCATGCAATATGATTATGTCGCAGGTGCAATGACGACACAGCAGCAAAAAAAAAGGCAAAATGACAAAAGCAGTAATGCAAGATCCTACATCTATAAAAGATGCAAGATGAACACCGTAAAAGTCTGAAATGCAATAAATGCACATTGCATCTACAGCAATGCAAGAAATAGTCGAAGTCGATCCCCGAAGAGCTCCTGAGCTGATTCACACCATTCAGTACTCACACCGTGCTCCAGGAAGGTTAGCAAAATGCGCAGAGAGTGAAATTGCCATGCGACAGAGAGAGAGAGGTTAGCCATGCGGGTGTACCAGGTCGTTGGAACAGAACATCATTGTCCCCACCGCCATTCCGGGGAGGCCCGATAGCGGTATGGGGACACGGAGTAGACTTGTGGGGTGGTGTCGCATGACGCGCCCAACGTAAGACTCAAAAGTTACAGCCTTGCCTGCAACGTGTTTCAGCTTGCGTTGCCCTATCATTCCTGTCTCGCTGACATCTAATCGGTCCTCTCGTAAAGTAAAACAGCCGAGCGCAAGTTGATAAGGCCCGCAAGGAATCGTACAAGTAGAAAGACGATTGATTCGGGGGGAAAAAGATGTCGGAGACTTGGTCCATCCCAGAATTAGGAATAGAATGAGTGCTCGTTCCCATGTGTCAAGTAAAAATGTGCTCAAACCACCAATAAAGATGAACGCACGGACCTGTCTCACGTGAGCGACGTGGAGTTGAGCGAGGAGCACCACAGCGAAGAATAGAGAAGAAGCTGGCACCAGACAGGCGACCAGGAACTTTTGCAGCGGAGTGATTGGGTCGTGGAGCGCTGGCATTCATCGACTAGAAAAACAAAAGTTGATTTTTAATGAAACAACTCAATGAACAGCCACTTTGAGGGGGAACAAACTATATGCTGTTATAGGTTTGATTCAAATGCCTGGTAGGATCGCACAGCGACTTTCATTGCTCGCGCCCGTGGCCAACATAACACCTCATCCTAGCCTAGCCATCGACACAGTATTTCAATATTCCTCTGCTCAAATACCTTGTACAATGCACTAGAGGAGCATCCGAAGAGCATTTGCTAAATGAAGCCATTTGTCTGCGGCGGATGATTGTCACCAATGAATTATGAGATTGAAAAGGTAGATTCGACACTTGGGGCACAGACAGCCCAAAAAAGGTTAAATCGTCAGAATTATTGGCCCTTGCTCTTCAGATGTGGTTGGGCCCGAGATAACGCACAAATGTCGAGAGCATTTAGCTCGCTGTTTGTTAAGGAAAAAAATAAAATAAAATAAAGTACGAGGCAGAAAAATACCGCGGAGATGGGTAAGCAAGAGCAGCTAAGCCCGTTGCCGACAGGGAAAGCTTTTCTCCGGCAACGAGTCAGTTCAGCAGGGTCAATATGGGCTAAGGTTTTTGTTGATCAGCTCGGAAGGCCCCCTGCCTCCGATGGGAAAGCCCTAATCGAATCAACTAGCAGGAAAAGGTGCATGCATATTTGTATGCATCACCACGTTCCGTGATATACCGATGCATTGCTGTGCCACCACCCAGCGTTAGCTCCGTACGGTACCTAGCTGCACAGTACCAGTGTACAATACAGCCTCTGGTTCCGTCCTTGGTTGATGTTGGCCGAGGAAAACGAGCCATCCTGAGAATCTCCAGGCCTGGTTGGCCCAGGCGTCGATATGCGCAAGACAGTGGCCTCAGATGGAGCTAAATGCAAGTACCGAAACAAAACTATGTAATTGTTCCAAAGCCTCGACGTCCTCTCTGACCGGATGTAGAAAAGACGATCGGAGTTTCGGAAAGGAATAGCCCGGCCAGAAAAGCCCAGGGGGCCATGAGGCAAAGACGGGAGAGCTATCTCCGCACCACGCCACTGGGACCGAGTCCTAGTAGCTGAAGCCAATGGTTCCGGAGAAATCGAGACGGCCCGAGGAGATGTTTCTTCTAACTTAGTTGCATAAGTAGACCTGGTGTACCATGCTTCGGTCGTCGTGTTTTGCAGGAATTGAGGCGTAGTCCTGACCCATGCCTAGGCTCACCTAGGGTCATCCAAGTAGATTCGTAGGCAGGACGGTTTGTTGTCACGATGTATACATCATACATTTCGTATTTGAAGCAATTTGACCACGTTGATTTGCGAGACGGGATATTATCAGTAGGAGAGAAGATCCCTGCCATAGTCATGTTGTCATTTTCTGCTTTTCAATTGTCCCAGCTGTAGTCTGTCGTATTTCGAGTCAAGGTTGTGACAAAAAAAGAACTTGAGCAGGGATTTCTTCCTCGCTGATAGATGAAAAAGCCGATTACGGGTATTTGGAGGTCTCGGGAAAAGATGCCCAAGAGGATTGGTTCAAAAAGCGCTCCATTCAGCTTGGTCTCCATAACCTCGGGATCAAGGATTTTCCTCGGACCCGAGCCGTGGCTACCAACCTCCGATGCCTCACACCGCTGCGAGCAAGTACATTCTCGTAGAGAAGCTTCACTTTTCTTCATCTTTCAAGAAAAGAAGGGCCCTCCCAAGAAGGGAAAAGGACATGGCCGGGTGGATCGTCCTATTGGGACACGATAGGGATTTTGGGTCGAGGTCCAGCACTCTGGTTCTCACATGTTCCCTTTCGGGAGAGCGGACTTTCACTTCTGTATCCCCTGTCAATCTTATCTAGCAAAAAATGGAAACATTCCCGTGGTCCCCTGTGAATTGAATTGCCCGTATAACGTAAGATGGTTTAGTGCCACCTGTATACGCTGCATCTCGTGTCCAATCGCGATAGGGAAGCGACTTTCTCATGGACTTGTCCAAAGAGCCTCCCTGGCGACGTTCAAATCAGAGAGAACACTTTCGCGGTCGCTGAGTATTACTAGTTAAGTTACTCAGTCAGCTTTTGAAATCCCAACAAGCTGCCCACGTCTGCTTACTTTCGGAGATTAATCCACCAATCACAGTAAACGACCGAACGCCATTCACGTGTCCAGCATGATCATAGCCTTGACAAAGTGATGCTAAGGCATTTTCAAGGCCGAAATTTAAGAGAGAGGAGACAAACCTGAATTCCAGGTGAAAGTGCTCGATTGAAAATAGTATCTTTGTCTGTCCATGATGTCTGCCAGGCAACGACGGAACGGGCCGAGAAACAGTGTGTGTGGGGAGGCATCAATTTTCGGCCCGTAACCGAGCTAGACCGAGAAAGCGTGAAGGTCACGAAGCCCTAATATGCCCGAGAACAATTCATGACCGGCGATCCAATTCGATATTGAGATCAAATTAAGCAATATAGGATGGGTTCACTTATTGTATAGCTCTGGTCTGAACTAAGATAGATGCTAAATGTTCTTCAAACGAAATGTTTCACGACAGCCGATTTGGATCATGAGAGTAATGAACTTCTACGTTGAGGCATCGGTATTCAGGATAGTTGCTGCCTTTTGCAGCATGATTTGTTAGAGTGTTATTGTGAAATGAAGTGTCACATATAGCCAAGACAGTTTGAATAGACTTTGATTTCGCTTGGACTCGTCGACTTGACATTCATGGAACCCCAGGCGCAGCCATCATTGCTACCATCATGATGAAGTGGGAGTTTGGTGTAGCACAGTCCGAACACCTTTCACTGACGTTCTCATCTATTTTACGGATAGTATGTGAGTTCTTGAGGCGTCCTTACGAAGGGGTCTTATCTAGGAATCAAATTTGGGAGAACCCCGTGGAAATGTTCGTTACTCGTAACATACGTACCTAGACACGTACACATGTGTGGATTGAGTTGGTCCTGACATTCGCCTGCTCGAGGAATAGTTCAAATGGAATCTCGGGATCTGTGAAGAAAAACATATTCAATTAGCCATGGCCCATTATGCGTATTTGAATCCAGAATAGCGATGGATCGCGAGGATAAAGCAATTTGGAAACTTTGATCTACTCATACCTTGCTCTCCAATCACTAAAGATGGCTATTCTTGGAATAAAGGAAAGCTGTGCTGTGCTAAAAAGAAAAGGGCAAACAATAAAAGCGTAGACAACCACTGTAGAGACCAGGTAGGTAGTTTGCAATGTATAACTAGTTTGCATGTACAAATAATGACAGCTGGACGTTGTATGGACGGCTGAAAAGTTGGTAGCCGATGCATGGAAAGCTTCATTTCTTGGTTTGCTTTTTGTTGGGTAGAAAAAGAGTGCGTTGAGTTTTAACCGGTCAAACTTCTCTATGTAAGTTGGCAGTGCCGCGTGAGGTGAACAGTATGCAGAAGCTGCACTCTTGCCAATCTGCGAGATTATGCTGGGTCGGATGAATTTCAAACCAGAGGGTTACACATGCTCAGCTCGGGCACAACCAATCCTGGATGATTCAACCGTGGAAGTGAACGTACACGCTTAACCGGCATCCAATGGCATACAGTCAGACAATCATCAGGAAATGAAGAAGCAAATACTGAGACGAGCTGAGATCAAATTTCATGGGGCTTTTGGTTCTCTCAAGCCGTCGTCTCTTTGCACCACACTCGGTTAGACTAGTAACAATAGATGGTTGATTTTCAGAGTGGCGTCAGCATCATAATGATAACCCAATGGCTGCGGGAAGTCAAAATAGCAGAGTCATTTTTGCAAGGCAAATGTTCAAACGCCCGTTCGCCACGCCAAGGCGCCAATATAGCCGACTGTGAGCCATCGGGCACGCGGAGGCCGGGGAGTGGAGCTCTCGTCTTCACAGGCAGGCATTGATCGTCAACATATCGTAGTAGTAATATCGAAACAGAAAAAAGGGAAAGCGAAGCAATTGATCTGCGGAACTGATGGCTCCGCTTCAACCTCATAAGGCAGGCAAATAACCAGGCCTCAACGAGCACATGATCGGCTTACGAGTTTTGCCCTTTCGCAGTGTCGACCAAGCCCCCAGCTACTGGGTTTCCAGCATCCTATAGCCTTGAAAAGCGTCATCAAATCGGGTCCGGTTTTGCCCGCTAAATAGAAGGCTGGCCTTGAGAAGTGGAGCTTGATGATCAAGTGAACAGAGCAACGATAGAATGGCGCAACATCTATGGTGGTCTGTTGATAGGGAAGGCGCTAGCGACAGGGTTAGCGAAAAGAGTCAACAAGGATAGCAGTTGGGAGAAGAAACGAGAGCAGCGCGGGGGTTGGGAGATCAGAGGGCGCACGGCAGAACAATAGTACTGATGGGGTATCAGTCGAATCAAACCCCGAAAACTAACACTGGTTGTAGATAGCGGCGGTGGGCGGAATAGTCCTGATACTGAACCATTTTATTTTGCCCAACCGCTATCATCAGGCTGTCTTGCACCGCCCACGTTAGCTCCTCGGCGGACTTGACCAATGTCTTGCGCGAAATGATGTACTTTGTACAGTCGCTCAAGTTCTATGATTCTTATTTCTACAATCGTTTCCCTGCATGTTCGTTGCATAAGGTATATTTTTGATGAAAGTAGGTCAATTACTACAAGATGAATCCACGTCGATTTAGCGCGCATCCACACTCCGTGCTTGTGTGAGGTGAATGTAAATCAGTGTAAAGAGGTATCGAATTGCCCTAACCTCGAGTTTCGCTCGCCCTCTCCACCCTCGTACAAGCAGAGCGCACTGCCGGCGTGTCTGGGATGAGGCGGGAGCGATTTTAGCGTCGCATGGGCCCTCGACCCTCCCCCTCTTTGATCGTAACCGTTCGTTACCATTAATGCTCCACTATATCGCACCAAGGGCACCAGAGCTTACGTGCTCCACCGCTCAAATCTGAGCTGCCCAAAAGGACGAACGAGATTGGACAGCCTGAGTCTGCGCACCAATCTCAACGGTTTAGAGCATACTCCAGCAGGGCAGACTTAGCGTGCCTTGGGAGTCTGGAAATCGCAGCCGAGACTTCTGGCCAAAAGTCCAGAGGGGAATGCCCTGGATATACCCTTGTGGCTAATCCTCGCAGGATCACGAAAAAAGATGCTTTAGTCGAACAGGGTATTGACAGGGGCATTTCATCATGTTGAGCACCAAAGGAAACGATACGACCCATCAAGGAAAAGCAAGAAAATTTTTTGACGGCGTTAAGCGTCCAAAAAGCAATGGACTGTAAAAAGAACGGAAGATATCCACTCAACCCATAGGACGATTGTAATGGTAAAGAAACATGGTGTAAGTTTTGGAAACCCCGATGGTTATTGTACGAGCTTCCTCACCGCTAGAGATTAAAAATTTTTCACCTGGGCATCCCCATTTCTGACATCAGCGGTAGATGTCGATCAAGTTCCAGAGAATCGTATCATATGCGTCTCTGAGCTAGGCTCTGACATAAGATGCAAGAGTTGGCGAAGGAGAAAAGAGTGGAAGAAGTACAGCGAGTACCCTTGCCGTGCGCCACGTTGAAACCCCCGCTATCAACAACAACAACAACAACAACAACAAAGCAACCCCCTCGTCAGGCAACTTGTGCAAGGATGATTAGTACTGGGATGTCCGGTCCTATATGAGCCAGGTACTGCGCAGCACAGCACAGTACGTATTCTGGTAAAGGCGGTCCCGCAAATGGACCCTCCGAGTTCGGACGAAGCTCGGCCCCTGCAATCATCATATTCGTGTTCGACGACGATCGGTCAGGCGTTATGAGCTTCTCAATATTTGTCACATATTGCGGCATTGGTTGCTGCAAACATGTCTCCGTCAAAAATCTTCGATAAAAAAAAAAATCTCTAAGTCATCTTGTGTGAGGAGAAATAACTATAGAATTATTGGAGTTCAGGATTTTAGCAAAATTCCTCGATGTAGAGAAAAGAACAACTCAATTCGTACCGCCATATTCATTTACTGCAATGAAAAATTTTTAAATAAGTTAAAACCCTTCTGCTATCATTGCATCGCTAGCCAGATGGGGAATTTAATATACCCTAGTCCGCAACTTCAAAGGATTGCAATGGGCATGGGTGTCTCAGCCACGAATGGGTGAAAGGATTTTGCTTCTTCAGTGAGCCGAGTGGGACCCTGGACTACCTCCATAACCGACATGAGGCTTCCGAAAGGATGCCTAACGCTTTTGAGTGATAAATTGCATTCAGTTTGCGCTAAAAGTCGGGTCCAGTCACCCAAGTCACGTTCCTGGCTATTGAATACCTGCAGCATAGTAAGATCACGAGCTCGAAGAAGGGCCTCTTCATGCGTAGGGATGGAGCCAGGGGAATGCAAGACAGTGTCCATGACCAGAATGCGAGCTCCAGGCTTGAGGGCCAAAGCCAGGTTTGCGAGTATTTTAGCTGCATCTCCAGTAGGCCATTCATGCAAAATCATGCGCAACAGGTATACATCTGCGCCTTTGACCGGCTGTGGTCCGAAGAAATCGTGCGGCTGGAAGCTGATTCGGGAAGACACGGAGTCTGGAAGACTGGCTAGATTGGTTTTGCAGCTAGCCAACGTATCTGCGCGGTCTTGGACAATACAATTGAGCTGAGGGAAAGAACTGGCGAGAGCAATGCTCGCATGGCCGCTTGAACCGCCCACCTGCAAAATTATCAGCGCCGAATTTCTGCGGATCAAAAGCGTAAAACGGAGAGCGGTGCACAAACATCGACTATGGTTGCCTCACGTAAGCTTGCCCAGTCAAAGCCATTGACGAGATGTTTCATACTCGTCCCTTCGCTGGAAGTGGCATTCTTCATGTAAGCTGCAAACTGTCTTTCCAGGTGGGATGAGCAGGAAAGATGATCAAAAAAGGACAATTCGGTCTTCATTGCAATGTTGTAAGCCGTTTGTTCTTTGGCTGATGTCTCGCCCCACCGGTCAGTGGCTTCAACCATTTTCGAAGCGGTGGGAGCCGAGGATTCTGTCATGAAAAGTGCCCAATCCAAGAACTTTGGATTAGTAACAAGTAGCGCCGAGTTCGCGTTATGAGCCAATTCTCCGGCAACGGGCTCGCAAAGAAAGTTGCTTGTCATTGCCATGCGTGCCACTCTTTTGAGATGAGACTCGGGGACACCAGCTGCAACAGCAACATCCGCATAAGGTGCAGAGCCATGAAGTGGAACAAACGAAAGGATGCGGAAGTGGCAAAGCCAACGTAGACAACTCAGATGTTGGTACTGTGTGAGTTGTTATAACCATAATCCGAGGTGATAAAAAGAGCAAATTGCAGATATAAAAGCAGAGGATCAGGCAGAGAGGAGTGAGACCACCTACCTGGATAGTTAGGCGCGGAAGGTAATCAGAAGGTTCAGTAGCTAATTGTTGAATCTTCAAAGCTGCTTCGACGAGGGTCTGCCGCGCGGACAAGATGTACTGAGGTGCGGAAGATGGAATAGTAATGCTCGGAGCCTCCGTGTCAAATGAAGGGTGCGGGTAGCCGCTTGATTGACAGTAGGCACTAATTATCTTCGAAGCGACGCAGATCTGCTGAGCAAAAGATTCCAGAGGAGAAAGAGGACACATTTGTACGATATAATAAATGATGATCAAAAGATAGTAGGCTGTTGGATGTGAGACTAAACAAGCTCAATGCTTATTTGATGTGCAGCTTTCGCTATTTTGGCAAAACTAGGGCAAGATATGAAATTGTACGAGACGAATGGATTAAATATGGGAAAAACTTCCGTCCGATGTTGTTTTGTCTTTCGATAAATCCCCACGTGAGCGATATCGCAGAGAACTGTTATGAGGCTCTGCAATCAGGCTTTGCAACGCGGCTCTGTAATAAGGCTCTGGATTTCAGGGAACAGAGAGCGCGATGTATGCCCCAAGCAGGTGAACAGCACAGGCCAGAGTGCCCGATGACGATCACTAGATAGCGAGCGACGGAGCTGAGTATGGGGTGAGACAAGGGTCTATAGACCTGTCCATTCTCATCCACTTTATGTTTCCTCGATAAAATAATGACTCGTTAAGTTCGGAGTCCGACAAGACCCTTGAGGATGGGACATACCGCCAGACCTGGCACTTATCACCATGTCCCGATCGAAGGGACTCAAAATTATACCTGTATACACTTGAAGAAGATGGTGTACGTTCCTTTGATCCGTGTGGAGTAATTGATTTCCCTCAGCGAGGAACGACGAGAATGCGCTGAGATCAAGATGCCTTGCATTTTCTTTCCTGCCGAGATTAGGACCAGCGGACGTTCCATGGTTATTTGTCCAGGTACCTGGAATTACGGCTGGGATTACGGCTGGGATTACAGTCCATTCAATCAGTCTGGGGAACGGCGAGCCGAATGAACCAGAAGCGGAGAAGAGTATTTGCCCCTTGTCGATACGCATCGTTTGCAAGGGTCCCTTACTCTGCAGCTTCCCCTCGAACCAGATGCTGAGGAGGTGCGGTAGAGGAGGAAAAAGCTTCCGATCGCGGTTGCCATGCAGATATGTGCATTGCTGAAGGCGGCCTCTGTTGAGGGCAAGACACAGGCCGGCAATTTTCAGCGAGAGCAGTCCAAGGGTCCTCAAAGCCATCACAGTACTCCGTACGATACCAAAATGCTAACTATGGGGGTAGGAGATACTACCGGGGTGTACTGTGTTGCAATCCCTTCCAGACCCACCTCTGTTGGTGAGTTTAAGAAGTCCCAGCCATTAAGGTCTACACCGGGACGGCACGGGATCGGGACGGAGCCACAACAGCAATTAGTATTCTAGTTTCAGAATACTCCCCCCCTCATCCCAGTCTAACTTCTTTCTTGACAGAAGAAAAGCGGGAAAAGGAGATCAATTTAATTAATTGAAAGCTGATTCATCATCTTTCCGGCTTTGATCTTGGTGGTGGACCCATGGTGGCGCTCATGGGGACCCTTTGGTCGCTTTTGCTAACTTGCCTAGGGTCGGCCCCAACTACAGGACGGATAAACGAGCGGCTAAGCAGTGACTCCCTTAACTAAAAGTTTCACTGTATTTTAGTTACTTGCCTTACCTTGGGTACTACTACTAGTGAAAGGACCGGGATAATTCTCGTCACGACGACCACAAGTACAACGACAACGCGACAATCAACATCGACCACGACGACCGTTCTATTAGACCCTTGACCCCAAATTGATGATGCATGTACCCCCTCGCACTCCACACCATATGATGACCGCTGTGGGTAATTAACCATGTCCAGCACTATCGAGGGCCCTGGAGCCCTTCAGGTCGATCCCCCTTAGGTAATCCAGGGACCCACCATGGGGCTGCATGGCGCAACCCACAGTTTTGTCCAGACGCTGCTCCCCTCCAAGCTCGGAATCTCCTCGTGTGCAACATTGGTCTTTTTGTCAGGTTGCACACTTTCCTGCCCGCCGTGGCGCTGAGTCGTAAAGACCATGACGACGACAACGACGATGATGATGATGATGATAATCATGGCGATGACAAGACGGTCATAATGATGGCCCCGAGAAACCACCAGGGCGGCTGATCCGAGCCTCACCTGAAGGGTGGGGTCTGATCTAGCGAAAGAGCTAATCTGCCTCCGTCCCGATCAAGCACTTCATTCACTGTTAACTGGCCCAGGTGGCAATTTGGGACAGATCCCCACTATAGCACATTCGTTTGTCGTATCCAGGAAGCTATCACTGCCCGGCGTGCGCAGAGCTCTCCAACCCAATACAGTGGGGTGTCTAATGAGATCGTCGTCGCTTTACCTACCCAACTCAATTTCACGCATTGCAAGTCGCAGCTACGACTTCGCCCACACCCACACACACGTGGGAGAGCATCAGGTCGAAGATGTACTCAGCTGCTTTCCATATTGAGCATGGCTCCCATCGCGAAGGGGCGGTTGGCTGAGAAGAGACCTCGTGCTAGGGCTCAAGGCATTGTACCCCTCCAACCTCGCCTTCCTCTCAGCGTCTGCTCCTGCTTACACCCTCGCTCTTCCCGCGAAGTGTTGGCAGTTCCCGTCAGTTCGGGTGGCATGGGCAACTGATATGCACCCGACGCTGCACGCTGCACCTACACACCCTGGGCCCAGCTTCCAATTTTGCAGCTTCAAACTATTCTACTAGCTGCGTATCAAACGCATGGTCTGACCGTGGGCGGGTCGTCCACCTGGTGAGTGCAGGGGTGCGAACCTCCTTGGCATAGACGCTGACTGCCCTCGCATCATTTTCTTTCCGGCAGACCCTCAGCTCGCCTCGCAGAGCTTTCTTGATTGTGTTTCCTTGCACGTGTGTGCCGTGTTCTTGATATTTGACTTAAATGATACCTTCCGGGAAGATGCATGACTTCCCTAAGGGAGTGTCGCAGGAATCCATTGTCTCTTTATCACCATATTGTCGCCTGTCGAAGTGTGCACTTCGGCACATTTTGTCCTTCGTTCCCCTCCTCATTTTGTGCCTCCCAAGCTGATGCTCTCTGGCACATTTTCTTGACGCGGGACTTCTCTTCTCTTGCACACTTTCCACCCAGACCGCCGTCCGCAAACCCATCAACAATGACCGATATAATGTCTATGGAGTTGACTAAACTTCCCTGGCAAGAAGCGGCTCCAGACAAGCAACATCCTCCTCAATCTCTACCGCCTCCAAGGACTGCCCCGAAGAAGCTCAAGGAGAGCTGCGATACCTGTGCACTTTCCAAAGTGAAGTGCAGCAAAGACCAACCAATATGTGTGCGCTGCGCAATCCGCCAACTGCCTTGCAATTACAGCCCCTCGAGAAGAATGGGAAAGCGGCGGGCCTCGCCTCCTGTACGGGTGGACACAATTACTCCAGATTCGACTCCTTCACCTCATGAAGCTCGCTCGAATGAATCCCCCGGAATCCGGCGAGCGTTGTCTTCCGACGCTGTTCTTCCTCTTGCCCTGAACATCCATGAATCCGAGATGCAGGTAGACAGCGACGTTCTTGCAGGGCCCCTGTCGATGTTCAGCCCTGAGCTCGACAGTACCCTCTATGGGCCACCCTCCACCGGACCGCATGATCCGGCTTGTCTGGTTCCGTCTGACATATGTATGATGGATCAATCGAGTGATACCGCGTCGATCCCATCCAGCTTCGATGATGTCAGTTCGCTCATGACAATGCTCAATCAGCCTCCGCCTAGCGTCTCTCCGCCGACTTTTCATGATCCTCTTCCACTACTTCCACATATCAAAACCTGCGCCGAGGAACCGCAAGATCACATGCGCCTTGCACTGAGTCTCTTGCACAGCCTACATATGCCGCCTTCATCACCTCCAACGCCCTCAGGTCCCTTGAGTTCGGCTGGTTGTGCACCAACAATAGATTACGTTTTGGCGAACAATAAGTCTATCATGGCTACTCTCAGCGCCATTCTTACCTGCCCATGCTCCCTCGACTCTCAGTTGGCTCTCGTCCTAACGCTTATCGCTTCCAAAGCCCTCGCCTGGTATGGGGCTGCAGCCCGCCATGACAGTAGTAATTCGGGCGCTGCTGAACGTGTGCTACAATTGCCCATGACTGTGGGGAAATACCAACTTGATGGTGATAATGAAGGAACAATGCGCGCGCAATTGGTTTTGAGCGAGCTTCACAACGTGGGACGAATTGTTGAACAATTTGGAAAACGTTTCTGTGACGACGTGGAGAACGCGGAAGAGGATAAGAGGCCGAGTAGTACCATGTGTGCTGAGTTGAAACGCTTCTTGTTGGAAAGGTTACGAGCGACTACAAAGGATACCGTGAATCTGATGAGGAACGAGTAATGGATTCATTTTCATTCTATTTATTTATTCATTTTCTCTTTTTCTTTCTCACCTTCTACTCACCTGTGGACGGCTTCTGCGATACGCCCTCTCGCGGGATAGACTGGGGTTTCTGGCGTGCTTCATGATACAAGGTTGCTCCGACTTTTATTTTCTATTTACGATTTCCCTACTTTTTCTGAAATTGGCGTCTCGAGCCGTGTTCGACCAATCCATACAATACAGACTTCGCAGCTCAGGCCACTACTTCCATTCGATAATACATAATAATTACGCGATATAGAAATGGCAAATGCCTCCTTTCAGTCGGTATAAGTTATTTACGAGATGAATTGATCGTATTGCACCTATCAAGGAACAAGAGCATAACCACGCGCTGTGCTCAGAATGGGGCGATAAACCTTTTATTCTTAGTGTCGCGCTCTAATGACGACGGTGTCTTGCCGCCAGAGGCATCATTTCTCAAAGCAAAACAGAAGGCTGGTTTTTGCGCTACAGCATACTTCAATACAAAGCGAGGTGATACTGATTGTCCCATACGAAGGTTTTGCTCATCGCATGTATTAGTACCGTGGCCACTTAGCCGGAGTGGGTGGGGTTTGCTAATGGGTAAGAGGAAAGGGATACGGTATCGAAGTCAGATACAAAAAGATATCATGACGATGAGTGCGGGCAGAGATTCGGTTGTGGCGCAGACTGACCGAAAGACATGCGCTTTACAAAGTAGCATCGAGAGGGGCCCGGTGGGTCCCAAATCGGCCCTACAGATCTCTGGCCCAACCTTGCGCGTGGACATCTAAGGTATGATACAAGAGAGGGAAGAATATGTACGTTGATCAACCTCGCGCGCACGGCCCACGCAGCTTTGGACGTATCTTCTCCCCCATAATCACTCCTCTGCATGGAACACCCCTCATGACGATAAGGCCACTCGAGGCTGTGAATGACAAAGGTGAAACTTAACCGCGGCCAGCCATGGAAGATATCGACCAAAGCAATTGATGAATCCATTGTGACATTATTTTGTACAACGTGTGGATAAGTTCAGGATTACGATTGGGCTCGACGTTGACGCTGTAGCTCCCAGTAACACACATCCTAAGTTACCATGCTCGTCGAAAATGTCCACTGAGGCGCAAGTTGTCTCCACCAAACGCCCGCGACCTGCTTGATTGAGATAGGCTGATCCTTGGATACAGCCACAGTCCGCTAACTTGGATAATCTTTCGTGAGTTTAGGATTTTATTGATGGCACATGGACCCTTGAGTTTAGTGAGCCTCTCCTGGACCCCTTTTTGAAACGGGTTGGCAGTCGAAACCATCTTGGCGCACCAATTTCTAGCTTTGCTTATCTAATTGATGTACTGGGCTCGCTAACTCAGTCCCCTCGGTCGGCGCTACACGGCGAATTGGCGCCTCCAAAGTAGTGCCGTTCTGGCCTTCGATCGCTTCGAGCGCCATATGGCCAAACCTGGCTTCCCTGTTGGTCGCATTCAAGTACATGCCCAGTGATGCTTGGAAAGCTTGGAGAAGCTTATCACATTTTCAAATTGAAGCGGGACGAAAGCTTGAGTCCCTTGGGATTTGCAACCCAGCCCACTGCCAAGACAGCTGAACGACTCAGGTAAGCAATGCTGACGGAAAGTTACTTTTGTTTCTTTTCCTCAGGGCGGCACTTCACGAATCTTCACCGCACCTTGGCTGTGCTGAATCTCGCATTGCATAAACCTGAATCGCTCGGAGTCACAATGCGAGGTTACATATATACGATATGCATTACAATCAATCCTGTTCTTCTTCTTCTTTTTCTTTGCGAAAGTGTCCTGCGTCCAGGTCATGAACAAACTCGATCCCATCTTTGTCTGTTTCAATCAAGCTAATTCCAAAATCACCTTGTTTTCGCTTGCTGATTGCATGGTCGCTGAGGCGCAAAACAAATCTCCAGTGACGTGCCAAGCGATAATCCCTAGCGCGATTCGCATGGGCGACTTTTACGAGTTTAGTCTGCTATATGTTTTCCCTCTAACCAGTACAGGTCATGTAAATGCAAGAATCTAATTATCCGCCTGGCTGGGCTCGGCGTCACCAGATTTGGTCAATTCAGCGCGGAATAATTATGGCGTTGTGGTTTCTACAATAGCGACATACGCAGGCCCCAATCTAACGGACAAGGTGGCAAGAATCGCCCTGTAATCTACACCCTATCCAAATCTGGTGAAGATGAACACAGTGGAAAAAAAATTGGTGTCTAGCTTTTTCTTGATGGTTTCAAACCTGGACCCTTAATGGTGGGTTAGCCACTTGGTACCTCCCTGCTCCATGGTGCTTCGGTCTCCGAACTGGTGCAGCAAATAGATCCACAAAAGACCCAACAACAATCGATCGCCCTGGCAGCGATGATCATCCGCTTAAACGGTCGATACAAGTTACGTCTCTCTCTATGCCAGAGTATGCTGGCATGGTCTGATCTTGACATCCCTCGTTCATTAGTGGCTATGCTCCACTAAACCCCCACAAAGGTCTCGGGCTTCGGGGTAAACAAGGCCTCGTTGAGCTCCCCAATTCCGTGATTATAGCAGAGGGCCTTTAGGAGGGTGGAAAGACCCCTGAAAATGCGCCTAGCTGACGTGAAGGGCGCAAGAGCAGGAACAATCAGATTGAAATTGACCATTACTACCTACCTTAGATATGTCGCAAGGGTCGCGTTACTTAATGGGCAAATAGTGGCGTGGCCAGCCTATTGAATGATAGCAAGCAGATTTCACCTCGGAAGCTTTCTTTCGGGGGAGGGAGTGGGACTTAGTCCCATATTGTGAAGATTCAGGCTGGGTTCAGACGTTAAGGCGTCGAAAGAAATTTCCCGATTTGCGCGATTGCACTTCGGACTTCGTATTTCTGTTGCTTACCTTCTCTCAGCACCGTCCCATTTGCTTGGCGGGAATAAGAAGTGTGCCTTGCCAAGAACGGAACGGACCGCATTGTCCGAAATCCGTCCTTCAGTGGCTTGGCTGAACCAGTAGCGGAAAGCCCCGTCAAGAATAACGAGGATTGGGCAGGTTATTGGTGGGGCTTACACTGGGCTGCAGGGGCTGAGCCCCTCTATCGCAAGAGTTCAACCCCGCCAATAATCTCCGGCTATCAGCATTTTATCGCGAAAACATCAAGGTCATGCATGGCGTTCGATGCGTCGAGTTCAACTTTGGTTTTGATACTGGGTTCAAATTTATACATTCCCAAAGGTGTTGATCGGCCGTGAAACTCGATTCTCTATATCAAACCTTCATTCAGACTTCTCTTCTCCGCTTTCATAAACCTCAATTGTCCCAACATGACTGTGGACTGTCGATCTCCGCTCTCGGGGCCCGACTTTCGGCTCCCGATCTAGCTTCAATTCCTTTTTTACCAAAGCATGTCTCCTTTTTATACAAGTCCTGTCAGCTTGGAAAGTGAACAACAAAAAAATCTGTCACCGAAGATTAACTCTCGCGAAATAATTGAGTAGCTACTCAAAGTCAAGTCACTTTTTATTTGTGCTTCTGACCATTTGTTTACATGATTCATTGATTGTGAAATCATGTCTACCATCAAAGCGGCTAATCTCTTTGGCGTTGAGGGCCTTGTGGCCGTCATTACAGGCGGTGGTTCAGGTGAGTGATAGACAGCTCGATGTGCTTAATAAAAAATAACAAACATGAAAGGGCTTGGCTAATTTTGTGACGTTTAATTCCTTTCAGGCATTGGGTTGATGATGGCAAAGGGTCTGGCGGAGAACGGCGCTGCGCGAGTTTACATTGTGGGTAGACGGGAGGACAAGCTTCGAGAAGCAGCAGCAAATCACCCAAAGTACGTTTATATTTATCGCTTCCTACTTCTCCAAAAAGTCACACCCTCTCGAACTTGGTGTGCTTGCCTTGCCTATTTTTTATGGCGATCTGCCGATACTCCAGCGTGCCGGCTCCATAGCAAAGCGATCGGGTTGCACGACTACATTTTCTGACAAGTCCTACCAATAGCATCGTGCCTCTCGTCGGGGATGTTACGAGTCAAGCAACACTCTTGGATCTAGCAAACAAAGTTAGAGCGGAAGTCGGATATATCAATCTGCTTGTGGCCAATGCAGGTATTACCGGCCCGGGGCTGGAGAACCTTAAGCCGCGGCACACGCTGCAAGATTATATCACACACGCATGGGGCTCTTCTATGGCCGAGTTCAACGCCGTCTACGACCTCAATTGTACTGCTGTTTATTACACGATTCTCGCATTTCTCGACCTTCTTGACGAAGGGAACAAGCGGAAGAACTATCCAATGAAGAGCCAGGTCATTGCCACTGCCAGCACGGCTAGTTTTCTGCGAAACCCGCGGGCGGGATTTGCATACCTGAGCAGCAAAGCTGCCTTGATCAGCATGATTAAGTGCTTTTCGACATTTTGCGTGCCTTGGGGAATTCGATTTAATGCAATTGCTGCTGGACGTAAGTATCGCAGCCAATTGCTTTTTGCTATTCTTTTCATCGTCGCATTACCATTTTTTCTCAGCCATGGTCTCCTCTTTTTTATCATATTTCTAGCGTGTCAAATAGAGCTGATATTGTCTATAGTCTTTCCCTCGGAACTCTCCGCTCCCCTTTTCAATCCTTTCAAGATCAGCAAAGAGAAGGCCCTCACCGAGGAGGGTGTCTTCTCACGCGCTTACCAACCTGCTGAGCGGGCTGGTTCTATTGAGGATATGGCTGGAACCATGCTCTATATGGCGAGCCGTGCCGGTGCATTCTGCAATGGAAGTGTTATGCTTGTTGACGGTGGAAAACTCGCGACTATGCCTGCGACATATTAACTGGACAAACCAATGAGTTTGCTTTCTCCTTGGATTTGCCGTACTCGAGACCAGTTTTATATGTCTGCCTTTGCTGAATTTGCATGGCGGCGCTCATAGGACAAATGATAAATCATGTTTGGTTGAAGCATATTATTTGATAATACTTTTAAAGGGAATAATATAATAGCATATGCAGTTTTCATTTCGATGACTTCCAAAGACATAGTATATATACTCTCCAAATAGTCCTACGTGATTAGACCATCGAGGAAAAGGTACTTCGTCACCTTGCCAGAAAATGTATTGGAAATAAAACATTTGATGCTTCTGATATAGATAAATCTTGCGAATTTACCGGCGCATTTCGCTGAATATTTGCTTTGCTACCATGGCTGCTTAGGCCATCGGATCCTGTTGTTTTGTCGCGACTTCGCAGTTCTGTCGTTCTGCGTCACAGCTGTAACTCCTCCTGTGCAAGGCGGTGAGCCATTCATGCACCTGTAGTTCTATCTCGGCTCGGCCTCGCTTCAGCTTCCACCGCTTGCTGATCTATCGCTTGTTCCTAGAGCCGCAACACCATGATATTCAAGCGAGAGAAAGCAACAACTTCTCACAAAGCCAAACCCATGGGTTTCTTCTCCTTTCTGTGCTTTTGCTTTTCAAGTATCCTTGCATCAAGGCCATGTCTGGACTTGATGTGTTATTTATACTGTGCACGCTTTTTGCTTTAGCAGTCGCGTTCTGATTGAAGTAAAGAGAGACTAACCTTTCTTCTTGTTGCTACTGGGAGCTCTGAGAATGCATTTACTGGCAGGTTCTTCTAGAAGCCGTATGAGAATATGCATTTGATGCGATATTTTGAGTTGAGAGCTGAAGATTCTCTCGAGCTTCTTTCCGGGAAGCATGGGGAAAGATAGGTTCTCTCTGGCTTATCGGCTTCCCAATAATGGCTTGCTTCTTGTGCCCACGACTTTCGTGGAATATTATGCTTTTTGTTCTGGTCTTGTCTTTCTAGTTCAATTGTCATGAATCCATTTGTGTTCTCTTTCAATTGGAGGCATCATTGCATTCTGCATTATTATCATCGTCGGTGATTGATATTGACAGTTGTTGCTTTGAGGCCAGACTCCTTAGTCGACTCATTTGGCTCTGGCATCTAAAAAAAGGCCATCTGAGTGACGAGTATGAGAGCCTCACTACTCGGCCTATCGCCTAAAGCGGACTCCGAGGCCGAGAGCTGCCCACGATTGAGATTCAAGTCAAGCGCGGACTGGAACTGATCTCATCACCTCTTACTTCTGCACCATCGTCTTCTACAACACACCTCATTCCTCCCCGATTTTCCTAAGTTCTATTTATTGTCCATTTCTGCTTCGTCACTGAAGAGCGTTGCATACTCCAGCTCCCCCCTTCCCTCCTGATTTGATCCGCTTTCTCGTTTTCACAGCTCACTCAATCTGCCCAGGGTAGGCCATAACCTACACCTGAGTCTTGTTTTATAGCGTCGGCGCTCAGCTTGTGAAGTGAAGTAAGCTTCTTTTCTCAAATCCCTCTCCTTCCCTTTCGTCGTCCGAGTGTTTACGCAGCTTCTGATTCTTTCGGTTGAAATTTTACCCTGAAACTCGCTGACCTACACTGAAGATACAATTTAGGATCTGAGCTCAGATCGAGACAATCTTTTCAAGTCTTGTCGACCTTGATCGGTCACATTCATTGTTACTTTGCTCAACACTCAATCTTCTCGAAGTTCTGCTTTCAATTTGTTTGTGTTGAAATTTATTCAACGGTAAATACAGGACAGGCGGCAAGATGAGTACTGTTCGTCTAGTCAAGCGGAATCTCGTGAATTGCCCAACAGAAGTGAGCTATTCTCTATTTCTCTCTCCTTCTTTTCCCGTCTGAGAATGGGCTTGTTATGTCAAGAAAATTGAAGCCTGGCAACTCATGCTGAGCGCTCATCTCTCAAAGCCTTATGCCTCCTCTTTTCCCTTCCACCTCTCCTGATTTCGAAACGGCTTGTTCCTCTGGACGAGGGTATATCCTGTTTTGGGTCTTTAGCTCATGATGCTCCTCAGATTCTTCAAGATATCGCATTATATCTGGACGATGAGTCCCTCGTGAATGTCGGCGCGACCTGTAAGAGAATGCATGCGGTCTTATTCGAAAAACCATACGGAATCTGGCGTCAGCGATTCAACCTCCGGTTTGATATGATCCCTGGATTAAGAAGCGAGACCATCTATCACTTATATGTTTATCGTGGCTCTGTGCTCAGGTGGAAGGGCTCCCCAGGGCTCACCCATCAGGACGTAAAGATCAATCATTTATATTTAGTTCACGATCTGGTGCTAGGTAAGTCGGTCCATATTTTGGTCACTTTCCGCAATCGCCTTCCCTTTACTGCCTTTCTCTGGGGTGCAAAGTGTATCATCCCTCTGGTTTTGGCTGCTTCGTCTGCCAGCAATATATTGACAAAATGTCTCCGCACAGAAGCGTTCGGGGGAAATAATGTTGAGCGAGACAAAGACGGCAACCCGATATCAAAGAATCTAGAGATTATTTCTGCTGTTGCAGGATCTAGCCGATTTTTCTCTGATAACTTCCAAGACAGCCAGCTTTCCTCGCGAATCCGGCATTCGCTATGTGTGAGTTTAGCACATGTAATTTTGAACCAAAAAACATTGCTCTCCGCCAGCAATTTTGCCTACGCGCAACAAGTAGTCTACCTCGATAGAATAGCTGCACCACTATTCGTTGATGGCTTCCAGAGGGTGAAAAGCGGTTGGCTTCTGCAAGCACTCCGGTTTTTCATGTATCATCTTCTATATGAAGACAGAGGTCTCTTACATGAGCAATTTGTCAATCTTAAAAGGGGACAAAGGCCTCGACCTTGGAGCAAGCAATTGCATGGTGGGCTTCAGCCACTTCAGTTACAATGGATTGGCAACCACGGTAGGTGATGCAATACACCTACAATGCCTTCTTTGAGGATTTTGGCTCCTAACTATTAAATAATCAATGCAGCCCAAATTCACGCTCATGAGCTGCTTCCTATCAGAACTCAACCGCCGGGCCGACATGAATATGAGGATTTCTTTGAATCCGGTCCGGAAGGTTTTGAAGTACGTATTATCCCTTTTCTCTCATATTCACGATCTGGTCTGCTTTCTGGAATTTCTTTCAGCTTATCAAGTTGGATTCTTCGTCTCTCTCGAAATTTTTCCTTCATCACACGTCCCTTACGCTTATGCTCCCTTGCTTTTCCTTCTTCCCGTACCTTTCAACTGTCGAGCTCATCTAAATATACCCTTTTCTCCTCCATACACTGTCCTTGATGACCTTTTTCACTTCTTCGGTTCTGCACCATTTCGGTATTGTTATCTTGGTATTCCATTTATGAAAATATCTTGAATGCGAGAATATCTAATGGCTAGTCCAAAATGTAGAGGCTGTGCATAACCAGCCAGACATCTCATCCCTCGGATACCCCGGCATCGCGTCCGCCCTTTGATCCGACATATGTACCTCTCGACAGCTTTTCCAGGCATATTCAGAATCTCCTATATGTCCCTGCATTTATCCACGGCCTCTTCAAACCAAAGCCGTCCTCTGCCTCAAAAACAAACTCTGCCAGCAACGTGGCTGAAACTAACCATCCGGCCGACAATGCTACCAATGCTCCTCCTACAAGCGGTCCGGCAACTCTTTTGTCGGCTCCACCTGGCTTTTATGCCCAGATGGTTCACCCGAATCTTGGACCCAGCACGGTTGCCACCGGTAGTGGCTCTGGTAGCACCGCCTTTGGCACAGATGCTAACACAACTGGAAATGGATTTACCGAGTCCAACAACTCTTCTTCCGCTCATAACAGTCACCTGAATATTGATATGACACACCCTGTCGTACTCAATAGCCCGCTGTCAACTCTTCCTGGTGGTCTGCTGCAGCAGATCACCATTGTGTTTCCGGGGACTAATTTTGTGGCTCAGCCACCATCTTCCGACAATAACGGCAACGTCAATGCCTCTCAATTCTTTTTCGGTTCCGCGCCACCTTCAGCCAATATTTATAACTCCCCTCCTTCGGCTTCCGCACAGGCAAATAACGCCAATCCTACAAATCTCGCAGATCCCGCAAATCCCCAAGCCCAGCCGACTCCAGAAGACACCCTTCCATCCATACCTCTGGTTCCATATTACCGCTTCACCGCCACCGGCTGCGACTCGCAAATCTTTGGCGCGCATGGTATCATCCATGAACTGCCCTCGCAGGACGAAATCCCCGGCTTCCATCGTTTTGCCATGCTGAAGTACTACCCGGCCGAGAATGGGGAGTTCAACGAAGCAGACATCGAGTGTTATGAAGGCGTTGTTATCCCCGGCGGGCAAATTATCATCGGGCGATGGTTCTATCCCGAGTGGGAGCGGAACCTGGTTACCGGAGAATTTCGGCTCATTGATGGTGTGTTGTCTGAATCCGGACCTTTTCTCTGGTGGACAGTCGAGGAGGCGAAGAATACCGTGACCGCCGCAGCGCCGCCGAATGCTGACGCTTCGTCCAATCAATGATGGCGCGTTTCTGGCGGAGGCAGACGGGAGGTCAAGATCAAAATTGAAAGAGATGGTGGCTGAAGTGGGAGTGGGGGGTCTTAACTGGACAGCTATTGTATGGGAAAAAGTAGCTGACTTCTTCAGAATCAGAAAGCCGCTTTTGCGTTTCTCTTCTGTCTACCTTTCTTCTTTCGTCCAGCCTCGCATCTCCTCTTTTCTTTCCTTTGATGTTCCGATTTCCTATGTTTTGCTTTCCCCCTTTCCCATCGTTTGCTCCCCTGCAAGTCAATTTCTCTGGCTTCTGAAGTTGCCTGCTATTTTCTTTTACCTTGCTATATTCCTCTTGCTTTATTTCATTTGCCTTTTCCCCTCTCTCATCTTGATCGCCCATTGATCACGCTTTCCTCCTCGTTTTCATCCACGGATAATTTCGCAAATAACTTAGCGGACATCGCTCATTTGGGCTCCATTCAGCCAGTTGAAAGGCGTGTCCTTTCCTTCCATTTCGCGGTAGAGCTTGTGACTACACCTAGCGTGGTCTTTATTTTCAAATACAGAGCCTTACTTATTTTATCTTTCGTTCGTAAGTGACTTGGATATGACCGTCATGCTAGTACATTAGTCGAGTGGTGACACTACCTCCTACCGCTGTGTTTGCGACAATGTTTTGATACGATGACGATGAGCGTAAAAGTTTATTTTTAAGAAGTTGATTTTTATATCCCTCGATGCTAGTTACCTGAAGAGAAAATACTTTAAGAAACAATGAAGATGATGGAGATGAAGAGGAAGGCGGCGATGATATCTTGATTGAAATTCCGTTCGGGCGTGAGGGAATGATAATTACGGAAGAGGCGAGGGTTGTGGTGAAAGATATTCTCTTCTGTGCGGTTGACTAGAGCATTTTCTGCGTTCGGCTACAGGCATATATAACCAAACGTAAAAGAAAAGATTACTCCTCGATAGTCTTGACGCACTCCCACTCGCCCTTGAGATTCTCCTTCCACAAGCTGACCTTGTTGTCGCCACCAGATACAGCGAGCACGTTGCCGCTCAGACTCCAGCTTACGCGCCACAGAACAGAGTCAAAGTTGAGCGTGGTGCTCTTCCATTCGCCCGGGTGCGCGGCGTCGGACGTCCAGATACGCACCGTCTTGTCCTGCGATGCAGACGCAATGTAGGATTTCTGAAGAATGGTCGGCGCCCACGCGACGTCGCGGACCCAGTCGGTGTGGCCGCTCAAGGTGGTCGTGTTGGTGTATGATTGAGTCTCGGAGCTGCGAGACGTTAAGAACCTAGTTAGCTTTTTATTCTTTTGCGGGGGTCATTGAAGTATGAAAGTGAAGTTTGTGTCTGTAGCGGAAATACAGGGTAAAGTTGAATGAAGTGCAATAAGGAGGGAGAGATTATCAAATAAAAGTTTCTGGAAAAGGAAGGTGACAGTTAAGATCAAATAGGCAAATCATGACATACCTCCACTCCCATATCTTCACGAGGTTATCACTTCCTCCGCTAACAAATTTTCGTTCGCGTTCCTTGCCGATGCCGCTGCCCGCGCTGACTAGTGAGCCTGGCGACGTGGACGGCGCCCACGATACAGCGTTGACGCCAATAATGTGGGCAGGGAAGATTTTGTGAGACCAGCTGTTGTCGGCGAATTCGAGCACACTGACGTTGCCATCGGAGCTGGCGCATGCGAGAAGGCAGCCGAGCTCATGGGGTGCCCAGGAGACAATGTTGACGCTTGCGGTGTGAAGTCCAAAATCGAAGACTTTTGTCCTGTTTCCATGCAAACAAACAACGGGACGTCAGTTGTTCATCTCCCTTTTGAAAGAATTCTGTCAGGAACCAATGGAATATTTCCGCATACCATTGTCCATTTTGCTCTCGCCAGATGAAGACCTTGCCGTCGAAGCTTGACGATGCGAGAATATTGCCATACTTGGGATGTGCCTAATAAGAGGAAACGAGGTATGAGCAAGGCAAGCTCTACTTGGATGATATAGAGGGAGGTTGTGACAGCGAGAAAGAGGAATTCAAAGACGCACCCATGAAACACACCACACTGCTCCCTCGTGTCTATATTGCGCGTTTTCCCACGGTCAGTATAAGCTGCGATGACGGCCGCGCGGCGAGCTCCGCTTACCCCTTCAGCGTCTCCGTCAGGCGGTGAGTCTCGCCATCAATTTCAAAGATTTTGATCGTCTTGTCGGATGAGCATGTTGCTAGTCTTCGTCCATAGTAGTCTAGGACAGCATCGTGCTGTGCGGGTGCAGTAGAGCATTAGTCAAGAGTTTCATTTCTCTATCGTCCCTGAGGTGGAAGCTGCGTGGTGGTGGGAGAGCAAAGGATTCACGTACGACCATGTCATCGTGGCCGGAATTGGAGATTACTTGCGACTAGAGGAACGATGTTAGCTTCATTGTTTTTTTGTTTGAGCATTAAAAATTATTCCTCACCATTGTGAGAAGAGACAGGGATAGATGTGCTACTCATGAAGCTCCTGCGGCGGTGGCTTTAGGACCATTTGTCCACAGTGTTGGCGTCGCAGCGCCCCTGTCGCTTATCTGATCGCCAAGAGATAATCATATCTTAACTGATTAACATCCATCTCATCAATGACAACATCGCATGCCTAAAAGTTCCCTTTCCAATAAAAGAAACGTAGAATTCCCTTATAATACTGACAAAATGCTTGCGTGGATATTATGTGAGAGATCAGATTAAATATATATTATTGAGGGAAAACTGGCTTCAAGTCATAGAGCATGGTTGGGAGACTTGATTATCCTTTCGCCGGCAAACCCGATAATATTCCCTAATCAACATCAATCTTATCTCATTCCCCTTTCATTCCACAGCTACTTCATTTACTTGTTTCTGAACGGATTTGCGTTACCAAAATATTCAAGACCGAATGTCTCAAACTGTGCATTCGATGTTGATGTAATTCACATGCGACGCCGTTCCTTCGGTTGGTCTCGCCTCCGGCGTGGGGAATAAGCGAGGCGATATGCCGAGGCCTTGTATCATAGGTCCGCAATGCGCAAACCGATCGAGGCAACAATCTAATTGCGAGCTTTCAGATTATTTGAACACATCCTACCTTTGGCGCCTTGATTGCTTAGATTTGGTAACAAACGCCATGACAGACGCGCTCTGCGGGCCTTCAAACCCCCTGCAGCACTTGCAAAAGCATACATCGGTCGATAGGACTCTGCAGCAAGACCGGCTCGTTGGGCCACGCCATTCGCCTGTACAGGTATGCTTGCTCTTGATGATATTCAAGTCTTTAAAAGATAGTCATCTTATTCTTTTTTTAGGATTTTAGATCACAGAGTCAAAATGCAGGGATATTAGATCCTGAGTTTAATGCCTTTCAGGCCGGCGCCCCAATCGCCGCGGAGCCGCCGCAGTTTCATCACCCACAACAGGGTCCGGCAAGGCAGTTTGACCCCTCGGTACAGGGCGGCCCATCAAACTGGGCTGTTGATTTCCAACGGCTGAACTTGTCGAATTCCGCATCGCCCTTGCCTCAACAAAAATCTGCATACCAACCTCCCGCGCAGCGAAGTGGTCCTGGCGGCTGGCATCAAGAGTTTATGCAGCACGAGGTCCATCCCCAACCGGTATCATCTCCCTTGGCGCATCAGGCTTATCAGCCTTATATGGGACATGGTGTTGGAAATTTCCAGTCACAGTTCGCCCCCCGGGCGGGGCAACCACAGCAACAGCAGCCGGCGCAAGCGGACAAGGGCAAGGAAATTTGGGATGACGAGGCATTCGAGCAGGCTTTCGACTCGGCAAGGCTAGCTATGCTTGGTCAAGAAGAGCAAGGGCAATCGAGGACCAAAGAGACTTTGGAGCAATTGACGGAACCCACGGAAATTACTGTACAACCAACGAACCTCGACCACATCTCTGAACAGGCGCGAATAGGCGCTGATACTATTGACCATCAAGAATCGAATAATCGTACAGAAGAAGAAATAACAAGAGACGAGAACGATGAGCTTGCAAGGGTAGCCGGAGATCTTCTAGACAAGGTCAAGGACGACCAGAGCCAGAAATTTCAGCAGAGTAATTTCCTCGCACTGATGCGGCGTTTCCGGGACCACGAAGTGCGAGTTGAAGGGGATAGGGTGGTAAATGTAAGTGGACGTTCAACGCATCTACAGATTCGCCTTGGCATATTTGGATCTTTTCAGAGAGTCGACAATGTCTAACGCTAATTGTCATCCAGAATGAAAGTTCACCTGAAAGGAATAATTCGCGAATGACTGGTGCGGTTGATAGCGAAGGTACTGGTAAGTTGAAAAATGTCTTGGTTTCTACTCCGGTAGTTAGCGCAGCCGCCGGCTGACGATCGCCAAATAGGCATGGGACAATCGCATGGCTTCGCTTGAAGCTTATAACGAGGAATGATGGGCGTAGGAATACTTAGAGTGCACAAATCTGTAAATTATGTGGAAATGGTGGTTTTTAGGGGCGTCTGGGAATAATGCGGGTCATATACGACATCTATACCATATTATCAACTTCCAAGCATGAGACGAACATTTCCGTCATTAGACCAAGATCTGCTTGATTTATTGAATTGGATGAGACATTTGTGCGGTCGTAAAATTTAAGCCTTTAACCATAATCAAAATTAAAAATCACCACAGGAAGAGAATTCAACTGTGAAACTCAGTTCCCAATCTTTTTGCAGGATATAAAATAAAATAAAATTAAAAGATAGTTTAATTGTGGAAAACAGTAAACAAGGTGTTTGTTTCGGTCTAGCCTATGGAGAAATCTGATTGGGCCAAGGCGGCTAGTAGCGCGGGTTGATTGACAGCCATCTCCAACTTCCTCCAGCGTATGGGGGAGCTCAGTCTTGACCTCATTAATCACTTTCATCCACCCAAACAATCACCAGCCAAGCACTTCAACGGATCCTACCATCTTCACTGGATTATTTCAGCTTCACCACTTTGCGCTAATGTTCTAGAACGAATGCGAGTGGTATTCTAGGGCAAGAGCTCTGCCCTCTTACCCCATTGGGTGATCTGCTGCCATATAGCGTCCAACCTCCTTCGCGACCCGTGAATTTCCCCTAATTGCGCTGTCCTCGATCACTTCATCAGCATTGTCGGCTTCACAAGAGACTCTTGACGGCTTGTCCGTCCAAGCTCCGCCATACGGCCACCAGCCAGATCCTCATCATTCCTGCAAGGTGGACCGAAGCTCGTACATCTCTCCACCTCCCCTCCCTCCCGCCTCCGAGGCCTCTTCCTCTTCATCTCCTCCGCCTTCACCTCGGCCGCCGCCATTCTCCTCTCTCTACTTTACGCCCTCATCGAAACGTCACAGCCTCGAGGCGACTTTACTGCCTGACGAGGATCCGGGGTTCCTACCTTCGTCATCAAATTACCCTGCGCCTCCCTTTGAGGAAGAGCCTTCGTCTCCGTCAAAGGCCGCAGCAGAAACAAAAGCGGCGCTCCCCACAGATTCAAAGCCTGAGGTTTCGAGCAAGAGCGCAGACGAAGGCGAACCGCCCCCGCCATATACTGAAGGATTCAGCCCACTTCATTCGTTCACATACATGATGGCGTCCGCCGGGGGAGAAGCGAGCATCATCACCCAGGTATCGCAGGGTGTAGGCCCGCCATTAAACACTTTGGGTGGTAAGTGACGAGAGGAAAGGTTGCGCTTTGAGTCGATCTACTAACTACCTTATATGATAGAAGTCGGCTCCGATGAAAATATTACGCTTGATCTCCGGTAAATACGCCTCGCAGAACCTGGAAGAATCATGAATTCCGAAACTAACTTGCGTCAACCACGTCACAGAGGCACACGCTTCACTCTCTCCAGAGATGAACTACTAACTCTTCCGGAATTTGTTCTCCTATCCCTTTTCCCAAATGGACTATTGCCTGACGGGCACATGAACTCTTATCACGAAGGAGATATCTATCCAGTTGATGTACGTTCGGTTGCATGGACACGGGCTGTCCTGGGGAACCCAAATATACATTTATCTGACAATCTTTTTTATGCTCAGTACGATCCCGCATCCCTCCAATACATGCTTGAGTTTTTCCGCAACGTCGCCCAGTCCATCCCGTCTAGCTCCCCTTCCCCCACGAGCTCGGATCCCAATGCAGTCTCGGTTGAGCCTGTGCCTGGCTCTGCGAGGGACATGCTCCAGGATCGAGCAGGAATTATCGTCCTGAGAGAGGATCTGGACTTTTATGTCATTCCTCCAAGACGTGAAATTGAGCAGCCCGAGATGATTGAGGTCAAGCGAGCTGCTGGGCGGGCGCTACTGAAGCAAGATGGCATCTTCTCTGGTTTGCGCAAAAGCGAGGAGGCCGGCACAACGGAGCAGCACCTGATTGAGATGTTGACAGCAGGGTAGGTTGCCTTTCGCCCCTTGGCCAGAAGGGAATTCGATTTTCTAATCATTCTTGTACGTATCTCAGTGGCTTCAATCACGACGACCGATGGGGTCATCGAGCGGGCGAGCCTAACAAGGCCGTCGTCTGCAGCCTTGCCTTGGCCCGACTACGTACGGATATCAAGGGTCATGACATGAACAGTCACGCCATGGGCATGGCACAGAAGCTATTGCTTTTCTGGCGGAAACCCGCGCGACGATGTTGGTGGGAAGGTGTCGAGCTGCTCGACGTTGAAGGTGTTGAAGGAAAATTAAAGGTTTGGATTCGTCGGGTTTGGACCCTGGAGATGGTAAGTGTGGCATGCTTTTCTGCATTCCCTATCACGTGTATCGTAGGGCTGACGATTGTAATATGAACAGAGTGTCATTGGCTTGCGTTGAAGCGAAGAATTTCATTTTCACTTTCGCCTTTTTGTTGTCCTTTCTATCTATCGGTTCACGGCATCATATCCCCCATTGCTGTTATTTCTCATTTTTCCCTCCTTCCATTTTTGCATTTTTACATCCGCTCATTTGATTCCACCCCTTTGAAATATCATCATGGTCATCCCTACTTGATACATACTACTGTGGAGCGGCCTCATTTTCTTTGTCATCCAACTATTCGTTAATCTGATAATTTCTGAAATTCGTTCAAAATTTGTTTTCGGTAGGTTGACATGGACATTGCATTGACTTTGCTGCATGCGTGCAATTTCACGAAGGAGAAGGAGAGGTAGAAAAATATCTGAACGAGGAAACAGGAAGACGCGGCGTGTTGTGGCTATGACAGGGCCGCAGAGACCATGATTAGATACAAATACTACCACGCATATGCATAAGGTACATAGCTAATAGGCCACATACCAAACGGTTATTTATGAAGTGAAGTGTGGTGCTTGCGATTGCTGTTAAACTCGGACTGATCGTTATTGCCTTGAAGGCTTCGGCCAGAGGCTCAAAGCGCACGATTGTATGATCCCGGAAGAGCCAAAATCATCAAAGCAAAACCATCCCCAACGACGCCGTTGGAATGATGCACTAAGAAAGAGAAAATACTACGAAGAGACAGCACAGACACGCCAGTTATTATGTCGGATGAGCTGATTTATATGTTTATCATACTGTGTATGATCTGAGCTCCATGATCTGATAATGGCCCGATTGATCAAGTTCCTGTAACCCTGAGAACCGAAAAGCGAAAATGTCACGGGCGAATGGAACAAATGCCAAGTACTGTGGTGGGTGCGTTCATCGTTCAGTTATAAGAAAAGTAGCTCTTGAGTTTATGGACTTTGTGCTTGTTTTTACTTGGTCTTGAGTGAAGAACTGCCGTTTAATCCAAGTAGGGTAGCTGTGAGATTGGATTTGATATGTCCCGTGAGAAACGGAAAGATTTCAAACCGAGAACCGAGGGATTGAGAAGCGGCCTGCGAAATGGGGGCCAAAATAGCAGACTAGGACTATTGGCTAGACATGAGGTAGAGAGGGGGGGAGAGACTGCGGATTCGTTGATCCGCAGGCGCAGAAAGGGCTGCGCTCTCTACGTACTATAACATACTTCGAGGCCACGGTACGGAGGTATATAGTATAGAGTAGCGCTCGTGTGATTGACTGTGCATATATAGCTAGCTAATCAAAGTTGATCACAGCAGTGCAATAATATTGAAATGATTCCCGCGGCACAGCAAGAAGTGAGAAGCTATAGTGGTAGATTTAATTGCTGGCGGACTCGGCGTAAGAGTAAATTTGGCCGAAGTGGACACCTTTGTCGCTTCTCTCTACCTATCTTTTGCACGGACAGAGTGGGACTGACAACGATAGCCCGGCAGACCGTCTGCGTGACTTTTTTTCGTTTACTCCACATATGCATCTATGCATGCGGGCTGACCACACACCACACACATCCACAGACTTTCGACGCATTTTTGCACTGATAAGCCCTACATTGTAGGAGCGAAACGCAAATATTGAAACAATGCCTTGAGAGTACAGTGCTGCATGCATATTTCGTGACCATGGATTGCATTGTTTCCCTGCCTGACACAAAGAAGATGAATCATTGTGATGCGAGGGGGACGTTTGAAATGAAAAGGAATGTTCCGAGTAAATGCACCGTACGAAGTACAATATGAAGCAAAGCTAACTTAAGTTATGGGCCAAAAAGCGCGGGCACCTCGCGGTAACAATTTCACGGTTGGAGCCAAGATGGAACGTGCTAAGTTGGATGGTTCAGACCCGAAACCGTTAGCCCCAGGTTCGGTTTCCCGTCACGATGATGATGCTGACGGTTCGCCTCGAGATTATCTCGAAGACTTGGCAAGGATGGATTAATAATAAGCATGTTTGATGCCGTCTGACCGGCGGAATTACTACCGTGTGTGTGTGTGTGTGTGTGTGTGTGTGTGTGTGTGTGTGTTAAAGCCTTCCTGAATGATCATCACTCTCCAGCTACAGACTACATTGGAAGTGGTCAACAACTGGTGAGACTTGAGATAGTTGTTGGGAATTTCAATCAAACGCCTTTTAGTCGGCGGGGGGGTTTTAATTTTGAAAGTATCTGATGCCATTTCATTTACTGCTCTTTCTCTGTGATGTTGCTCGTATTGAGAATTTGTGGGACGCGTCGTTGCGCCCTGCGGATGAAGGTGAATGCGACTTTCCCGAAAAGGAAATGGCTAGTGCATGCAGGAGATGAATCCGTCTATTGCAGCCAATGGGGATTCGCACTCAGAGTGAGTCATACTCTGGCACCCCTGTCGGCCATCTCGGACTTCGGCTCAGATCAAGTGTAGAGTACTTGAATTAAGCTTGTTTATGAGAAAGAGGTTCAAGTACTGGGTACTCGACATACCCCTCAGTTACACGCGAATGAATTGTGGTGGAGGCTGAACCGGCCGAACGAGGGAAAGAGCGATAGACCGACCAAACATGCCACTCAAACCTCTTTTTTCTTTCCCGCCTGATTGAATCTCCTCCTTTATCTCCATTTAAGGGCTGCCTGATTCCCACTTCGCTTGCCTGATTTTCTCTTTCCCCCTCCTCCATATTTTTTTTTCTTTTCTTACTTTCTTTCTACAACAACGGCGCTCTTCACAAAACACACCCTCAAGATCCCTTTTATCAGTCACCATTTATCATACGTTTAGACTAAAGGATCTTAATAATCGTCGCAAAAATGCAGTTCGCTTAAGCGATTCCCGCTCGTCTCGTCCACGTTATCTTCGTCGTTCTGACAAGATAGCTTCTTCGACTAATCAGTCTTTGAACTACTCCACTCAATATTCTTCTTCTTCCCTCTCAGAGTCCCCTCTTCGAGGATCTCTGAATTCTAGCCTCGCCCCGCGTCGCACCGGTTCTCGCACCTCTGCAACCATTTTACCAGACGACCTCACGTCGTTCACCACGGATACCCAGCAGTCATGGCTTTCCCAACCTCAGTCCCAGCGGCATTCTGCCTTCAATTCGAGTCAAGCAGCCCCAGCAGACTTTGTGCTGTTTCCGACGCCCTCTGCGCCAGCCTCCCGACCAGCTCGACGTCGTGCGACAGAGCAAGCTCTCGCCTTCAATCGCGTAGCCCTTAATCCCGCCTACCAAACGGCCTTGCAAGGTCATCATCGAAGAAACTCTACTCATCTCTTTTCTGCCTCTCAAGCGGTTCAGAATCCCAGAGTGACGGAGATTATTAACGGTACCGGGCACAATCCTTCGTCGACGTCTTTCCATCGGTTTATTCCCTCGGCCGGCCAGAGAGCTCGTTTTGTCAACGCTTCTTCTGCGCCCTCGTCCTCGTCTTTTGGTCTTTCAGGCAACAGCAGTCAGCATCGACTGAGCACTCCTTCTGTGCCGCCTGTTCCTCTCTTCGCCAGTCACAGCACCGGCAACTTAGAAAACTTTTTCCAGCAACCCAATAATTCTTTCAGTGTAAACAATACTGCGATCAACATGGTTCCAGGTAACTCTCTCTTTGCCACGGTCTTGTCACGTGACTTTGCTTGCAGCCTGCTGACCGCGTCTTTCGCGTTAGACAATCTTTTTGACTTGCCGCTCGACTTCGGCGCCGACGACGTCACCAAGGACGTGTCGCTGTTTGAGTCGGTGGGCTATTCGGACCCCAACTTTGCCTCCATGAATGAGTCGGTTGGTAGCAGCGGCACCGTCTCGCCAAAGGATCTCCTCCGGGATCCTCTGGCGTCGGCGCCGCCCTCGGCCGCGTTCACCAACCTGACCTCTCCCTCCATCTTTGACTCCCCTGATGTTGCAGAGAGCTTTGAGACCTCGCCCCTCTTCGCCAATGCCGACGCCGACTTGGCTGGCCAGGACGCATGGTTCTCCTTGTTCCCCAGCATTAGTGGCGGCGAGAACGACGAGTCGCCCCTGAGCGCTGCCGAGGATGTCATGGTCGCTGATCCCTTCAACATCAGCGCCCAGGTCGTCCTCGGAACGCCAGACATCAACGGCGCTGCCATGACTCCAAGTCTTAGCCGTCGTAGCTCGTCGCCCGGCTCATCGCCCAGATCGGGTGCGCGCAAGCACTCGTCAGTTGCCGGCGTGAACTCGCGTCGTCGTGACAAGCCGTTGCCACCAATTGTGGTCGATGACCCATCTGATTTGATCGCAGTCAAGCGTGCCCGCAATACGGCCGCAGCGCGCAAGTCACGAATGAAGAAGATGGAGCGGTTTGATGCATTGGAGCGCCAGATTGAGGAACTGCAAAGTGAGGTGGAGCACTGGAAGAATCTTGCTCTCGGCAGGAACTGAAGAGAGGGCAGTCTTGTATTGAATACTGCCCGGCATTATGTCGAGATGGGAGGGGTTGGGGTCGGGGCTTGAGCGTGTTCGCTCTCGTCTGAACCTGCATCTCCTCTCCCATTGCTCCGAAACGGCATCATCAGTATGATGGTCGAACAAAAGTTTTGGTCCCTTTTCTCGTTTTGTTTTTGCTTCTCTCCTCACTTTCGGTTTGTTTTGCTTTTTACGGTTCAAGTGACGAGACGGTTATTATTATTATTACGACAGTTCTTCGTCACTTCTTACCCCTCTTTTTTTTTCTTTGGGTTCGGGATTCAAGGTTCGGTCTCTTAATTGCTTTTCATCTCATCCCATCTCGTCACACCCACTTTTCCAAGGCAGTTTGGATAAGTTTGGTAATCGATGATGGCATTCGGTCATATAGATCTTTGATCATCTTGATTGATGGAGGTTGAAATTTTTATTATTATTATTTTATTACCTCGGGAACAGTCTGTTCCTTGGCAGGACTCATCTCCGCATACTACGTTAGGATGCACACAAGACCAAGACTCGATACCTCCCCTCACCCGCTCTCTTGTTTGCCTTCTCTTTTTCCACACGATTTTTTTTTTTTTTTTTTTTTTTTTTTTTTTTTTTTTTTTTTTTGATGGGTACAGGTCAGCTATACATCAGCCGGTTCTGACGTCTCCCGGTGACTTGTGTCTGAAAAGTCACTTCACTCTGGGATTGACTCGTGGCTAGAAAGGTTTTCCTTCTGCTTTTGCTTTTTTTTGCTCTACTCAATCCGGTAACTAAACCAGGAAACCAAACCCAAAAAATTAAACGAAGTTATTCTGCGTTATACAACTTTTTTTTCTCCCACATGACAGTAATGTGATACATTAATCTCGCGTGTTCTTGTGATCGTGAGTTCTAAAGGTGATGCTCTTCCATGCATATACTTAAGAAGGTTATAGTTACGTCTTTTCTGTTCTGGATAGAGAAGTATTTTCGTACAATCGCTGCCATAATTGCCCTATGCATGCTACCCGTTTGAATCTGAAAGTATGCCAAAGAGGCGATCCTTGCGATGACGATGGAAAAGATGATGATACTCATTGATTGGTCATACCACTATGATACAGGCTACAGACGACAAACATCTATGTAAGGTACTCGGTACAGTTTATAGATACTATTCCCACTTCAGGCCTCGTCTTCCAAAGCAAGATACATGGATCCCACGCCCTGAGTGTACCATTTTGCCTTTGTGTGCATGGAAAAGGTGTGTTGATCATCATCATCATCATCTTCATCAACATCATCGCCACCCTTGTCGTCGAGGTCAGTATGATCGGTGGTAAGAGCCGTGGCGGAAGTAGAGACGGTAGTATCAGAAATACCGTCACTGCTATGTCCACTATCATCAGAAGAAGAGGAAGATGAAGAAGAGTGGTCGTGATGGCTTTGTCCACTGCCATCAGCAACCATGCTACCGCTGCCGCTGCCGCCGGCGGAAATAGTTGTGGCAGTAACAGTGGCATCAGCAGACGGAGCAGTAGTCTGTTTGCTCTTCTTCATCTTATTGCCATTGGATTGTTTAGTTGTTTTGGCAAAACGCTCGGCCGTAAGATCTTTGGGCCCCTGAGGTGCACTATCCACCGTGTCCTCAGGTAAAAGCAGCTCCTCTACCTTCCAAGCAATCCGCTCGGCGCCCTGTCGGGCACCTTCGAGATTTCCGGCAAAGGGGCCAAGACGAAGTCCTGCAAATCGACCAGTGAGGAAGAGCGGCACGTCATCGCGCCACATGAGGTCGTTGGTAAGACACGGCAGGCCGCCTTTTGTGTCAATTGGATGAGAGCGGTGCAGCGGTTCTAGCAGCGGCATGGAGTCAATGTCTGCAACATTACCGGTGGAGTATATGATGAAGTCGATTGAGGGAAGGGTGTCTTCGTCGGAGGGGGGCTCAGTTGATTTAATTTGGCCTTGGCGAGTTGGGTGAGTGGCGGAGTCCGACGCGCCGCTGATTGTGTCGTCTGTCATGCTTGAGTGGTTGGCATCTTCTGAAGAATGCAAACCTGAGATCTCGACATCTTTATTGGTTGCAGAAGGAGGCTTTGATTGAGAAGTTTTTGATTCCTTCTCCATTGTAGCATCCTCGGCACTGGTGTCTGATTCTGCATCCTCGTCCTTGGACGCCAGCTGCGTTGACTTGATTTTGACAAGCCATGTCTTCGTTGCTGGGTCCCAGGTCTTTGATGCAATTTCTGTATAATTAAATAATTTTGCTCGGCCATGTGCACAGTGAGTCTCGAGAATTTTTCGATGCTCGGGGGTGAGAGTGCCGCCGTTCCGGGACTCGAGAATCATTTTGAGGCGCTCTAACGCAACTATTAGCCATTGATATCGACAATACCGTTCAACAAGCTTTGAAGTTCGAGAAATTTTGCTCAATCTAAAGCACCGCTATCGATTCACACGAGGTATGAAATCAAATATGTAGTGGAGTTTAAAGGGACACGTTTTGCATGGGACGGGTCTGATAAGATCAGTCTACCTACCATCGTCGTCATCACAACACCAGAATGTCGACAACTGATTATTTTTATATTTTCCGACCCATGGCAACTCAAGGTCAAAGTGGCGTACTTGATACAAGCAAATTTGTCAGTACAAAACAAGCCGAGGAAGTATTAGGTGAATAATCATTGATATGTATTCGAAAATTGATAGGCTGACCTTTTGTTGGACCCCTCATCAGATGCCACACCTTTGTTACACCTTTTTTAATCAACAAATCTGTAACCTGGGCGCTTGTAAGACCGCCACCAATAACCACAACGTTGGTAGCGGCTTTACTCTTGATTTTCTTCATGAGATGAGCAGGAAGCTCCCCGCCATCCATGATATATGACGTGTGACACGCGGCAAAGACATCCCCCTCGTAACTGGTTGGAACGCACTGGGGCACGCCGGGACCAATGGCCATGATCACTGTTCTAGAATAGAATTTTCCAGTCGTCGACTCGATCGTGAATAAACTTCGTCCAGAATCATCTTCTGCATGGTCATAGCTCACTGAGGTAACCTCAGTTTGTTGAATAAGATTATCGACCTTATACCGCCGGCTGACGTCCTGACAGTGGTCGCAAAAGAGCTTCTGCGAAGGTCGAAAGTAGTCTTCTCGGTCACGCTCATTGACTGGAACAATCTTCGGAGCTGCTGCTTTCCTTTTTTCATTGTATATGATATTAGCACATTAAATACTTGAGACGCACATTAGATAGGGTCGAACGCGATAGGCGGACTGAATTAGACGGACTGAATGGCGATCAAGAGGACACGACAAAAAAGGAAATTAAGAAACAAGTCATAGGGCAAGCTTACTTTCCAGCAGATCTCCTCTGCTTCCTATGGTGCTTGCTCAGCTCCTTGCCAACCACATTCCGGACCTCCTTCAGCTCCCGCTCGCGTCTTTCTGCATAGGCATATGCCAGCAGGCCATTTCGATCGCCAGGATCGACATGAAAGAACATCGGGCTGCGGAGGTGACTAATCCTGAGAGCATCGAAGCGGTTATTCCACCTCGACATCCATTGGTTCGAATGAGATTCGAGGACAGCTATCGAATAACGGGACACAGGTCGAGAAGTCGATGGGGACTGCCTAGTGAGATCCTCGGACTTGTTCAAGGTCTTTCGATGAGAGGAATTGTGCCGTTTCCCCCAAAATCTCTCATGCTCAGCGTCGGTGAAGAGGGCAGAGGGTGTAGCTTCAGTAAGGCGGGCCGCGACAGCCAGACCGCATGGGCCTGCTCCTATAATGACCACATCATGTGGGAGTGAAACAACTTCGGCCATTTCTGACGTTCGCTTTACAATGAGTCCAGGACGCCAAAATACGCTTCATGGCTTTTGTCGCTGCGGTCATATTATATATTTATGTGGCGTCTTGTGCAGGTGACTTGTGAGAACCTGTGTAGTAGTTAACCATCCAGGTCCTCATATCAATATATACGTTAAGTAACCGAGAACGCGTGTTGATAACAGCCGGATCTTCTGCTCTTTCCCGTTTGGCGGAACAACAAAATCTGCAAATCAATTCCAATTCCTCATTTGTCATTGTCGCCGTCGTCGGTTGAATGGTGGAACCGTATAAGTTCCGCACTGCATGGTTCTGAGCGCCAAGCATTGAAATATGCGCCCACCACAAAACTTTCTCAGTCAGAAAATCAGTGACAGACAAAAGCACAATGGGACTCTGGTAGGGGCTTAAAACAATGGTTTGAAGGTCAAGGGGAAAAGCGCTATAATCAAATGTCACTCGGCCGTGCAGAAAATGCGATGCAAGGAGGTAGCAGAAGTCGAGGGCGAGAAACGTGGGGGAAAATGCTCGATCCTGATGTGGTATATTATCTCGTACGATTAATGGTTCGTTAATTTAGACTTAAATTCATTCATCGTCTTCATCATCGCTTCCAAAAATCGCCTTAAACATGGCATCGCCGGCTCTTTGGCTTTCCAGGGCCTCATTGTGCTCAGGGTCAACTGGAGCTTCAACTGGCTGGTTGTGTGGGGTTTCAGATCCGCCGCTAGGTGTCGTTTCCCCAGATTCGCTTCTATGAGCCTTAGACTCGCGCAGGATCGAATCCAAGGTTGATTTAGACACAAGTTCTAGGGAAGCGCTAGGTATTCCAGTGGAAGTTGTTTTAGTACCACTTGTAGGCGTATCTGAACCCATATCGGGGTCCGGCGCGACATTGGCAGGAGGCCTGATGTTAAATCTCTTGCATAGGAGTCTAGTAGGGAAAAATTGCTGCACTGACCGAGTCAAAGGCCCGAACATGCCCATCTTGGCGGCAGACTCTGCTGGATCTTCTGGTTTTTGCTCTGGCCTACTCAGCAGCGCGCTTTGAGAGTTGGAAAACTCGGAATCTGAGGCGACCTTTGGCGATGTCGAGGAGGAGGTAAATCGTGAAGCCATCATTCCAGTCATTGGCTTGAAAATTTGTGCTGCATGGGCAAACTCGTGAAGCTCTTTCACCCAGTCTTCTGTGGACATTGCTGGAGCTCGTTCCGGTAGACCGCTTCGTATGCCAGCTCTTATCTCGAGGAAAGTTCTGTATCGAGAACGTTTCGACTCGTCCTCTGCGTAAGGCATCCAGCCGCTTATGCCGCGTCCTAGAGCTTGAATGGCAACACCCTTATCGAGTGCAGGAACAAGGCTCTGCAGAGATTGCTGACGTTGCTCCTGGGTCGTGGCAAAGCCTTCGGGAGGCGCTTCACCACGAGCTGCTGGTAAATCCGATCTTCCGGACGCAGACGCAATTCGAGCTCTGGCAGATGCGCTTAGGAAATCGAAAACAGATTTTCCAGGAAGTTGCTCCTCTCCAAGCACTTTTGCTCGCGATTTAGGGTCCAGCGATGAAGCTTTTGCCACATCTGCTACGCTCTGATAGTTGTCGTCGGGCGTTGAAGATGATGTCACCAACTCCTTCGCTGACTTCCAATCAGGAGGAATCTTTGGAGGAGGGTACCTTCCGTCTTGGTTTACAATAGAAGAATGCAAGCTTGTATCGACTGCCAGGACGAAGCCGTCCAGGGGTAAGCGTCCGTCATGGCATTTACGAAAGCCAGATTGAGATTTGGCGGCAGCTTTCTTTTTCGAAATAAACACTGGCTTTGCTGCCACCAAGGGATTAGCTGATCCTATGGATGATAGCCCGCCTTCTGATCGGCGCTTCTTTTTGGCATCACCACCAATTGTGCGATTGTATGAAATACGAGGCCCCATCTCAAACGGATCCTCATCATCTGAGCCAGTATCGTTCAGTACTCCCACACCAAAACCTCCACGTGTTTGAGGTTTCTCTTTCTTCTTTTTCGCGGGCTCCCGTAGCAGTGATAACCTCGAGTCGCTGTCGGATTCGTGGTCCTTTTGATCAGAGCCGCCTCTTCCTGCGGAATCTGATAGCCGTGCCTCCCCAACATATCCTAAGCCCTGATAATCGTCTTTCCGATCAAATGAAACCATAGGTGGATTGTCTGGTGCAAACAAGTGCGTAGTTTGCTCATCTTCTCTATCGTCTTCGTCGTGAAATCGAGCTTTCCTCCTCACTTTTGGCCCGACGCCCTGACCCTCTCGCCACCCCATTCTTTTTAAGAGCTTTACACCCATTGTTTCCCCTGCTGTCTTTAAGATATCCGTCAAGAATCCTTGACGGAAAGTATCCTCAGCCGTCGAGCCCAAGCCGGCAAACGATGTAGACGTCTGTAAGCGTTCCGCCTCAGCCGCATCCGCCAGATCCTCGTCATCCATGAAATCTTCCCGGCGCTGCTGGACATTATTTGGAGTTTCTTTGTAGCGGTCTGTCCGTGAGGAGACGAAAGTAGACGGCGTCCATCCTTCTTTGGATCCAACTGTATTGAAATACCTATAATTTCTTAGCCAGCTCATTTGATATTGCGCCTAGTGGTTTTCTTACCCTGCACTAAAACCTCCGGTGAAGGCACCATGTAGGCGCTTACGTCCTCGCTCGTCGGTCACTTCCTGCTTCCATATAGGTACATATGACCCGTCATCGCGGACCTCGGGATCGAGAGGTGGGAGGGCGGTGCCATAGAGCACATAGGGCGACTGCCGAGCCTGTAGATCGGCTTCATAGACAGCACGAGATCTCTTGTTAGTCGCCATTGCAGCTAGGACGATCGTTCTACCGCATTATTGCCAATTAAGAATTTTGCTGCTACTGTTATTTAAAGTATCGTTGTTATGAACGTAGACACTTTGGAATTATAAGATAGCTTTGGAGGATACAAGACGCGGCAGCTGCCGTATCATCGTCAAAACTGACTTATCAAAGATGATCAGATAAGTCTTTACAAGCGACAAGATCACACCAATCGCTTCTGACCTGTCGGGCAAGGGGCGTAGCCCAATGCCGGAAAGAGCACTGCGCCAAGCCTTGAGGTCAGAAGTGCCGGTTGAGGGTCCTCTTGGCCTTTCCCATTTGATGACCAGCAGCCACCGTTTAAAGGCAGGTAGCTACCGGGATTAGTACCTTGGCTCTGTGTAGCCAAGTCTAATTTTCTGTTTCAATGCCCATACTACGCATACAAGTTCTACATGGGGAGAATGAAAGCAGCATAAACTGTGGTATCAATGGTCGGGTATTCTCTGGTTACTTCTGGACTGGTTGGAAAATGCCATGATAATCCCGCCGGTGGAGCTTGCTCTGAACAACCCCTTTTTTTCGGGTTTCCGCGACGCCCTTGTGTTTGCGGCATGGAGGGATTACGACAGCTAATTTACCTATTTCTGCTGATGTTCTCAATATTATCATTATTTAGTTTATCGGAGAAGCCGTTCTTGCTACCTTTTTTTGTCTGGGCTAGTATCCAATGAGATAGAAGTGACTGAAAGGTGTTGGCCTAAGAGGGTCCATTAATCCATGAGCATTTCCATCTTTGTCTCGTTGCCCCTGTTGAACGAGAGCATTAGTTGCATGGTGGTTGATCGTTCATCCCTACCCTTGGGCAACTTGGCATGCTGTTACCGCGACCAAGCGACGGCTGCGGTGGGGCGGAAGAGAAATCCAGATCCGGTTCAGACCCCTCACTAAGAAAAGTACAGGTACGATAGGTACGAAGACCGCCGCATAGATGAGGAAGGTGCGAGTCAATCAGTCAAGCGGCCCTTTCCCTTTGCTCACGCATCAACTCACTCGCTCACTACCTCCGTACTCATTCACGCCTCTCTCCTCCAAGTAAGACCCGGAAGGCAGCGATGGAACTCTCTTTCCCCTGCTGCTTTCTGTTTAGCTTTAGTTAGGTGTTCTTTGCCCGGGAGATGGCCTTGACAGGTCGCTGGTTCCCTCCAATTTAGGAAGCAGCCTCCCTCGTTAGTGGGCTCTCACTAAACCGTAAACTATCTGTTGCTTGACCATTCTTGTTTAATTGTATGTGAATGTGTGGCGCCCATCAGATGAGCTTTCTAAATTCGCTTGGTGAAATGCCGACCAAAGCCTGACCACACCTTATGTCTTTGGCTAAACATCGTCCTCATCATCCTCCACTCTCAAATTCGAGGACTGCAGCCATCTATTCTTCTACAAGTCGCATTTACACTTTCCCTTTTTATCATTATTTTCCCTACTCCTTTTCAAGATCGTGGCCCTGGTTTGAGCGCCTTCTAGGTATACTTTGGCCATTAAATCCATCGCCCTCACGTCCTCCAGTGTCTCGTGTATCCCCCAGTACTCTTACAATATAGTAACTCTCGATTACGGTGGGGATGCGCGTGGCGGTGATTTGATCCATTGTGGCTCCTCTCATTCGACACCTGCCGTCGCTTCCTGTCTCTTAGTGACCCCCGACCTGATCACTGGCCCACTACGGGTCACTGGTTCTTCGCGGTCCCTGACGGACCGACCAGGTTGCGTGTGGCTCTTTGGCGCTGATTTGAGGTTCCTTGTCCGTACTTGGCACTTTGATTAGAACCGAGCACCAGGCATCGTGCATCACTCGCTCATACCCGCCGCCCGACGACGCTTTCTTTCCCCTCGCTCTTGGCCCTTGCTGCCAACCACGAACCCTGCTCAGAGAAATCCTCTTGACGCTTCCGCTGCTGTTCACTCTCTCGTTTGGGGCTTGAACGCACGCTCTCGTATCCTTTGCATCCCCCTTTGCTCCATCTATATCGCTTTTGTCCTCTGCTGCCATCGTTGGTGAGGACCAGAGCTGTTTGAACTCTCCAGTACGGGAGATCGGATAAAATAAAGGGTGGAGTGCTGGAACCCGCTCCTCCAGGTTCAGACTCTTTGTAAGTCAACCCGTCAAACATCAACCACTCCTTGCAGCCCGTCGTTTGCCTTCTGCCATTCAAGGGGATTTAGAGCTTGCAGAGTTGCAAAAGCCTCCTCGCGCCCGCTCGCTTGCTCCCGATCTTCTCACGCGTGGCATCCTTGGACCCGTTATTCCCGTCATCGCCCCTCTAGAGTCTCCTTGCCTCAACTGATTATTGGCGAATAGAGCGTTCGCAAGGTACTTCTGATGAGCACAGGTGCCGCAGTGAACTGCGGTCATTATTGCCGCTTACTCGCTGTGAATGCTCTCCGATCAACTACACTGGAATCCTCCGAATTCGTTTCTCGTTGCCAGCTGTAATTGCCTGAACGTCATACTTCCCAAGGAACCTGGCCTGTGAACCATGTCGACCGCTTCACCTGCCGGTTCCAATTACACTCATACCTCTAGCCATCGACCACCACCGTACCAGCCAGCGCCCGCGGACCTCCCTCATAGGACGCAATCCACGTCGGTTCGCAACCCTCCTTCTGCTGGAATACCCCGCCGTTCCAATTCTCATTCCTATGCATATGGACGGCAAGGGACAATCCAATCGCAGCAAACCCCTTTGATCAATGTGGCGCGTAGAGATCAAGCTGTCTCAAACGTGGCTCAAGCGCCTTCATCATCTCCGCACACCGCTTCCCACGAAGGAACCGTTCCGATGGCAGCCAATCCAACACGAGTCGATTCTCTTCGGAATGGTGCACACGCCGCGTCTCGGGCGGCGCATGGCCGCTATGCATCGGAGGGTGCAACGCCTGTAGCGGGCAATGGCAGCCCTGCTGGCCCTGCAACTCCTCGCACTGTCGCTGAAGCTCCGGAGAGGTCGATCCCGATGAATGCAGCTCCTCAACCGAGACGGCGGACGACCATAAGCGCACAAACTGGACAGTGGGCACTGGGAAAGACTATTGGTGCGGGCAGTATGGGTAAAGTGAAGCTGGCAAGAAATATGGAAACTGGGGAGCAGGTGAGTTTACATGCAACGATTTAAGGTCACGCGTTTCTCGTAGCTGATATTGTGCTCTGCGATTAGGTGGCCATCAAAATTGTGCCCCGCCAGTCCACAGAAGACCACCATAGCACTCGAGATCGGGAACGAGCTGATCACTCAAAGGAGATTCGAACGGCAAGAGAAGCCGCTATTGTAACGCTGCTTCATCATCCTTACATCTGCGGCATGAGAGATGTCGTGCGGACAAATTATCATTGGTATATGCTTTTTGAGTTTGTCAATGGTGGCCAGATGCTCGATTATATCATTTCGCATGGTAGACTGAAGGAGAAGCAAGCCAGAAAGTTTGGTCGGCAGATTGCTAGCGCTCTGGATTATTGCCATCGCAATAGCATTGTGCATCGAGACTTGAAGATCGAAAACATTTTGATCAGCAAGACAGGTGACATCAAAATTATTGACTTTGGGTTGAGCAATCTTTTCTCGCCGCGAAACCACCTCAAGACATTTTGTGGTAGCTTGTATTTTGCAGCCCCGGAGCTCTTACAGGCTCGCCAATACGTTGGACCGGAAGTTGATGTGTGGAGTTTTGGCATCGTTTTATACGTTCTCGTCTGCGGCAAAGTTCCATTTGACGACCAGAGCATGCCCCAGCTTCATGCAAAGATCAAACGCGGTGTAGTAGATTATCCGGCATGGCTGTCAACAGGTTAGTTACTTTCCACGTGTCTGTGCCCCTAAACTATTTGCTGATTTGGCTAATAGAATGCCGGAACCTGATTTCGCGAATGTTGGTCACCGATCCTCGGCAGCGAGCAAGTCTGAGTGAGATTATGAATCACCCTTGGATGACAAAGGGCTTCAATGGGCCCCCCGAAAATTACCTCCCGCATCGGGAACCCCTTCAATTACCACTTGATCCTCAGATCATCGAGAAGATGACGGGCTTTGACTTTGGTTCACCAGAGTATATCACCACTCAACTTACAAAAGTCATTGAATCTGAGGATTATCAAAATGCTGTGCGTTTGCTAACCCGCGAGCAAGCTGCGCACACGTCGTCAAGTGATCGGAAAAGGGGTGTCTTTGACTTTTATAGGCGGCGCAATTCCATTACCAGCAAGGACACTCTGGTGAATTCCTCGGCCGAGGCCATCCAGCTGGGCTCCGACCCTGTTAATGCATTCAGTCCACTGATTTCCATCTATTACCTTGTCCGTGAAAAGCAAGAACGGGAGCGGCTTGAGACGAACCCTGGCGCTCTTAGCATGCCAAGATCGCCGGGCGAGAAGCCCCTCAAGATGCCCGATCTTCCTGCACCTGCTGCGGCACATACCAACGAAGCCGCATATGAAATGCCCGGTGAAAAGGCCACGGGCGGGCGGGCGAGACCTCGAGCACGGACCCATGGAGAAGATGAAGTAACAGAGGGTTTGAAGAAGATTGATCTCAACCCGCCGCCTCATCCAACTCCACCTTCTCTAAACCTCCCACAATCCGAGCAACCGCATGTTAAAAAGGAGAGTGCTGCCGCGGGGTTGTTGCGGAAATTTAGCACTAGGCGACATCGTGACCCTGATAGAGAAAGGCCCAATGCTCCTCCACCTGCAGTCGCTGTGCAAACCCCCGATGAGCTTGCGCCACCTCGAAAGAGTTTCAGCGTTAGAAAGCCTCGGGACCGAGAGACGCCGCCCCTCCCGACAATCGGTAGCAGTCAATCTCAGCACCCAGATCTTTTAGCGCCTCCTGGTCCTCCTGAGACGGTAGCAAGGCTAGGAAAGGGCCTAGGAAGGTCCACTAGCGTCAGTTCAGCTGATTTCAGGCGGCGGGGATCGAGACGCACAGGTCGTGAGAGTCCGCTGAGCTCAAGCCTTCATGAAGCCATTCCGCCAAGCGGCTCCAATCAATCAAGCCTTGTGAATCAGCCTGTGTCCAGCAACGAGGGAGCCGTACATGACAACAGGCCACGGTTCAACGCTCGCGCAGCGGCTACCACTCGGACAAAGTCTCTCGGGCACGCCAGGCGTGAGAGCATCCAGGCAAGACGAGCCAGGCGAGAGGAAGCACGCGAGGCGAATGTTCCAGAGGAGACCAGTCAAGAGCTCGAAGAGGAGCAAGAGTCGGGGACAGCCGATAACGTGGAGGGGCTGAAGCCGGTTTATCTCAAAGGACTCTTCAGCGTCTCCACTACCAGCACGAAGCCCCTTTCCTTTATCAGATCCGATATCATTCGGGTTCTCAATCAACTGAATGTTCAGTTCACTGAGATTAAAGGAGGTTTCAGCTGCCGTCATGCTCCGAGTATCGAGCTCAGTCGTTCACCAGACAATGGTGGTGAGCTGCAGACCACTGGTACGAACCAAAGCCATAAACGCAAAATCAGCTTCGGAGGTCGCTTTGGAGGAGACCGCGATCCACCTCAAGAGTCTCCAGAGCACTTGAAGAAGACGATTTCCAGGAGATCAGGTCCCGACACCAGCTTCACAAATTCAGAGGAATCATCGGATAGCATTCCGAGAGTATCAACTGGCCCGACAGTGCCGGGAGAAACTACGACTCAGGTCCAGAGCGACTTGGGGGGCAATATGGTTCTCAAATTTGAGATATTCATTGTCAAGGTTCCGCTATTTTCCCTGCACGGAGTGCAGTTCAAAAAGGTTGCTGGAGGAACTTGGCAATACAAAAACATGGCACAAAAGATCTTGAACGAGCTTCGACTATAGAGCCAATGCCATGAGAACAGCCACGGTTCGTTTCTTTTTGTTTGCGGACATTAATCAGGGTTATGCATTATGAAGCCGCTTATTGTTTATTCTTTCTGCTTGTGGATGTGGGCCATCATTTTCTAGCGTTTGCAACGATTTTCCTCGTTTGTTACTTTCAGCGTCTCCGCCGAAACGGTCGCATTTGCCGTACGGTTTTGACTTGAACTTTTCCGTATGGATTAATATCACCTATTCTTTTCTTCCTTTGTTTTTTTGTATAGAAAGTCTCTCTGAAGTCTCTCATTGCGGGTCATTATGTTTTCGACGAGTTGTTGGAACTCTGCTTATTGTCGATGGCAACTTGGATGGCACAAGAAACGCATTCTTCAGAGTCTGGCGCATGTTAGCATGGTCATGATCCTTCCTATTGAAGTCACATCATATGCATATGTATACGCATTAATAATTCAGATGAATATATCATCTAAAACTGAGGTTTTTTTTTTTTTTTTTTTTTTTTTTTTTTTAATTCCCGCTCAACTCTGTGATCATGGTGAAGTTCATTGAAGTAAATAGTCTTGCTGTTTATAGGATGGAATGGAGTGTGGATTTTTAAGATTATCAATATTCGGGCGACAGAAAATCATATGGCAATCTAATGGAAATAATTTTGCTCAGCATGCTCCGTAATGTCTCTTTTCGATCTAACCGCAAGGCGAAAGAAATAGTGAGTTTTAGTTTTCGAGGTGAATTTGCGGACTCGCCTTAGACTCCCTACAATAATAATCTGCGATGAGCCGCAACGGGAGCCGAAGCGCTAGGCAAGCTTAAGTGACATCGCATCGTCGAACTTGACCAGATTCAACTCACCTCCCCACCTCGCCAAACGGTATCGACCTTTCCTTGCCGTCGCAATAATTCTGACTCTGACACTCACATCTCATCATTGTACTGGCCATTCATCCGTATCCAACCAAATCGATCCGCCTGAGCGCTACTTTCGCAGAGATGCTGCAATCGCAGCACGTGTTCTCCCATCAGCATCAATACCCTCAAGCTGAAGCATCATGGCTCCATCAGCAGCAGACGCACCACCCTCAGCATTCTCACCAAGCAGCTCAACACCACGCGCAAGCGCAAGCGGCTGCCGCTGCCGCAGTTGCTGCTCAGCAGCAGCACTATAATCGCATTGCTGCAAGCAACAACAATGCCGCTGCAGGCCTCGCCGCTGATCACGGGCAGATTGCTGCCACCATGGATTCCAGCATCAGCGAAGAGAATAGGCGTGTTCTCGGCTGGATTGCAGATTTAATGAATGGCTCGTCACGAGAAGCAGCATTACTTGAACTTAGTAAAAAGCGGGAGCAAGTTCCTGAGCTGGCCTTGATTCTGTGGCATTCTTTCGGTGAGGCGAAATGACTTTGGAGGTTTGGATGGTTCTCAGTTTCTAACCAAGTTATCGTTGGGTAGGGGTTATGACGTCTTTGCTTCAAGAGATCATCTCCGTTTATCCACTGTTGAATCCGTCGCAGCTCACGGCTGCCGCTTCAAATCGCGTTTGCAACGCGTTGGCACTGCTTCAATGTGTGGCATCACATAACGAAACCCGAGGCCTTTTCCTCAACGGTCAGTATATCCCAACGCGGCCTTGCGAAATACTCAGCCCTGACTTTGTCGCTAGCGCATATTCCTCTCTTTCTCTATCCCTTCCTCAACACGACATCCAAGTCTCGGCCGTTTGAGTATCTCCGTCTTACCTCGCTCGGAGTGATCGGCGCGCTGGTAAAGAATGACTCTTCTGAGGTCATCAACTTCCTTCTTACGACCGAGATTATTCCTCTTTGTCTCCGCATCATGGAAACTGGCTCAGAGTTGAGCAAGACTGTGGCCATCTTCATTGTGCAGAAGATCCTCCTCGACGACCTTGGCCTTGCATACATCTGCCACACTTACGAGCGATTCTATGCTGTGGGCACTGTCTTGAGCAATATGGTCAACCAGCTTGTTGAGCAACAGACGGTTCGGCTTCTCAAGCATGTCGTACGATGTTTCTTGAGGTATGTTTGGACAACAATTCCGTGTACGTGGGCTCAGAAATTCTTGACGCTAACGCTTGAAAAGATTGAGCGATAATGCACGAGCACGGGAAGCTCTCCGTCAATGTCTGCCTGAGCCTCTCCGCGACGCGACTTTCTCGTCGGTTCTACGCGACGATGCAGCAACAAAACGATGCCTCGCCCAGCTTCTTATCAATCTTTCCGACAATGTTGTGGATGCTTCTGGCAACCAAGGGTTGTAAGCGTCATAAAAAGTGCGAAATTTTTGGAGTCTTCATAATTGGGCATGACATGCATGTATCATATGGGAATGTCGTCTGGCGCGCGTGCGGGGCCGGGTATCTAATAAGTCTCGGGAATTCTTTCCTTCCTTCAGCAACCAAAAGAAGCGCCATCGTCTCTTCAGGCTTCTGAGGACGATGCATCCACGATTAACGACAAATTGATTTGAAAAAGAAGAAGAAGAAAAGTAAAACCCAAAAACATATTTTGCGGATTGTTCTTTACTCGTTTTCGGTCTGCGGGCGAGCTCCATGTCATGGATGGGTTAGAGGTTTGCGGCTCCGTTTTCTCATCTTCATGAGGTCGAATTGGCCGCGCGCATAGGAAGATGTCACGCTTCTTTACAGGTTTGTCTTAGCGATTCCGAAGCATGATGGCGGAGAAGGTGATGGAGTGCCGGACATATACTTCTTTTCTTTTGGTGGGGTTCTGTTCTATAATCCATCCTTCCATTCACTCATCCATCCGGCACTTGTCTGGTTATGTACGGTCTGGTCCATCATCTACTCCTACATCTCGGCGGCGTCTGTTGCTAAAGGGTTTACCAGGCTATCTCAGATAGCTTCGTTTTGTTCTTGCTGCTGACTCGAGGTAGCATTTCTCATTAAAGGGTCTCATTTTTAGGGTTTGCATGGAAATAGGATTCCGGCAGTTATGTCATCATTGTATTAGTTGTCTGATGTTTTTTTATGTTTACTTAATTTCTTTTCATCCAGTCATTGTCAGAGGGGTAAAAGATTGCTTGCTTTTTCATTGTGTGTATATATACGAATATCAGTCTGATCTTGTCTTTTCAGTTGCATTCATGAAATCGTTTCAAATTCCTACCATTTGCATCGTGGCAGCCAAGCAGGGCAGAAGGATTATGTAATACGCTCCTTGAATTCCTTCCTGTTCGGCTTTCTCATGAAACCAATCCTAATAGGGGATAGCGCATTTTGAGGCTCTGCTGACCTGGGGAATCAATTCACCCAAATTTCCGTGCGAGCGATACCGTGCACTTTGCCCAAGACGCGTCTGACCGTGAGGTTTTTGCCAGGCAAAAACACCGGTGACGATTTAACGACAACTTTAATGGTTTTTGAGATACCGACCCATAGATATCTTGCATCCTTCCTTTTTCTTCTCTGGATTTGAAATTTTCAGAATCACCCGTCATTTCATTTCAGCTCTAGCTGGGAATCTACGGTGTTTCGATTCGCGCGTCGCAATTCTGCACCGACGCCATCGGGAGTCCTTGCTTCATTGTTCCGCCAAACAGCTCTTTCGCAGGAGCTTCACACCGAAATTTCTGAACAAGGGCAACTCTGATCATTTCGGCGGATATTCGATCCTTTCTTGTGCGGTCCTCTCTTCCACAGATCATCGTCCACCGACATTTCACCTCAAACGCTCCGAGCGCAGTCATTCGAAATTGTGTTACAGGATCTAGAAGGCCAACACGCGACTTCAACCTAGTCAACCCTCCTGCTAGGACTGCGCTGGGTTATTCAAGGAGAAGGAATTAACGCACAAAATGGTTGCCAGGAAACGAGGCAGGCAAGAGATAGAGGAGGCTTCTCCGCCGACGACAGCTAAACGGTCCTCGCGGGCCGTAGCTGCAGCGTCGAAGAAGGCTGCTGCTGAACCCGAAGAGCCATCTACGCTCGATCGTATTCGGAACATGTGGGAATTTGCGAATTTGATGCAGTACATTTATATTTTTGGGAAAGCTGTCAAAATTGACGAGGATCTAACCATCGAGGTACGTCTGGGACATTTATCAGCGCACACGAGCTGGAGCAAATTGCGCATGAGATTTTGCTCTGTCTGATGTCCCACGTGGAGCTCATTGCTGACAAGGCCCTACAGGATTTGGAAACTGAGTGTCTCATCCCAAGTCCATCCCGAAAACTCGCCGAAATTGGATTGGCACTTCTAAAATTTGTTTCATCACATCGGGGACTCACGTGAGATTTCACTTTGGAAATCATGAAACGTTTACAATGCTGACGCAGTGGAGCCTAGTCATGATCTTTTTGATGAATACACACGTCGCCAGTATTTAGCGAAAGCGCCAAACCGCAATCCTTTTGGTGATGAAGAGACTCCCAAAAGGTTTGACGATTTTGACGCATTCACAAAGATCCGGGTGCTATATCAGTTATCGCAATGGACGTTGATCCCCTGCGAACGAATGAGGGAACGGATGCCAGAGGTCAAGGATTCGGAGCAGACACAATGGGTACGATAACCTGTTCTCAATATGGGCATAATCAACAAGGTACTGATTACATATCGTTATAGCGAGTTGAGGAAATCGGCTACGATTCACATGAACGCCTTTACTTTGTTCTTGACGACAATCGTTTGTATCGTCGTACAGATCCTCCTCTTCCGTCGCCTCCACCACCGAAGCCCAAGGCAAACACGAAGAAAGCAAAAGCTGCAGCCAGGGCTAGCAAACGAAGAAAGCTGGCTGTGGGCGCAGAAGCAGAGGACGATGAAGAAATCGGTGCCGTCAACGGAGACTCAGGCGCTACTGACGATGGATTTGGCGGGATGAAATGGGAATGCCTAGCTGTGACTGGCGATGACTATCGTACTTTCTTGGAATCTATTCGGCGAAGCAAGGACGCAGATGAGAAGTTTTTACATCAAAGAATTGTGGAAGAGGTGATGCCAGTCATTGAAAAGGCAGAAGAAGAGCAACAGCGCAAAGCGGCGAGGAAAGAAAAGGAATTGCTCACGCTTCAGAAGCTCGCCGGTGCCAAGCGATCAAGCAGAATTGCCAGTCGGTTGGATAAGCAAAAAGAAGAGCAAGAAGTCAGAGAGGCTGAGGCCAAACGGCAGGCCGAGCTTGTGCAAGCAAAGAAGGATGAGGAGAGACGAACCAAGATGGAAGCTGTGCGGTCACTCATCCCCAAGACGTCAGAGAGAATTGCTAATTCTTTTCCAGGAACGTGAGGCACGTATGATGACACGCGAAAAGCGCCTTCTCGAACGCGAATATCGGCGACGACTCCATGAGGAGGAACTTGCGAATCTCTCACAGGGGAGCGAGAATGTTGAACCTGGTCAGGGGCGCAAGTCCGAGAGGCACCTTCAGGCAGAAAAGGAACGACACGAAAAAGAGCTGGAAAAAATTGCGCAAGAAGACGAGTGGTTTTTTGACTGTTCCGGCTGCGGTGTACACGGCGACAATGTGGATGACGGAACACATAGCGTCGCTTGCGAGAAATGCAATGTCTGGCAACACAGTGCCTGCTTGGGCGTTTCGCGCGAGGAGGCTGAGCGTGAGGATTTCCACTTCATCTGCAAAGACTGTCAACGACGGATTGAAGATGCGAAGAAACCCAAGATTCCTTCGCTCAAATTTCGCGTTGGGCCTTCGTCCTCGCCACCTGCTGCTCATCATATTTCCTCTTCCTTTGACGAAGATGTTGCCATGGCCGACATTGAGAATCAAGCACCCGCGGCTTCACCTTCTAAGAGCACCAGTCACCATCACCACCATCACCATCCTCCTCCGTCAAGCCACCATTTGACTCACCCAGGACCCAGGCTTCACATCTTGCCACCACATCCACCCGTCTTTGGTCAAGCCAGGCAGTCCACTAATGTGGGCTCGTCTCCTCTTGGGGTGCTGAACGGACCCCGCCTTTCTCCTCAAGGCCAGACTCAGGGTCCACTCTTTGGTGCCCATCAAAACGGTCATGCAGCACTCGGCGCGGGATCTCATCAAAATGGCTTTGCACGCGAGCATGCCCAAGAGTCGGCCCTAGGCTCCTTTGGCTTGTCATTTGGCCCTTCTGGCCACGCCAATTCTCGACCAGGCTCTTCGTCCGGTGTCATCGAAGAACGTGGACATCATATCGCAGCACATGGTATCCCGAATGGAGTAGCTGCTAGTCCGTCGAAGAGCGCAAACGGAAACAGTATTTGGCGCAGCAGTCCGATCACTGGAAGTGGCGGTGGCGGAGCTCATCATGGTGCATTCACGGCCTCTCCGAATAATAGCTTCTTTGACTCTTTTGATCGGCAGCGCAGGCCATCGTTGTCGTCGCAAGGTCAACCACAATCCCCTGTCCCATCACCGGTGAAGTCTAGATCGTCGCCGCCGGCGCCGAACAAAGATGTTGGAAAATTGGAATTCCCCGAACCAGGCAGTCCAAGTCTTCCACCATTGGCACCTTCTACAACGCGGCCGGTAGCTATTTCGCCCGTCAAACGATCTTCGTCTCCGGTGCAGCAGCCGCTTCCTCGTGCGCCGTCGCACCCGCCGCAGCAAGCCCTACTATCTTCGCCGATTTCAGCACCTTCAGCCATACCCCCTGCAAGCTCTGGAATTTCGCCGACCAAGCATTCTCCACCTCGACGCCCGAGTCAAAGCCGTGTTGGATTACCATCCGGCGTTGGAAGCGGTAGTCTTGGTGAGGGAGCAAACGGGTCAAAGACTCGGACCCCTGTTGTTGTACCACCTGTCGCTTCTTTGTCTCCGAGCCCACCACCACAACAAATAATGACTCCTCCACACAAGTCACTGCCGCCAATGCAGGAACAGTCTAAAGGCGACGTCAATAACCCAGGTCTTTGATCTTGTCATTGTTTATGTGTGGGAACCACGCGGCATTATAATGGCAAATAACCCGCTCGACGAATCGGATCGATCTCAGACTTTCGGACCCGAGATGTCAACTTTATTGTCCTCACCCCTACCATCTCGATCTATACTGCCGGCCAAGCCTCACAAGGCGCCTGTTTCATTGGGGTTAGGCCGGAAACAATCTCTAAATTAGATTCTGCTTGCCATTCATTCTGCCTCTTACGACAGAAAAAACTCATCAAACTAACAATCTCTCTGTGCTAGCGCTGATCGCCGTGCATGCTCATGCATATGCAGGTTGTATCTGGTTTCTATCTCCATCTAATCCGCTTTGTGTAAAACCGGACCTCGATCGAGTTAGCGTCCAATCATACCTCATGATTCCATGCGTATTCCAAGACTTTTTCATTGTCGTGGTTGACAGCCGGGCTCATTTTTCGAGCGGCAAACTCACCCCTGGCCTCCTCCTCACCGAAGATCCGAGGATCAAAAATATCCAAGCGGCAAAGTCTTCTTTTTTTCTTTGTGCGAGATGGCCGTCAGCTTTCTATGAAGGTTGGTGTAACTTGATTCGGCAGCTGAAGTCATGAAGACGATGGTTTGATATTTATCTAGTTCAGTGATATTCGGATGGCCAGGGGTCCTTTTCATTCTCTTCCCCAATTTTCACTCTTTATCCATGTGTCTTTGTATCCTATCGGTGTATCGGTTGGTTCTCTGCTTCTAAACTGGCGCGCGCGCTGTACGCAACGCATATCAATACCACAGCGTACAACCCAACAGTGTTTTTCATTGGCCTATTCTATTTTTCTACTCTCGGAACTTTCTCCGCAGTCGGGTCAACGGGCCAGTATACCTGACGCCCGCCCTGAACGCTTGTTCTTTGGACCTTGGAACCCTGCGATTTGAGCCTCGAACGGGACTTTGATCACCTTGGAAATAGGGCTACCAAAAGTATGCTGCAGTTCCGAGCAGCTATTTCGATCATAGGATACGTTCGAATTAAACAAATAATATGAACAAGTGCATCTCAAGACGACATCAAGTATGAACTTTTAAGCGGGACTGTCGCTTTCTTGTTTTGTTCGACACGTAGTGTAAAGGAACCAGTATTAGATTTACGTCTCGTATTTGAATTGATTGATCAACAGGCGGCAATCGACGTGAGAAACATGTGTCCAAAGTCCCAAACAGAGACATTTTCACGTTTCTCCTATTATCAGGCTTGAAATATCTGGACACTGGAATCTGTAGACTTTTTTATATTCCACAGTGTGTAGATGGAGTTGCTTTTTCATTGATCCTTAAATCCCCTCTTCTGTTTTCTTTGCTTTGCTCCTCCGCTCTCTTGCCTTTGTGGGGCATATATACGAATATACATATCAGCCACACATTCTCTCCATTTCCTAAAAGCCAGACTAATCACGTCCTTGTCGTTATTTAATTCGATCAGAAGGCTTTTATACTGAAATCTCGTAACGGCATGCCGTAGACTGGTAAACTCAGCTACCGTATGACACCAATATGTTACATGATAGAAAGGCGTACGACCCTACAATTGCATCGTGCACGTATAGATATACGTCCAACTTACAGAAAAAGAATGACAGGGCCTACTTATATGTATACGCTCATTCTTTAGCCCAAAGTAGTACCTTTAAGGTTCAACCGTTCAACTATTCAGTCTATTATATTTCGCTGCACAAGAGGGTATGTACACAGTTTAAAGTGTACAAGTCGTATAGTTACAGAACACTGAAATATTAGTTATCTCTCACTAGGGTTTAGTTGAAAAAGTCTTCTCCGATTAACTATAAAATAGTGGGTGTATCGTTGTACAGTGGCTCGAATTAGTTTAAACTTAGTTAGATTGCTTGGTGGTAGTAGTGTATAATAGAATCGAATGAACACTGAAGCTGCGTTGAAATAGTACGAGGCTACGATAGTTGCGCTGGTATAAAAGTTCGCCTGTGAGATACGAAATATGTATTTCTATATTATTATGTCAAGGGATAATGTTTGTAGTTGTTGTATTATTTTAATTGAATTCTCTTGTATATTTTTCAGAGTGAGGATGCGTAAACGGGAGACCATTATTGCAAAGCTACGGAGCATAGAGTAGGGAATCCAAATATAATTTTGATTACATCATTAATATTTATCGCTCAGAATATTGGTAAATAAATCAAATACAAGTTTAACAAAACCTTTAATATCAAGAATATTTGCGCGGTGAAAAGAATAATTACGAGAAAAATTTCTATTGTGTGGCATAGTTCCTTATGCGATTAATGCCACAAGCTCACAATGTCAACAAGTATACTGTATACCTGAATGACCGCACAAAAACCACATGACTGTCAGTCCATGCGAGTAACCAGTATCGTCCTCGGTATACTCTGTACTTCGGGGTTTGCCGGTGGGGGAAACAAGAGAAGAGAAAGAAGGAAGAGGAACATATCGAGTACGACGCACATTCTTACTGCCTGTGTAAAACGTACAGCATAGTGGAAACCGACAATACTACTGTAAGTCTGTACCGTCCGTGTCCCATCGAAAGGTCGAGATCGAACCCAGGTTCCAAGGATGAGACGTACGGAGTAATTTCCCCTATCCCTGTTGATATATATCCATGTCGGTGATCCATGTCGATATCAAACCCCCCATGTTCGTTTCGCCCCCAATTAAGGATCTGTCCCCCCCAAGTATCATCTGTCAATCTGCTGCAACTCGCCAAGGCGGCAAGCCCTGCGCGGGGGAAAATATGGGGACATGGTTCAAGGAATCAAGCAATTGGTTCGAAAGATTTGCGGCACATTTCGACCCAAGGCGCTGGGAAATGTCATGAGCACTAGCTGCACCACCTGAATTACGGACCCCTACGAGTAATGAACCTAGCAAGGACGGCCCGAATATTGGCAATGCTGTGAAGTCGGAGAGGGGTAAAAGAGATTGATCATTTACGGGCCAGCGGCTCAGAGTCAGGGAGACTATTCATCTTGAATTTGGGCACCAAGAATCCATAATACCCAGGATCCCGGGAATCAGGAAGCCATAGAAATGTAATGCAAGCTGTAAGAGTCTGGGAGTGGGTAAACTTACTAGGAATCGCATTCAAGTTTCCAGATTTCCGCTCCTCCGAAACGTTTTCACCCCCACCTCTTCCACTACTGTGTATAATGGTACGGCGAGAGGATCGATTGTGAGAGCCTCATCTGCATGATGCGGCACGACAGCCCCTCATACGCTTCATATGTCAACCGTGGGTCCTGCGAGACTATGCATTCATTTCCCCATCCCCTGGAACTCACTCCCTGGTACCATCATATCATCCTATCAAACCCTGGTCTAATTGTTCTCTACCCCTGTATTGTGCTATCGATTGCTTAACAATCCATCTCGCCAGCTCTGACCACGGAATCTGTTATCCCGTGCGGCACTGTTGGCACCATTACCATCAAGTCACTCATTCCGTGCATCCCGAGCTATATGACTTGCGATTCGTGAAGGGAACATTGGGAGAAAAACCGCCCGTCATTGAGCGAGGCATGACTCGTATGACTGAAGCAGATGAAAGGTCTAGGCCCCGTCCCTGTCCCATCAGTGGTATAACCCCCTCCGTCCCTCAATTACAGAGACGCGGGAGCGGGCACTTTTCCGCAACCCTACACCTGACATCATAGAAAAACAGCAGGACGGATGTATTGCGGCCGCTGCCCCATGCCAATCGTCCCATCAGAGCGGCTCCCATGGAATGGGTGGAATTTTCTCCCACCCCATTCTTTCGCGGATCATTTCCGGACCCTACTCTTGAGTCACGGCGATCGACGTGGTAGAAAGATCAAATTCTTCGTCAGTTCGCCGAGGAGGCGTCGTAAAGACGTCACACCTGCTGTTGAACAGACCATTTTGTGCCAATTTGATTGAATACCGAAGCACTGGCAGACGGCATTCCTATGGCATCCCAAGCCTGCCGTGTATAATACTTATCTTGGAAACGACGCATGCGTGACTGAGCGGAGGGAAGGACAAAAGAGTATATCGGCTCCGCGACTTCATCAAGCAACACGTAGTAAATCCAGGATTCTGGGTGCCTTGGTCTGTATACCGTACATTGAAGTAAGCCTTCAATGCAGAATTACTGTGGAGCCGTCAATTCTGAGCGTGGTTTTGGTTCAAACAAATGTGTATGAAAGTGGGGGAGAGACATTCTTCACCGCTTCCAGGGCCCCATGCTAGCATGCAGTGCTCCCCTGTATTGTTCTTAGAAGGAGAGCATACTGCAGTACGGACCATTCAATCTGGCACGTTTCGCAAGATTGGGCGAATCAAAACAGAATTGACCTTGTAATAACAACGACGGCGACCAGGGGTTGTCGGAGTGTAAGGAAGTCGAAACGTCACAGGAACGGCAAGTGCTGGCGGCTAGTCTCAAGCGCACGGTTGCGCTCAGCACAAATTGCTTGCGTTGCGCAATTTCATTGGTTGGTGGTGCCGATGTGCATTTGCTGGTACATAACATTCTAGCACATCTCACAATCTTGGTGAAGGGTGGGGGTGGCAGGGAGGTGTAGGACAGCAGCGCGCTCTCTTCCCCCTGAACCTATCAATTGTCGTCCGCTTGTATCATTACCTTGCGGGCTCGCAGTATCTACGTTGACAGGCAAGAGGTCACATGCCTGATCGCGCGCCTGGAGGGTCTGAGAGCGGATAGGTTGTCGAGCGCATTTTGTTAGTAGAAAAGGTTGTAGGTCTAAACTAGCTTTTGTATCCGCGTAGCTAAAAATTTAAAGTTTTATACTTTTTGATTTTTAGACTTTAGAGTTTGCAGTCTTGCATCTTGCAGTGCCAAAGGTACGAGGAAGTGGGAGGTAACATTGGGATTCTTAAGCGATCAGCAAAGGGAGACGCCCTCGGCCGATATATCCGAGAGGGGAGTCGGACATGGCGAAACATAATTAGGGGGCTCTGGAGCAGCTGCAGTAGCGTGCAGCTTCAAGGTCTGTTTTGCCTAAGAGTCACCAATGCAATAAACTGGATGGCCACCTGCAAAAGCTCAAGGAAACAGACTTTACGCCTCAAACTCGTCCTTGAAGCAGTGCATATGCCAAAAGGAAAACTAGGATGGTCATGTACAGCTTGAATCACCATTGTCTATCATCTTTGCTCCGCTGGTATATTGTTGGTGACCACCTCTGATGCGATCAGACACCTTGCGATCGTCAATGCCCATGCCAGGTGGAGACCATCGAAAAGACATCTGAACGATCAACAAAATCTCATCTACTGAGTATACTATGCCAAAACAGCT